ACTCGTACGAAAGTCTTTGGGGGGGAAAAAAATGTTTGCACCAGTAAACGTACAAGGGTAAGACGCGTTGATGTATGTCACGGATGAAGCGCGCGATTGAAACTGAATAGTTGCCGCGCCGGCATCGTCCGTCCAGCTCTCCGCCGCGGCGTCGTGTAGCATCCTATAGCGTCGCGCTAGGGATATATCCCCTCTTCAACAATTCAACGGGGGGCGCGCACGCGTCTCGTTTTCTCGCGAGGCGCGCGCGGGCCAACAGCAAACCTCGTCGCCTTATGGATGCTGTGTATTATTGGGATATATATCTGCACGCGTCTTATTGCGAGCTAGATCAACAGCCCTGCACACCACCGCACTCGCAATGGCATTCATATACGTTAGACGGTGGAACACGTACTGTGCGCGCGTATTTCGTATGTATAGCCGAGCGACGCGACCCAGCGCTGAAATACCGAAATTCGTAACGCTTGTAATCGAGAGTGTGTATAGGTGTGTAGCATACCGGGGCATGAGTTACGTCTACCATGGTCATTATTCCGAGTGCTATTGTGGAAACAAATGAGTCATTGCCTGGGCTCGTACGATGTACGCCCGTAAATGCAAAGATGGCATTTGGAGGTATTCCACTTATTTCACGCCTATTGATGATAACAAGTTTTTGATGCCAAGTCTTTGAGGATATTATATAGAAAAATAAAAATAATAAATTTTCCATATCTAAGAATATACATTTTTGTACAATTATGTTATAAAGGGTTAATTCTGCATTAACAATATTCGTGATTATCTCAAGAAATTTCATCCTTGCCGTAATACAGCACTAGATCGGTCGATAGGTAATAAGTTCAACTGAAAAGTTGAATTTTTGTCTTGACCAGATCAATAAAAGAACTAACATGAAGGACAAATTTAAAAAAATACCAGCAATATGATTCTATCTCTATGTTTTAATAATCAACTAATTTTAAGGTAATATAATCTTTGCCCTCCTTGACGTTTTTTCAATTGAAAATTTGAAATTTTTAAAATTTAATAATGAATAAAATATGCCAGTAACTGTTTCAAAGGAAACTGAACGACCGAAAGATGGCAAATCAAAAAAATTTTATCAGGATTAAGATGTAACTAATCAGTTGTTATTCAATATTTAAGTTGATATAGTTTTAAACAGGAATCATTATTTGTTAATTACAGTACTTTGTTACTTGATAACAATTTTAAATGAAGCTCAAAGCTGGGTATCAACTATTCGACAACTTAAGTTGTTATAGAAGAATTCAATTTTGATGAAAAAAAGGTAAAAAAAAATTCATTTCAATCAAGGTACAATAAAATGCTTGCAAATATACGTATATACGTGAAAGTAACTTTTCTACATAATAGCTGGAACTATTATTTGTGTACGATGCACTTCATAATATTACGAGTCTACAAATAACGGAAATGCCATCGCACATTGATCCTAATGTCAATCCAAAAGCTCTGAATGCGACTGCGCTTGTTGTATGTATGCCGTGATATGATAATGAGATACATTTACACGTCACACGTATCATTACAATTATCCCTGTGACAATTGCATATATTGCAAAATTTCATCTTTCATTTCAGCGACAGACGATCATTGATTACATCTATTTTCACCAAAGCTGCAAAAAAGTCTTAACCCATTCAGCAAAATCTATATGCTATATTTGAGACGCTCGTCGGGAACCTTTCCTTTTTTTCATCTCGATGATAGCTTTAAGCGTCATTCATTTGGATTTTCGGCGAGGCACTAGGCGCTCTAATGAAATTCGAGAGACAGCATAATGACCCCACAGCTGAATATCATTTTTCTTTCTATCTATAACGCGCAACCCACGCAAATAATAATACTATATAAACCCACGCGGCTTTCTGTTGATTATTTCTCCGTTGCTGTACGAGATGGCTTCAATGTTTTTTCTGGTCACGATGATAACAATGTCTACGTACAGAAACGTTTTGTGACATGGGGGCAATAACTTCTCACAGGCAGTTATTTTAAAAATATAACGTTGACAATTTACCTCAAAATAAATTTGCACTACGTCGTGCAATTCGATGCATCGCTGTGATTTTTACACAAATCTTATTTACGCAAAACTACACTTTTTACGTCAACAAGATAATTAATTTGTAGGTCCCTCCTAAATAGGTTGTGAATGCAAAATTCTTGCTTTTCTCTCAAAGTAGATTCCAGTAGCCCGATTAACATCGCAAGAATCTCATTAAATTGCTCACAACTGCAGAGCATTTTGGGCTCATGATAAGAACTCTGATTATATCCAACGATACAATCGGGTACTGTGCTTCAGTGAATATAATTAGGATTTTAAAAACCGCTTAGTTTATTTTCTTTCGAATAAGGAACCTTGAGTGCTCAAAAAATCTGTTTTCACTGAAAGCTTTCTCGGTAAGCTTATTCGACACTTAATTTTATTAATGTCAATCTTTAGCATGTAATTTTTGTCGCCAACTACTCTCCCGAGGCGCGTCGATCAAGGACACAAAAGGATGAGTAAATCATTTTTTTTATTTATTCAGAAAAAACTTCTGTGTGCGACAAAGAGACAAAAAGCGCCCAAGTTATTGCAGTTAATGTATCATGTCGCTTGATGCGCCCCAAGCGCACGCTCGACTCGATACACAATGATATAAAGTGTTATTTATAGGTATCGGACGTATGTACGCAGAATAATAAAAACATATATTTGAAGACATACAAACGCGGAATACTGAAAGTTAGATAGATCCGCGCATTCTTGTACATCTATAGTTTCTTGTTTTAAGTGTACACATGCATGGATAACAACAAGCTTCAGTGTGCGATAGGTATGCTGTTTCTTTGGATTTCTGAAACAAGTATTGGCCTGTTTCGCTCTATTAAGTCTCGTCATTTTTTTTCTAGTAAAAGCATTTCTATACTTTTTCACAAAGAAGAAAATACTTTAAAAACAAAAGTCTCTTGAAAAATCGCTGTCGACCTCTAAAATTCCATCCCTTCTCCCCCAAGTGCCTCAAGAGCGTAAGAAAAGAGAGAGACAAGAGGGTACGTAAAAAATGAGAATATTTTTCTCCTTGCCTTTTCTACTGGCTTGTACAGAATTATAAGGGCTATAATATCATCTGCTAAATCCAAACTTTGTGCCCGTACCACAACAAAGTATATAGTGTTTCATAAAGTGCATTCCCACAAGCCATCTAGGAAGCAAGTGAGAGAGAAAGCAACCCACTGAAGAATTTCGAGCTCGAGCAAGAGAGAGAGAGAGAGAGTATACTTAAGCAAGTGGCAACAATGAGAAAAAGCTTTTCATGTGAAAAAGTTCAATAAAAGCTCATCCGCTTTTCCGAATTATTGTCACTTTTTCTACCCACCCAACTTTCGAATCAGTACTTTTGACGTTTTTCTTACAAGAAGAAATGAAGTACCAAAGATTAGATGCTACAACCAATTATAAATTTATTGTCTTGATTTATTTTATACTTAAATAAAGTATGTCGATCACTGAGTACAATTAATGCTTGCACTCTAAATACGCACAGTTTATTGTGCGTTGCATATTGTAAAAGCCCATTCGATTCCTTTCAAAATGTTTATATCGATAGCCGCTACATTGGGATTTTATGATAAATATTTTCACAGTGCAAAGCTCGACCGAGCTTTCAGTAGATAAGGTAGAAAACACTCTAGCGATAGAATGCACGTTTTCGATCGAAATATACTCTTTATTTTTCTTTTAAAAATATCGTGAGACATTCAACATTAGATTCTTAGTTTTGTTCTTTAAAATTATACGTAAAATTCCGACAATTCCAAGACCTCAATTATAAAATTAATTTTTAGTCATAAGGGTGTTGTATGTTTGATACAATTTAGCAATATCAACTCGGTAATTTTTCTGTATGATTACTCTAATTCTAAGGCTATTTAAATTTTAATTTTAATTAAATTCCATTGAGAAAGAAATGAAAACCGCAAACAATGCACCTATCGGCAGTGTGTGCGTGCATTGCGACGAACGAGAGACAAACAAACCATGATGAGGCGACAATGCGTCGCAGTAATAGCTGATCGTATACATGTATCTATATATGGACGGTATTACATAAACCGTAATTCCTACCTAAAATTTAATCTTTTCGGGCAAAACTATCAAATAAAAATAATTAATTTTTTTATAAAGTTTAATCTTTTCTACTGTATTGTACGACCACAAAAATATCTATTTTTTCCTTTTTTTGGATGAATATTGCAGTCTTATATGAGTACGCTTTTTGATATTTGAATTTCATATGAGATATTATTATTCAGAAGGGGCTTAAAGTGTATGATTTGACAATTAATCTCGAGTCCCTTCAGGTCCTTCAGAATTATATCTACTGATTCAAATTTTCATATATGTAATTATATTATTATATACTTCCTAAGAGTAGGATGAATTACGTAATTACTTATTTTAGTTGTCACACAATTGACGTCATCCAACCCATATGTATGTACTTTGAAAGGCAATCCGTTTTTCTTTATTCTCCGTACGCATGCTGCAAGCCCTTCGGGTATAACAACGTACCACTCAGTGACCCATTTGTTTATTTATTTAATTAAAGCTTGACTCAACGTAGATTTTGTGTGAACCCATGAAATTTATCCAGAACAATAATAGTGAGAACGCAAAATTAAACAACGATGAACTTAATTATAGCGGAGCGCGTACACACAGTTAGTGCGATTATTAGAAACTTATCTTTCATTGTCTTCTATGCTCGATAAAAGTTATATATATTTTACCTTTTTTATTTAACTGGTTTTTATCCAACTCACTGATCATTGAGAATGAAGTCATAATGACATCAATAAAATTGCACTCAATCTATCGCTCTATATAATGTGGGTACATTCTATTCTATTGTGTTCGACACGAAACTTGAATTAAAAAGTATGTTTTTTTTCAAAAAAGAGATCACTGAGAACTTACCAGCATAAGATGTCCCAACATGTTCCTTTAAAATTTGTGGATACTCGCTAATTTTGGTCGCATCGAGATCGAAGGTTCCGTATTCAAGATCACGTCTCTTTTTTATGTACTCGACTATTGACTTCATCATCAATTGGCACGTGTGTCGTCCAGCGACTTTGGCTTGACCGTTGGTGTCGTACAATAGGTGAATCTTCTTCCACGCGTACTCATCCAAAATGTCTATGAGAAACAAGGCAATGTCTCGAAATGCCAAATTTCCCATACGAATCGTCATAAAATATTCATCCTGGCAAGTTTTCTTTTTTTTCGTAAAATCGAAGGTGAATCCTCCGGTCGTTATCAGAGGGGCGTTCAAAAACTTTGTAATTCTTCCCACGCTCGCTGTAAAGTCAGTAAAAAAATTAATTAAAATTCATAGCAAAATATCACGATCAAAAGACGAGATGGGCTCACCAACGCAGTAATCGCACGTTGGGCCAAAAAACACGTGCACGCACTTGGAGTAGCTATCGATAGCGCCGATTTGTGCGTAAGTCGCGTCGCAGCCATCGTCTTGCGCGAGAAAAGTCAGCTTCAGCCAATGAGGAAGTAATTTTAACGACCTCGCCGCGTAAACGGCCATATCTATCATCGGTCGTAAAAGAGATCGATGCGAATTAAAATTAGGCAAAATTGTGGAGCAGCAGCGATCGGTCGAAAAATACTCACCCAGCACGGGCAAGACTTTGAAGAGGGAAATTTCGTATCGAGAATCGGCCGGCAGTAATACGGCGGCTCTGAGCTCGCAGTTTATCACCTGGCCCTGCTGATCGAAGTTGCAGAGAGTCTCGCAATCTCGAGGTAACTGGGCCTCTCGGCAGCCGGACCACGACATCGTCGGATATGCTAGGATGAGTAGCAGCAGCGAGTACTGCCGCATCATCGATCCCATTGGTGCAGAGTCTCATAGCTCTATTAAAACTGTTTCCACTTCGATTGTCTTTTCTATGAATAATAAATCGTTGAATAATACCTGTTGTAGAAAAGGCACATGCCCAAGTATCACTACCGTAAGATCGTTCAGCGTAATCGGCACATGAATTCAAGTTATATCAACACATTTTTGATTTTGAAAAAGAAAATTTGCACTCGTAAAGAAAATATGTCGAAATAGGTAGAACTTAAGATTGCTGACCGAACCGAAGGTAATAGCAGTCGCACATTGACTATTTTATCAACAACGTGTCGAACAATATTTATTATCACTATTTATGTGATAAAATGATTATTGAGATTATATCGCTTTATACGATTGAATTACTATTCAATTTTTATTTACTTTTGTTTATAGTTGTTTAGTTATCTACACGTCACATCGACATCCTCCCATATGGGTCGCATGGAGAAGAGAGAAACTAATCCTTGCATAGACTGATACTACCCCATGACGTGTGCAGCTTCAAATGAAAGACCTGGCGTACGTTATGTACATGTGATTCTGATGATATGTGCATGAAGCAAAAATAGAAGATCCATGCGCGCACATGCAGTGGGGAGGCTAGCAAGCGCCGGCGCAACTTCAATGATGTGAAATTCATTGAGGATACCGTGTAAATTAATTAAACCGGAATTTTATTAATTGGCATGATATTATTATAAAAAAAATGCAATCAAAATAATGTAAGCATAAAATACTTACATCAAGCATGCGTTATGGAGTACTATGAATTCCCTGATGATTAACAGATATTTTATTGATTGGTACTTCATCCACGTCGACAAAGCTTTGTCGTAGTTTTCAAGTATTACTATTTGATTGCATATTTTTTATCAAAAAGAATAGACTTGTTTTCAATAGCAAAATCCCTTTTTTTTTTAATCGACCGATTTAGTATAGTGAAATAACATGAGCGATCACCCGTGAAAAAATTTTGAGTACAAATCAACACTTGGCTTACAAGAATTATTTCAAATTTCATCAATTTTCTAATTAACTCAAAATATAAGTTTTTGCGTCCACAGGATCGATTTCAGGTAATTCATTTACTGATTTACTTTTAATGAAAATTGTTTTTCACACAAGATGCACAAACTTGCCTTGAGTTATGAATAACGCAAGAAGTTGCAGCCATTTATTAAACGAAAAAAGCTTAAATTTTCAGGAAAAAATGTATTAATAAAATAGAAATACTTTTCCCGCCATATTCAAATAAGACACGTTTTTGCCTCTTTGCACAGGTCAGCGCACATGCTACCGAATTTCAATACGGTAGATTCTTACACTAAGGTGACGATTTGTAAATATTATTGACTTAAGTTCGAGTTATTTTGATTTGTAGAATTAGTACTGAAAGAGAAGTCATACAACTAACTTTACGTGAGCAAGATGAAAATGAGCAATATATTTAATCGTGGCTTTAGGTAATTTTCATTATGTAATAAAAATATTAAAATAGTATAGGATAATACTTAATTTTATCAAAATTATTTCAGAGTGAAAGAGAGACCAAAAGATGTATCATTTATTGAATACGATGATCATAGAGTAATTGATACGATGCCAAATGAAAATGTTCAATTCTCAAGATTGCTGCGAGAAAATTCAGTAAGTATTAACACTTTGACTTTTCTAGTATGATAGACCATTTTCACGAAAATGTTCATTCAATTTTTATTTCATACAGATCTATAAGCTGCCAAAGTGTAACATAAATCATGAAAATAAACTTGGGGACAAAATAGAAATCGCGTTCGACGGTAAAAATATCAAGTCCAACATGAACTTATCACTCGAGAAAATTCTTGATTATTCTCAATATCACTTGCAGAATATAAAAAATAGTGATCACCATGAAACTCAAAACTTAATTAAAATAGGAAACGCAGGAGTATCGGAAATAAAATTTCTCAGTGAATTTGCAAAAAAATTGGATAAAAATGTTGAGTGCGAACGCAGAGAAATAAATGATAGAACAGAAGAGCTCAATTATGAAAATAAACTCGGAACACACATTCACACGGTGTATAATTGTATTGAAAGCGAAAAATCATTCAAGCAGAAAAGTAATCTTCAAACAACCCACATACAATCATCATATAATGGCATAAAGTTTACATGCGATATATGCGGAAAAAACTTTAGCCGAAAGAATCAAGTTAAAGTTCACATCAACACAGTGCATTATAAACTCAAGCCTTACAAATGTGATGAATGTCAAAAATTATTTAGCTTTAAAAACCTTCTCAAATCCCACATTGATATGGTGCATAACGGAATCGCTCAAACGTGCAATGTGTGCGGGAAGACATTTTCTCAAAAAGCTAATCTCAATGTTCACGTCAATGCAATGCATAATGGTATCAGACATGCGTGCGACATATGCGGGAAAAAATTTAACCGAAAGGGTTATCTAAAAATCCACACTGATTCCGTACATAAAGGTGTTACACATCCATGCGGCATATGCGGAAAACGATTTACCCAAAAGTGTCAAATCAAAGTTCATATCAATGCAGTGCACAATAAACTCAAACCTTACGAATGTGACCAATGCCAGGAATCTTTCAGCTACAACACGGTTCTCAAAGTCCACATTGATGCGGTACATAATCGTATCACTCAGGCATGCGATACATGCGGAAAAATATTTTCACAAAAAGCTAACCTTAAAGCTCATATAGATATGAAGCATACTGGTATCACACATACATGTGATGTATGTGGTAAGACGTTTTCAAAAAACGATCATCTCAAGTTCCATATTGATACAGTTCATATTAATCTTAATTTTAAGCCTTACAAATGTGATAAATGTCAAAAAACATTTGGCTACCGAAGTTCACTCAAAACCCACATTGATGCGGTACATAATGATATTTCACACGCATGTGATACATGTGGAAAAAAATTTAAACAAAAAGGTCATCTTAAGGACGTTCCCTCGGGTAACACGCTAGTCAATTGAGAGTTCGCGCAGTAACATGGGTTAAGTTAGCTGGCTTGTCGTCTGCTAGCCCTAAAACGAGCCGAAAAAGTCGTGTTTTAGCATCTTTTATTAAAAAAATATTGAAAAAACGGCAGGCTACCTCTACTTTGAGACACGGTTTTTGAAAGATAAGAACTTTCTCTACAATTTGTATATAATCATTCCCCTGCGAACTTTGATTTCTTTTCATAAATTGTAAATGTAGCTCAAATTTTCATGAATTCCTATGTTGCCCATGTTAATTTTCAAAACTTTGATCGCGTTTTTCTCGAGATTTTGCCTGGCTTGGGCATATGTGAGCTATACCATTGGATTTGGGAGGTCAAAATCTATCAATATTGATGTATGTACTTCTTGCGAACTTTGCAAGGGAACCTCCTTAAAATCCACATTGATGCGGTGCATTACAATTTCAGACCTTACAAATGTGATGAATGTCAAAAGTCATTCAGCTACCAAAATGTTCTCAAAAACCATATTAAAAAAGTACATAAAATCACTCATGTATGTGATGTATGTGGAAAGTCATTTTCACAAAACGCTTATCTTCAATTTCACCGGCAAGGTTACCACTCACACGTATTATAATTTAGAATAAATTTATGAAATTTATCTTCAATTATGTTAAATATTACTTGCTATTGCGATTTATAATCTCACATATTTGTTCAGAAGACGAACGTCCAAATTTTCATTTGTGTATTATGGATTCCACCATGTTATTTATTTCTTCATGTAACAAATGACGTCCAAGTTTACAAAACCAATAAATTTTTTAACAAAAATTGAATCATATCAATAATTAGACATTAAAAATGAATGTATCCGCTGTATATAAATCGCGAAATAACCAATTCTATGAGCGTCCTTCGTTTTTGCAAAAAACATCCTATATGATTATTAGATGTGAGGGTGATCGTAGCACAAAAATTATAATAATTGATTGATTTTATCGCTCGATATTGCCATGACATAAACATATTCAATTATTAGGTTATAAAATCTTACCTTTTTAAATAATCTTCGTACAACAGTATTAAAAGTTTAAACAACTTCATCATCATTGGTTTTTGTCAAAAAGATTTTTTCGAAATATCGTTGATAGGCTTGAAAAAAAATTTTGTTCTCAACGGAATTTACATCTGAGCTCAAAAAAATCGAAACTCAAAATTGAATAAAATAAAATCTAAGTTTCCAAAATATCAAACTCGAATGTCAATGTCAATTGGTTGGTCTAGATAAACGCGGGAATCGTGGCATATTATAAAGCTTGTCAGAACACGTTCAAAGAACACAATACAAATAGCTTATACCATCCAATGACCGTTACCCCGCATCGCTATTCGCTACTGCTTGTGCTGTCGTCTGCGACATGCGGTGCATTGCGCGCTTCTGAGTCGAGTAAACAAAACAGGAGTAATTATTTCAAATTTCCAATTTTCTCAAAATGACTCCTCCGATCCCTTCGGCAAGGTTTTACGGCAATTCCTTGGATAAATTATACGAAGAGTTTGATAAGAAGATCGAGGAATCGAGAAAAAGACGATCCGCAGTGTTAGACGATCTTGAAAGGCCTCGTTCGATATTTCGCCCGGCTCCATACAAAGAGGAATTTTGGAAGCAACATGATGCACTGGTGGATGCCGCAGAACGCAGTGATGGTGACGATATCCTCTGTTGTTTTGTGTTCCAAGATGAGAGTGGCAAACGACGATTCATTGTCACCTACCCAGAGGACTTCTGGACTGAAAGTGAGCATGTACCAGCAGAAAGAAGAGTGTTTTATGAGGTAACTTATAGATTTACAATAAAAACACTTTATTTATTATTCCTTGGGCAACAATTTTTTATAACAGTATATATCTTGTTTGTCAGGTAATACCAGAAAACACACCATGCTTTCTTTATTATGACCTCGAATATGAAACAGAAATAAATAAAGATAAAAATGGTGTGAGAATGACTCGTACATTGATAGATATTACTTGCGCATACATAAAACAACATTGGAATTATGTTTGTGATAGAACTATGGTGATAAATCTTGATTCTTCCAGACCTGGCAAGTTTAGCAAACATTTGACATTTAGTACTAAAGATGTAGCTTTTGAAAATAACTTCCATGTAGGACATTTAATCAAGCTAATCTGTGCGGATCTTGCTACTTTTGTAGACAGTGATCAAGAAACTCAACATGAAATTCTTAGTAAATTTGATAAAAAAGACTTACAAGAGTTATTTGTAGAAACAGATAAAGGAAAAAAATTATTCATTGATGTTAATGTATACACAAAAAATAGACATTTCAGAGTTTACAAGGCAACTAAGTATGGAAAAAATTCACACTTGATTCATGCTCCTGATTGTGAATATATTTGGGAAAATAAATCAAATAATAAAGAAATGGAAATATTTTTAAAATCAATGATATCTTATTTACCAAAAAAGAAAAGAATGAAACTGCTAAGTTTTGATGAAGATAAGAAAGCCCAGTTGCAAACTTATTCACAATATTCTCAAAATAACATGGCACGATCATTTATTTGTAAAGAGTATCCAAAGTCACCTTATCCATGCTTAGACAAATTTGTTTCAGACCATGTGAAACCAGGAAAAATTAGGGATAGTAAATTTAATGAAAAGCAAAGAGCAATATTATTTGAAGTCATGGGTAATAGGTGAGTTGAAACATATTATGTATAGATTTTTAAGAGATGAACCTTTGTTATTTAATATCTCAATTTTTTATTTGTAGATACTGTGAAAATATTGGACGTCAACATAAAAGTAATAATGTTTATTATATTGTTGATCTCATTGGTAAAGTTATGTTTCAAAAATGTCATGATGAAGATTGTTCGCATTTCATTTCAAAGCCAATAAAAATACCACCTGAAGTAACTTTTTATTTTGATGATGAGACAGATTCTTTACTTTCAGCTTTAGAAGAGACATAATTCTTCAAAAAAACAACAAAGTGAATTGATTCAAATAATCTTAATTTGAAAATTCCTAAAATTGTATATAGTCAAAGGTGCTGTACTTATATACTATTTTTATGCTTTACCTTGTACCGCACTTGTTCAGAATTTATTTGTAAAAAACGTTTGAAATAAATTGCTTTTATTTCTAAAAAAGTAATCAAATGAATATTAAAAAAAAAAAAAAAACTGTATTGAGAAGTTGAAATGAATTATGATATTGAAGTATGAAAGGAAAAAAATATATTCCATGACGAAATTTTCTTTTGTCCTAGCAACTTTTTTATAACTTTGATAAATTTTTAACACGAACATAACTACGTGGGACGTGTATAATATTGTTAGTGAGAAAAGGATGAATTTATTTTGTAGCATTCTTGAATGTAAAAAGCGAATTTCAAAAATTTTGATTTGATTTTTTTGATATATTATTAAAAGCACTTCTGCTGCAACGTGAAATCGAGTTTTTTTAAGTTATCTACTAATAAAATTGTTAAATGTAAATAACTTAATAATTTTAATTTCAATGTAAACAAAACAATTTAGTCAATTAAAGTACATAATTTTTAATTACGTATATCATTTACAGTTATTTATTTTAAGAAATAAACAATTATCTATATTACAATATGAATATTTACATCAATTGGGCTTATAACAGATATGTAAATCCAATGAAAAAATTAAAATTTGTAAAAATGCCTCTTCAACTCACGGCAGTTTACTATTATACATTCATAATTCGTTTTTAACCCAAAAGGTTGTGCCACATAAAATATATAATTGATTGAAAAAAGTGTATTCTTTATATACATTCGTCATTATCACAGGGTATTAACTTGTTAGATAGTTAATACATGCAAAAAACTGATTACTAGTAACTATATTTTTTGAAATGATCAGTTGAGGGTCATCATCTTTGTACATAATATTATTAATTTTGGATGTAAATAATCTCTCTGTTGTTCTACACTTCACTATTTGTGCTATGCAAATAACTTAGCTCTGAAGAAATAATCTAGAAATCCAGGTTCATAATCATCTTGAGAGTCTGCATCACTACTCTCTTCTTGTTCTTCTGTCTTATTACCTTCTGAAGTATTATCTTCACTTGTAGTTTTTGTAGGCTGTCGTATACTATCTTCTTGTGTTTGATCTTTTGTGTTAGTATCAGAATCAGAATTTTCAGGTACAGCAATCTGTTTGATATCATTATTCACAGACAATAAACTTTTATCACTATCTCGATCATCATTAATTTGGATAGATTTAGTCTTAATGTTTTCAGTTTTTAATGATGCTTTGTAACTTTTATAATTTTTCCCAGCCTCTCGCATTCGACACAGATAATCAGGTAAGCCTGAAAAGCAATCATTGAGTATGTTAATATTATACTCTTTTGAACAATTTTAAATTAACTATTTTCATTTAACTATATTACCAGACATTGCTACCCATGATGTGACAGCAGAAGGTATGCTTACTCCAGGATCTTCAAAATATGTCAAGCCAAATTCAATACCTGGTTCACTAATACTTTTGTATGGTTTTATGACCATGCAAGACCAATACGTCTTCACCCTAATTAATTAATGTTTTAATAAATCTGATATCTAATCAAAATTTAATTTAACAAATGAATATTTATTACCTGTAAGTATCTTGTCTATCTGGAGCATTTGGATGGTCCACACCTTTATTAACAATAATAATCACATCTTTTTTTTTGTCATATAGCCATCTTCTTTGATACACATAATCTCTATTTGCAAAGAATCGCTGAAATTGACAGATATTTCAGAATATTTATGGATGAAGATACACGCATAAGGAAAAATTTACTTACAGGCCAAACCATTTCCCAATATACTACTTCAGTTTGGCTACCTTGTACATTTTTTGTAAGAGGTTCAGTATCAATTATTTCAAGCTTTTGAGCAGTGGTATCCCACTCTTTACGATAATCAATATCTATTTGAACTTGTAACAAGTCTTCCGCAGTGACATCATTAAACGATCCATATACTTTGTATGCATAAAGGCCCTGTTCTTCTTTCCTCCAAACAAGCATATCCTGCCTCTCCAAAAATGGTAACCAATCAATGCCTGCATTAGAAAGTCCAAATACATTAGATACAATAGAGAAAGTAGCAATGATTTTATAAAATGAAAATTCTAACAAGTACCTTCTTCTTGGGCTTTGTTGAGTGCATATTTACTATTAGGGCACTGACAATACTGTACATCTGGCCGAGCTGCGTCAACGATGAGCCTCAAGTGGCAGTTAGGGCAGACAGTCGTGCAATCGCGCAACTCGTGTATGCCGTCGATCTCCTGACTGTAACTTGAAAATGGAAATCAACCCGTCAAGCAGCGACTCGAAAGCAGCGAGGATCTTTGCAGTCGACGAGACTAGATGCGCGCTTACTTACCTGTAAAGCTCCTTGTCGTGAATTCTCTGCTGGTCCCAATTGTAAACACTGACACCGACCGCGCCGACGAGGAAGTCGCGCGCTTTTCTGGCCAGGCGTCTGCGCCACGACCTGGCGAATTCGCGGAGTGCGACTTCGTCCCAGATCTTGGAGTAGAGTTGAAATATCTGCAGGCTACGCCTGACACGCTGTGCGGCGACGAATTCAAACTGCCTGGCGCAGAGTCGTGCCAATTGGGCCCCGTGCTCCCTTAGCCTTGTTCGGCAGAAGAAGCAGTGAAACATGTCTCCGAAATGTCGTCGCCTCAACTGCTGATGATAGTAGCTGCTCGTGGACGAGGAGCTTGCGCTCCGTCGTTGAGCCAGTGGCAACAAGAAACGTGACGGTATGTAACGCGAGTACATAACTCTATTTTGTATCTTGGCTTTCCAATGGTCGTAGACGTGTGACACTACGAGAGAAGAAGAGGCAGATGCGGTGCAGCACGTTGTGAAATTCTCCTCTGTCAGCTATTTTATAATCGTCACATGCGCTCGCAGGAAAAATTGCCACTATTAGCCCACTAGATGGCTGAGAGCCCCACTTATAGCAGTCTTCAGTCACACGGATGTCAAGCCAAAATGCAAGATGTATTATTGCGAAACCCACGTGTGTTTCTTCCCCGTAATAATCGACGTAATACACCTATTATAGGGGTTATCGAGATACGCGTGGCTATAGCATCGAGAAGGCAGACTCTATCTACGTGAACCGCACCGCCTATACGTACACGTTACATGTATACACTACTATACATGCACCGCGGGCACCTCGTGCCTCTCGTCTCTTTCGCAAGACTCGAAAACGACTCCTCCTTTGGCTCTCCGCAACGGCGGCGGTATTCGCTCAAAAAGTCACACGTGCGGCAAAAGTTTTAGAAAACTTATTATCGAGAGGAGAATTTGGCAAAACTCGAGGAGTCGTCCACCTGCCAAGCAGAACGCACGATATGTACTGAACGATCCCTCCTCAACCCCCTTCTTTCGACCCACATCGCGTATACATGCATACATGCGCTTACGCACACACGTACCATCGTTACATCCAATTGTATGTGATATGTAAATATAGATATACACAGCTACGATAGGCAGAGCAGACGAATCGTTTGCGGGCGATGGATACGGAGTCGAAGACGTGATTGCACGTTTCGGCGTCGTAATTTCACGCAGCAGTTGGCTGACTGGTCCAAGTGATGTCAGACGTACGCTATCGCAAAGCTCGTTTGTGACTAGTCAAGCTAAAAAAAGATCGCACGGTTTGAACCAATATGCACGCGTTTTCGCGCGATTTTCAAACGAACGTTGCCGCGAACACAGGCAGATAGCAGAATAGAACTGTATAATGCAATAACGAGTGATGTAGATTTAAGATATGATAAAATTAATGATAATAATAACTTTATTGATTTTCCAAATCGTGTTCACTCAATTGGATACATAAAATGATGTGTCCGAGTAATTATGCTAAATAATAGAGGTCGAAGCATTTCGGAGTGGCGACGTTATTTGCCCGTATCGTCGTTCCGTTCCAGCAGGCGCTCGATCCAATCACGCGTCGGGGTCCTGCAGCTGATAGCGGTCCCTTGCCTGGAAATGATACAGATCTTCAAATGGCGTCAGCCGATTGTCACCCGCGAGCCGACTTACCTTCCGGAAGCGTCGATAAAAGCGCACGAACTCGTCGAGGTCCGACGACAGCCTCTGTTGCTGCTGTTGCTTCTGAAACTTTTCGTCCATGAAAGAATCGGCGCCCGATGCGTAAGACGGTCCTACGGCGATCGAGTCGTCTCCGCCGCCGCCGCCACTTCGTTTGCCCCAACCGGTGGAAAAGTTCAGCTGAGCCTCCGTCTCGACGGCCAGCGATATCATGACGCAGCACAGGGCCAGAGTCGGCAGGGCTAGCTTGGCACTTGGACGAGCTTTGCTGGGCCTACACAGACGGACGTACAATATGAGTCGAGCGAAAAAATCTAAATCGGCTGCAATTCGCACCAACGATATCGATACAACTCACATGTTCTCGACGATATCCGAGGGGATCAAACAATTCCTTTCCGAAACGAGCAACTGAGAGCGACAACCCAAGAGCACTGAATTTATATATTTTTTTTAATATTTTTAAGCGAGTACTGTGCACAACCGAAGCCGTGAGCGCTAAATACGAGCGTCCTGCAACAGATCGCTCGTTTTTATACTACCCCCCGTTTCGCCACTGTTTTTTCTCTGCGAAGGGTTTGAAGCTCGATTGACGCACTTGGAAGCTCGCCTATACATGTCATGTGTGCAGATAATATGGGGTTTCCAAGTGCAATAAATAAAGATCGGCATATGAAATGCGGGGACTCGTTCACGGACTCCAAGAAAAATCTGTGCGCAAAAACAAAAAGGGGTTGATTGCGACCCATTGAACAGACTCGAATGAGAAAGTGGGAATGACGAGCCGCCCTGCGAGTTCATTATTTCCGCGAAATTATTGGCTTCGGTTCGTTAAGCTCGACGAGAGATTCGATGATTACCGCCGCGGAAAAATCTCATACCTACGGAATTCTGTACGGAAAATGCTGCCTATGATGTTTTCCGAGTACACTTGCGCACGAATTTCGTCGACGGATTGCGCAATATATTTTAGTGACATCTTTCGCGATACGACGGGCTTCTTTGATAATCATTTCTTTGGACGCACGGCAGACGCGTATACGAGGAATACTGAAACCTTTTCAGTAAGGGCCGGCGAACATCTGATTGAAAAAGAGGCAGATGATACGTCAAGCAATGTGCTCTAGGCAAATCATTTTTGTGGGTGTGTCTCATCGCAAGCTGGCAATCGTGACGAATCAATGTCACACGATTGATCGTTTTGCTTCTTGTATTTTTTTTTTTTTAATTACCGAGCGACAGATGGAGGTTCAAAGTTGCTACTTACGCACTTTGGTCATCGAGGCAAACTCAACGCGTCACATTTTAAAATCAATGAAGGAATATACTTTGCCACAAGAGAGGTCATGTGTAAAATAAAACTCCCACCAGAGCATACTATTTGAATAATTTTTTATTTGTAATAAAAATATAAATAAAATTACATACGTTTCGCTGATATTTAACAATGGATTGACATTATAGGTGGATGAAGTTTATGATCATTTATTTCGAACCTTCACTATCACATATGTTTGTTTGGCTAAATGACGCCTTTAAAATATACTATTTTAATATGATTTAGCTGCTATGTTTCGATCCTCCATTTTTTTTCAATAAGTTTTTCATTCATCCAAATGTTACAATAGTTTTAATTATAAATTTTAATCTTTCTAAGTTCGAAGACTGCTTTCCTTATTAATAATATGTAAATACTTGTAAGCTGCACTGGATATTGAGAAAATACTTCGATTCTCTAGATTAGGCAGTGTTATATTTTCTTCCCCCGCTACACATCGAATAAAAATTATGAAATCTAATACATTTTCATAACACATTTACGAAGTATCGCATATACTCAGCTTTAGTTATAAAAATACATTGAATAAAAATTTCTCAAAGCATTTCTAAGATAAATTCATTAATCACTAAATAGTGTACTTTTTGTACATAAATAGCTGAATTAAATTTCTTTTTTCATTGCCATTCTTGAACAATTAAATGGAAACACTTACGCCACATCTTTGTACAACGTTCAACTTATTCTCGAATCAACTCTTTCATCATTGATGGAAATTATATTTTTAATAATCATATATTGCAACTCGTTTTCATTGATGAAAAAGCTACGGAATTGAACTTTGGTATTACACCTCTGGAATTTTATCAGCGAATACAAGCTAACGATCTATAAATTAAATAATTGTAGTTTTATTTGTATAATTTATAATAAATAAATTTATATACATTAAAACTATTTCTAATCTACAGCTGGAATTTTTTAAACCACTCTCAGAGATCAAAATACTCTTCCAGAAGACTTAAAATCTTATTCTACCCTTAAGTGAACTAATTTTTATACAAGTAGCTAAAAAAATTATACGTTATGATTGATGATAATTTAACGACTTTAACTGTAATATAATGAACGAGTAAAATAATTAAGGATAAATCAACATTTTCAGTGTATTTTATCAATATTAGGAATTATTTTGTCAATCAATGTGGACAACAATGTCAAATACCTTCGAGACAAAACTTGGCATTGGCTCGAATTTACTTGATTCAATGATAATACTTATCACTACGTTTAAATATTTTTATGTGTCTATGACAATGAAGTATTGAAAAACTAATCAACTTTGTTATGGCATTTGATCTTCGCCGCTTTGAAATTTGATCGATTAAGAAAATAAGCTATGTATTTTCAAACGAAAAGGAAATTCATCATAATGTATGTACATAATAATAATGATGGAATGCAGACATAAAAAAAATTATAAAATCATTTTAAAAAAAATACTTCCGTCACATATGTACAATTAAAGAGTAAAAATTACTTTGTAATAAAAAAGTATCTAAAAGAAAATATTTAAAAAAATCTGCAATACAATTTAACAGTTGAAAAAAAAGTGGTGATTGAGAATCTTGCATTTAGATTCCTTCATTATAATCTTTTGTCTAAAATTAACAGACGTTGATCAAAATTTTATGCGCATAGTCGATCGTCATTCATCTGGCAATAAACTAAATGTACTTAAATTGCAATGTTAAGCTCGTCGTACTTGTTAATATTCTGGCACATTTTATCAGTAATGCGCGTCGCATGAAAAAATTATGACATTTCAATTAGTGACATTAATGAGCCACTGTGATAAATGCTAAGTATAGTTTGATCAATCGAAGCGTTCGATTCGAAAAAATCACCCTGTAATTAATTTTTTTAATGTTACTATTTTACCTCAATATGTATAGCTGTAAATAATTAATTCATACGATTTGAATAGGGCTATTGTTGACTATGCTAGTATAAAAAAATTTAGGTAAAGAATATCTTATTCTCTCATACACAATAATAACTGCGTTATAAATAACTGTTTTTAAGTAATAAATTGTGTAACGGAAGGACATTTTTGCATGTGGTTCATTATGATTGTCAAAAATTTTCATAGATACTATCGTATAATTGATTCATTTTAACAGTAAAGAAAATATGGAGGCCTTCTTCCATGACCTATGGTGGCTTGATATTCACGGATTGTCGAAGAATGTTTAATCGACAAATCGCAAAAAAGTAATAGCCGAACACTTCAAATTCAGTCTACACCAGATTCGAATGAATCGTGTATATTGACAATTTTCCAAAAATATTTAGATTGAATCTTATTTTAAAGCTAAAACACATGTATATAGAAGATCTTCGATTGTGCGCCTTTGACACTACGAAAACAATAGTTTCATAATAGTCCTTTCGTTATAACACTTCTCAAAGTTATTTCAAGTAGTTTCAATACACACTTGTTTTACGGGTTTAAGTACGTCGTGGCTGCAGTCTCAATTCGTAAATGTCGAACCTACGTCGGGGACTTGATGGCGGCCTAGCGACGAACCAGTACATTTTTACAATTGCATTACGCACTACGATGTATCAGCACCAACTTTCGCTGTCTCGATCACCTCCAGCTGCAGTGGCGCCTGCTTCACTACTTTCTTCTTCGTCACTTGGTTCTTCACCATACATATCAGCAAGTTTACGAAAACGTGGTCCAAAGTTCGATAAATGGTTGAAGTTTAAGTCACCATCATCTGTGCATGACGCCAGTGAAGACAAAGAACCATCGGAATTACCCTCGCCTTCGTAAGCATAATGGCGAACGTCGTCAAAAGGATTCGTCTCTGGATCTTTATCGCAACATTCTTTTTTACCATCGAGAAAACCGCAAATGTCAGGAATTTCGTCGCTTTCTAAAATGAGTCGAATAAAAAAATGTATGAAAATATCACTTTTATAATAAAACAAATTTTAAACCGTTGCAAGCTGTACCTTTGCCCAATCCAGCATTGATTTTCATGTCATTTGACGGGTCGTACATAATATCTCTCAGTACGTTAAGGTCGTAACCGGTGTCAACTTCGCCGCCTCCTTCATCCTCGTAATTAATTATGTTTTCTCTTGTATCGTCCATGTCTTTTCCATAAAGGTCATCAGTCTTGCGTCTGTGTACTACAACGGCTAGGACTAAAATCAGTAGGAACGCAAGACAAACTCCTATGGTCACTAGGAAATTAGTGTCAAAGGCAAAGGATACGGCCTTTGCCATTCCACTACTGCATCCTGGGTCAGCATTATGTGAGACCGATGGCATACCAAGGTTGTAAATCTGTAAACAAGAATGTTATAGCATTCCTAAAGTTTCAATAAGAGTTATAAGTAAAAAAGATTCAATATTTTACTTACATTTCCGTTTATTGTCATATTCGTAATGCAACCTGCAAAATGTTTATCCGTAGGTACATACTCCCACTTGAATTTTTCTCCCAGTTCCTGTAAACTTTTTATTGATCCTCCTAATTGTAAGGGACCGTTAATATTTAAATATTCACTGGGTCCTATTGGCGCATACAGTCTCATGCAACTCGATGCAGCGCAATTGTCAATATTCATCTCGATGTTCTAAAACACAATTTTAAATTATAAGTTTTATATTCCTCCAATATAATTTAGTTAATCTTACGGTTTAAACTTACGGTTTTGGTCCAATAAATATCGATTCTATGAGGCTTTCCATCAGCTAAAAACAATTTATTCTCGCCACCTTTGTTTTTACTAGACTCGGATCTGTCAAGCATTACAGTGCCTTTACCATAATCTACATACAAAACGGGATTTCCATTTTGTAATTCAAGGGATATGAAATCTTGAATACCCAATTTAGGAAAATAATGCATTGGTCCATAATAGAAAATCAATCCATCTTTAGAATGAGGGGTTATTTCGAGTCCTGTTAAATTTTAAAATTTTGTAATTAATAATTTTTTCTCTTTTTCATATTTTTTGTAAAAAATTGTATCTAAATATTACTAACCAAGATGGGAATCCTCGCAAGCCTGTCCTGTAGGTGGCATGATAGCGTAACCATCACCGTGGAATCCAATCGACAATAATTCACATCTGGGTCCCATCATTCCAGGCGGACATTCGCAGTGATCACCTTTAGGTGAACCTCCGTTCAAGCATTTAACTGGATCTTGGATGTGACAAGTGCAAAGTGGATCAATGACAGCTCGTACGCCAACAAAAGAACTCTGATTCGTATAAACGACGTAAGGATCAGAACTATTGATATTCAAGCTACTACGACAGTTGCCATTGCAGTGAACCTAAATGTGGAAAAAAATTTTATTTTAGTTTTGAATATTTCAAAATAATGATTAAACGTTTTAAACTGTTAATTTTATGTCACCTTTTCGAAGAGGCATTCATCGATGTTAACAAGCAAAATATCACGTCCAATTTCATTTTCGATAAGTTCAGTTTTTAGTGTAACGAGGGTATTGAGTTTTTCCGCTGCATAATATGGACTACCATGAGCAGAAAAACGCACATCAAGGACTGAATTGTTCTGATGAGGAGAATGCAATACTGTAAATACATCGACATTGTTTATAGAAGTATTGAAAATGTTTGCAAGTCGCCTTTGAAGTATGTCCTTTCTACTCTCTCCAGATTCGTAAGGAGATACAAATTCTTCAGCAGTGATACCCATAAACCGAATGGAGCCCGACTTTTCAACAGCTTCTTTAGGTATTTGTTTGATGGTGACATTTACAACAGCATCAACTTGATGTGTCTTGATAAGAAATCCTGTTTAATTAGTATACAATATTAGAATATGAATTTCATCTATGAACAACCAATAGAGACATTTTTGAAAAATACCTGATTCAGTAACGGTGAATTTCAGCAAATACGTTCCGTTGTTCACTTCTGGAGCAAGAGTAATCATACCAGTGTCTCTATTTAATTTAAAACCACTTTCGATACGACCGTTGTACCAATCAAAAGTTTTATCATTCAAATCCCAATCATCAGAATCATTAACATAAACTCGGCCTATATCAACTTTCGGACCTTCGCCGTTATAGTTGTAAACAAATATCGAGCTTGAACCTGGTAGCATTGCATTGTCGTTGACATCACCAATGATGACTATAAGTTCTGAAGTTCCAGTAAGAGGTGGATTTCCACTATCTCTAATGGCTATAGGAATTGTATAGCTTTTGCACGCTTCACGATCAAATTGAACTTTGGCGTACAAATCTTTGCCTCGAATTTCAAAGGAGTCAAGAATAATTCTTTTAGCTGATGGAGCAATGGAAAAATCAAATGGAGGTCCATTGGCTTCTGAATCGTAATCACGAGCCTTTAGCTGCGTTATGTTACCGGGTAGTTGATTTTCGTACCAAATCACAGGGTAAGGCATGTCGAGAATCGGAGCATTATCGTTAATGTCTGTCAAAGTGATATTGACAGCCTCAACGTTGTTCAGAGAGTTTGGACCACCGTCTTCGTCTTGCGCTATTACACTTATAGTCCAAACTGGATAACCATTGGGTGGATCGCGATCCAGGGGTTTTTTCAGACGTAAACAGCCATTATTATCGATACTAATTAGAGGCTGATGTTCCGGTCGCAAAATAGAGTACACAATATGTTGATCAGCATTTCGATCCTTGATATCAGGATCATATGCGCTTACAGTTGTCAAGCATCCTGGGTATACTCTCTCTTCTTCGATGATAGGATTTTTTTTGAAGTTTTCGAAAACCGGTCGATTGTCGTTCACGTTTTCCACGTAGATTTTAACGATAGCTGTATGATCGAAAATTCCGTCAAAGGCTCGAACAGTCAAACTATATTCAGTTATAGTTTCATAATCGAGCTCATTGTTGACACGAATTTTACCGGTAGTATTTTCGATGTAAAAACTATTATCGATGTTTCCATGGATAATACTATAAATGACCGTGCTCGCAGAATCAGCGTCTTCTGCATAAACCTCGGTAACAAGAGCGTTCTTGTTGGCATTTTCGAACACGTGATTGTCGTCATAAACGTCTTTAGTGAATTTCGGCTGGTTATCATTTTTGTCGGCAATTTCAATGCGGAAATTCTGTTCACCTTTGTTATGCTCGCCAGTTTTGAAGAGAGCACTGGGTGAATTGTCTGTAGCGATAACTTTAACGGTGTAAGTGTAATCTTGCTCTCTATCGAATGTTGTCAGAGTCGTAATGTTGCCGGTGTAACTATCAATAGTGAACAAATCTTGATAGTTACCGAGGGCATAGGTAACCTGGTTGTGAGCAGTTGTACCATCGGCATCGATAGCACGTACTTGCATCACCGGTGTGCCTTGAGGTTCATTCTCGAGTACACTTCCCTTTTTCATTTCTCGAAAAACGGGTATGTTGTCGTTCACATCAAGAACTTCTATATGAATCATCTTTTCTGCACCAAGCTGGTACTTATTTTGAACGCGGACAATCAGGGTGTATTCGGTATTACTCTCATAATCAAGGGCAGCGCCTAGTTTTACTTTAGCTTTATTTCCTTCGGTCACCAACCTGCAATAATATGTAACATTTATATTCAGTTCAGTTATTCAGTTATTCGACGACGAATTTTCGACTATTTTATTAATAACATACCTGAAATTATTTTTTTTGTTAGTCTGTTCTGTTTGACCAGTTACGATTTCGAACAGAAAATAATCTGGACTGTCTTCAATGTTCGATTGGGCTTCAAGCGTTACGATATCAGCCTCGTAATCACTAAAATTCTCAGGAATCTGGATCGTTGTATCCGGCACAATAGATGTAAACGTCGGTGCTTTCTTGTGTGACTCAACTACAAAGATATCGAGATCGATGACGTTATACTTTGGTGGGTCACCCCGATCTTCTGCCTTTGCTGTCATGCTGAACTTATAGCCAGGAATTTGCTGCATTGATAACAGGGTTAGAAGGATGAAATATAGCAAATAAAGTTTGAGTGATTCAGTAATACTTACGTTAATCGAATGATTGAGGAATATGACACCAGTGTTTCTGTCGATCCGGAAGTAAATGCTATCCTCTGGTCGCTTGGGCGATATGCTGTAGCGAACTTCAGAATTTTTTCCATCATCGATATCAGTGGCCGAAACTCTCATCACCTCCCGACCAACGTTCAAGTCTTGTGGAACCGATTCTTTATATGACTATTTTGGACCAGAAAAAAAAATGCATTAGTCAGTTGTTCAAAAATTGTTGTCTTGCAAATTTATAAAATATTAGTATGCATCTTCCTATTACACTCAAACATATACATATATTTGCGCAATTAGTATGCGAAATATCTTTGCTGAGCTAGTAAATATTGTGTTTTTTTTTTTTCTTTTGCAAAGTGAAAGATATTTCGTAATTTGTAAGGCGCATGTATCGCAATAGCAATTTCTAAACATAACTGCGTGTTGGTGTTTTAATTAATTTTTTTTTAATTTGAAGCAGTTTTCAATTGATTAGTCGCGTGATGACAATTGACCTAAATTAAAATAAAAATGACACAGTACTTCGGTAATGCACTAATTACGTTGATTAATCGGTCGTCTAAAAGAATTTGCATAACTCAGCGCTTGGGATAATTATTTATTTTTTTACTATATTTTAAATACCGCGATTTGAAAATTCAGAAAGTTATCTTCTACACTAAGCCATGCGTGGGTGTGTATATTGAGTCATCCATGCACTATCAAGATGCAAATAGATTATTCACTTTTAAGATCTAAATAAAACGAGCAATTCTTTTCAAGTGTAAACTTTTTGCTTTTTGGTGTTTTTAACAAATAAACTGTTCATGTAAAGTTATAAAATAATCTAATTTTCACCATAAGAATATATCTGAGACTTAAAAAACATTGTATTTCAAATGCAAACAATCAAGCGTAGTATAGAGGGCCACCTGTGCTGCATGACAATAATAAAAGTAGCTGCATAAGCTTGTTATATGTAGTATTTCGCGCCTGATCTCACAGTACGTTGACGCAAAGCAAACGATACATGCGAAAAGTATCATGAAATTTCGATTTTTCTCCTGCTTTCAAATCAAATATCATTGATAAACTTAAGAAGATGCAAAGCTCTGAAAACTAAGTTTTGAAAATTGTTCAATAAGTCTAGATGGAAATTAAAACTTTTGTAATTAAATAAATAAATACATGAAAAAAACTTGTTTTCAATTGTCAGGAGTAAAAAATCGTGAAATGAAAAAAAAATTTATGCGACAGACGCGTTAGAAGATATTACATAAAACACATGCACCCTCCTACTACACAAGACTCACTTTCCGGATTGCAGCTAAATTAAATTGCTTGGGTATACAGTTTAAGTATAAAAAGGGAGAAAAATTACAATTAACTTGGTATTTATACCTATAATTTCTACCTAACATGCAACACAAATTTGTTATTAACTTTTTCAAAATATCTGAGACGATTTTTTAAAATAAATAATAAAAAGTGAAAGATAAATATGACGATGTGAAACTCATTTCAGTGCTTAAAGAATTTATTGCACATAGGCTAAGTTTTAAAATTGTGAATAAGTGCAATTAATATAGTATTGACATTTTTTGTCTCGAAGAACTTGAAAATAGTGGAGAAATAAACAAAAAATGTCAACGAAGTTTTGTAGATCATTGTCAAATGTGTGAAGTATGGGTGTATTTCAATAATCAATATGGCAGAATCAAACAGATAACGAGTGCGAGTGTATATACACATATACGTGCTTCTAAGAAGACACTTAGAGATTATAACAATAATATATAAAAAGAATTTCATCACATATGTTTAGAAACAGAGAGAGAGTGACAAAGATCGTGACATTTTTCAGCGCGACACTCTCCGCAGCTCGCAACGTTTCTTTTCTCGAACGAATTTTTTTGCAAGAGCGTTTGAGGAGAGAAAGAAGGAGCGAACGAGTGAATTTGTGTGTGTGTGTGCACACGAGATGCGCGTGTTCTCATAACATGCACACATCGGTCGTTCATCCACTCGCCATCATCATCATCATCAATGTATATCATAATCGAAAACCAACCTTCCACCCTGGTCCCCTGTAGTCCTATAATTGAAGGCAAACAAAAATCGAAGCAAAACGTTTGTTAGTATTAAAATGAGGCAAGATAGTAATTGATTGCTATTTGCCGACAATATTTTTTTTCCAAACCGTTTTTTAGAGTTAACGTGCTTTTAGACATGGGCACATTCAATTGTTTTATACATACTTCCATGGTATAAAAAGGCGAATGAAAAATATACCTGAGAAAAATTCTTATAAATAAGAGAAAAAAAATTCACGTAAGAGCCTCGTGAAAAGAAAATAAACTAAAATTAGCAGACATCGATAAACATGGGCAAAAATTTTTCTTTGCTTTTTTTTTATCGCATTGAGTAAATAAATGAAAGAAAATTAACAGTGTGATAAAACGAGAAAAAGGGAAAGAAAAGCTGTTATATTTCACGCTTGAATTCAGCTAACATGACACTTACAACTTTATCGAAGACCGGTGCGTTGTCATTGACGTCTTCCACGGTAACTTTGAAGGTACAGACATCGTCGAGTTGAGGTCGACCATTGTCCGTGGCAAGTACGGTCAGATAGACCTCTTTTTCTCGAGCTGGCTCGTCTCTGTCGAGCATATAAGTCGTCCTGATCACGCCCGTGCGATTGTTAATTTCGAATTTGAGCTTCTCGCCGTTAGCCGTGACGAAACTGTAGGTAATGGTACCTTTAAGAGTAAGGATGCCGCTCATTAGAATTCCATGTCAAGGAAACGAAAAAAAAATAATCATGTGGGCGTTGGTTTACCTCCTTCGTCTGGTGGATCCTGATCCTCGGCGCGCACTTGAATAACCACAGTGCCAATAAGCTCCTCTTCTTTGATTACAGGCGCATAACCGGAGCAATTAGAAAACACAGGCTTGTGATTGTGTTTGTCTTGCTGTTGTCTCTGTTATTTTTTTAAATTCATTTTATTAAATTATTATGTTAAAAGTTAATGAACATAATTTTATTTTTACACTTACCAGTAGATCATCATTAAACTTCAAAAAGTTTGATTGACCTGTAACAAAAATAACATCGATTGATTATTTTCAATGATCTAAATAAATGATTCATTACATCATAAAAATAATGGGAACTGAATAATTAGATGGCGCACAAATGGCTATTTTTCAAGTGCTACTTTTGCATCGAGGCTTTATAAACCTTCTCACGCGATACGGAAAATACAAGAGTCGAGCCATAGAATGGACTTCCACCCACACACACACACGCACGTGCGCGTTCATACCAACAAGGCCCTTTCCGCGGGATAGTTTTGATGCGCCTCGAGTTCACACGGTTAATTACAAGACAAACTGACATACATGAGTAGGGGATGGCTCGAACTACTACAGTTAAGAGCCAAGAGAAAAAAGGCTTTTTAAGAGCATACGCCATGTAGATTTCCTTGCGTGTTCTTATTTCGCTTAATATCTTCGGTTGAATTTTTAGAGCAAAGCTCTTTTTCTTACGCTACTTTGAAGTCAATTACATTCGTGAAATAAGCTCCACGAAATTTTAATTTAAATGTGCGACTACCATCGTGCATACAATTCAACATGAAAGCACTCCTTTAATCGATTAAGAATTGCAAAGGTTCGAATTTTAAAATAAAGGCCAAATCAAATTAACGGTAATTTTGGGAATGAATCAATTTTTCGCGAAGGGCTTTTCAGGATGCTTCACAAGTAATAACGACTCGTCTGAAGAAGTTAACGCGAGCTCGCTAATTATGTTACATATTTTTTTCTTTTTCGCGTGTATGCTGAAAAGGATATGACTAAGCGAGCTGCGCGGTTAGGTATTTTCTTGCTTTTTTGTGCAAAAAAAAAGAAAAAAATTATACGACGACAACGTCGACGACCACGCGGTAACACGATTCTATTATAAATATACACGCGCACGCTCGTAGTGTTTTAAATATAATATATCTCACGCGTGTGCTCGCGAGCAAACGCGTAGCCATAATTTTTCATTAAAGCTGACATTTATTTCTAGGCAATAGATGCCTTTTTTATCATATTTTTTGAAAAAACAATTGAATTTTTATTTCAACGAATACGTGCATAGTAATGTGCAGATCAAAGTTGTTTGAGTATGCTAAGTTCAAGGTACTAAATGTACTATAAATAGACATGAAAATAGATGACTTCCTTTAGCTTCCCAATATTAAGTGCCATTTTCCCACATCAGAAGTTATATATATATTTTTTATACACCCAACTTAACAGTACTTGATATCAATAGAACCCAAAGTGATCCGTGGCTAGGAGCTAATTGATTGATTGTCATCCGGTTGTTCATATGAATTTTGCGCGTTCGCGAAAGTATCGTTAAAAATCTAATTAACTCGAATCAACTGACAAAAGGTCTGCTCTATTGAGATCGTAAGAGCCTGTACATGCGCATCGCTTGATGGGTGGAAGCGGTGGCGTTTCGACTTAATATCTTGAGAATGAATTTCATGATAAGCTGATGCTAGATAGTAACTTTAGTTTTGGTATTAGAGAATCTATTTACATTTTTTATCGACGTTTGATTCGATTCTTGAGACTTTATTTTCGTTGAAACGATAAATTTTAAAAATCGATATTTGCTCTTGAAGTCGTGTATCTCAATCGAGTCCCTCGAGTAAAGTCACGCACTAGCTGGACATAAGAGAGATTTGAAAAAGGAAGAATTACGAGCGCCACTGTCCATCAAAGGGCATTTCCCCCTAGCTTTCGAGAGCATGTCTTTGTGTCGTGCACGTTGTTGTTTCTCTTTCTCATTTTTGGTCTGTTGTAACTAGAAGCGCATTATGAACGTGATATATCGTCTATTACACGTATTTAATTCAGTTATGAAGCGAAGAGAGAGAAAGAGAGGGAGAGAAAGTGCGCGCGCAAATAATACGCAAAGCAAATGACACGTGCGCCCAGGCATATAAGCTGAAAACACAATAGTCCCATATATGCAAATCAAATCAATTCAGAGCATCGGATTTTACATGCACACGCGCTAGAGCACACCGAGGCAATAATAACATACGTGGTTCGTTCTCCGGTCGAGATTTACTAGATGCGTTAGTCCCTGCTGCAGCATATTCTACTCTATAAGCGCGCCGCATTGTACTTATGGTATATAAGGCGGAACTATGTGCCTCCGTACGCGATTATATGGCACGTTCAAATGGCGACGAGACGATTATGCGAGTCCGATAATCTTCACGGAGGAATAGATTTTTTTCAGCAAATTGGACTGGAATCGCTTGGAAGCGAATAAATCAGAATTTTTCTTTACGCGGGATTGTCTTTATTAGGCAAAGAAAATATTACAACAAAAAACAAAGAAACGGGCCTACAATATTCGCTTTGAAAAGGCCGTGCGGGTCGAGATTTCGAGTACTTCATCTTTCGACAAAGCCCCCCGATCGAAGCTTTATTGCTCGCATTTCAAGGAGAGCAGCGGCAGAGGAGGCGGCGGCGACGCGACGATGGCTCGTACAAGCAGCGCGGCAAAAGTATTGCGCGCGCCGGGCACAAGGAGCGCATTACCAAGATCCAATGTCGTCGTCGTCGTCTAGTACGGGATATTTATGTAGCACTTAATAATACACTATATGCTGGGTAGAAGTGCCTGTAATAAACTTGTGTGCACACCTCGTTTGCGCGCGGTGACACTCGCTGCGTGCATGTGCTGCACACGGCCATCCATATACTCGCACGCGCCTGTGCGCCGGTCGTTTGGTAAAAAAAACCCTCACATTGTTTCATTATTTTTATGACCAACGCGATATCGGGTGGTCTGTTTTCAGATTTTAGGAGCGTAGGACATCGAGTTATCTGTTTTTAGTTTTTATTTTACTCTTTGCCCAGAAATAACTCGTGTAACAAGCACAACTTCAATCATCTTGTACTGTTCTGACATTTCGTGTTATTTTAACAGGCAAGCCGTTATCACACCTTTTGATGTACTGGTGGAAAAGTAACTTTATGGGACAAAGACGCGTCCTACGATCGATCGTATATTTACATAGCAATCATCATTTCAAAACATTGTAGACTATATGAATTCCATGCCACGGATGATATAAACTCCAGTGTTGTTTTACACGAGAGCTTGATCTTCATCTTCGATGGCTCCGCATAATTTCAATTGATTAAAATAGCCGTTTACGTTGCAGCTGCGACGGAAAGACACTCATCTGGTTAGTGCGCTTCACGCGGCTTATAATTTTAGATTCTAGCAGAGAGCCGCTAACAGACGACGTTTAAGCCACGCGAGGCCATCTGCGATTAATTCGGTTCACGCAGAGGATAAGTTGAAGGGCTTCTATAGAATTTGTTATATGTGGGTATTGAATGACAAGAGTGCTGCTGTTGCTGCTACACACATGTCCAGGTACGGTCTATTCGACGCGTACGAAAGCGACGAGCATCACTCAGAACGAATTACGTTTAGTTCGGAGCCCTCCTTAGTAGCATCAGAAAAATCGATATCAATCGTATAATGCATATATATAAAGAAAAAAAATGTATGCTTTTTCTACCCCACAAACATACGTAGTATGCACGCGAGCTCCGCCGTGGTTCTACACTACCCGTGTATTGTATTTGTATACCTTCGTTTTGTATTCAGAACGGCCCATATGATTTCGTGGCACGTGTTTGTTTGTACGACATCATCTGCTCCGCGCGCACACGCACGAACGCGATAATATTACGATGTCAGCACGATATATCCGCAGTAAATTCACGAATATGAAGTTTGGATAAGGACATGGAAGAATCCGTAAAAATAAAATGTAACGTATCGACGTTCACGCGATTCGACGATTTTTCTACATGTCAGACAAATCTAGGTGTGGAATGGATCGTGCTGAAGAAATATTTTAATTACACTGTATATAAAGACAAAGACTGCTACACACGTTTCGAGAATTGAAAAGGATCGGCGCTTACACTCGCGCATGCATGTGCAGCTGTGTCGATGGACGTATTTTCGTTGTACTTGAAACGCGCAAAACGTATGCCACACGGACGAGGGGGATTATTATTATGATACAATGTCGACGTCGGTTCGATAACAGAAAATTTATCGAAAGAGAAACAGACAGTACAGAATAAATAAAGATAAGCATAATTCGCTGTAATTTCAATCTGCAGCTTACACGTACTTGTACAGCAGCCTAGTGCATCGTCGTAGCGCACGTGTCCTATCATAGCGTAATTTTTTTTCTCCTCGAACATAGCGCAAATTTATATTGGCGAAAGATCCTGACGCAGCCTAACGAGATGTGCCCCACCGATCCTTGAAGAAATCGTCGTTTCTTCTCTTTTCGAGCGAACGAGCCCCCGAGCGCGCACCGAATTACGTACTTGATGCGCGCGTCTGTATGTATACGAACTGCACACACACGCAAACAGATATAGTAGAGGGCTTGTATAACGTTATATACGAACACGCCCGAGTGGTATATGAGTCACGCGAATATTTCATCATGGCCTGGGCGCGCATCAGCCCTTCGCTCCGCTTCTCGATAGTATTCAAGCCGCTCATGGGGTAAGACGTGCAGGCTCATTGATGTATACAAAGGGATTGTACAAAAGTTGTGTACTAAAAGGAAATTCGAATATATATTCGCGATTTCTTGCACCCTCTTTGTTGGTATGTGTATAAAGGGAGAAAATCTGCAATGGTTGAGAAAAAAAAATTATATATCTAACGCGGCTACGCGATCGATCGTTGATAAAACCATAAAAGACTTTGGAGTTGAGAAAAGTCGCGTGTTTAGTTCTAGTATATTGCTTTGATGACGAATACACATACACACACACAACGGCTTCGTATATAGCTACCAAATAAAGACAGTTTATAAATATCAACGCACTCTTTCGGATACATTAGTCTATGAAAATCTATCGTATGTGTACATTATCACTCTCTCCAACATTTTTTAAGCAATCCAAAATACACATGTGTGATTCTCGTGCTCTGCAAAGAAAGTTCGTATTGAAAAAATTTTCCATAACCGAAGATTATGCTTAAGATATGCTCGAAGTCAAATAGTAATATTCTACACATTTTTTATTCTACTTGTTTTCTAGGTTGTAATATTGAATTTAAATTTTCTATTTGCTCAGCATTCTGCAACTGGGGTTGCCACTAGTAATATACGTACTAATAGTGCTTATCATTGTGTAAAAAAGAAATAAAATAGTGAAACACGTTTGATAGCTCCGATGTATTGAAATTGTAACTATATTGACAAAAAGCATTTGAAATTATTGATTAAATCTAAAATTAATAATGGTTCTGTACCTAGACTCGAGAAACAAAATGAAAATTTCATAGAAACATTTCAATAAAAACTACGTATCAGCATCTTCGTTTACGAAATATCTTTGGCACGCGTTCCGCATCGACTTCTCTCATTCTTGTTATTATGTATACACGAATAAGTCATTGACTGTTTAGTGGCATTGACCGCTGAAAGTTTCATATATACATATATACTGCTTCGGTTGCAGCACAAGCCGCTAGTCGCAAAACATTATATATAATAAAATTTTTGATGTGCTTTTATTTTGCCGGTCGGTGTATTTCCCTGAAACAACATGAAATATTCTACTCTTTCTTGAACTTATCTCGCTTCCGTATAATACATTAGTTTATTTTCGGGGATATCTGCGACACGGTATATTATTTCAATGAAAGGCATACAGCTTCTTTTATCTGACAACGGATCAATCACTTTGACACTTGTAAATATAAATAAGAGAGCCAAAATAAAAGCAAAAATCTTTTATTTTAATGCTCGTACTTTTAAAGTTCGGTCTTAGTTTATACATTTTTAATGCGACGAAATTTAGGGCAAAATATAATCGTAGTAACATTTTAATAAAGAAAAAGAAAAAAGCAATTAATATCAGTTACCGTAATGGAATAAAGTTGAACAAAAGTCATTCACATTTATGCGTACGTATGAAATCAAATTAGGAGTAAATTCAATTAGTATAGTACCAATTTTACTGTGCGTTTTAGCTGTGTGTGAGCTCGCGAGCGCTGTAAGCAGGAAAGTAGTTTTTTTTCTGCCTCGACGATCGATTTTCTTGGAGCAACGAAACAAGTACATATACACGTTTATGCTCGTCATTTCAGTGTCTTCCTAATGCTAGACTTTTTTCTATTACGCGGTGAAGAAGAAGTGGGAGGGCATCGATTTTAATCACGAGCTATTGCATATGCGAGCGGTAAAGTATTAGTCCCGTACGTGGCGTGCTCCAGATGTTGTATTTTCTTATGGCATCTGCATGCTTTCATGTGACATTTATGAACACGATATAAACACTGAAGACGCGACGTAACTATCTGTCCACTTTTTTAAAAATATTTTACCGAAAGCGTACTTACACGGGACAGTAAAGAATTCATTTTTGACATACTGAAAATGTTTTATTTGTTGTAAAATCAACAATAAAATAAAATGAATAAAAAAAGATCATCAAGCGCGTTTCAACGTATAAAAATCGTACGCTTAAAAGGTCCTTACTTATACGGTACGTTATAGCTTCTATATTTATAAAGCTTTCAAGAACTCGTGTAATTTATTTTCGAGAACCAATCGGTTCAAATTTTTTGAAACGTTAAATTCATTTTAAAAGGCATCGTTGAAGATAAGACGGAGATTCCACGCTGAATTTTTATAATGGAAATAATTTTTATAATGGAAATAATTTGATCGTGGTCAAAAATCTTCGAAAATGAAATTTTTGTATTTGATCGTTTCTACTGAGAAAAATGAACCAATTACAAAAAAATTCAAAATAGTTTAGATGTTTGACATATATTTGGTAAGACGAAAAAAAATTTTTCATCCATATATTTTTATTGAAGTCGTAACATGAATTTTTAAAGTAATAACATTAACGTTTATCATTCATTTCACTTGCATTATAAGATCAACATTTTTACAGTGATATCGGTGATTCATCACTTCGTCAGTTTTATAACGGGTTTAATAAGTGTATTATGAATGTGAATAACCCGATCTCCAGAAATTTCCTCTGAACAGAAAATGTATATTAGATGGTTGCCTCGAATCGCATCGTATCATTTTGCTATTTTTTTTTACTCATCCGCGTTCTGTTTTATATTATCTCCGCAAATACGTAGTATAGCGTATATGCAGTCATTATATATATAGGCGTGGAACAGTTGAGTTACTCGGAAGTCACAAGGTACTTGTATACACAAGTATATGAGGCAGCGTTTCTCGGCACAGCGGATATAGTCTCCCTCTCTTTTTCTCTTTCTTTCTTTCTCTCTCTCTTTCTTGTGCTTACTTCGTGCATTTACACGTAGTAGCTTTCTGTATAAGCGTGCGAGAGTCCTCAAACAGGAGATTTGCTGAAGGCGAACAACCCAACTAATTACGCACAATGAAATAATCTAAATCAAAAACCTTCATTTAAAATATTGAATGAAAGCAAAATACAAAAGGCAGCGTCTATACATAAAAGAACCATCAACGATTGTCCATCAAAGAAATTTCGTTTGTGTTTTCAAAATTAAAACACTTTCTTTAAAAAATCGAATGCTGTATGAAAAGCCAGCTGCGGTTTGAGCTATAGACTCACTGACAAAGGTAAGGAGCTTTTAAGAACGCCGAAAATGAGTAAGTAAACATGAGCGGTCAAGTTCAAAAAATGTAGTTTTACGATGACTGTATGACTAACTCTACAAACAAAAGTACCAGTTTTTGTTCATAACGTTAGATACATTCGAATGCAGGCTGACTCAATGCCAAAGAAGGACCTGGTCCTCGTAACAAAAATCGACGTATTTCAATATAGGAATCAAACATAAAACTGAACATTAACTTTTGATTTCATGGTCTAAAATAGTGCTCTCCAAGAAATCAATAATGATTATTTACTCGACTCGATAATACATTCCATACTTTTTACATCTTCAATTTATGATTCGGCTTTAATGTTTGAAATAATACTTTTGAAAAGAAATATTAATAAAAAGTACATTTAGAAAACGCACGATACATTTTTGACGCACCTGTTTCTCGTCAGAAAACAGCTATGCCTGTTTTTTTTTGCTAGGATATTTTAGATTTTGCAGTAAGGCATACATATATGCATGTGAAGCACGCGTTTACGTATGGTAATTGAGCTGATCTAGCAACATTATAGGGTGTCACGGTTTCTTCATACGATATGAAGCGATATAATAAGAAATCGACTTCTTTGCGCTGGCTAATAGTTATAAGCCGAGTTTTCTTCGGCGAATGTTCCCACGGTTTAATTGATATATTATACGTGCTGGCTAGAGTACGAATCGAGCCTACAGTGAACATAATACAGCGTCCACAACATGCGTGTGTGCGTTTGCGTGCATGTGTGTGTGCATAAGTTGCAAATGATTATTGTAATTCAGTACGAAGTGTGAGTTAAAGAGGCTGAGAGAGAAAGAGAGGCAGAGAGAAAGATAGAAAGACTAACAGACAGACAGACTAGAGAGCGCAAGAGACATTCAAGATCCCATGCCATCTCTTCTTGGTCATTAGCTTTCTATATCGTCGCTTCACGCCTAGTTCACATATCCTACGCAGCAAAGGACTTGAATTTTCACATAGTTGTCAATGCCAGTGAGTAGCTTCAAAAATGTTTTATATACAAGAGGGTAAAAAATAGGCTCGCTCTAGCCTGCGAGCACATTATAAGTTGCCGGATGTGGCGCGCACTTATCCATGCTTGTCGGCAAAGGTAAGTGCTCGCGTATATGTGAACAATATATTGCGTCCGTGTGTACCTACGTCCGCGCGCCACTCGCAAGTTTGTAAGAATTTTCAAAACGATGATTCACACTCGCAACACACGAGTAAAGTGTTGGGATTGATCGAGGCCTCGGCTTGCATTATGTATATACGAACGATTCATGCTTTACCTGATTCATCTCTTTGACCGTTCATTCGAGAGAATTCCGATGAACGTATGAACGACGACTGAACGTCTTTAAGTACGTCTGCATGGAAAATGTTCCAAAGACTAATACGATTTACCATTTTTATTCTCGTAATGTAAGCAAGCGAGAATGAATGTAAGAGCCGCGTATCGTCGTATATGAAGCATGTGTGTGTGTCATTCGAGACGGTGCGACAAATATTTATAATAGATAGAACCGGGGTATTATAACACGCATTCTCATCTTTATAATATATGCGCCTGATCGAACGCCGTATTGGTTGATATCTGTCAACGATAACGTTACTCTTTCAATTCCTTCTTCGTTATATCTCTCAGCAACAAACGATTTTTTTACGAATGACGAGTGCGATAGATTGATTACTGAAAAATTGATATTATAAATGTACGGATACGCGATGAATCATACGAGAACGATTCACGGCATCGGAGAGTCATCAAGTACACAGGGAAAAGGTAGCCTTTGAAGACGCACCGAGGGAAAGCCGAAATGAAAGTAACGAAAAAAAGTCTGCTACCACTTGAAACATATAAAGAATCGATGTTGGAGGAGGGCATCTCGCTTTGCGCGGCATACCTGTTGTCTGAAACAAACACATACATACACATACGCTCGCCAGATGCCGTGTAAACTCGACAAAATGGGTCCATGCCACTGTCGCCCGTACGATACTATACACGAGATGCGATACACGGATACAGGACCGTTAGAAATGATTTCAAAAAAAGGGACGGTGTAATCTTACGTAGAGTTTGATTCTTATTTGAAAATTGCATACGAAACTTACCTCTTGCATCGTGGCATAGGGCTAAAAGGCAAACAAAGATAGCTGCAAATATGTAGGGGCCCGCGAGAGGGGCCCTGCCTGCCGCCGCCATCTTCGTTACGCTCTACGAGGAGACGTGCCCCTCTCTGTCTTTCTCTTTCTTACGTATTAGCAGCAGCGTAAACGGCGCACCCAACTCGTAGTATAGGTGTAAGCCTTGTATACGAGTCACCGATGTAATTTTCACCAGTCTTTGAGAAAAAAAAATTCAATCTCGGAAAACAATAACTACACCACCGCAGGACTGTCTCGTGGCTGCGAATGAGTCATGAAAAAATCGAACGATGCACATGGCATTTGGTCCGAGTGCGCCCGAAAAATCGGTTGCTGCAACGATGCGGCGGCGGCGGCGGCACACTTGCAGCCGAGCGCACGATAACACCCACCGAAACTAGCTCACTTTGCAAACTCTCAATAACACAATCGTCGGCCCACTAATCGGCACACGACTCGTTTTTTCTTCTCACTCACTCTCCTTATATCTCGATAAGCGATAATCACTCGGCGGCGGGCGGCATCGCCTCTGCGCCGTACATATCTCTCGTATACACACACTCTCGCAGCGCGATTACCTCGTGCACGCCACTGCGTTCTTGGCTGGCGAATTCTCACTACGGTGTAACATGGCACACATATAGCAGGCGCGTATACACACACACATGCACAAACACTCGCGCGCCTTCACGTACACAAACAGCCACGCACGCACCAACACATGTATCGTGTACACAGAAACCGACTGTGTGAGCAGGCAGCGGTGCGGCGAACAGCGCGATCGCATAGATGAGATTGGCGCGTTTTCGCAGAGGTGCTGCTGCTGCGGACTTGCTCGCCTCGCGGAAACGACTAAACGTGCACAAACAACGGGGCCCTCAACGCCGCGCATACAACACAAGCGGAGTCGAACGAAGCGCGTTGCGGCCTGCGAGGAGCGCCGCGCGGCGGTCAGTCGCCTGAATTTCCCATTCGCCTACCCTCGGCGGCACTCGACGATACCATAGGCCAAATTACCAACGCTGCAAGAGCCATAGTATAAATGCAACGTCTGCACGGCAAAGCCTGAAATACAGTTTGGAGCTGCCATCTGTGGTAAAGTACAGACCGATTCCTCGCCATAATATCAAGAAAGAGAACTCTGCATCGACACGGTTTCTATTTTGCGCAGCAAGCCGATGTGCAGCAAAGCAGCTTGAACTTGGCAGTGTGCTGTAACCGTTTACAGCTCTGCGTGAGAGTTCGTATCTTTGTACAGCCACTTTTAGTATCCCTTGCGTTCGTTGCAAATAAAACTCATTTTTATATTAAATGATGATGATTCATTTGCACCGAAAATCGGGACCATGTTAAAATTACAAGTATTGAAATGCTCAAATCGCCATGAAACATTATCGATTTATGGGGTTTTGCTCTTATTTTTCGCTATTAATGAAGCATAAATTAAATCAAAATCGGCATTATTCGGGCATGAAAGCAAGCCATAAGCAAAATACGCATTTCAAGAGCAACCCAATGACGTGTTTTCCACGGATTAAAAGGGTATGTCAATGCAGTATAAGGATTTAATAATTTACTATGTACTGACCACAAATATTAAATTTTTATTAAAGGAGTTTTTTAACGGATACTTTAATTCTACTATAAAAAATTAGAATAACAAGATTCATACATTTTCTTGATGTAGGAAAGAGATACAAAATTTTGATTGAAATTACAATTTTTTTTATCCTTTTTTTTATTTATAAAAATGAATTATGAACCATCAAAATTATAGTTTGAAAATACACCAAATCAACTTACGATTATTACGATTGAAGATGATAGGCAAGATATCCAAAATGGGAAAAATACTTCGCGGAAAGGTGCCGGCATCACGAAATGGTTGTAAATTTCCTGTACCGAAAAATCAGATATTTGAAAATAGCGACGTTTTATGCGATTTACTTTTTTTATCATTTTCTTGTTTTCAGAGTGATAATTTTATATTTTTAAATCCGAGTTTTTGAATTATAAAATATTAACTGGAATTGAAGGAAAAGAAAAATGTACCTCAAAACAAATTTAAAAATGAAGTATTCAAGAAATTGTAAAAAAAAAGGTGAAATGAGTATATTCATTTTACCTGATGGTAATGAATAAAGAAATTCAATAACCACACATGTTTTTATAACAATTGTTTATATTTTAACATAAATAATTTTTTGTGTTTTGCACAAGGTACATTGACTGTTCTAAAATCAACAAACTGATTTAACAACTCATATGTATACCCTCACTGGACACAACTTTTTCTTCTTATGTGTTTAAAAATTCAATTACAATCATAACTTATTTATTTTTTGGCAATAATTGCCCAGCTTCTTGGTGAAAGGGCAGAATCAAACATTTGTACAAGTTGTAATTCTTCACAAACTTTAGAGTTTTTGATAAATAGTAATTTATCCAAAATTATTGAAGCCTCAATAACTGGAGCAATATTTATTCTTAGTAACTGAAATAAACGGAATTTCCATTCCTCTTCTGCAAAAGTTTCATACAACTCTTCTAAAGTAGAATCTGTGACAACCTAAAGTAATTCAAAAATAATTAAAATTATGTTTTCTGAAGCTTGTCAAAAAGTTAGTTTCACTCACGTGTGGAAATTTAATTTTTTTTAAGGACCATTTTGCATATGTCAAGAAGTTGGTAGTAGGAGCATTTCTTCCTAAGCGTACATTTTTGTAACCTATTTGACAAAAAATTAATAAATATGAATAATAAAGATGAATGTATCTTGTGAAAGTGAATTTGTTTTTTAAAAACTAACCAGCAGTTTTCAGAAAGACTTGCAGAATAGCTCTGTAAAATAATGATGGCGATAGATGATCTTGTGTTTCTTTCATCTTAACTGTTGACTGTTGAGCCAACATTCTTGCATTTTTTGAAAATTCATAAATAGATGATAATGATTTTACAGATAAATGGTAACAGCAAGGAACTATACACAGACTTTTAGCACAAGATAACTTAAGAAATGCAGTTACCACAGAATCTGTTAATGTTCCACAAGCATGTAAAGCTGTCATAATTAAATTTTCTGAAAAATTTGGGAAACTCCTGTTAACAATTTGTTCAAAATCAGTTGATTCAGTTATTTCTGCAACTACATAATGGATCTGAAAATTTTCAACTTTAGTATAATCATTTCTTTACTAATTTTGCAAAAGTTTACATACCTTGTTACTTAAAGGTATTTTTTTCTTTTTACTGGTCAATTTTTGATGATTTATTGCTCCATCATGATTTGTTTGTGAGCATTCAATAGCTAAAACAGTTCTATCAAAATGATTTGCTAAATGAAGTGATGCGTAACCTTTACCAGCTCCAGCGTCAATAATAATATTTGACTGTTCTTTGTCCAACCATGTTACTGTTTGAGTAAAAGTCTCAACTTCATGCCATTTTTTAGCTTTCATTAATTCACAATGTAAATGGTCAATAAAATTAATTTTTTGAAAATGTATCTGTTGTAAGTGTTCTTTGCGTGAAACGATATTGCTGTAACTATGCAAAGACAATGATTCAATTTCTTTGAACAATTTCTCAATTCCTGAATCGTGAAGGGTGCCACCAAACTGAATTAAATCATTAATATTTGTGATATTATAACAATCTTTTTGTTTTAAATCCCTTTTTAATTCTTCTGGCAGACAAGCATCCCACAAATCATCTGTGAAAAAGTCCACTAAATGACAATTTATAAGAGAGTCATATTTCTTTTGAAAAAGTATTGTTTCAGCAAAATAATCTTCAACGTCTGATATATTTTTATTAACTGCCATTTTTTAAAATTCTGTTTTATTAGTTTCTGGGTACCTTGAATCAACTTTAGCTAAAGAACAAATTTTCTTAAAATTCAATCCAATGGTCTCAAGCTCTGTACCAATGTCAACAGATTCGTCGTTGTCAGTTGGAAAATTTTCAAGTCGTTTCATTAAAATATTTGTCGACTCGATTACTTTTGAATTATTACAATTTTTTCTTATAAATATTAATACACCATAGTAATATCCTAATTCTGCAGCCGCTGAACTAGCTCCGTGATAGCCTAAATGATAACCATCTACCATTTGATTTTTTCCAACTTCGTAACCTTTTTCATAAGCTTGATCTTCAGCTAAATTTTCAGACATTAATAAATCACTAAACACATCATTGACATCTGGATTTACATTAATTTCAGACATTTCTAAATCTAGAAAAATAATTAGTTATGAAATTCATACAGTCGTGGTTAAAATTTATAATTTGATATCAATACATTAAAATTAAAAAAATAATTAATACTTGTAATAAAATTATAGTTACTTGTAAAATTTTTAAGAAATGTCAGTGTTGGAATTGAAATTTACCTACTGAACTAACATGATATAATTCACACTTCAATAAGAAAACATTTAATACCTCTAAAATGAATTTTTCAACAGGTGTCGCTAAAGATGAAGACTACAGTGTATAGTTATATCATATCAATGTGTTCCGCATGCAGTCTTCTTTGACTAGCGCAGAAAGATCCAGTAAAATTTAACGTACTGTCAATTAAATTAATTATTAATTATTTTCTATTTTTTTAAGATTTAAGAAGTTATTTACTTGCTCTACATATATGTTTGAAATAAATTGTTACACGTATAATCTTTTGAATTCAAAGCGTGTGTGTCGAAGTGTTGGTAATGTAGTACCAAGCATCGTCACTAGACGGGTCAGTGTTACATCCTTACATGGCGCGCTGGTATATACGAGTTACTAAGATCTATACTTACAAGTTACGACTACACGAGTGGCAAAGGCACGTGTGCATTGGACGAATTGCAGATGCTGTGCCAGTACGGAACGGATCACTTCAGAGTTCAGACTTCATGGTTCACCAAATTCACTACGATTTTTATTCTCTGATGTCAATGTCTAGGCCTATGTTGTGACTTCACGCAGACATTAAAGACTACATTAGTGTGTTTTCAATATCTTCAGCATCAAGTGACATCGTGTATAACCTTTGGCGATAGTGTCCAAAAATTTTAGTGTCAGATGTGCGGGAACACGTGTCTAACGTTTGATTTGCTTTATTTTTGTTTTAAAAAGTTCACAAACTTTTCAAAGTTTAGCTGATTGACGCCAAGTATAATCCTGCTTCAAGACTGGCTTTTCCTGCTGGAATATCATGGATTATAACATAGAAAATCTCGCCGTGAATCAACGCGGCGTAAATTATTTGTATTTCAACTACGAAGATGTAAGTAAAATTTCTCAATAATTTGATATATTTGCCATAATTCTGTTTTGTAAACTTAAGGCATTATTCTCTTTCATTGTTATTCATAGATACATAAAATTCTACATTGTATGTCAATATGCCGGCCACGTGCTGCTGTAGTAATACTTACAACGATCTCATGTGACAATATATTTATATTTATAATGCATTTTTTTAAACCTACCAAACATTATTCATTTGGGCTCATTTCACACATTTTTAAATTTTAATTAACTATCAAGTGAAATAATATTTATTTGATGTTTTTGTTTTAAATAATTTAAAAAAGTATTTTCATGGGAATTGTCAGTTTTTGTATGTCTACACGAAAAAAAGTTTATTTGCTTTCGTGTGTTTTTGCATACGAACTTCGTTAGATGCCTGGCACACATAAATGCACTAAATTCTATATTTTTATACGAGTTTTTTGTACATACAGGGATACTAGGTTTTGCAATTCAAAGTCTTTACAGTTTCTCAGTACATAACACTCTTTGTATACAAAATCCTTTTTTCGTATACAAATTTGACCTTCTATGCTTACACTCTCTCACAAGTACGAAATATATTTTTTTATTCTATAAGACAAAAAAAAATTGAGCGTCTTAAATTTAGTTCTTCGTACAGTAAAAGAAGCATTATTTACATATGGAAACTTTTCCGTACATTTTCGCAAATGAACTGTTTCTTGAGAGAATTTTTCTTGCACAAAAATCATTAATTTTCATTGGCATTTACGAAATAATTAGACAACCTATTTAAAGAAAAATACATTATTGGTCTATAAAACAAGAGTAAATAATGATACTTTCATTTTGTTTTTTTTGTTTTAGCAAACCAATTTGGCTAATGCGATGTATGCTGAAATTTATCAACAAGACAATACACCACGCTTAAAAATTAGAGGAGATTTGTTTCTAGAAAATCATTCCAGTACTCTTGGAAAAAATCGACATCACGGTGAAGAAGAAGTTCCAGATGCTAAAAAACGTAGATTGCACAATCCTCCAACGGACATCCAATCCAATGAAGGAACCGATGTAATATGCCTGGACGATTCAGATTCAGGCAGTGAATCAGCAGATGTTGTTGTCTTAGAAGAAACAAGCGCGCAACTCAAGAAAAGTAATGAAAATACAAAATTTGATGTAATCGTTCTTTCTGATAGCGAGGATGAAAAAAAAACTCATCCTGAGAGAGATCAAGAATCTGGAATTGATAATTCATTCAATAAAACGGGAATGTCTTCAAATGTCTCTGACAGTAGCTCTGAAGATTTATCTGATAATGATAACATAATGATACATATTAGGGACTCACCTTCTCAGAAGCGTAATAAAACGCCATTGAAATCTAAAACAAACTATGCATCAGCTTTTTTCCATGAAGTTCCGAATTTCCATACAGAAATGCCTCTTACAATGAAAAGATATTATAACGAACCAGCTGATTCAAAATCAATTGAAGAGAGACAAGCTCTAATGTCCAGTAAGTGCAATATTTTCTTTTAGTTCTAATATTAAGCTCGCTCAATAAATTATAAACTAATTGTGACTTTTTTAGGAAAGCAAATGAACTGGTTAATAATAAAAGAGGATAAAATGAAAAAATCACCAAAAAGACTTTCATTTCATGGAAAATGTAGGCACTGCCAACAGAAAGGCCACATGGCAAAAGATTGTACTGAACCACATAAAGATATCACTTGCCACTTATGTAGTTCAACAGATCACAAATCCAAGAATTGTAATGGAAAAAAATGCTTTAATGTAAGTTATTATATTCAATTAAAAATAATTTTTATACATTTACTATAAAATTTGTACCACTTTGTACTTTGAGTAAATATTAGAAATAAAATGTAATTTTTTATGATTTTAGTGTAATACAAAACTGCAGAAATTTGGATTTAGCTGCCCAGCTTGTATGCATCTTAGATGCTCAGTCTGCAAAAAAAAGGGACACCTACAATCTTCATGTCCAAATTTTTGGAAAAAAGAACAATTCATCATCAATAAAGCCAAAATATATCATTAGTAATTCAATGATGTTCATCCATATTATTTTACATGATTGTAAATAATGTATATAAATGTAAATATTCTTATACAGTAAAAATAAATCTACAAAAAAAAATGTTAATTTTTGTCTCTAACTTCACAACCTACCTATGTAAAATAATTTGTATTTTTAATCAAACTAGAAAAAACTTTTTTGTCTATTTCTGCTTTTAGTACGAAACATTTTAACAAGAAATCGTGTTTAAAGGAGATATTATACCTGATGCATAATTGAAATGTTATGATTAATCTAGCTTATCAAAATTTGAATAAAATTAATTAAGTATTGGTCTTTATATAGAATATTTGAAAAAGTTTCTTGTTCAAATTGAAAAGGAGTAACTGTAAATGTAATAATTACTTCATTACATTTTGAAAAGATTAACAAATAAAAATTAGTAAATTAAAATAGATTATGAAACATAAATATACTTTTTCTACTTCTATTATCATTTTTACTTGTTTGAAAATAAAAGCAGACAGAAAAATTTCATGAAATTGAAGAATTATTTTCAATTTATCGTAGTCATGCATTTTGAAAAAAAATTCAAATGTACTTTATTTTGATCATCTTTGATACAGAGCTCAAATTATAATAGTGTACATTAACCGTTCGGTTACTAAGAGTTTTTTGTCATTGTAGAACCCTTTTGTTTCATTTACATTATATATCACTTTTTTTATTGATACATTAATTGCCATAAAAACGAATCAATTTTAGGGACGCTTCTGCCACCGACAGTTTCATTTTATTTCATGCATTTGCCACATGGTAGAATTCCACCGTGGATCAAAACCTTTTGTTAATCAAAATGAATAGAGGTCTCCATCAAAATTAATGATTGTTTCTTTTGAAATCGATTATTGATCACTTCCATTCAGGACTCTTTGTCATTTTTCAAATGTATTTTATAATCCTCTTCATTTTTTGTTGTCTTGCTAGCGGATTTATTTAGAAATGCTCCACATTTATCGCACCTACAAATAAATTACCATTATGCTAACGATAATTTTCATGAAATTAATAATATGACTTACCTATCTTCGTTCGGATTAAGGAATCCATAATTATATTCCTTAACAAATATTGCACGATACATTTGTTCATGAATAAAACAAATATCAAGTGCCCGTCTTCTTTCTTCAACAAATAATCGGTACATTGTTGCAATACTTAATCCGTTCTCTAAATATTTTCGTTGGGTATTCTCTAGACAGTTATGAGATTCCATTACCGGAAAAGATGTAATGTGATCGCGAGCTAGATTTTTAAGCTCTTCTGGAATTTGATTTGTTCGATTTCGATGTTTTCCAATTGCGCACTCATTGATTTTGCCCGTAGATTGAGATTCTGCCCATTTTTTAGAAGCAGTCACAACCCACTGATGACTTATACCTAATGAATAAAAAATTTTAAGTGTTTATGCTAATGAAATTATATGAATTAATAATTGTATTTACCCAGTGTATCAAGGAACATTTTTTTACATACTTTCACGTTCTCGTTTTTGCTCGGTAGAGCGTACGTGTGTTTAAAAGCTTTTTTATTCATAACTTTATAATCTTCTGAATCGTAATCTTCATATTTTTGAACATTTGTCCACTCTATGATGCACAACCATTGTTTTGTTCGATCAGCAAGCTCCCAAAAGGTCGAAAATGCTTTTTTTCTATCTTCGAAGGTAATTTTTGAAGCGCATTTGAAACGGCATGTATTAGAGCATCCTTCTTTTATTTGTCTTTTTTCAATGACCTTGTTGTTTCTGCCGATGCCACTCGTACCCTCATTTCGGGCTTTTTTGGCTCGTTGATCAATCGTTAGATTATTACTTGTTGAAGCTCTTTTTCTCGTCCGTTTGCATTTTAGTAGTGGAATAATTTGTTCATTATCATTGCCGTTCATACTGCCTAAAATAAAAAAAATCTCGTCAAATTTGACTTAAAAACATTGAGCTAATATAGTTCCAATTACCACTATCCGAGTCACCACTCTGCAACGGGTTTCCATTGAACGCCGAGTGAGAATTCTGCAACATCTGCATCAAATTTTCATGAGGTGTCATTTCTCTAATATTTGAAATCATTAAGCTATTAGAGTCGCCACTACAGATTCTAAAATATAAATAATGCAATGACAAATTGGGTTTTTAATCTTACGTTATCTGCAATTAAAAACAATTTAATCATTTTCCACCCACTCTTAATCTTAATTTTTTAAAGCAATCAAATAATCAAGAATGAAATAATTATACCGCATTTTCTTATTTTGCTTATCCTGAAAATGAAACGAAGATTCACAATTAAAATGGGTATACACTCCGCAACTTCAATATTTATCAAAATCAAAAATTGTTTCGAATTTTACGAAAAATACGTTGAGGAGGTATAATTTTACAATAAGGAGATCGCTAGTCGAATTTAACATAAAATTCTGCATATAAGTTCAAAATAATTTAATATCTTTTTGTATATCTCACATGTTTATGTTTACAAAGTGTATGATGAACCAAATTTTTGCTGAGTTTTTGAATTTAGTCTTTTATGTTCTATGTTCATTTTATTATCGCTGTTTGTTTAAATTCATGAGTCAACTATTTTACTATTCAAATTGATTAATTACTGAAGTTGATTTAAAATTTTTTGAGTAACATTAATGTAAGTTCTGAAAAACTCAGCTCATACTCACTTTTTACACTACTCACTTTTTGAAAAGGTATTGTTTGAAACTTAGTAAATGTTATAAAATCTATCAGATCTCGTTAGAAGAAAATAAATCATCCTCAAAAAACCAATTGGTGCCCAAATGTTACTACAATATCTTCCGAAATGTCAAATAATGTCTTCAGTGAATAAATTCTATGCTATTATAAATAATATAAGTAACACTCACAAAAAAAATACATTTTACTACTGCTTCTGTTTATGCTGAATTTTAGATCGAACATCGCGAAAGAGTGTCAATAAATTTCACATTTAAAACTTATGCACTTCTTATAGATTCATCGTAATAGTACATCACTGCTATCCAACACAACTCAAACTAAGAACTTGAGTACTTTGCTTCAATTATGCTGAGCTATACTTGAGCAACATATTCCATTTATTAGTTAAATAGATAAATTGCATTCTGAGATTTACCTTGTTTATACTTGCCGTTGCTTGTGCTACCATTGCAGCATACACAGGTTACAACCCAAATAGGTCATCAGTCATTCTTATGTTTACAAATTTAGTATAAACTTGAAAAGTAGAGGCAGCACTGAGCAGTTCTTATAACGCCTAGCTAATACGCTACTATAGAGTGAAAGTCAAAACAAACAAGAAATTGCATTACAAAATGTTGGTATAATGTTATGGAAACACCACTCTTATAGGATTGGAAAATTAGCGATAGAAAAATTTCAGAATTAGAAAGATACCGAAGCCGGCTTAAAGTAATTATTTTCGAACATATTTCTAAGATTTGGACTAACTTTTTGAGTTTGAACATCTTCATTATGGCCTGAATTTGTTATTTTAATAATTAAGATAGGAATTGACATAAAAATCCACAGGGTAAGAGGTAGAATCCATTATAGGATTTAAGTAGATTTTGATGTGTCAATTTTTTATTCCGGGTATGCTCTATTAGACTCATTCATATGCAAATGGCTGCATTATTTTACCTGCAGAGTTGGCCAAGCTAAAATAATAATTTAAAAATTATTTGATTAAAAATTGACTAATGAATTAATTGATTTAAAAATTCAACATGGAAATCCATCTAAATATTTTAAACAAGGTCCTCAATGTAAATTCTTTAGGTGATAAATCATAGTTGTGCACAAAGGTAACGGAGATACATGTTACAAAGTTGTAACAACATAAACAGATAATCCTCCTGCAATGATTTCAACAAAATTTCAAGAAACACCGGGAATCTGTATAGAATTATAATTAATAAATTTTGATATAATTTTTTTTCCAACAAGGAAATAAAAAATATTTCAAGTCAAATGTTTATCAAGATGCTATGCTCTTTTTATTTTAATTTATAAGCATTCAAGTTTTAATCTTAAAACTTTAAGGCTTTAAAAATTTTTATGGACAATATTCACAATATGATATATAAATATATACACTTAATTAAATTTGCTAATTAAAGTTAAATTAATCTTACATTCATGTAAAACGATACATGTAATTCATGATTACAAAATTTCTGTTTCCAATATAATTCCGTTGAATTTTATACAGTTAAATCAAGCTGAAAAAATTAATTCAAACTAGATCTATAGTCTACTTTTTCATTGGCTGTCCTGTCATAATTTGAGGAGGTGGTCCTGGTGGTCGGATAGGACCCATTGGACCCATAGGACCAAGCATGGGTCCCATGTGACCCATCATCGGTGGTCTAACACCCATCATACCTGGTGGTACTGGTCCATGAGGACCCATCATCATAGGTCCCCCAGGTCCCATTGGACCTCCAGGATGCATACCAGGGGGTGGCATCATACCTGAATAAGTGACAATTTAAATTAAATATTAAATCAAATGTATTTAGTATAAATATAATTGTAAATTGTATGAATGTACCTGGGGGTGCTCCTGTTGGTGGTGGTACTCCAGGTCGCACGCCAGGCGCAAGATTAGCTGGTGGTGGAATAGCAGCTCCTTGCTTTGGAGCAAAAGGATTCGAAGCAATTTTGCCAGCTTTGAATGCCGCAGTTGTCGCGTCGATCAAATGCTGAGCTTGTTCTTCCATCCATTTCTGATAAAAATATTTCACGTTATCCTTGTGCTTCCTTCCTTGACAATGTGTTTTTCTGACACTTGGAGAGTCATGAGTCAAGTAGGTATCACAATAGTCACAATAGTACTTCGGCATATTTCAACAAAATTCAAAGTATTCACACAATGTATGAGTGTTTATCACTATTTCAGGTTAGAGAGACTGTGTTCACGCACTGTTTGAAAGTTTGTTTCTGGCGATTGAAGTCTTCAGCCGACTAGGGTTATGAAAATACCGATGCAGAAGATGGCGCGTCGAGCGATTTTTTATTACTGACTGACAGCGGACAGCGCTCTCAAAAGTTGAAAATAAAAATATTTATTTTAAATCTTTTTTTACATTTATTAAAATAAAAAATATGATTGTTTTTTCATAACCCTGATGCAGACAGCAACAAGAGAAGCCCTCAGCTTGGCAAGTTGCTTCCTAAGACCTCTCCAAAATTTGAATTTCTAATCGTTTCTTAATAATTGTTTGTTCATTATTATTACTTGAATTGAAAATAGCATGAAAATAATAAAGAGATAACTCGAATAAATTTTTCAATTTTTCACAGAATTTTATTTTGCGTTAGTACCAGTAATTCAGAATAATTTTAAAAATATCGAGTAATAATTACATAAGAAAAGATTTAACTATCAAAAAAGAAAAGATTATAAATACAAAATTATAAAATAAATTAATCGTACGATGCTATCCATAAAGCAACTTATTAATGTGTTTAAACTAAAGATACTTTTACTATTCATATTTTTTTGTATTCATTGGATGTGAATTTATTTAGCAACGATTAAAATGAAATCGATTACACAAGTTTTAAAATATATTAACGATTGTGTGAGCAGTTTTGGTCTGCTGGGCGGAGTATATGCTTTTAGAAAAAATTTTGTTTGTCAATAAATACAAAAGACTTGGCGCACCCGTATTACGATTTCTTTCCTGCAAATGAAAAATTGACAAATTTTGTCCCTCAATTTACGGTAAGCTTTACCATCGCGTACACAAAACTTGTTAAATTGGACACAATTTTCTTAACGATTAACGCTTGTCTCGCTACACAACAAAATTCATTATTTCGGCATTCATGTACATCTATTTTGTTTAGCTCATATATTATTGATAATGCGCAATAATCATTAAGTAAGTACGTATATCATAACGAGTAAAATGAATGATTCGAAACACAGGCACATGCTCGTAACAATTATGCCGAGATACTTTATAAAAAAATCTCTCTCGTCCAACTTCTGTTTTACAATGCTAAATATTAGAATATATTTTTATAATTTATAATCAGTTTTGTTTTTAAGACTATGCATGTATATTTTTTATAGATATATTAGTATTTACAGTATTATAATGTATTATAGCATAATGAAAAAATGTTTACATGAAATATTTTTTCAGTTTAAAAACAGTTTGCAACTAAACGATCAATTTTAATATCTTAGAAATTACGAAAATAATAAATCAATCATCAATCGTCGATATGTTTTAAGATTTTAAAATGATCGATAGTAGAAGATAAATGTCAAACTGTTACTTCATATCGAAGGCTATATTGTATCTATTATACACGTGTGTTGAATAAATTATCATACTAGTGATTTATAAATATTTACATTTTTGTGTTATAAAAATACTAACAAGAAACGCATTATGGTCGAAGTCAATTAGGGTTTTAGCTTCTCTTTGATCTCTTTATTTTATTTTTTTTTTCATTTAAATAAATTAACAAGTGTGAAGTAGAAATTTGGCAGTGTATTGTCCCTAGCTATGTTAAGTTGCATCACCTTTCTTTTTCTTAGATGCACCTGCATTATTAATCTTATAATTACTGTATTCATCAACTTCCATTACTTTAGTTGAAATATATAATTTTGTTGTACAGCTTGTATAGAAACTTTGTAGGTCAGTCGTTTCAAATATTGTTGTTATTTATTATTGTTTTTATATTATCATTTTAAAAATGCATCCATAATGGTAAACCAACGTTCATTAAACAAATAAGAAAAGCCGGTAATTTTATATTACCAAATTTAACATCAACTAGTTACTACAATGATAGCTTAAAATTACGATTGCAATGGTTTTTTTTATAAAATCAAATTTATATCAAGATTTATGAAAATATATGACAATTTACCATTTCTTAGTAAAATTTTAAAGCGCATATGAGAATAATATTACGACACACTTAATCATCTTTTTTAATTTTTTTTTAAAGTGCTCTAGTAATAACTGATTGTAATATTATTTATGATAATATATATTCAAGTATTATAGTTTTTGGTGAACAAAACCATGAAAAATCTAATTGTATGTTTCGATAAAATTAAATTCAGCACTTTTGTCAATAACAAAATGACAGTAACATTAGTCACAAATGCTCTGTTTTATACAAATTTATAATTTTTTTACTATATTTCAAGTAACAGTGCGTGATATATATAGGCGCAATTTATTCCGTTAATTTATATTAATATTTCCGTACTGTTTGATGTAAAAAATGTAATGTTACTATGAAGTATTAGTGCATTTGAATCAATTACCGGCATCATTTTAACTTCATCACATTTTTTTTGGCAAAATATAATATTGCTTACATTTACATAAAGTATCAACACTGAAATGTATTAGGCGAATTATAATTTGATTAAATGATTTGAAGACAGAAATTTGGTTCTTAATAAAAACAAATGAACATTATTTTAGTAATACAAGTATATAATACGAATTAACATTGTCATTGTTTAATAATTTTACGACAAATATCGAATTTATTCAAATGCTTTAAAGTAAATTTGATCTGATTAAGTTAGCATTTGTAAAACTTTTGTCATCAAATTATAAGTATAATATTTTAATTTTTTTTTAAATTTTCAAGTAACATACAGTAGTACAAACATGGAAGAAACTACCTTCATTTTTTAGTTCATATATGAGTAAACAACAGTAAATAAATTGTGAAATAATTATTCAGTGTTCTTTGGCACTTTTGTTGCGCACGCGATTCTTCTTTAATATTATGTACTTACATTAATTTTAAGAATACAAATAGTCAACTTTTACAACATTCGTTTTATACACAAAATGAATTGGAAATAATAATTCTGCATGAGTTTTGAATTTTATGAATTTTATTATGAGATTCGCTCATAATACTAGAGGGAATATTTCCGTTTTCCAGAAGTTAATAGATTGTCCCAACTTTTCAATGATCATGAATGGCTATGTAATATTACTTAGAATTCATTTTATTGCACCATCAAATGATATTTTTTCTTCTATTAGTATGAGCGAAAACATCCATTTTTTAAACTTATTTAACAAAGACATGCATACTTGTTTGAAAATAAAGTTTACAGAAAAAACAATGAGTTCTGTTTGTACTCTCATTAGCTTAAATATCTTAAGATACAAAAGATCAATATATTAATTTATAGAATCAGTATCAAATTGTTTTCTTCATAAAAATGCATTATTTTATAATTATAGTATTAATTTAAGATCTCATTTATATGCATTATTGTATATTTATAAACAAAGAGCATTTTCTAAAATACAAAGAACAATTACATAATATTTCAAATGCATGTACAGATTCGAGACATTGAGAACTTTTCAGTTTTACGTCATTCATTTTATACAATTAACCTATTAATTACAGAAGTTTTGAAGCATCAGGATCAAGATCTTCACAGAATTTTTTTCAAAAGAGAGCATCAACTTTCAACAGCAAAAGTTCTCAAGTGGCACTAATCTTGAAAAGGACAATTGTTAACAAAAAAATCCAGGACAGCCAAGGTTCACTCACAAATAGTGAGGTTTTTTGGTCGTTGGTGTAAATGAGTAACAACGTTAAATCTAAAAACGTTCCTCGGGCTTGGCCCGAGATAACTTATCTCAGCGTTGTGGACTACGACTACCCGTCGATGCTCTACTTGCTGGTCTTGTCAGGTCAGGCTCAGCCAATTTGTTGCATGTGGGCGAGGAGACTTTGTCACTGAGACCACCACTGCTTGCTTTCTTACTTTGAGCATGTAACGGACTTTCACAGCAACCAGTATTCAGAGTTTCGCTGGACAATATTTTTGAGCTAGCTGCGAGACGCGATGCACAAGGTGAATACTTGGCCAGACTCAAATTACTATTTTTGTTGTTTTCTTCCTTGGTTAGTTGTAAAGTCGAATTGGGTTTCTTCAAGGGTGAAGTAGATGAAGTACGCTTAGCAGTTAATACCACTCCGGCAGCGGCTGTTGCCGCATTTTTTGAGATTTGATTCGATGAGCCTTGTTTACAGCTGCCACACCAAGTAAATTTATTCGGTGGTTTCTTTTTGACATTGCCTGATATTTTGGTTTTTTGCAGGGGTGGAGGTGGCACAGGTGCCTCTATACTTGACTCACTTTGAGGACTTAAGCTTGTTTCAGCTTCACTTGAATTAGAACAGCAGTTTTCTACTTGAATTTTGAGCTTAGCACGAGCTGTTGGTCCATCTAGACTTCGTTCTTTTGGTGTATCATTGTTAATAGATTTTGTTTGTAGTCGCTCACCAGGAAAAAAGAAAATATCATCTCCAGCCTTCATAGACTTTTTCGGGACTCCCTTTTTGGCAACTGGAGTAGGAGCTGCTGGAGGGGGTGGAGAAACAACAGGCTCTGAACTAGGGCTCGAACTAGTTGAACTTACACTAGAGATACTTGATATAGAGTCTGGACAAGGTTGCTGGTGCTGTAAATTGTTTTTAGGAATTTTTTTGTTATTTGTATTATTGGTTTGTGCGCCAACACCGCCGCCCCCACCCGCTTGGGAGAGGCTCAGTCGACGTCAGTTTACCAGTTCAACGCTAACAAACTGTTTTAGTCGTTCTAAATACTGGTTATAAAGTTCAACATCATTGTGACCAGCTCCCTGAAAAAATAAAAATGATAGATTGAAGATGCTTCATTAGATGAAGTAAATGTAGTCATTCATTATAATTAAAAAATGACACCGTCCAAAAATAATTTTAGAAAAACTTACCTCAACCCATAAAGGTTCAACTGCTCTAGGACACCTTTCATAAATTGCTAAACCGTGATTAAAATTGATGACTTCATCGTCTGTACCATGTATCACCAGTACTGGTGATGTAACTTTTGGGACTTTGTCAATGCTGTAAAATTAAATTTATTTATCATATTCAAGCTCTAAATTAAATAGGAATGCATTATACATAGATAAGTCAATGAAGATAAATGGACTATTATTACTAGCAGGATTGGTGTGGAATAAAAAAACTTCTGAATCAATATACATACCTAGGAAAAGCATCAAAGAACCAGGTTCTCTTGGTATTAGGAAATGCCACCCGCATACCAGACATCAATGGAGAGTGCAACACAACAGCTCCAACTTCGTACCTGGATGCAAGGTCCACCGTAGGCACTGTACCTATGCTCTGACCATAGAGAATAATATTCTCTGGACTTATGCCGTATCTAGTTCTGAGAGCGTGCCAGGCAGCGTCTATGTCCGCATAGAGGTTCTTCTCCGAGGGTTTGCCACCGGATACCCCGTAGCCCGAATAATCGTAACTGAATATATTACAATTGATTCTTGTGCCAAGGCCGAGATAGAAGCTCGACATTTGTCCAAGATCCACGGCATTGCCATGGGAAAAGAGTATGGTAAATCTGGCGGTGGCGGAACATCTGACGAAGAGGCAGGCTATCCGATTGCCTCGCGAGGTGCGTGCATAGAAGCCCTCGACGGACTCCTTTTCGCGCTCGGTGTACTGCCATTCGGCGCGCTCAGACAGGCTGATGCTGTACTTGGAGCCCTCCTCCTCGTGAAAGCTGTAGGTCGGCTCAGGCGGCAGAAAGGCCAGCTTGGCTGCTATCCTCGAAGGGCAAGGCGGGCAGCAGAACAGGCAGCATAACTCGCTGAAACTTAAGCCGTTCATCGTAGACGCTTGAGAACTTTTTTATAACGTCACTCTGTCTTTGTTGTTAACTTGTTAGTAGTTGGATGGTTGATGAGTGTTGTTGCGTGCGACGACGTGCAGCCTATTTTTTACCCCCTTTATTATATGAATCAACGGCTGATGTCGATGCAACAAGGGGATGAAATGGCTGCACTGATGCGACGACTCACACACAAAGCAAAACAACGCCGTAATAGCACGCACAGTCGAGATTTATATTTCTATACATATATAATCAAGGATGACTGAGAGAAGAGTGTTTGGAAATTTTGTTATTCTTCGATCGCACACTCACACATACGCACACAATTGCTGGCAGTAGCAGCAGTAACTAGTATTCGTTATGTACGATGGATGTTTGGATGTATGCGTGCGGGTGAAATGAGTTATCCGTACATACATATGAAACATTTGCGGACAACACGCACTTTCATGTGTCTTACACCCGTTTTGCTGCGAGTCCGTCAAGAGTCACTCCGTGCACGTCAACTAGCAGCATGTATTATATATATACACAGCTGGTATATAATGATCACACAAGCATGCACAATGTAATGCACTTGGTTGACTTATTTTCCCCTTCTTTCACGCACACTCTCACCGATTAATAATGCTCGTGTACTTTTAATTTTTGTCACCGTTGTTTTTGCTGCCTTTTTTTTTGTTAAAACTTATTTACGAAGAGACTTACGACCTAAGAGGCTTAGTTTGGTATATTAGTATAGGTCCTATACTCACGAGTTAATAAACTGCTGCATAATTGTTCTTTGTCACTGCGGATAGATATAGTCGTCGACGCAGTCCGACTTTTACGTGCCTAATGTCTGTGGTACGAGGCACACGTATAACGCAGCGTATGTGTACAAATCACGTACATGAACGTATACGCCGTTGTGTCTCCCGACGACGAACTCTCCGAGTCTTGAAAATTTTCTGTAAACACGCAACAAGAGTCAAGACTCCTCGGCGGCTATACAACTTAATGTATACTACTGGATGATGATATACATATATATAGAGCTATATGTCTCTGGCGCACTCAAACTACAACGAAGCAGACACTGCTGGTCTGCTCTGCTTTGAGGAAGAATTCGGCCGCCGGGACAGCCGAGCGAATCGGAGAAATTCGTCCGACGTACGCGTGTACGTGTGTGTCGTATCGGTGTGTATTACATACATGTATAACCACTACATCGAATGGCGCGCGCTCGTCTATGAATCGCGACTTTTAGGCGTAAACGCGTGTAAATGCAGCCTATTCGTTTGTATAACTTTGGACTTCTAAGTGCGATTGTAAATGTGTGTGTGTGTGTGTGACTGTCTGTGTGTATAGTCGAGGTTCGCGCATACACAGGTGTGCGCAACTTGCCGAATGCCGATGTACCGGAACGCGTTAGACTCACGGCGAAGACTCTCCTCTGTGCGCGATGTGTCGCTTGTACTACTCACTGGCATATATATAGACGTACATCGGCTAATACGCTCCGTACGTCATGTATGTATCTGCTCATGAATGTATAAGTGACGCACTCGGCGGAGAAAAATATTTATATTCATACAAATATATGTGTAGTGTGTGCACAACATTCGTACACTCGCACACGTACGCAAACGCACACATGCAGCGAATGTACTCTCAATGCGCTCATGCTCTGAGTCAGCCATGACAGCTCGGAGGAAAAAAATAAAGGAAAGAGAGAGAGAGAGAGAGAGATTTCGCCCCTCTTGGCGCATAAGCACAGCTCTGTGCAAGGAATGCATCGTGCAAGAGTTCTGTATGTATGTGTTCTGGTTCTGCGTTTGTATGTACATTGTGTATATGTACGAAGGTATTTATTATACACACGTAGAGAGAGAGGATCTCCCACTGCTTTTGCTGTATACTGCGGAAAATAATTCTCAAACGTACTCCTCCTATAGGTACATGTTGCATTACGTACTTATAGAAGGTTCGCTAAGTGCAGCGCGCGGGGTTCTGCACAATGCCCGCAGACTTGAAGTTTGCAGCCGTGATTCTTACTTGTCCTTATAAGTGAACAGGCGCGTAGAACGAAACAAAGTCGCAATCATTTTCCGAGTGCGACATTTTCTATACTCATCCGATCGGATGTCGATCGTCCATTAATTAAAAGCGCGAGAATGCGGCATATAATATCTGATCGACCCGATTTCGAAATGATGCATTACCTAACCGTTGACAACGTGCGTTCCATTCGTGATTTTTTCAGAAAAACGAGTAACTGTCAATAAGGACTTGGTTTTTGAAAATAGGTACTCAAATTGGTTTCTTGCAAGGTTTTACAGCGCCAAAAGTTTCCAAAGCTAGGGATAAAATTGACTTTTACCGCACGAGTGCGGCATAGAAGAAAATTATCGAACGGCAAATAACTTAGAATCAGGGAAATTTCCCTACACGTAGTTACGCTCTATTGACTTTCATATTCCATATCATTATAGAGAAACTAAGTTCTAAAAAATCTAGTATGAGATGTTATGAACATCTACAATCTGTGAAAATTTGTATCAATCTAAAGCCCGATCTATTGCTCTATATTACAATCAATATCATTGATGACGAAATACAAAAAACCCGTGATGGGATAAACGATGCGAATCTTACATCGGGTATATTGTCAACATTTTAAGCCTGCAAGTTTATTTTCAAAGAATTGCCGCATGAATTGGTAAGTTTGATTTTATTTTGAAATGTCAAACAACTCAGTAACGATCGCATATTTTGATGTAACTGTACGATAACGATGAGTATTCTTTGATCAAGGGTCTAGTTCTTATTAGTAAATATGAACAGTTCATTCTGAAGTAAGAAGCGCATTTGCAACTTTTGAGATCTATTTTGGTCGTTTTTCCACGCTACACACGTGCAGCGCTAGAATATTGGAACAATAGTGACGTAAAATCCCGCTTGGCTTCAGCTTGCTTTCTCTCTTTTTCTCAACGTATATATTTAGATCTCTCCGACTCTCTGTACTCGCACACTCCCACGTATAATGCCCAAGTACTTAGAAAAAGGTTTACGGGGGACTCGCGTCTCTATATGTGTGTGTGTGTGTGTGTGCACGTGTACATGTGCACAGTGCAGTAGGGGGCGCGCATGCGGTACTATACGGGGTCCAAAACTCCAAAGTGAATGTTCGATATGAGTTTGATTTTATTACGTCAGAAGATTCAATAGAAGATTTTTGAACTGTTATAGGCCACTAGTTGGAGAGATATTTTTCAAGCTCCTTATATGAATGCCTGTGTCAACGACAAACATTGGATTACGAATGATGGGATGCTATCTTCTCTCTATGTAGCTTTCACCGTGCTCCGTTCTTTCAAACAGACATGGGTTAGAAAATACATATATTCGATGTATCGGTGTGTGTACATGGGTGCGCTATAGTTCCATAGTGCTCTCTACTCCGCCCGCTAAGCCGTGTTTTCACGTACGATATTCTGTTGCGGAGCGCTTGCGCCTGCTTGCCTGGCGTGCAGATTGCAGAATCGAAGCGACGAATACTACGGTACGTCGTACACACGATGTACGAGCCGTGGCTAAGCGGGCAGAGGGGAAAGCGGGGAAAGCCAGGCAACCCACACTCGCTCTCCGATTCCATTCCGTGCAGCACGCAGCAAGCATAGAGCCAACCGAGTCGCGTCTGTGTTGGTGTCCATGCGCGTACATGTATTCGCGTATGTAGCCTTTGGAGTATGCCTGTGTAGTCGTGAGCTGCCTCACTATCTACGTACTGCGACCGAGTCCGAGTGGCGCACGAGCACACGAGCAAGCTGCATCTGTGCTGCATCTGCTTCTGTGTGAGTGAATTCGCGTGCTTGTGTCGGTGTGGCAGCAGTTCGCGAGACTGCGAAAAGTGCCATGCTTTATACCTATATCTGTATACATAGAGAAGTGTGCAGGAGAGAGGGAGAAAAAGTCAAGATGGCTTCGGAAGTTGCTGCTTCGGCCGTGGACGTATTGCTATACCATGGCACAGTATCAATCGCTAGTATTAAACGAGTCTGGCGCGATGTAAATAACGACAGGTAGAGACAACTTTGCGAATCGAGCCTAAATAATAATATTTGCGTATCAGTACACATCCGTGCGCCCTATAAAAGATTGGACAGTGGCCGACGACATCAGCAGTGCCAAGACAATCGTCATCGTCGAATTCGCAGCTTAATAATAGAATACACGCGAACGCGCGAGAACCGCAGAGCAGATCGCTGAATCCTGTTAACCGTGTGATCCACTCCTGGTGCTACGATCTACCTGTGAATTATAACCAAGCACTGCATCCTGCAGTTGCTTTTCTGACCCTCGAGACAGTTTTTACGCCCGCGGACGTAGTGTCATTTTGTGAACCCCAGTGCACGAATCAACCGTAGAGCTGGAGGAGCCCAGCAGTAGCTGTGGCGGTGCCGAGGTAGACCCTATTCTGGTCGACGTCGCTGCCGCAGCCAACGCGGATGCCCTCGTTGCCACGACCACTTCTTTCGTAGAGGATAGCGGCTCGGATTATGCGACGAGTCGTGCCGAGAACATGCCTACCGAGCACGAGCTACCAGGTTCGTAAATTTACCCTAAAACATGTAGTTGTGTCGCACGAGACTCAGAGTGCCAGCTTAATACTGTTCTACGAATCTTTCTAATTGCATCTTTTTCATTGTCACAGATGACAAACGGTTGTCCAGGCATGCAAGCGTCGAGAGTGCAGATACGAGTTTGCCCATTGTAAGTTCATGCCTATAACTACTGTAATCATCAATTTTATCGATGTAGATTTAATAACGTATTATTTTAATTTTTCTAGGTCGACTCTACTACTTTTCCCGAAAACGACGAAAAACCCATTGTCGTTGCACAGGCTGATGATGGTGGATTTGTTTGCAGCAAAAGTCCTCAGATCGCTGAAAGCTTGCAGAGCCAAAAACATCTTGAAATGAGCAGTCCAAAGAGTCCTGACTGTCCTTCCACAGTGTCAGCTGGTCCAAATAGTCCAGCAAGTGTTGTTATTGCAACCAAAAGCTCCATGACTTATGGCTTGCCCATGGTTTCAGATGGCAATACTTGGAAGTGCAAAGTTCCCAGTGAACCATCTGAAGCAAAAACAGCGCCAAAAGTAGAAAAAGCTTTTGTTCCTTGTGTAGTTAAAAGTGAAATTGAAGAAAACAATGTGTCTAATTGTGATACTGTTGAAACTGTAATTAAGGATAAAATTAAGAAAGAACCACTTGTTCTTAAAAGTGAAAAAGATGAATCAAAATCCAGAAGCAGTTCATCTCATAATAAAACGCATTCATCGTCGTCATCATCCTCAAAAGACAAGCATAAAGATTCAAGGTCTGATAGACACAGCTGCTCTAGGTGTTACAGAAGGAGCAAAATCAAAAAGAGTAATGTTGGTGTTCAGTGTCAAAGAGATAGAAAAAATAGTACGTCTCTAAGCCACAAATCTCCTAGTTATAAAAGTGAAATCAACTTGAATGGCAGCGAAGTTAAATTAGGTATGAATATAAGCCAGCGCAGGATTCTAGATAAACAATTTGAAAAAGTGGATAATTCTATTCATTTGGAAAACTTGAAGTACAAAGATTTTATTCACATTGAGACCTATCCTAATGGTGGGGCATCAATAGTTCGTATGTATCAAGATGAAATTTCTGTACTCTCCCCTGAAGAGCTTGATGAACTTGCAGAAGAGTATTTTAAGGTAAATTAGAAACTTTTTTAATCATTTTTTTATCCATAAATCTATAAGTATTCTTAAGAAGTATAAATTTTATGTTTAGGTTGTATTTGGTGAAGATGAAAATGGAAGAGCACACCATGTCATGGGTATTGTTCATAATTCTGCATCATATATGCCTGACTTACTAGATCACATGGCTGAATTGTATCCAAATCTAGTTGTAAAAAATGCAGTTCTTGGAAAAAAGAATGATGTTGAAACCACTACAATGCAAAAATATCAAGAACATGTTTATTCTACTTATACAAATGGCACTTTCAGATATGGCCCATTGCATCAAATAAGTGTAGTAGGTACAGTGCACGAAGAAACTGGAGGGTATTTCCCAGACATTTTAGAAATGCTCGAAAAGAATATTTTTCTTAAAAAAGTAAGTCACTGCATATTTACTAAATATTGTTTGTGTAAAAGTAATAGATAAAAGTAAAATTCCTTAATTTCATAATCCTGTCAATATCCTACTAAAAATTTTCCCGAATCTCCGACCTTTTGTAGTCCTGAACTATTGTTTAATACACATTCTTCTGTGATGTTCAAGTAAGCTTGTGGAGAAACTATTTTCTTAGAATATCAAACAACTAATGGGCCTTTTTATTATTTAGACGATGCCGTGGGGTAGTCTGTCAGCCGTACGAATGGAAAGCCCACGAGAATCAAATGATGGACCGATCCTCTGGGTTCGTCCTGGAGAGCAGTTGGTTCCTACAGCAGAGATGAAGCAAACTCCACTGAAGCGGCGTAGGACGGGCATCAACGAACTTCGAAATCTACAATATTTGCCACGAATCAGCGAAGCGCGCGAGTACATGTTTGAAGATCGTACTAGAGCACATGCCGATCATGTGGGGCATGGATTAGAACGACAAACCACGGCTGCTGTTGGCGTTTTAAAAGCCATCCATGGAGGCGAAGAATACAAGTTAAATCGCATCACAAAAGACGTTGTGGCTTTTCATGCGGCCGATTTTATTGAACTTACCGAAAAGTTACAACTCGATCTGCATGAACCTCCAATATCTCAGTGTGTACAGTGGTTGGAGGATGCTAAGCTTAATCAGCTGAGAAGACAAAATATACGATACGCTCGAATACAACTTTACGACAATGACATATATTTCTTGCCTAGAAATATAATCCATCAATTTCGAACTGTATCGGCTGTGTCGAGTGTAGCTTGGCACGTCAGACTTCAACAATATTATCCTGAAGATTTGGAGTCTTCAAAACAAATCAACTGTTCTGAAGATGAAGTGAATATCAAGAACCGAGAAAAAGCTAAACGAAAATTGATCATTGACACGGATGATTCTGACGATGACGCGACGAAGAAAAATGCCTCAAAGAAAGCCGAAAAGCGCACTAACTTTGACGAAGAGAAAAAAGCAAAAGAAAGAGCAGCTGAATACCAGGGTAATCTTAAAAAATCAGATCAACATCACAGAGACAAGAAGGCAAAAGTTCCCTCGCTTATACCTACTGTTTTAACTGAAGCAGAAACCGAAGCTGCTAATAAAGCTGCAGCGGAAAGAAAAAGATATAAAGAGAAGAAAGCAAAACGAGACGAAGAAAGAAGGAAAAGTCAGAACGATAAGAAAGACAGGTGAGTTTATTTCATTGAAATAGATTGTTAATATTATGTTTTTTGTTCAACTATTAATTAAATCTTTACAATATTTGTAGAAATGATGACCGCGAAACGAAAGATAAACAAGAGCATAGAGATAAAGAAAAACACAGAGACAGCGGCGAACGGCGTCATAGTAGTAGCAGTAAATCAAGTAATAGTGTTAATGGCAGCAAAAGTAATCACGACAGTAATCGTAAGCGTAGTGAAAAGTCTTCATCGTCTTCATCGTCGTTAATTGCTGCAAACAGAAGACCTAGCTCATCATCATCCTCAAGCCAGCATTCGTCAAAAATGGATAATCGATCAGCAATTTCAGAAAGCGAATCAAAAATGCCAAAAAAGACCGAACCAACAACGTCTCTGACGACTACCGATTCATCTTTATCAACAAATACGATGAAACCTGAAGCGACGCGTAATAACGCTAGTCCTGACGCAATTAAGCAAGAAAATATTGCCGTCAAAGTCGATACAGAACTGATCTCTGCTCGGCAAACTATTGGCAAAACATATGCTACGCAAGTAGTTGACAAGGCTCTCGAAATTGCCATTTATAAATCGAAGACGGAGAATGTGCAGGAAGTGTGTCAATCGTTTCGCGATGGAGTCGCGTCTGCTTCAAAAGAAATGCTTGAACGTATCCGAAAAGCGAGTCTTGAATTGGCAGAAAAGCTTTGTGGAGAAGACAAGACAGTTTTAGAAAAAACGTATAAATTACTAGAATCAGAAACTCTGACCTCGTTTGAATCTGAACTCGACTGTGCGACGGAGTTAGCAGTTAAAGCTCTGATTGAGATGGCTGAAGAAAGCAAAGAAGAACCTGCAAAAAAAACGGAAAAGTCTGAAATAGTGGATGTTACACCTACAGAAAATAACGTTGCATCTTCTTCTACGGATAAGGACAAAAGTACCGTAATTAGTGAGAAAAAATATCAAAATAGTGGCAGTGATGAAAAAAATAAAAGCAGCAGCAATGGCAGCATTCACAAACACGTAGACAAACATCGAAATCATAAAAAAACTGACCATCGAGATCGTCACGACAGAGATCGAGATCGAAAAAAGCACCATAGTAGCAGCAGTAGCAGTCATAGCAGCAGCCGGAACAGCAGCAGCAGCAGTCACCGGCACAAGGATTCAAAGAGTTCTTCAAGCATCAATTCTCATCACCGTAGCTCGCACTCTTCCTCATCTCACAAAAGTTCGTCTTCGTCGAGCGAACACAAATCGAGAAAGCATAAATCGAGTTCGAGTCTCGAACAACCAGATATCAAAAAGCCTAGAATCGACGAGACCGTGTCAACAGTGAATAATAACGAATTATCATCGTCGAATCAAATTATTGTGGCGACTTCTACAGTAGTCAATAACATTACATGACTCGAAAACCCTAGTATTCACGAAAAAATAGTACAACCTTAAATTTTCTCAAATTATTCTATTTTGTATTTATAGAATAATTGGTACGTATGGTTATTTTGATGAAAGAATAAGTAACTAATTGGAGCATCAGAAGTTTCGCCGGGAGCGAAGCAGGTTTTCTATTTGTATTTTCATTTTTTCCCCATTTGACTGTGAAAACTGATACACACTTTTTCAAAGTGTTGAATAATAATTTAACGTTTTAGCTAAATAATCGCTAAAAAATTCGAATTGAATTAAAATGAAATTTTACACATTTATTTGTAAACTAATTTGTACACAATTTTTTCAAATTTGACGTTTTTTTCTGCAGTAATCAATTTTTACTGTGAAAAATAGATTAGAATATGGTTACGAAAATTCTAAATAATTATAATGGTGCAGTATAGAAATTCGACTTAAGAACAGTGACACAGTTTTTGTGTTTGCAAGTTCAGTGTAAATAACAAATATTTATGAAGGTTCGCAATTATATTGCTGAGATGCCTAAAAAATATATATATATTTTTTTTTAATAACTGGGCAATAGCTTTTGCCCAAAAATTCTCTCTTAAAGAAATAATATGTACTTTTGAATTTAGTGCGCCCAATTATTAAAAGTATGATTTTTTATTTATTCGCAAGAATAATATTAAAACAATCACAATATGTGCTTGTGTTTCAAGCTGAAAATATTATATATGGTTTTGTAGAATAACTCAGGACAGTGATTTAATTGTGCTTGTATAAATTTTGTAAATGAAAATACTATTTCATGTTTTGGTATTAAAAAAACCATGATCAGTTTAGGAAATGAACACGAATTTCATTAAAAGATTTATTTCAAAATATTTGTTTAGTTTCGGTTACATTGACAATAATACAATGAACTCAATTTATTAGTCAGGTTATTTGTGAATTATGACAATTATTAATGTAGTAATTAAAGATGAATTGCACTCGTAGATGTAAATTGACTTTTAAATTTATTTTACTTTGAAAATGGATAATTATTACTTCGAAGTGATTAGTAGATTTTATTAAATTTAACAATGCAGAGAAAAAAACTAGAGCAATGTAAATTTGTACATAAAAACCAAACTATATTTGAGAATACGAAAAACACAGGAAATTTAATATAACTAAAAGAAAGTAAAAATAAAGCTTTAAACAACGATGAAAATCTTTGTCAAGTTTATTCAAACTTTCGAATAAAATTTCTAAGAGAATTAAAAAAAATCTCATGTTGTTTCAATAACTGCTGCTGGACGTTAAATGTAACTTTAGAACACTATGGATATACATTTATAAATAAGACAAATGTACACATTCTTCAAATTAATAATAATGTACCATTATACATTTTTTAACAGAATTTCGGTGAAATTAAATCCAAAGTCTTACACTAAACCGTTTTAAATCAGCTATATATATAAATTCCTGATAAAAGAATTTTTGATCAAAAATGTTATTTAAAGATGTTTACATTTGTCAAATCGGTATAAAGTATTCAGAATAAATAGCGGCGTTTTATTATTACATATACTATAATATATGTAATATACGACATTGACCGATAAAAAATGATAAACGTATATAGTTGATATATATAAAAATACTGTAGAATATAGTTTTACATATGTACCCATCTCACTTGTAGATTCGCATTCCAATTAGGTTTTTTAAAACAAAGGAAAAATGGTAAAAATAAAATTGTACTTTTATCATGCACACTTAGTAACTTTCTATGTCGTTTAAATAAAAAAAATATCTATGTGTGAATTTAACGTCACAAATTATCTTTAATATTCAAACTTGCCCTCTTATATACTCACTTTTCTGTTTCCAGAAATATTACGTTCTTTATATTTCTCAAGGTTGCAAGATCAACCTTTAGTTTTTTACTTGAGTACATTGGTAAAAAAAGTATGTTTTTATAATATCAAAGTTTCCCCGTTAGGGGAAAAATATACTTTAAAATGCTATTATCATTACTAAATTTAATATATTATCATACTACTAATTATATATAATTGTCTTGTTGTAATACCAGAAAAATTGTATGCTTGTACCTGCAAAATTGTTAGTATGATAAAAACATTTACAGCAAATTAAATCACGATGTTTCTTATTTTTACCTACTAAAATTTAAAAAATTTTAACGAATGAAAGTCGTTCATATAGCACGATTTCCTCTCCCTTTGCAGTTTAAATAATAAAAATAAAAATTAATATATTATTATTAGATATTCAAGATGTAATTAAAAGCGTACAATGAACTAGAAGTAGTTGGACAAATATGTAGTTTTCCAATCATTTAGTAAACAATGGATTTCTTGTATGCAACTAACATTATCTTTCGAGATACTGAAAAATTGATGAAAAGAAAAAAGGAAAGAGACTAGAAAGTACTTGATACATAAATATTCAAAATAACATTGAGCAAACTCTGCTGCATTTTACCACTGCATCATACTTACTTATTTTTCTACTTTTTTTCATTGAATAAAATAAAAAGAAAGAAAGTTATTATTTTAATATCATAATAAATTGGAGTCCATTGAAAAATCGCTCTTACTCAACGCCGATCTCGACAACAAGATTATTACGGTTGTAGTACTTCAGTTGATGTAATATCCACATCGGGCAATTTTATTTTTGATAAAAAATTAATTAAACGCATACCAAGACTTAGATCACAATTCGTTTGAATAATTATCAGATCGTTTACTTATATTCCGCAGGATGTTTATTTAAAAGCAAAATTTTTACATCATAAAAGACAACCAATTTCAAAAAATTTAATTAAGTGTATGCTTGAAATGCAAAAATTATGAAAAATTAGAGACTACCGTTGCTGAAGGGCTTGAAGAGTATAAAGAAAAACATCCAATGATGTCGTCCAGGACGTTTCAATAAAATAAAAGTAGTCGATAGAGCCGCTTCTACTACATAGCGCAATAATTACGAGTACAGAGTGTAAATTAAGTAGAAAATTATTTTGTCACGAACACTGACTTGTTTTCTTCTGTTAAAAGTCACACTCACAATGCTTGGATGTATTATTCAGTATAGTTCAGTGTGTAGTTTGTACATACATTACAAGATCCAACAAGAGAAAAAGCTATACATATGAAACTCATATGAATTATTCTTTTACAATAATAATTTTACCAGTACATGGGAAGTTAGGCACTCGTTCACTTGTCTTACTTGTAATATAATATGTTATCTATTAAAAATGATTAAATAAATAGTACACTAAGTTTGGATAAATTTTAAATTTATAACAAGTTTTTAATTAAAACCCAAAGGATTTTTTTTTTAATAACTTTCTTTGTCTCTAATTTGTATACATTTGTATTATAAGCTAGTGTAAAAGTTTGATTAATAATTTTTTGATATTGTCACTGAACCAAGATAGACTGGACAGTCACTTCAAATGTTTGATTTTATAACTAAATTACCTAAAACTAAATCATCGTTATGGCGTAAAGATAGTTAACAGATAAATCAACGAATTATACAATTGCTTGCACTAAAATTCATGAGTGAATCTTATCTTTTATAATTTAAAAAAAAATGTTGAAATTTGACACTAAATCATTTCGATCAATACAAAAAGCAGTAACTTTTCACTACAGAATCGAAGATTATTATTTTAAAAATTACAAGTTACTTTTTTCACATTTTTACTTTCAAGACGTAGTATAAATGCAAATCTGGCTGTATTCTTGGAAAAGTATGGAGATTAAATCATAATATGATGTAGGAAAATTTAAATTTATTCAACACATCATCAAGACGTTATTTTTCTATTTTAAAATACTTTTTGAAAGACATTTGTTTTAACGCACGATTTGGCAAAATATACGAAATAAATGTAAATTTCAAGTTCGAAGACATTTGTGATTAAAGCAAAAATATTTTTATCAACAATCTTCTATATTTTCTAACAAATTAAAGTCATAACTACTTACTCACTAGTCAACAAATCTGCACCGGAATCTATACAGGAAAAATAAACAGATACTTTAGACTTTTGGCTCGGCTAAATTACACGATATGCGTTAATAACGACAATAAGGTTCAGCAGTCAAGGGCACATAACAGTAGCCAGAGATGAAAACACCTCAGCCTGCAATGGCCCATAATCAACTTTTTCACCGTCGACGGTTAGGAGGCCAACAGTTCCTTCTGCTGGTTCAATTCGGAATGCTTTTACTGGAATCATCTCGACGCCAGGACAATTCAAATGATTACCCGTACTCAAACCGAGTAGGAACTAAGGAAAAAATTAATCTTCAAAAATTGCAAAATTTGAAAAGAAATATGATAGATTACCTGTAACAGATTTGTTCGACTGATTCCAGCTTTTATTATAAGCAGCCAAATGATACCATCGGCCAATTTTGCTTGGGGAGCAAAGAAACAATCTTGGCCCAAATGCGACTGATATGCTGCCTGCACCATAACAAATTCACCTTCGTAGGAAAAAATTTAATTAATTAATGAATTATTGAAAAAATAACAAAAAAAAAACCCTAAATGTACCTTCGATTTTTGTCCAGTCACTCGGTACTGGAGCCGTCAAGGCAGGTAAATTCGATGATGGTCCATACATAACTTTGCTCGAACAAGAACCATTACTGCTGCCGCTATCGATTTCTGTTGTTACAATAAAATTCAACATATTACATCGAATAAATTCTTAAGCATCAAAAATGTTTCAAATGGTATGTACATACGATCTTGTGTGATATTTAGATCTTGTACGCTATGGTAAGTACTCGACATCGAATCGGTAGCCGTACTAAAGTAAGTCGACTTTCGCGATATGGCCGAGTAAAAACTGTCACTCCGTTGTCTCATTGACGTTATTTCGCTCGATTCAGTCTCGAGTTTCAAGGAATCGTTCATGAATTGCTCGTCAAGACCATCCACTTCATCGAAGTAATCGTCTTCGTCGTAGGCTTCGTGAATAGTGCCGCCCGTCTCGGCAAAACCATTGTCGTAACTGCGTGATTCGCGCATCTCATTGGTGTATCTATAAGGAAGTATTGAATTAGCTATTTTATTTATCTAATTTATTTTTTCAATCTCATAAATTTCCATTATACTTTCTATGGAAACGATGAATTTTTGCAAATTGCCGCACCAAAAAAACGTGAATTTATAGAAACAATATTTGATGATTCGCGGAATCAAATGATTGCGAAGAAAACTCTAAGCGAACGCAACAAAGATGATTCGTGAATATAATAATCAGGTAAAAGATGAAAAAAAATTGACCAACCGGTCGAGTTGATCGCCGTAGCTCTTGGAGTGCGTGATTCCATTATCCTGAATTATTTTGTCGTCGCCCCCGCCACTGCCATTTGTGAGGAGCTTCTCGCGCGGCAGGTACGATACGGTCCCCCGGTAGGTGCGCAGTCCGATGAGCCGAGCCAAACTCCAGACGGTGAATCTTTGGCCACCGATGGCTCGCAGCCGCTCGCTCTCGATGTCGATGTCGGCCAGCAGTCCCCAGCCGACCGAGAGGAACGAGTAAAGCACTTGCTTGCGCGTCTCTATTCGCACCAGGTCCATGCGCGATGTTTGCCGGCGTACGACGGACAGCGAGCTTATGAGCATGGGATTTTGATCGTACGGCTCGCTGAAAATATTTCGATCATCAGCTGCATGCAGTTGAAATTACAATGAATTATTGTAATACTCTATTCTTACCCTTTGGAATGAGCAATGGACTTGGCCAGACCATTGCCGGAGCCACAAGGTATAACTGCTATCGGCCAGACTGCTCCGCTTGTCCAAACGTCCCAATCGGGCCGCTGCAGTAGGCCATTGATCGCCTCGAAAACTATACCGTCGCCGCCAACGAGAACCAGACCCGACCACTGCGAGAGATCGCGAGTGCGGACAAAGTCACGCGCGTAGTCCGAGTGGCGCGTGATGAATACGTCGTACGTCAAGTCCGCCTCGGACAGTATCGGATGTACACGACGTTGAAAGCTCTCGCGGCTTCGGCCTGGACCAGACTTTGGATTCAGCATAACGAGCAATTTTTTCGGCTCGCCAGGACACTCTGCGAACAATAAGATCAATTTTAGCCGTTACGGTAATAGCAACTGGTGTCATAATAATTAGCCCAATTGACCAGTCACAGTCTATTTTAATTGTTTCTAAATTTACGCGACAGGCGCGAGAGCTCTTTTGGATAATGAAACGTTCTGAGCAACGACAAAATTACCTTTGACCTTTGACCCATTTCGGAAAACTTAGAATTTGATTGGAAATATAGGTAAAACACTTCGATAGAATCAGTATCTTTAAGTTTTTAGTATTTTCTCTGTTAAATTGTCAGTTTTTGAATTTTTTCAAAAAGTCAAGTCGTAATTTGTTTAGAATCGTCCAATTTACTTCTAGAAATTGTTAACGAATCGAAAAATACTGTTAAGCTTTATTTCAAGATGAAAACTTTTTTTACTGTTCGTCTAAGAATAATTTTCCCAATCAGAAAAAACTTTATGCTTGAATTAAATCACCTGCAATAATTACTTGATCAAATTTAAACCTTATTTTCGTATTCTAATAAAAAAGAATGAGCTAATGCAGTAACTTATCTTTTACTTGCATTATAATTCAAAATAACATACGTCAGACTATGAATCCACTTCGTAACTATTCATACAAAAAAAAAAGAAAAAAACCAAGATGTGGCGAGTCAGCTTGCGCATATACTTGATCAAGAGCTTCAAAAAAAATAAACTTATGTCATGTAAGCGAGCGCGCGTCTTGTAACAAAAAATAAAATTCATCATCATAAACTCGTACAGAATAACTTGTCATAAAATCTATACAAACATTCGTATGGAGTATCGACCGAATAAAAATTTTTTCTTAACTCATTAGTAAAAAATTCTTGGTAAATTTGTTTACGCTTGCCTGTAGAATACAATCACAAATTTATTTAAATGAGAAAGGACTGTTGTTAAATGAGCAGGAAAATTTTCATCACACACTACTCAAGTGGACATGTACACTTTGCATGAATCATAACGACCCTTTTCTCACAATCTACATCTTTGACTGTTGCGTTGAAGTGTTAAGAAAAAAATAATAATTTCAAGGATTTTGCGACATGCGTGTCTGACATTTGTGCATGCTACACGCAGACACGTTCTGTGCGCTCATTTCAATTTCCAAACACAACTCGTTTTTGACAGCACACTGCTAAAGATTTGTGTGCTATACAAAAAAAAAAAGTTAAAAATATGGCTTAGTTATTGAGGAACATAGTTGTATCCGAACAGCGACTCAGCGGATGAGAGTATAACTTTGTGTGACGTGCAATTTTACCAAATGATCATTTTAATGTCTTTTTTTTGTGTTAATTGCATAGGTAATCGCAAGAAAATTGACGATGTAGTATAGTATAGATGTTTTTTAGTTCGATCATTGCATGTGGGAAAAACCGGACACGGTGAGCAGAGTTTTTCAGCAGCGACCTGTTTCGTGATATTTAAAAGCGGTATAATTCGAAGAAAAATCGAAGTAAGTACGACGTATTAGAACGTCATGGATAATATCTATGGTTTATCCAATATTTTATTATAATCGTTCGCAGTCAAATGGGACAACAATTTTTGTCAAATTTATCAAAATCAAGGCACGAGCTGAAAATTTTATCAAAACTCTACAAGATTTAACTGATAAATAATAAATTAAATGAAAGTGAGTTTATAGAATTTATATTGACAATTTACTGCACTAAATATACTGTGATTACAAAACAACTATTTCTAAATTCAATCGTAGTAAATAAAATACGAACATGTCCAGAATGTTTAGAATGATTCAAACCGCAGTTTGATTGAAATTCACCAAAAAATTTATCAATTTTTCATCATTCACCTGTTACAATAGGTCAAGTGCGCTAAGACGTCGATTGTCGCGTTTATCTGTTCAAAATCAGATAAGACTCATGCAGTATTTATTTTTTTATCTACAGCAATAAATGCGCGCGTATAAGTACTCATTTCTTTACGCGTTGTTCTTTATGTATTACATGTATATATGCAAGTAGTATACATGTCTTTTGTGCACGTGTTCTCAAGTCTGCATAATAACAATAATAATAACAATGATAGTTGTAATAATAATAATAAAGTATGACGTTTTTTTTAAACTCACAATTGTTCAATTCGCATGACACATGTCGGCTAATTAGTGCGCGTAAAATATATGATTACGCATAATACCAAGTGTTTACAGTTGTACAACTTTTGTCACTTTATAATCGAAAGAAAAGGAAAGGAAAAAAATACGATCCGTAAAATTGACACGCTTTTTTTTAATCGATGTTTTCGTTTACACGCGCTCGGGTCCGATTAATATGCGTAGCAGGCTATTAAACCAGTCTCGCCTTCAACTAGGCTTATTAAAAAATTTTAACGAAGAGACCCTGCTCATAAATTAAACGCGCGTCATGTATCCTTTTTATTATATACATTTTAATAAGTATTGATGGGGTCAAACAAACGCAGACGTAGGCGATCGAATATGAATGCGCCTCTCCGCGTGTATATGCCGTCTAAAGTTGCGTAATACCAATTTCTCGCGTTAACTTTTTAGACTGTCGATGACGGTCATTTGTTTTTTCTCATTCAGGCATTCATAAAAAAAAACCGATAACAACGCGAATCGATTAAAAGTGCAGAGGCACTCGGAAGAATTCGATTTACGTATCGCAACGTGGATGTGTTATTTATAAATTTGAATCGTCAAATTTCTTAGATTTATAGTACAAGTCAAAAGTGAAAGTGAGATCGCGAGACTCGAGGAAAGGAGATGATTACTCTGTTAGATTTTCTAAGAAGCTGCATTCACTTTTATGGACAAAAGATTTCGGTTTTTTTGCTTCATAATGCAACTCTTGCACAAGACGGATTTTGAATAAAATTTCAATTTTCATCGACTTCCCAAGATAGAACGTACTGTAAGTATTTTTTAGTGAGAGTTTTTATGATGCATGAGTATAAAGTTACGTAATTTCGAGCAGCGTGCATGTACTGATACCAAGCTTATTTATGTATCCCTTACGAAGTATATGCATTTTATTCAAGGACTCTATTAGATGATCGACTTCCTCTCACTGAGTATTACATTTCACAAATGTGTATACGCTTACTTTATGAATGAAAATCAAACTTTTCATGCTTTGCGCGGTGAAGATTTTCTCAATTTTGACGCGTTTTCCAAAGAAATGATCGATTCAAAATATATTTTACCGTCGCTCCAACGGTAATGAAGGCAAGATAATTACGTGCGTATAATAGCTGTCGTATACAGACAACGTGTACATTCGTCGTAACGCGTCATATATTGCATTTGCAAAAGTAACGAAGCTTACGTATGTAAGCTGTATCTTTTCGACGTTATTTTCCTGCGTTTTTTACTACATGTAATGGCAAGTATTATCCGTAAGATCATCCTATGTAAGTATAAAGTATGCAAAGACGTTAATTCGAGTATTTATTCACGAGAAGTTGGCCATTAAAGCATAATGGTGTATCTTCTGCAACAAAAGACTTTTTCATTGGGAAATCGGCAGTTGAAGGTGCCGCTTCGTAGATTCCGGTAATTTGTTCAACTCGTGCGAAAGACATCACGGAAGTTGGACGTTTATTCGTGCGTTGAACATTTGCAATGACAGTTTGCGATGATGAAAATTTGTTTGATTTTTCAATGTGGATAATCAACTCAATTTCCCGTACGTGTATAATTACGCGTACAATGTTCAAAAATTGTAATAGTTTTGTAAAAATATTAAGCAAATTCATTATCTATGGAGAGCTCGTTCGTACGGCAGCAGGTGGCTCAGCAGAAAGAAACAACGAATTTGTGCAACTCACCGGAGAGCAGCGAGTCGAGATTGCGATGCGTCGGGCTCATGTACGTTTTTGGCACAGGCAATTTGTGCACGAGACACTTGAGCGCGAGCCTCCATCGGCTGGCCTCGCGCAAATTATCCTCGTAACGATCGAAGGAGCGAAAACGCAGAGTCACAGTCATGCGCTCGCGACGCCTCGCCTGCTGCTTCTTCTTCGTGGACGACTTGGTCGAGCTCTTGGACTTTTTCAGCGTGTACGCGTACACGTAGAGGTAGGCCGAGCTGTCGTACTCGTCGTGGGGCAGTACCTGCTCGCTGGTGTCGACCAGTCGGGGCTGGCCCCTCGACGCGCCGCTGCCGCAAGCGCAGCTTCCGGCGCTGCGACGCTTCGACCGCAAGCACCTGCAACGCAACGGATTATCATGCATGTATGTCATTGTGATATTTACCGCGAGTATCGAATACGATCTTTATTGGACCAACGCAATTCTCTGCTGTATATTTACGTCGCGCGAGATAAACGAGCGTCACAACATTTGCACAGTAGGAGCACTCGGTCGCGTGGGTATATATCCGCCTTTCACTATCTTTTCTGCGGCTCAAATATGGATACATACGCACGTAATAGATCTGTGTGCGTGTGCAAGCATGTTGGTATATTACGTAGTCAACGCAATCGTCGCGCGCTTATATTACGACAGTCCGCGTGTTTTGCGTCTCCGCACTATGTAAGTGTGTGTTTGTGTGATACATTACCTGCATCCAATTATATCCTCGACCGGTATGATCTCGGTTTTGCTCGGCGAACAATTGCTCTCCTTTTGCAAACTCAAGCCGCGCTCGGTCAATCTGACCCTGTACAGGCTGTTGCGCTTCGATGATATGTAAAAAATTTCCTCCAACAGCGCCACGGGCTTCTCGGCTTGGGGCGATTGGGGCGGCAACGGCTGCTGCTGTCGCTGATGGTGATGACTTTTACAAATGTCCTGCTCGTTCGAATCGGCAGGCCCGCCGTTTTGTTCCTCGTTTTGGCCATTCTCATGACGCGATTCGGTAATCTTCCGCATCTCGGCGAACCTGGAAAAGTACTACGTCAGAGCGCCTCGTTCGACATTGCATCTCGGTTCAAGGTGAAAAAATGCACTTTCATTCGCGAAACGATGCCTCGCGTATTTCTGCCGTCGTGTTTTCTCTGTCTTTTCGTCAGTAGATATAAAGAGATGAGACGAGCGAGCCGACATTGAAGCGGGTCATCGACACCCCCCGACTTCCTGGTCGTCTTCGCGTAACAATAGAATAGTCCCGATTAAGAATTAATATCTTCGTTGATCTCGTTGTAAGAATGAGCGATCGTTTTTTTTTCTGCGCAGCTACATTAATTTCAATTCCACGCGATCATATTTTGCGGCTTATCGAGTGCATTTTTTTCCCGCTTCGCCGCCTATCGATCGAGGAAAGATCAACAGGACGATGCGTAGCACGAAACAAGAGTTATGAGTTAGAAAAGAAAAAAGAAAAAAGTTGAAATGTCGATGACGATGCCGCGTGATGATTATGCGTTGCGCCGGATATTGGATTACTTGCAACTGCATTCCGAGAGCAAGCCCAAGGAGCCATAGAAAATTGCAGGAATACCGCAACCGCGGCTATGGAGTTACAGTAGTAGCAGCAGCAGCTACAGCTATTGGATTCCGTTTAAACGCACGTGTGCGAGAGCGACGCGATCCTCGCCTGTATCTTTTGCTCGCGCGCGACCCGCTTACTTTTGTTCGGCTTGCGTGACGCAGTTGCAAAAAGGAGCGTTAAGTACAGACATTTACTATCGTATCACGCGCACCTTGTTAATGGCTCGTTTTGTTTAGAGGCACCCCCGAATTTTTGCATAAATAGCTACAAAATAAAACAATTGCAATTTCAATCATACTGTTTAGGTTTCGATGTAGATAAATTTCATCGTTATTACTTCCTCCAGAACAAAGATCTATGGAGGTTTCAAAAGTCGCTTTTGAAACCAACTGCCATAGGAAAATTTCTGAACAACATGAGCATGTGTGGGCGTCAAACATTTGCTCGAGACTGTGTCAGCCAATCCACGTCGTACGAGTCGCATTTTTTTGTTGACTATACTCGTCAATGAATCTCAATTTTCATTGTATTTAAAGTTCGATATTTTAATAAAAATCTTTCTTCAACAAGGCCTTTTCTTAACGAGATTGAATGAGACACGAATTAATATGGACGTATTCATTTATACTTGTGTATCATCTTATAGCTTCAACAATTGAAAAGAGATCGCATTACTGAGAAGAAAGAAAATGTTTAATCTCATTCGTTTTGAATACATTTTATTAAACATACACCACAGTTATAGTACTGTATAAATTTTAAACGACACATCTTCACGACTCATTCGCGAACGTGCACGAGTTCTCTCAATTCGTCCGATTCGAATATAGAATCCTCTACTTCCCCAAAAATAAACTACTAGTTTAGATACGCTCAAAATTTTTGAATATTCAGCTTCCAATACCATAGTAAAAATTCACGATTTTCGGTCATTCACCATTGGCTTTAAAAAAAAAACAACAATGCCCAGTAAGTGACGTTCGCCGTTGTTTCGCAAGAATGTAATGAGCTACGCTATTCACTATTCATTGACGCGTTTGCCTTTAATTTTTTTCAAATTTTCGAATATTGACTCAGGAAAAAGCCCAATAACAAACGTATAATCGATATCAAATACTCTCACGGTATTTTAGTGTAGTTAGCCGAAGCTTACATAGCCGGAAACAATCGAGCCGCGACACTTAGTGAGTTCTATAGAAAATTGATAAGGAATCGAGTGAAAAAATATTTCTATCTCATTCATCGCGTTCGAAAACACCGTTCGTAAGTGTAAGCAATACTGACACGCTTTTTTCCATTTACGAAAGACAGATTATATTTGTCATAAGTTACTCACGTGCGCGCGGCCGCATATTCACTAGAAGGTGAACAATTTTTTTTCTCTTTTTTTTTAACAACTCTTTATCGCGACTCTGGTATATAGCGGTTGAGCTTATTCTTTTTCAAGTCACTAGCGTGTAAATAATGCTCGTACCTAATGATACACATCCTATAACTGTGCCGAACAAACGATGCTTTTAATTAAAACCAATGACTATCGTGAGTACTACCATGACGCTACGTTCCGGTGTGTGAATTGTCAACAAATCGCCACCAGCATGTAATGAACTACAGATAATAATGTAACGTGAGAGGGAGAGTGCATCAAGTCGCACAGTCGCATTCTTACCTTTATTCATCAATTGACCCTCGTGAAAAAATACTTTCGATGTCCTTTAACAGCTACGTGTATACGGAAATGAGCGTTGACGGCCAGGAGCATGTGTAGGCTGTGCAAACGTGATCGCAATTAGCTGTATGCTCATTAGAAACAAAGAGAGACTCGCGTGCTTCACTTATACAGTAGCACGCGTGCGGTGAGCTTGATACAGCATCCTCTCGACGCGCGCACAAACATAACACTCACACAGATGCACCAGAACGAAATACTGCAGAAAAACTGCACCCGATTACTTTACTCCTGCACAATGGGCCACTCACGCACACACAAAAAGCCGTGTCACGCGACAGATGAACAAACGAGAAGAGCAGTAGCCGAGAGGAAGAGAAAAACAAAAACACAAGTTATGCGAGCTGTCCAAAATATTTCGGCTCGTCCGTTCTTCTTCAGGGGAGACAACGACAACGACGACGTGCTTAATCGCGCGAAGCTCATCTGCGCGAGGATTCGTGCTGTACGCGTGATCGCTGCTGGAGCTCGACTGGCACGAGTAGCATCCGCGGAGATATGTAAACTCGGCGCAGGGATTACTCTATGTTCTCTTATTCGCAGGCGCGCACAGCTTTGTGCTGCTGCTGTTATGCTGGTTACTGGTATAATATAACGTTCGCTGCGTCCCGCGATAGCGCGCGGCATATCGCATCTTAAAGCGGTGGTGGGGCGCAGTACTTCGCACAGTGCCTGGCTATGTTTATATACAACGCACAGGCTGCGCGCGGGCTCGTTACACATGTGCGAAATATTGCGCGACGAGGCTCCGAGTTCAAAAACAACCGCAGCTGCTGCTGCTGCTGCGACTCCTGCCTCGGCCCGACTCCGGCGCTCTGCAGCCACCTTAGCTCGAGGTGTATACGAGGTCAATGGAGGGAACAACTGTGCAGCAGCTTTAAATATAACAGCACACACGATGGAGCTGCGGAGTTCGTACCTGCATTGCCCAATGTCGTATACTCTAGTACCTATATACCTACCCTGTCCTAAACGTACGCGCTGATTTTGGAGCAAAGTGAGAGTAAAATTTGCGACTTTCGCCTTTTGTCCCTCTGTAAAAGACAAGCTATTGAAGCGAGCGCATGCGTTCTCGCTCCGAAACCCCAACTAAAACTTTTCGTCCGTGCCCTGTATTAATAGTCAATCGAGCGCGCGATTGTTTCCTTAGCATCGAGATCTGCATATAATCTGTGCATGCGATCGTGTGCAAACCTTGCGCGGCCTCATCGTGTGCAGGATTTTCATATTCGATCGACACGCACGACTCTGGGATTTTATTCATTCTTCGACCGCCAGATAGCAGTAAAGACCAATGCGAATCGCGATGCAGCTGACAATCTGTCACTGGCGAGTGGCAAATTGCCGCAGCCACGTGCTTCATTCCGATTTCTGAGGCCCAAACAAGCGCGCCTTGGCTTCGACTTTTCAGCTTGTCCAAAGCATACATTATATTGACACAACGCACGTCGCAGAATTGTCGAGTACGTTATACATTGATGAAGAGTTTTTTTACCCCATAAAAAATAAACTTTAGCCTCGTTCGAACCCTACCGCAATGAGAATTGTATTGCATCAGAGGTAGCATATTAAACTTTGGCCTGAAGATATTTACTTTGAGTTAAATGATTCAAAATAGCACTGCGACTTCCAATCACAAATTAATTTTTCTCTTGCAAAAATGTTGTATTTACCAAGAACAGGACATTAATTTTATTTTTCGGGAATTCCCTATAGGTACACTTGGGAAAGTATACAATCAATTTGAGATTTCAAAATACGGTGTAGGTTTCGATACCGTCCGAGATCAATTGAATCAGATTCACGAACCACTTGCGACATCCATGATCAAAACAATAATATAGATCATTTCAAGTGTTTATTACTCAAAAAATTGAGCTTACTGATCTACGATTAAAAAGAATATACGAATAAAGTCAAGATAAGAACATAAAATTTTACATAGGAAAAAATTCGTTTAATTCATGACAAAAATTTACAGGAAGTAAACATTAAAAATTTCAATATGAAATATCTCATTTAAGTACATTTACATAAGAGCTTGCATTAAACAAAATGTAAAAAAAAAAATAATTATTTATCAGAAACTCGCCTGCAAACAATGTTATTTGTCAATTATATAGTCTGTCACAACAATAAAAAAGCAGACTTTTTCTAAAACTAATTTCAATTAAATACAAAAACAATTGTTACATCTTGAGTACATTTTTAGCAAAATAGTTATATTCATCATTGTCACAAATTCAATGATAGAATTACAAAATAGCATACTTCTTCTTTACAGTCAATTATGATTTTCACAATTTTAATGATATCAAAATGAAGTGTTTCTCTTCAGTCAATAACCCAAAGAACGTTCACGCCTGACATTCCTAGATTGACTCTACCCAACATTCCATGATCCCGAGTTTTCACGGTATACAGAAACAGAAGGAAAGTATGGAAAAAATTGTTTCGTCCCTGCATGAAAATAATACATTTTTATTATGAAAATAAATTATTTCAAAATTATATTTTTTATCTTTTTACCCTTGGAAGATCCTCAAACTCCTGACTTGTAGAATCTCCAGTTAAAGCTAAGCAATAATGAGGCGGATTTGTAGTCTGGTTTACAATTATAGGACCCTTGCTACGAGGCAAATCAAACCCTGATTTTCCTATATGCCTAGATGTAAATGGTCGGGCATCAGGTTGATTCAATGGTGCTTCAAGTTGTGTATCCATGTATGTTGCAACTAGATGCATTACAATCTAAACAAAAGGTTAAATTTATTGACAGGAAAGATAAATTAAAAAATGTTCAAATCTATGTGTATTACAGCTGTATCTGTTGGAAGACTAGTATCCCACTCTTTGCCATTATGAGATCCACCTGAGTTCCACTTAAATTCACTCATTGATCCACCTTTTGCAAGAGTTTTTATGCGATTAACTAAATAATCTTGATTGCTGCATAATTCTAAAAATGGAACCAATGTGGGCAGAGTAGGGATAAGTGAAGCTGAAAAAGATTGAGCAAGTTTTCTAAGTTTGTCTAGTCCCACTGATCCTGGCTGTGAGTCGCTAAGTCCATGCCGAACTAAACTAGCACAAACATTATCTATTTCTCCTGCAACTCTTACAATTACAGTTTTGCTAATCCACTATATCAAAAAGAGATGTATATTTAGTTTTTAAAGCAATATAGATGTCGTCTATAATGTATTTTAGGTCATCTAAATTACCATTCGCAAATTTTCAGTCCACTGATTAACACGGGATGAATCAATTCTATACTTTCTCCAAACATCTGGTGTACCAAAAACTCTAGGAGAGTTTCCTTCTTCCACTCCAGGACTGGATGTTTTAGATTTATCTGAAATTTGATTCATTAATCATTTTTTGATTGAAATTATAAATTGAATGTTACATTTAAAAGCCTAAATTACCTATTGTTGGTGCTAGTTGATAAGCACATCTTCTTAATAATGGTGACACTTCACCAGGGTTTCGAGTAGCTGGATGTGACCAAAAAGAACTTAATAAATTTGATGGTTGATCAACACTTGTGGTATGAGGCGTAGAAGCTTTGTCTTTTTTAGTAACTTCTTTCAAGTATGTTTGTAATTCAGTTTCATCTTGAATAAGATCTTCTCCAGTATAACTTGCACTTAGTGAGTTATTTAATGATTTATTAACAGAAACATTAGGACTCACAGGTGATTTGCAACTTAAGGAGTTATTTTTTTTTGAAAATAAACTAGATGTCGAGTAGTCCTCTGTATCAAATAAAATTATTCATATATAGATCATTATTTATTAAAAGAATATAAATCAATAATTTTGAACTTACTGCTATCATTTAAAAGTGAGTGTCTGCTAATGTTCATACATGAAAAATTCAATGCTGAGCTTGCTTCAACTGTTTTCTGTGGAGTAGAAACTTCATGTTGAAATAAGGGATCATTATCCGCAACCCCCAAAAGTTTTCTTTGTTTTTGATTCAAAGTAACTGGTTGTAAAGTCAGTTTTGCTGTTACATACTTTATCAAATGATAAAATGAATTTATAGAAAATATACCAGCCAAAATCCATTCTATATAAACTAATGGATTGTAGTTTATTACTTCATAATATCTAAGGATAATTGAAAAAGTGTTTTATTAAAATTGTTACAAAATATTTAAAAATGACATATACTTACAAATCATAAACCACAATAGCAAATATAGCGCTGTTGATGTAGAAAAGAGTGAGAGAATTTTTGGCTCTGTTTTGATTTTGCCGAAGATCTAGAGTTTGCTGAACTTGTGGTTTAGGAGTCAATACTCTGCAAATGATAAAAACTATATGTAAGACAATTGTACACAAAATTTTTGCCGGTGAATAAATTATGAAGATTGATAAACAATAATGAAAGAAAAACAATACCTGGCACTAGGCGAAATAAGCCTCATCGGCGAATGAAAATCTCCCATTTTTAATAAAAGAAATTAATCTTTTCTCAGAATTATTCGTAATATGAAGTCATAATGGGTCAAATTTTATAACCTCATCCCCTGTCTCTTTTCGCGGGTTGATGTGAAACTGCACGCTGGCGCTGTGCGCAGCGCACCGGCGCCGCAGTACCGACCGAGAGGCGAGAGCGGGGAGACATATCGGGGGACAAAAAACGACGAGGTTACGGCTTTCTGATACTTGCTCAACATGGTAAGGGATACACGCTCGTGATTAATCGCAAATTTTCTAATTCTGTTTATCATAATCAACAATATATAACAAACAAGTACCAATATGAACTGTTTATTCACACGTGACAACATTAATTTTCCTTCCAGGGTATTGATATCAGCCATAAACACGACCGTAAGGTCCGGCGTACGGAGCCAAAAAGCCAAGATGTCTACCTACGACTTCTTGTTAAGGTATATTCAATTAATAATAACTAATTTGACTGTTTTTAGTAATTCCTTCATCCCAAGTTACCGAATAGCATAAACCATTCGTAATTGCATAGTTAAACGAATGCATCGAAAATTCCATGCACTTTGTTAGGTTAACTATCAGCATGTCATGTGGAACTAGATACATTTTTCTCCTGTGTGTTCTTATATAAATTATAACGACTCTTGCGAACTGCACTCTGTGTTGGAAATTGTCAATTTTCCAGTCCAATTTATATGTTCGCTAGATTAAAGATCAACCTTCCTATTCAATCTTTCTGATCTTTCTGAAAGATTATTATTCTGGTTGAAACAGTTTAGTTAAAAAAATGTTAATTATCATGTACAATCACTCCCAAAGTTTACTAATTATGATTTTCAATTATGTAGCTTTATAGATTCTTGGCCAGAAGAACTGACGCCAAATTCAACAAAATCATCTTGAGAAGGCTTTTCATGAGCCGTAGAAATCGTCCACCAATTTCATTGGCTCGTGTTGTTAGATTCATGAAGAAGCCAGGTCGTGAGAATTGCACTGCTGTTGTTGTAGGCACTGTCACAGATGATGCACGCATCTTCGAGGTCCCAAAAATGACCGTAAGTAAAGATTAAATCATAAAATATTCAAAAATTTGTTTACAAATAAAGCCGAAGATTTTTAATAAATAATCTTGATTATCAATGTAACTGAAAAATGTATATTGAATAGAATCTTCTTGATTTTTTTTCTAAAAAAATCATTTATTGTAATATATTTTTCCAAATTTTAATTGGACACATTTTATTTTTAGGTATGTGCTACTCATGTGACTGAAAAAGCTCGTGGTCGCATCTTGAAGGCTGGTGGTGAAATCATCACCTTCGATCAGTTGGCTCTTCGTTCACCAACTGGCAACAAAACCGTGTTGATGCAAGGTCGCAGGAATGCCCGTGAGGCCAACAAACACTTTGGCCCAGCTCCAGGTGTGCCTCACTCGCACACTAAGCCTTTGGTCAGATCAAAGGGCCGCAAGTTTGAGAGAGCTAGAGGACGCAGGAAGAGCTGTGGTTACAAGAAGTAAACCAATATTATAAATATATTTTTATAATTTTAGTAGAGTAATAAAGACCATCATTTACTATAAAACATTGGCAATTACGTGCTTGATTGTTGTCGATTAAACCTCATCGTCAAACATTCCTTCTTCCTCTCCCTCGTCCTCCGATAGTCCTTCGTCGCATTCGTCGCCGGGCTCGCACTCGACCGGGAAGTAATGGGTCGCCTCCTCGAGGGCCTTCTCTTGAGTCTCGCTGACGTGATAAGGTCCGATACCAGCGAACGAGAGGAAAGACTCCGGACTAGACTTTTTGACAACGCAGACGAAAACCTCGTAACTGGTTTTCTCGAACTCCTCCTCGAATCGCTCGATGTTTTTCGTCAGCATTTTCGGATGGGGCAGCTTATCTCGCTCGAAGACGGCGAAATTCACGACGTCTTTGTGATAGGCCTCCAACGCGAGGGCCAGCTCTTTTCTCTTGGTGCTGTCAAATTTGAAGAGCGTCACAGGCACGTCTTCCTCCTCTTGATACTGCGGAGCGACAGAAGCAGAATTGACAGGTCGGATCTAGCTAATCGTATCTTGGATCGAATGAACCGCTTACCGGGAAGTTTGAGTTGACGTATTTCGTGAAGAGAGCTTGCAAGCCGATAACTTTGTTTCTCGCGTTCAGTGGCACCCAAGCCGTGGTGAGGCAGAACAATTTATCCGGTATCGTGGACATGCTCTCGAGGTCCTGATGTCCGCACTCGCCGAACGTAGGCGGCGCGTGCCTCTGAATGTAACTGCAAACGAAGCAAGAAAACGCGTCCCCTCGTAGAATCTCTAGAAGAGCTCGGTAAAAGATGACAGATGATAATTACCAGTCCTCGACGAGCTCGTAGGTCGTCTCGGGTACGTCGGTCTCTTTGTACAGCAGATTGATCAAGCAAGTGACCGAGTCGAGCTCGTCGTGCCTCGTGGCGGTGTACTTGAGCCGCAGCACCATGGCCTTGCCGTCCTTCATGAGGTGTCGCGTGTCGTCGCTGATGTTGCAGTTCGTCTCCTTGATCAACTCGGCGATGAGCTCGTCGTCGATGTCGCGTCGGATCTCCTGCTCCACCGAGTAGCTGCCCGGAAGGATCTGATCGATCAGCTCGAGGTACGGCGGGCTGTGCTTTTTGTCGCGCTTCTTGCCCTCCTCGTCCTGGAATATCCAGGGGAACAGCACGATGTAGGTCTCGCGATCCAGAACCGCCAAGTAGTGGCTCATTTTTGCCTCGTACTTCCGCCGAGCTTTCGCCTCTGATGATGATTACGACAACGATTTTTTACAAACTTCGACTTCTTTTTATCATCGTCGATCCGCTTGCACTTACCTATGGCGGCGTTTTTCGCCGCTTCTTTCGCTGCGATGGCCTCTTGAATGTTCTTCATTCTTTGGTACTCTTTGTCGCTTTGCTGACTCACGGGAAGCGAGAATCTACCGATAATGTCTTATTTTTATCAACCCCAGTTTATTTTCGCCCGTATGAAATGTTATTTTCCACTTACATCGGTGGATCGTTCCGTTCCAGCCTCTTAAGTTCTGCAGTCATGAGTTCTTGCAATTGTGGACAATTGGCGCCAAAGCTTATGTTAACCGATTTTCCATTCTGTTAGTGAAAAAATATCGAATCTTTATGGTGTGCAGAAAAAACGAAGAGATACAAGTTTCGGACTAAAATCTTACGCGCAAAAACAACCACGTTGGCTCACTTCTGCCGCGAAAACGCTTCAAATCCGTGATATTGTCGCATCGAGCCTGTGCGAGTAAACGAAAAAATTTCATGTAGCGATCGTGAATTTAACTTGATAAAAATATAGACAACAAGTACCGTGGCGTAGCTCAAATTGTCACCGCCAATTTCCATTTTGATTTTTTTCAGTATGCTCACCATACCGGTGCACGGACCGCTCCAGTCGGAATATACGTCGACAACTGTGGCGATCAAAGTGAGATGGTTAATAAAAGTTTGGATCGTTAATTTTAGATGAGACGAAATAATGCAACGTTATGGTGGATTACCAACGAGCCCAGGACGCTCGACAATTTTGTTCCATTCATCGTCATTTGTTACGTCGGCTTGAAGTGCTGCCGGCTGTCCCTTCTTCGCCATCCTTCGTGACTTGCTCTGCAAGCCACCCTGAATGGATCGAATGTATACGATTAATTATTGCTATTTTGGACATTTTTAAGGAAAAACCGACCTTCTTTCGGCCCAACATTTTTAAGTAACGATATCAGGCTCGGCAAAAAAATCCTTCTACTCGTTTCGGACAGCCAAGAAAAACTAATCGGTATACGTGGGTCTTTCACGGTGACAGTGCACCTCAACACTATTTTTCTCTCTCTCTACCTCCTATTTTTTTTCTCGTAGATGGGACAAAAAAGAAGAAATAGAACACGCGACCCGAAAAAAAGAGACGGAGAAAAGATATGACGGCGTATACTCGAGAACTGAACTGAGACATCGTTGGCTAAATCCGACGGTGAGGACACGCGTCAGAAGTAAGAAAACCATCTAACACGCGACGTATATATATTGTGTATTGGTTTTCGTTTTTTGCTTCGTATATAATAATACAGCCCTCCTTTCCTCCGATTCCGAAGGAACTCCTTCGATGCTATTTGCAACTTCGCTAAGAGAGGGTTTGCCGAGCTTCGTGCAAGGCTTTAATTAGGGGTATGTTATGACGTTTTCTGTGTAGGCTAGCATGCACAGCCCTAGTTTATTTTTTCAAGGAAGTGAAATGAAAATATGAAATCACTGCAGGTATATTTTAAAACTTTCTTGATTTACTCGCCGCTTCGTTAATTTTGCGATTAATTGACGCATCAATTTTTATGAATTTTTAAATTCTATAGGAAAACATTTATTAGTTTTATGTGACGGATTGATTTAATGTAAAATTACAATGAAAATCAAATCATTAGAGCCATGAATATTTGTCAACTTCAAAAAGCGCACTGAATTATCAAGCAATACGTTTGCGTGTCTCTGCGATATTTCATTCCATTCCTTGAGTGTATCGTGTTTCAAGCTAATTTAGTTTACTTATTACGAAAAACAGATGTATTGTAGGCTTCTGTTCGATCGCTACAAAAAAGACAGCGATTTTGGGTATTATTAGGAAATGACTTACCTAAAGTAGCGTCAGTCGAAGTTTAGTCTTCTTCGATGCCGTTCGTATTGCACTTATACAAGATGGAATTGAATTACTTGAGTAATTTTTCAGTCAATTTTTCACATTTTTTTAAATTTTTATAATTTTTTTCAAGTTCATAAGCACGGAGAATTTTGTTAAGGCCGAAACATTGCGAAAGAGATTGAATTTAGATCTTATCAATAAAGAGAAATGTTGGTTTTTTAGATACAAAAACAATGAAGTTTGTCACAATAAAACAGATTTCAAAATTTTACAATTGTACTGTACATTCTAAATGACCAAAAAGCACGCAAGATAAAAATTAATTCTCTTTCATTCGAAAATGTTTTCTTTAATTTAAAAACAAAATTAAATTTTCAGTTTGTCAGAATATTTTTCTGAAAAATCTACTGAATTTCACAACCTTCGTTCCGACGCGATCTTATCGTGTTCGATTAGGTATCTTCAAATTTTCGATTCCAATGAATGAAATTTACCTAAATATTTTATTTTTGTTTTAAATTATGAATATTAATAATATAAGTTGAAAAACATTTCTCTCATATTTGATACTGAAATTGAAAGAGAAAAAACATTACTCTGTCCAGCTGAAGATAGGATTTTGTTTTTTAGTCACCGAAAAATTTTTGAAAAGTGACCGGATGATTTGATAAACTTTTTTTTTGGGGGGCGTCGCAAATTGTACAATTTGATATCGAATTGAGACAAAAATTATTATTTTTCAATACGTGTTCAAAGATTTTCAATTCATATCAGGTTATTCATAACGGGAGTATAATTATATTAATTGGTAGAGGAATACATGTCGAAAATTTTTTAGTCGGAAACTATTGTACAAATCTATATGAAGGAAACTAATCAATTAAAAAAATTTTATTAGGAAAAATTTGAAAGCATTAAACATACAAAAACTGTTATTTAGACTCGATAATTAAAATAAATTTATTGAAAAATGTATTCGTATTCTTTTATTACATACTCAAAATTGTAAAAGTTGCATCTGGAAGCAATATTGTTCTATCACGATGGGTGTTGGTAGTTATATTATCAATTTACAATCACCTGCATGTCACAAATATAATACAATGCGGCACTTCGTTGCCAAGGTAATGTTTTCTATATAGCAGCGCGTTGAACTTATATCCATGCTTGTATAACTTAGAACAGCGATGGATCAAGCAGTGGCTTGATTCGTTCATTTGTGGTGACCACAAATTTGATTTACAATAAAAAAAAGTACATTATTCAGAGAATAAACGGAAACAGAGCAAAAATGAACACTAATATGAAAAAACCTGTTAATTCGGCATACATTGAAGGAATGAATTCAACAATGGAAAATAATTAAAATCAAAGGATTTAAGATCGAACAGTAATGAAAATGGTTTTTATACAATGAAAACAACATACCTGAATAATTTTTTTTATAAGAAATACAACATTTAATTTATTTGAGCGATTCTTAATCAATAATTCCCTAACAATGTCGAATGGAGCCACATACGTCGTCAAACAATGCTCATTAATCAAATACCTCTTGATAAAGAGATCAGCAATAAAAGCTTTGTTACTTGGATTGTTAGCAAGATACATCTTCGATTCAACTGTAAACTTTATTCACTTAGATTTCAAAAACAAATTACACTTGCTTTCTTTCAACATCACATTTCGAATTATCAATAGATAAATGATATATCAGTTAAGAATTATTATATAATCTATCAATAATAGTTAATAAAAATTAGAGTTATTAATACTAATAGTGTACAATCATTCATAACTTTCATGTAAAACAGTTGAAATGGATTATATCAAGAGTTCAATTTCCTTGGCAAACATGAACTTTTTTCATTCAGATAAATTAGGCATGTTTACTAAAGTTGTAATAATTAGATGATGATTTGTAATTGAAATTTACATTTTTTACACCCGTGGCACTTTATGTAAATTTCTCATCTGCAGGTAAATAATTTCAATGCAATCTTCTTTCATTCATACATTGCAAACTATGCACAAACTATCAAATATCTGTTGTTTAAATTGTTTAAATATATCACCACAAGACTGTGTTGCATTTTTTAACAATGATCACTTATGATAATATGTGAAGAATATTTAGCTCCATGATGTTTTTTAAATAGAAATCTTAACATAATCTTAATATTGAATTAGCCTTAGTTTAGTTCTCCTGTTCTGTTTTGCAGGGAATTATCGTTAAGTTCCTCTATATCACTTTCTCCATTATCACTCTTTACAATGATTCTCGCTTTTTTAATTTTCACACACATTCCGTTATTTTTTTCCAGAGTTTTTATCAACAAAATAAACTCTAAACCCATTAGTGCTTTTTTCATGTTAGTTTCAATAATTACACCATTGCTGTATATATGCATACATATGTATATATACATATATATGTACACCGAAGTATATGTATATACACACGTTCATTAATATTTATGCATGTATCTTGATTCCACTTCAAGTTTCTTTTCCTCTCAATTATTAAATTGAGGATAAAGCACAATTATTGTTCTTAGATGAGATATATAATTTCACTTTGTTGAATAGGCAGAGGCAACACATTACAGAAAACAAATTTGCGATATTGCGAGTTATTATAATTTTGTCCTTTGGCAAACATTTACGCAAATCCGAATCCTTCACTGCATTCATGTATTGCTTTCAGGAGATGACTTCTCAACTTGTCATAAGTCTCATAAACTGGTAGATCCAGCTGATTAAAACTGTAAATTAAAAAAAAATGAAATCATGAATGGAATTTTTCATCAATGAAATTTGCATTGTATAATGTTGAAAATTACCATGTATGCGCCGATGGCAGTCGATCGGTATTTCGGTCGTCTCGGTGAATTTGGAACTTTTGTACACCGTTCATACCCTCAAGGGCTCCAAAGCCTTGCAATGGAACTTTAGAAGTACCAGTAACAAATTGCAGGAATTTGGCTCGGTCTGCTTGATCGAAGCCTCGCAACGCACGCCAAAACCATTGAATCTGGTAAAATAATTAAGAACGTTAAATGAGCAACAGTAAGTAGTTTTAAATAGCTTTCACGCAAAGTTTATAATGTACCTGCAGTGATGTTGGACTGTATTTGTGATATTCGGTGTTTGCCTTTAAGTCTTCGATATCAACATTGGGTAACCCGCTGATTAACAACTCTAGTTCTTGTTCGTTAAAGATAGAAATAAGTCGCTTCGGAATGATGTCATAAAATCCTTCCAAGAAGGCAGTTAATCTGAGAAAAAATAAGATTTTTGATAATTTAAGATTGAGATAAATACTGTATAATTCATTTTATAATTGCTTACTGTTTACGTATGGCTCCGGTCATTTTCATTTGACAGACTAATCTTATGTACTCGAGTTTAGTTTCTTCTGTCACGACTATGTTTCGGCCGTTTGGTATTAAATCTCTTACATCATTAACACCAAATTCATTAACCTGAAAATGTAAAAAGTTAATTTATCATTTATTTTTTACAAATAAAATATACAAAGCATTTCCAAGATTATACGCACCTCGGCAGAAAAAGTTAGTTCGTATCCAAGGTCTGAGATGTTATTTTCAGTCAAATAAACGAGACCTTTGTAAAAACTGTAATCTTCGCTTTCCATGTCGGTGTGCTTCACAAGAATACCAAGGATGTGTTTATAGAAACTGCGCGTAAAGTAACACTCCAGTAGCTTATTGTCATAAATGGCCTTAGCGATGACTCGACCAACGAATTTATAATAGCACAAATGATTCGGGTTGCAATGAGATGAAGAATTGATCATGTATGTAACTCGATCGCCCGGACTCACAGTGAAGAGAGCATACATAGGGTTGAATATTTCCCTTGATATAATAACGTACCACTCACGAAGTAAGCCACCTGCATCTTGCCCTTCTTCGCCTTAAATGAAGAATTTAATTATTGTAATCATTCGATTATTCTTAGTATTAAATAGTCAAGATCATCATCGTAAATTTCTTTACAAAATTCTAACCTTCGAAAACTATGTAGAAACGATTTTTCCATTCGTCAGCGTTTCTGCGATGTAGTTCTCGGAACGAATCTTCAAAAACATGATTTCGGCGAACGTGAACTGCCAATTCTTCCCGACGAATACCTTCATCCATTCTTTCAAGTTCGCATCTGAAATACCTGCGCTTCACATCAAAATCTAGCACACGCGTGTGATCGACCAATACGGAAAATGGTCCGTCTGCCAGAGGTGTCGTAGTTTGGCGCAGTATTTGATTGAGTACTGTTCTGTGTGTTTCTGTGAATAAATTTGGATATTATTGACATTTCTTATAATGATTTTAGTATCACTACTTAATATGAAATTTTAAGTACCGGCAAATTTAAGGAATTTGAGTTGATCAGGTGGTAAAACTTTTTGCGTTGGTTCAGGATTGGTACCCCAAGGGTGAGATATTGGTTTCGCATTCGAGACTGAAGGAACGACATTAGCCGCAGGAGTTGATGAAGCTGGTGCATCTTGTTGAGCTACAGCGATACCTTCACCTGCGCCCGATTGGGCTGCTGCAGCAGTCGCAGCTATTTCGTTTTCGGCAAAAATGGGTGAAACCGGTGCTATTTCGGCAACATGCTCGAGATTGTCTGTTGCATTATCATTGCTACGTTCTCGTGAAGTGCTCGATGATGAGTGCACAAGGAAGAATGCCTCAACAGCTGGTTGAAGTACGAGCACCGCGTGGTGATCAGGTGTATGCTCAAGTTCTAATAAACAAGAGCTCAATGTTTCCCACAAATTGTCAAGGACTAAACTTTCACTTAGTAATGGAAGACTGTATTCAGCCGCCGTTTCGTTATCATCTTGTGAGCTTGAACTTTTCGTAGCAGTAGTTGAGGATTTATCTGCAATAACTTGTTGGGTTTCTATAGGTGCATTAGCTGGAACTGCTACTTGAGTTGTATCCATTGCAAGTGTTTCAGCTTCACCAACTGTCTCACTTGCCTCAGGCGCAGCTGATGAACTAACGTTATTAGCTGGTGCTGTTTCCATAGCATTATCAGACACTGGTAGTGGTAAATTCGCTGCTTGTACTGCGGCAGCAGCGGCTGCTTCGTCCGCAAGTTTTTTATTGTTAGCGTGACGCACAGCTTCTCGTATTTGTACAATTACTTTGAGAATACGTAGGAAGAAGGCTTGACTAGATGTTTTGCTTACTAAAGCAGCCATGGACGGTAGCTGAAGATCACTTCCTGCCTTCAATTTTGTAGGCGCTGTGATCACTACATTGTCGTTGGTAAATCTGGCAATTCATATAAAGACATTTGAATAGATGTTTAAAGAGATCCAAATAAATTATTCAAAGTAAAACTAACCTATCAATGAGAACACCTCGCCCCGATCCAGTTGCACTGGTTGATGGTTGATCTTCCGGTAGTGAGTTTCTTCTATGAATTTCTTTATTTAGTACTTTAAGTTCCAACATTAAATCATTAATGTGTTCACAAACCATGTTGGCCAATTCCATGGCTCCTTCCAAAAGTAATTTTAAAATCTACGAAAAAATACGTGAATGAAATGTTCGTACACGGTATTTTAATATTGCATTTTTTTACTTACCAATTGCCGTGTAGGATCTGGACAATGTGAAAGATTAAGTAGCAGAGCTGTAGCATCTTCCAATCCTTCTTCTGAGCAACTTTTGCTTGTCAGTACTTGAACCGCAAGTCTAATGTGGGTTTCTGGCGCAGCAATGCTTGAATCCTTAATTTCAAAGGATTTCTTTTTGGGAGCTTGACCTTCTTGACGACGGGACGATGGATTAATTTCTGTCAAACCAACCGAAATTAACGAAAGTAACCTCAGTAGTTTATCAGTTAACTGGCTGCTGCGTTTTATGACGGACCAGTGCAGCATCGAGATCAATTGACCAAATGCCGATACTTCAAAAGAAGAAACGGTTTGTTCAGATTCCATACCCAAATTTGAACTCGAATGCGTACGAGCAACCGATTTTCCTTTCTTTGAAGCACACGAATCAAGTCGCAATAACATATCCCAGAAATCAGGAGCATCGCTTTTAGTATTTTTATTGGTGGTTTTGGGTTTTGCACCGCTCTCTTCTCGAATCGCGAATCCCGTAATTTCCTTATCCTCTCCGAACTTAAGCGGTACAAAATAGGCTGGGAAAGATTTCGCTAGAGAGATGAGTAATTCTAAGGTATGTCTGCAGACTGTTGGTGCGGCTTGCGGATGGATAGTGACATTATGACCTTGTCTTTCCGACTTTTTGCCGTTGTGCCTCATTATGTGGAATACGTTAGCGCGACAACCCAAAGCTGCATCGATACTGATATTTAACCACGATTGAGAACTATTGCGCGCTTCAGAAGATTTAGGTGAACAGTACTCATTACTACCATGAGCTGACTTCTTTTTAAATTTAGAACTGAATTCGCCAAATCCTTCTTTATTTTCTTCATTACTCCGTTCCATAATGTTCAATAAAGCTTTCACGACCCATTCACGAGTATTTCCATGGTAACACAGATTTCTTATAACTCGATGGAGTCTTAGGGTATTGATTTTCGGTTCATCAATAAACAATAAGACTAGGAGACAAGCCATTGATTCGTGGTCGAGTAATTGCCGTCCTCTTAGTCTTAAAGGCGCGGGGCCTTGGTAATTGATGCCGCTATCATTCCTAGCACTCAAAGCGTTCCAATGAGACCTAGGTGCTTGATGAATAGCATATCTAGCCGCTGGTCCTCGACCTGCCAATAAATTATATTTCAATTTATAATGAATACGTTGCCAAAAAAAAAGTACACTTACGTATTCCTCGAGTCGTGTTACGTAATATACTAGATAATGTTGCATTGCCTTGACTAACGTGATTAAGGAATCGCTCTTGCATCATGTGTCGATTTCGCGTCTCCCATTCTCTTCGCAAATTTTGTGCTTCTTGTGCCAAATCCGGAGGAAGAACGGAGATTTGCGATTCTTCCATGTCCGTAAGAATCTATTTCACATGATAATAAAATCAAATTTTGGTTATTTGAAATTTAAAATAAAATATATATTAAATACTCAAGAAAAACATACAGCTTGACGTAATGACGGTTGTAGATTTTGAAAGAAAGCAGCAGCATCAACTGGATCTTCAGGATTAGCTGAAGCAGCTGCGTGTCTTTGCTGTTCAAGTCTCTGCTGAGCAAGTACTTCTTCTTGAATAGATGGAGGTAAGGCTGCTAAAAATTCTGGGTTGACTTCAACCGGGCCCGTTGACTCTTCAACAACAGTGGCTTGCGCACGTTGTCGAATTCGTTGCAAACGTAAGTGTTCAGCAATGACTTCGTCACGCATTTCTTCTGGCAACGCAGCCAAGAACGAAGGATCAACACCATCAAGCAGCTGTTCTTGCGTCTGACCACTCGCTTCTTGTGTAGCAGGCGTTTGTTCAGACGCATTTGAAGATGTGGCAGCATCGGTAGGAGCAGCATTATTACTTGAAACGGTAATTTCTTGAGTTCCAACGGGAGTTGAAGGAATAGATGAAACGTTTTCTTCTTGGTTTGTGGATGCCTGAGTATTTGGTACATGAGGTAATGGCGAAGAATCATCAACCGCAGGAACGTTTGACCCAGCAGTGGCTTGGTTCGAGACATTGTTAGCACTAAAAAGTAAAAATAAAGTTAAGTTTCTGATCATATATGCTGAGGATTAATTTTGATGATAATTTTTTCAATTACTTTCTCTCTGCCTCTGAATTTTCATCTGACAGGAGTCGTCGAATCCAATCAATTGGCACGGGAGGAGGCTCTTGCGAACCCAAGGCAGCTCTTGCCGTATATTCTATGATCTGAGCTGCAGTCCAATCTGTACGTGCACCTGCTAGAGGGTTTGCGTCTGGTTGTTGTCTTTCAGCTTGTCTTATGCGTGAAGCTTCTGAAGCCGAAGCACCTATTACTGAATCTACAAGATTTTCAGCGATTTCAGTCGCTGCACTTAGTGCACCCAAATTGTCGCGATTATCTGAGAACTGCTCGTCTTGTGGCGCTGGAGGTTGCTCTTCTTCGGGCACAGTTACTTCCATGTCTCCAGTGGCGTAACCTATAATGTTTGATAAAACACCAAACGAATAGAACAAAATGAAACAATTGGCAGATTTAAATATATCGTAGAAAGTAAAAAAGTTCAATAGCCCTTACCACTAAATTCTTCTGAGTTCCATTCTTGACGAAGATCTTGTAGAACAGCTGCTTCAACGGCTGCCCTTACTCGTGACTCAATATTTCTTGAAGAGGATGTAGATGGTAAAAGATTTACACTAGTGTTACTAGATTTGGAACTACTTTCGGACGTTTTTTTGTCTTTTTCGGTATCTTTATCAGTTCCTTGTAATTTTTTACTTTTTTCTTTCCTCTCAGCTAATTCAATATTCCTATTCTTCTCCAAGCCAGGAATTAATTTATACACTACTCCAACGCAACAATCAGGCTGTGAATCGCCATCCAAAAGTCGGCTTTCTTCGATCCACCAGTGTAAAGCCGTTGGTATATTATTGAGGGTCGCTGCAAGGCTTGGTCCAAATAGATATCCCGATTGATCTACCAAGTCGAATTGTTCGTCATCGGGATTAGCCATCAAACCTAAGCCATTGTCCATAACAACTACTCTAGCATCTCGGAATGAGGTGGCCAATAGCTGAGATGCTGCCAATGGAAGGGTTTGTGCAGCGGGTCCCAACAACCTTTGCAGTATTACAGGGGGATTAGCAACACGGGGATGATTCAGTTGCAGCTGGTATCTTCGTTGGCGCATCACACGGTTACGAGTACTAGCTGCATCTAAACTACCTTGAGCTAAGAGCAAAGGGTGCGTGTTAAGGGCATTTACTTCCGATGGTGATTCGCCGAAAGGATCGAGAGAGAAGGGGAAATTGGTGTTCCAGGGCAAACTTTGTCGGCCAGTTGGAGGTGCCTGGTTCATATCTTGAGTATCAAAATTATGTTGTATCATAACGACGTTGCCACCTCCATCGCGTTCGTTAGGATACATACGGAAGACTCCTTCTCCAACGTCTTCGTAATACTCAACACCTTCGTCCTCGTAGTTAGAGGATTCTTCCTCTTCTTCTTCCTCCTCATTTTCTTCGCCCTCGTCTTCTTCTTCTTCCTCCTCTTCGTCGTCGTCGTCTTGTACATCATCTTCGTTATCATCAGATGGATTGCTGTCGGAATCCGAATCAGAGCTCATCATATCCTCCTAAAATCAATCATCCATATGGGTAGTATAAATAAAAATCTATTTATCAAGTGATTCAGAAAACTGAGAAAACAAAAAAAGTCAATTTACCCCTACCGTGGTATCGCGGGCAGGGTCAAAGTCATTTTCGACCTGACTTTCATCTTCGATATCCATTGGTCGGTGTGGGCGGGAAGTGGGCTCTTCCGCCGCTGCCGACCCGTCTCTGGAATATAATACACTACTTGATTTTAGATTGGATACACAACATTTAGGCGTGCAAAAATAAATGAAAATGAATCGGCATATTGAAAATATTCATTTTATCTTACCTCTCAAGTAAATGATCCATTATATCTTCTAACGCGGCGGCATCAACATCAACGCTCTCATGAGCTTGACTTTCGGATGTAGGCTCTAAACTTTCAGCATTGACCGAAATGTCATGTTCAGTGTTTTCAGCATCTTCATTGACTTCTTCACCGACGGCGTTGGTTGCATCAGACGTAGTTGTTCCGGACTGTTGACCCAATGGTTCCTCTTGAGTAGTTCGAGTTTTAGGCTTCGGGAACTTATTATTTATTGCGCCTGGCACAGGCTGGTTGATAATTCTTGATAAAGTTTCAAGTGGTTTAAGCGCAGCGTTTATTGTTGCGGCCATGTTTGGACTCGATAAATCGAGACTGTGAGGTATTTTAGCCAAGTCAGTAATGACTCCCTTTTTGAGCATTACACGTACAATGTAGTTGATGTTGCCATAAGAGCCGTTAATCTTTATTGGGTTTCTAACAGCATTCGTATGAGTTGGTGGACAACTATCGATCATCGTGGATATAAGACCGATGAGTAACTGTAGTTGCGTGTGTTTCTCGTTGCTCTCTGGCAATGCAAGAGTTCGTGTGAGGGCAGCTTTCACTTCGGTTACAAGTGTACTCTGGGCATCAGGGGAATGATTGCAGGAGGCGATTGCTGCAATCAACATTCGAGCCATGCTGCTGCATTGACGATCGCTAGAATTTTCAGTCGGTGTAGGAAGCAAACGATCCAGCAGGAAGGCTAGAGCCGTCGTATCTTCCTGTATCAATTCGCTTTGACCAGCGCGATAAGTATATTCGGTAATTAAATTAGCAATGGCACCGTATGACCTCACGGTCTCAGCGAGCAACTTAAGAATTGCTGATTTCGGCAGCAAAGGCTTCTTGCCTTCTTCAGGTTCAATCTTGTTACCATTCGACGAGTCTGTGTACATCTTAAGCGGGATAATTTGTGAAACTTGGTCATCGTCGTCATTAAGTGGGTCGTTACTAGCTTGTCCGGTATTGTTTCGGAGTACATCTCCGCGTCTGTTAGTGCTAGTTGAGTTACTTGAAACAGTACTTAATTTCTTTTCTGGACTACCCGATGGTGGAGTAGTTGTGGAAGAACTTGATTCTTCAAAGATTGGAACAGGTTTGACCAAAGCGTTGAGCAGCTCGTAAATAACATCATTGAAAACTTGACCAGGTGCAAATGGAGGTGGGAAAGACGTAGGCACTACAGCTGTGACAATCAAACGATTGTCATTATCGTCGCGTTTAAGTACACTCAAATCAACTTTCAGTAATTTTTCGCAAACTTGACGATAGACCTCCGGATCACGGCATACGGCACTGCTTATTTGTCGAGTCATAAATAAGATTTCTTTATATGCTGGTGGAATGTTTGCCTGAGTTCGTGAACGAATGACTTTTTCCATTGTATGAGCAAGAACACTGGGTTCCTCAAGGGTATGTCTTATAAGCAAAGTGCTTAAAGTAATACAGCCGATAAAACTGCTAGCTTGGGTTATCTCTAGAAGAAGCTTAACGCCACCTGCTCGAGCAAATTCTTCGGCACTAGCATAATCACGTGTGAGGCGCAAGCAAACTTTCATTAATGCATGAAGAGTATCGCGATCAACAGGAATTGCAAGCAATCCGACGCAAGTTCGTATAATGGGTGAACGGAAGTCAGGATCAATCCCCTTGATGACACAACATCGCTTATCTTCCAAAGAAGCTGAATCTTCCGTATCCATGTTACTATCAATGGGAGGATCTGCAGCGGTGGTAGTCGTAGAAGTTTCATTACTGGCCGTATCATCTGCGGACTCTGCAGTAGTAGTAGTTTTAAAGCCCATGGTTATTGGTCTTCTATTATCACTATCTTCGTTTACTTGGGTCATGCATGAAAACGTTATCAGATATTTCCTCCGACTGCATGCAATACGCACGGTAGGCTCGCCAGCCCAATAAGCGTCATTTATAGCTCTATTGTTCGTCGATGAGTAAGCAGTCCATTTTCCTGAGCTCAGGTCAAACCACTTCCAAGTGCGATTAGTTACTTTATGCATAAGTTGTTTGCGCTGGGTTAGTACCGCGATCTTTTCCAAGCGATCGACCAACAATAACAAGGGAGCGAGCCATTTCGGTGTTTTAATTGATACAGTTTCCTTGTTTGAAGGATCTTTAAGAGCTGCACGATTTAGTTTATTTTTCAATTCAGTAAGAGGAGTTTGTGAGACAATAAATAACTGAATTAGTTTGTTTAATAAATCACTCTTCTCAACTGCTTGCGCACATGGCACACGCATTTCTTGGAATGTACCTTCGAAAAACAAAGTAAACAAATAAATTCTTCCAGCTACCTTGTTAGCTACATCGCATTCAGCCAATTCTACACCAGCAGTATCATCGCCTGATACAGCGATACTACGCAAATATAACGTGTATTCTTCAATTTCTCGAATCAATTGTTTGAGCATGTTGTCACGCCACTCGACTCCATTGCGTTTGGTAATTGTAACAAGCAGATCACAAATACGATACACTGTGTCAGGCATTATGTCCAATAAATTGAGACATTGTTCAAGTGCAGTGTCTGTAAACTCGTCTACACCATTGCCAGGAGGATCACGAACTATTTCTTCAGCGATGCTTACTCTTGGATCGGCATCATCGAGAGACATTGCAATGGCTTGCATCATTTGATCTTCATCACCGATTTCCAAATCCATTATAATTCCTGGAGCCGCGGGATCTCCCGCAGGTAAATCCTTAAAAAAAAGTTAAACATAACAATGGGATAACAATTTTCGGGAAATTTTGAAGTGAAATAACTTACCGATCTACGATGAGTCGCAGGATTGGTGAGTAAATAATCAGATGCCTGTTCAAGATTCAAGGTATGAAGCAAAGCTTCAATGCAGTGTGCTCTGCTGAAGCCCATTTCCATGAGATGTCTCAGGTGCTCTGGATTAACGTCAGGTTCAGGTTCTTCACGACGTTCTGTTGATGTTCCAGATCTATTAGCAGCTGCTCCGCTACCATTGACCGTGGTTTCTAAACTTTCTGTTTTTTCTGTTTTGTCTTTGATTAACTTTTCTCCATGTAGTATGTGTCGTAAGATAGATAAGATAGATTCAGTCATGCGCGGTCCATAACCTTTCAATGGTTTTTTACCCCACATATACATCACAGCTTCAAATGCTTTCTGTAAGATTTTTTTCAAGAATATTGTAAAAAATGTATAAATACTTAGCGTAAACTTAAGCGTAGCGTAAAAAAATTACCTTCTGAATATCTATCAGATATTTGTAAGGGTCGAAAGGTTCAAAAGATATACCCGTACATTTGGTAGAAACAATATGCGGGGATTCTAAGACGGCTTTTGGATTAACCATTTTTTCCAAGAGCATTAGCCAAACATCGAGAAATTCACCGGTTCCATCTGGTAAATCAGGATGTTCTAATCCTTCGGACAGTAGGAACTGATTTCCCGCGGATAAAGCCCATCGGAAGGTTCTATAATTGAATTTTTAAATTAAGATATCTTATCCATCAAATTTCTTTAAAAAATCAGGCAATAACTTACGAGAAAAAGGCATTCTGTCCACCTAGTTTAACAAATTTTTGTAACATCAAATGGTAGGGATGTCTTTTTTCATCAAACAACATTGGAGATGTAAATCCCACGGAACATATCAAGAAAGTAAGTTTGAATTTAGGCACTGGAGAAGCTGGTAATTTATCGTGAGAAAGTCCTCGCATTAATAAGCAATTCAATGCAGTTGCGACACTTCTCGCTGCCTGAGATGGTAAAATTGGCCCCATCGGTATTTGCTGCCCTCGGCGCTGCCTAACCGGTGAACCCATGCATAATTTGACGAGTAAGCCAAACAATTCAGCCAAAGCCCTTCCTAATCTTGAAGAAGCACCCAACAATGGTTTAATATATTTTTGTAAATTGTTAGGTGCTATTCGACCCATAAAATATGCGGCACTGCCAGTTCCATAACTGGTACTAGCTCTACTTTCGTCAATTTCCATAGATATCGGCGGAGGGTCTGTGCTGAGAGCTTCCATTGCCGTTGTCATGCCATTACTACTCATATCAGCTGATGATCCTGAGTTTGAAGATTCACCATCATTCTAAAAATAAAAAAAATAGAATGATCGGTACCTGTACGGCTACTTGTAATAATTATAAGAAATTTTAACTCATTTAAATTTACCTTCGGTAAAAGTTTTTCCATTTCTTCCTTAACAAAACTGGCCGGATGTTCATCGCTGCAAAGGGCTAGTAAAATTGTACTTTCCCACACTAATGACATGTACAATTCTGCTAAGCCTTTGAGTACCATAAGTCCCATATCCGAACCCCAGTGATTGATGGAAAGATTGCGAATCTCTGATTGACTAGTACGACAAACGTGTACAAACATAACAACGTATCCATGCGCAGCATTCATAGCATGCAATAAAGGGGTGTCACTTGTGAAAGCTGTTTCAAGGTTTGGCGCTGATAGAAGTTCACTAAGAAGAATAGAACCTCCAACGGAGTCTACAAGGCGACTGTGCAGAGGTTTCAAAATAGTAAGAATCTCATGAAGTTGGCTCAAACCAGTTTTTAGTACTAGTGGTTCGTGAGCTAAATTCTGTAAGAAGCAAGTTATATTAATCATTACTCTTTACTCCTACTTTATTAAAGAACTAGAGATAAATTTTGCTTACGAGTATGCTCTTGCAAACCGAAGCAACAGCTTGGGCAGCTTGTGCCACTGGATAGTCTACAGGTAAGTTTGGTAAACTGAGAATTGACAGAAGTGCTACCAAGCCTTTTTGATTTACAAATTCTCGACAATGATCATCTGTTGAATTGTTACTCAGTATAGCGTCGACAAATTTCATTACATTATGAATATAATCAACTAAAGCTATTGGTGTTTTTTCTACAGGTTGTTGTTGGGGTGCAACAGGTCCAGCTTGAGTAGACGGCGATGGTGACGGTTGCTCTTCCCGTTGAGGATGAGAGCTTGTGCTCGCTTCTTCTTCATCTTCATCTTCCTCGTCGCTACTGCTACCACCGCCAGCTCCCGAGCTTCCTGTCGGATCGCCAACGCCAACTCCAACGGATTGTCCTCCAGTTGGACGATTAGAGTTTCCACTGCTCGTTGCCGCATTCTCGGTTTTACTAGTTGCTCTGTAGCATATGTAACGAGGATCACAACCAAGAACACATAAGTCTTTAAGCAATTGAACAATAGCTTTCATAGCATCTTCTTTGAGACTTGGTTGATGACGCATTAACTCGTCCATAGCATTGCCGAGATTAGATGCTGTGTCACCAAGCGGGTCAGCACTTCTACGACGCCGCATGGCCGACAAATAAGTTGGAGATAACAAGACTTTGAAAATTTTTTCAAAAGGTTTTCGTCGGGTGAATGATGCCAGACCACGTTGATTCAAACATAGTGCGCTAAATATGTTTGGTAACGATCCTAAAACTTCGCGCGTAGCTGGTACCTAAAATAAATTCAAGATATTAGAAAAATTTAATTAACGTAATCCAATTTTCAAGTCAGAGTTCAACTCACATCTTTGTTCAGAAGTGCGTGAAGTACCACTTCTGTTAAACCATTATCTTGTAAATGTGACAACAATGAAGGTTCTTGGAACACATACACAGTAACAACGTCAGTTGCCAACAGAAACAATGATGGTCCATAATATTCACAATTACTGATGATATGTTTTAGTGATGATGGCAATGTGCCCTCCATAATGTGTCTTATGCTATCTGCAAATGTTAGATCCTGTATAGCTTTTTTTAAAAAATTAAACATAGATTTCAGTAAAGCAGCTCGTTGAGGCAGACACGTTTTTCCACTTTTTAACAGAGCATAATTCTGTTGAGAAGGCGGTTGTTGTGATTGTTCACTCAAAACCGGGAATTGTTTGTTTGATTCAGGTTTATCATCCTCAGACAACTCCATCGTATTTAACGAGGAATCTTCGCGTTCATCGAAATTTTGTTGAGAGTTTGATTCTGACACAGATGCTTGATGGTTTTCAACTGATCCGCTAGGACCTGAGGCATCTTCAGCTGGTAATGGTAAGTCACTTTCTGGTATGATTTCAAAGGGCTGTTCTTTGCGACACACGTTGACCTCCATGTCAAGACGTTTTATGAAGCTTGCAAGTCCATTGTGAGTTTGGAAACCTTGCATGTCTATGTTGGTTATCAAGTCTATTACTCTCACAGCTCGTGTAACAAACTATAATAAATAAAAAAGTAATAAAAATAATTGATCATATAAAACAAAGTTTGATTTTTGAAATTAAATTGATGTCTTACAGTAATGTGTTCCAATTCTTTGCCAGGCCAATTTATGACTTTTAACAGACTCTCCATCATACCGCAGCTTACAAGAGCTTCACCTCCAGCTTCGTAACTTGCAAGGTGATAAAGAAAACTGAAAAGCGCTGTGGCCAATGGCAAAGGAAAAGGTTGACTATCTGGCTGTGGTGATGTTAATGTACTAATGCAGGTTCGTACAAGAGCTGGTAAAAAGCCATGATAAGAACTTGCACCAGTCACGTCAATGATCATGTTCAATCTTGTACCAGATTTTCTGAAATATAACATTACAATTAAAATTCTTATTTTCAAGAATCATTATTTTTTGAATTAATGAAAAATTCAACTAACTTAGGATGGTGAGGATTACGATCCAAATGAATTATGCTTGTGAGAGTTCGCAATGCTGCAGCCCGAATCTCAACAAGATTAGGATGTGAAAGTTCTAACAATTCAACTAACTCCTCCAAAAGGCCAGGGTGGAGAAGACTGTGAGCATTTTCTTGAATTGCATTGCTATATACAAGCACAGATAGAGCTTGTAATCGAGCTTGTACGCATTGTAAGCGTCGTCGATAATCTGAAAAACTGTGAGCTAGCCTAATATGCGTTAAAAGAGCCATCTAAAAATAGCATATAACAATTAATATTGTTATTCATTGTATTGCCTAAACATGGTTAAGAACAAAAAACGTACTTGACGTTCTGGTGGTACATTGTACAGTTTAAGCAGGTCATTCATAATCTGTGCAGGGGTTTTACCAAGTTTATCTACATTTTCGATGTGTATATATGTTACAAGATTTGTCTGAGCAGTCTTTTTTGCGCTACTACTTCCAGTTGATCCACTGGATGTATCTAGTAGAGCAGAGTTTTCAGCATAAAATTCAAAATGTAAGGTTGTTGCACTATAAGGAAAACGCTGTAAATAAATTCAACAAATTAAAGACACTCCATACATTGTAAGTGTGATGAAAAGTGGTAAAGGCATACTTTATCTGGATGTTCTTTGCAGCAATCTGCTAGGCCAAAACCATTCTCTTTGCCTCCCCAACTCTGTTAAAAATTAAATTGATAAATTCTTTATTGAATAATAAATTCTATGCATTTTATACAAATGAATTATTACCTCTGCCAAATGATTTAATCTGCTGAGTAGACATTGTCTTTTATCATTATTTAATCGAGTAATAAAATTACTCCTTTTACTAAACATGTACAGAAGATTCAGAACACCAAGTACTACCTGCATATCACAACTGGACAACAGAGTAACAAGGTGTTCCATACTATTATACAAGTGGCGTGAAAAAGAATGCTCTATGAGCAATGTTGTGAAATGGAGAACCCATAATAACAAATCTTTAGCCTGAAAAATAAGTGTGACAATTAGCAATCAATTGGTAAATAATTAATAATGAATTTTGATTGTCAATCCAAAAATAAAGCTTACCTCTCTATTTTGTGGAAGGTCGCAAGCCAGTTCCCATGGATTATCTGGACTACTGGCAGCTGCTTTTTCCAGGATAGTATCACTTATATCTAAAATATCAATCCAATGAAACAATTCACATTTTCCAAAAGTCCAAGCATCTATTTGTTTGAGCTCTTCCAACAACACATCGTGGGAGCAATTGCGTAGTTTATTTATCAGCACTTGGCAGTCAGCCGGCTAAAATAATTTTTAATTTTTAAAACATTTTATTCAACTACAAATATTTTTAAGACATTATAAACTTACCACTTCCGAAGTGCACTTTTTTAGTCTACTCCTGTCAATCTTCATTTTGGCGATCGATTACTTTTTAAATTGTCCAAACCTGCGGACAAAATGAAAGTATTAGCTAAATCATCACGAAAAGAAGAAATGAAGCAATGTATTTGAATAATTGCAAACAATAATACGCTTTGTTATAAGACGTCGAATGATGAAATTCATATCTTCGCGATAAAAATATTCACGAAAGGCCGATAGCGTGTATAAGCAAGCAATGAGACATGCTTCGTTCAAGTCTGTACGAGATTTGCCACAAAATGCTTGCTATGTTGATTAGGAAATAAATCGTAAAAACTAAAGAAAAGTTGCTACAATAAAAACACGCAAATATTTTCTAACCTGTTTCTACCGGTGGTTAACGCAAATACTTATTGCACATATGCGCTTACATGAAAAAAAATGCGACAATCGTTTTCGGCTAGAGTTGCTATCGGAAAAGAGTATGAAAGAAATGCTCACATTCGCGACTTTCAGCTTTCATACGTCGGCGAAAAACTTACCGAGAGCATAGCGCGAATCATTGTCCTACACTAATACACAAGACGTCTTCGACTGCTCTTGTGTGCGATTTTTTGCACGAACGTGTATTGCCAAGTTGCGTTGGCTGATATTGGCCTCAAGCTCTCGCGTGGAAACGACGAGGACGGAACTACTCTACACATAGGTATAGATACACATGTCGCACTCATACGATTGTATATGCGCGTATACCTGTATCTGTAAAGTGCATAAGCCAATGCATAGTGTACATTCAGTGCATTGCGAAGAGATTAAATATAAAAAAAGGCGATTGAACCTAACCTTGTAATTTTTCGCGGTAGAATAGATTAGAAGATACAAAGGAACGGATATAAGTAACAGCGTTTACACGCGTTTGATATAAGAACTGACTACCTACACACTTTGCAGTCTAAGGAGGAGGGGAGAACGTTGATCAGCGTTATTTACGATTTCTGTTTGTGTGGATTTTAAGAGTTTGTCAGCTTTACAATATATTAAATAATAATGATGCGCTGGTCGTGTCTTTGTTGTCGTGACAAAATCACTGCTCGAAAAGTCTACTATCGTATCATCTTGCGCATCGATAGAAATTGTAAAACAAAAAAAAAACAATCTGCAAATGAAACAACAAACACAAAGAGACTTTAACTCTATATACGTTGATGTTAACTTTTGAGTTTTTCAGAGCGTGGAAAGACATTGTATTACATGCGTCGGGGATTGCGTTTGTTCGCTCTCACGCAGCGCGAGTCATTTCGACGACGATGAAAACTTTACGAAAAAAAAAGATTAATAATAATATATCTCCTGGTTTTACACGAAAATTACTATTTTTCACAGGCGCTGCTATCGAGACAATATGCACGAGGAGTGCCCTAGGGCCGTAGACAAAGACGCACTTGAAAAACGCACATAGTAATCCTAAAAACAATTACCTCTTCAACATTGCCTCGAAACGTACCGAAGTCAAATTCGTTGGAAAAATGACGACCAACGTTTCTCGACTCACAGAAACGGAAAAATGATCACAGAACAACACACTGACAAGTGTGTAGTAGCAACGTTTTCGAAAGATCGCGAAAACTAATGGCGCTCAATTAGCATAAATTTCCGTTATAAACGACGAGAGCGTGTGGTGCGTCGTATGCGAACGTTTAAACAAGCTGATGACGAGGTTTTTTGCTCACTATTGCGCTTTTTCAAAACAAAATCGCGAAACTCGCAGTCAAAGCCACATATACCTAGTTGTAGCGCGTATTCAACTTATCACTGATCTCGAGTACAAACCAGAAACGTAATATTTACAAGAGGAGAGATCGGGCATCTGGTCTCTGCCCAATGTATACTGATACTGATCAATCATACACAAATTTTTGACGTTCCAAAATTTCCCGTGCGGTTCAACACCACAACGCTCGTCTCGACTATTGTCGCTTGAAACTTTTCCCAGAACGCGATCAGCCAATACACATAACCTCTGTTGGCAATTTTGACGAAGCAGACTTGGCACAGACAGAGAAATGGCAAAGGCGCGTTAATCGCGCCTCGGACGAAACGACGAGGCTCGCTGATGTCTCGAATAAACAACAAGTTCCGCAGTGTCACATCTACCCCTCTCGAACACGTTCGCGCACTCGCGTATTCTAGGCTGCAGACCTTAACTAGCTCGCGAATAGGCTAACATGCAAAGATGATGAAAGTCCCACAACTCACCGTTGATCGACCTTGTAACGGATGGGAAGGTCCGTCCTCGTCGACGGTGGCACGACGGACGACGTGAACGCTGTCTCGTAGCAACCCGATGACGATGAGGTTGGCGCGCGCCAGCTGGGGCATCGCGCGTTACAGCAACACCGCGATCGCGATAATGTTTCTCTCGCTCTCTTCGTTATCTTACAAGCGATCTTTAATGCGACTTTGGGCAAACTTGATCTTTCAGCAACGTAATGTAGATTTCACGCTCGACATACAATGCACGCATATATAGAACAATATACAACAAGAAAAAAAGGTCTTCTCTCTTCTTAGCCTCGATGAGAGATTCGTGCGAGTTAGAAAGACAGAGAGAGAGAGAGAAAGAGAGTCTGTCTATACTCTGCTCAGCGAAGTGAGCCTGCATGCGAATATATATGTCTACAAATGTGTTGTATTCGTGTACTATACTTTGACTGCGATGATGCTGCTGCTGCCTTCTCTCCTTTCTTTCTCGCAGCTGGTGAGATATGGAGAGGACTGAGGACTCGCTCTCTCTCGCTCGCGCTCGCAGCGCGACTCGTTTATATCTGCTTGAATCTAAAGTCAAACCTATACATACACACTGTACAGTCTGTTTACATATGTGTATGTGTACGCTAGTGCATGTATCCGTCAGAGATGGTATATGCTATATGGTTCGACGTCAAGTATATACAGCACAATCGGTGCATGGGATGCTGTTGCTCTCTCGATGTAATGCTCGACACACCGTTGTTGTATATTATAACGATGCAAAGAACAAAGTCATCGACGGACACCAACAAAAACACGTAATGCACCTACTGATAGAGCATTTTTATTAATACGGACGTATGGAGTGCTAGCGACGACTTTTCTCCCTCAAATGGTCAAAACATTGCGTCGTCGCGCAATTGACAAATGTACGTTGAGCAAAATCTATATAGGATCGACGTTCGGGAAAATCGCTAAGCGATAAGCTCGATGATTTTGATCTGTTTCTTTCTCTTTTTCTTATCTCTCGACATCCGTATAATTATATATTGTTCATACAAGAGCGGAACGAGCGTCGTACGTCGACCCACGCGTACATATACACGTACACGGATTTTTCCTTCTACTGATTAGCCTGCTGCACTTGCTCAAATGCTGCTGGTGTTTTATTTTGCATGCATGTATACCTCTATACCTCGCACACCCAAAAACAAAGCTGATCTTTAAACGATTACAACACGACTCGGCCAATATGAAGTAAGAAAAAATCTTGCCAAAATTTTGGACGCACCTAATCTATTGTAGTATTTATAAGAGTGCGAGGATGCACCAGAGTCCGTAGCTGACTCGGCTCGTCGTCACAATCCGTCACCGTCTGATCTTGTCAATCGCTCGTGCACGCGACAAGTCGCCATTTTACGGAGCACAGCAGCGCACCGCAGAAACACGACACCGCTGTTGCTGATTTATCATGTATTTTAGTACGCATCCTAAGTCACGCATTGCACACACCTGACTCAGAATTTAGAATTTTAGCCAACTCACGTGTAGCAACTTCTTCGTTATGCACGCGAAGTACGAGCAAAGACGTATAAACTTATTTTAACTTAATTAGTCGCATATCATCTTACTATACGAACTGTATTCCAGATGTTCAATTATATGCATTGGATTGTATACCAAGAAAGCTCACGATATGACCTAATTCAAATCCATTTGCCGATTCGGGAGAAAATTCAAACTTTTTTCCGTCTGTGAATCTTCAGAACGAAAGTTTTGCGAAAAACTTGGAAAACTAAAATTTTTCTAGGAAATGGGGTTGATTTGAATTTAATGCATAATTTTTTCCTCAAAATAAGCTAACCCTTTTCTATTAGTTTTTAGAAGACGTATTAACGTGTTAACTTTTTTGTGCGATATGAAATAGTTCTAGTTACCTACATGGAGCTGCGAAAGATTATTATTTTCCTTATACAAAAGTTGAGTCATAATTAAGTACGAGTTCATCAAAGCGCGCGCAAACTGAAAACTATCACAAGTTAATCTTAAAAGAGGCTTAAGTGTATAATCTCGTGCAAATGGTTAAACTAGCCCATCATTTACTAAGCTCGCGAGTCGCGCGTTGATTCACGCGACGTTTTAAAAATATATATCATGTTTCTTGACGCGCTCGTTTACCCGTCACACGACCGAGAAAGGTTCAAATGTATGTTTGCTTATATTTTCGCGCACTGCAATACTGTAAAGTGTAAAGTCATGCACTCATGATTTCGATAATGTATATCAGCAAACAGAAAAATGCAGAAACAGGAGGTGGTACACGATACGAGTCGACTTGCGATCGTATCGAGCTTTCGGAAGCTTCCATTCGACCATCGGTGCTACTATTATGTGGGACATTTGATTTTATTTGTAGCGCGAGAACAGCGAGGACGAGATCGTACAAAGCTCGTGAATTCAATTAAGCGCCGAGTCATTATTGGATACGCCGCGGCTGTACCTCGCGAGTGCATGTATCGATGCAAGATACAGCCGAGTATTATACACGCTTGTAAGCTCGAGTGCATATGTACTTTCACTGTCTGTGGCTAGAAATCCGTTCTCCTTTTCGCGTTTACAGCTGCAGTAAAGTTGGCGAAAAAGCCATAGGTCTGCAGTGTGCAGAGAGCAGTCAGTAACTCGGCAGTCGGCTGTAGTACGTACGCACACACACGCGCGCACAGACACCCACACATAGGCAGAGGCTGCAGCACAGGCCGTGCATAAGTGTGCAGTGTGCCCATCGTATATAATACTTACTCGCTCGCTGTATCGCTCGCCGCCGCCGCCGACACCGTTGCCGTGCCAGAGAGCCTCTCTCTCGCCGTCGTGCCGTTGTCCGCGGCGCAGACGCCAATGGCGGCCCTTACGCGCAACAATGGCCCGAGATCGTAGCGCGAAACGCTGATGCCGATGCTCATCTCTTACCTCGCAAAATAATCATCGTGTATACGACGAGCACAAGACGAGAGCGCGAGCCAGGCTTTTGACATTACATGTGTGTAAGTGTGCATCGGTCGTCGTCGGCGCTGCGACTGCACGGCCCATTTTAATACATCATCGCATCCAACTCGAGAGCTCGCGACCGCTGCTCATCGTCTGACTGCTCGACGTTGTTGTTATTGTTGTTGTTATTATAATTAATACTCGCGCCGTGCGTCAGTACTCTGTGTTATACCCTTCGCCGCTCCGAACTTCGCGTGAGGTCATCGGCAACACGGCTCTTCCGCGCCGCGCATCTCCTATCCAAACGTCAGTTTTCGATAGGCACGCACCGATTTACCGCCGTTACATTTATCGTCGTCTCAACGTCAACGCACTCTCTTACGTACTCGTATCTTGTTCATGAATCGCCTACTATTGACTCTGTGTGTGACTGATTTTCTCATTTTCATCGCTGAGTGGGTTATTTTTTCATAGCCTTTGTAAACAGACTCGTTTACATATACACGAGTATCGTAACAGGTGTGATATCTTACCTCGTTTACATTCATAATCTACGAGAAGGGATCTTGAAGATTTCATGTGCCAGCAGATGTGTGACTATTAAATCCTTACTTCCAGTGCCAATCGAGAATTAACGAGGGTGTGTTATATGAGAAGGAACAAAAGACGTGCATTAGCGGCCACTGCTGAAAAACGTCGTGCATCGAAGCTAGGTCCGGCTCACGGTGCGGCCAATTACCTCGACGTTCCATGACTTCTACGCACGACGGCCCAAAGTAAGTTCGCTGCAAGATTCAAACTTACATGCAGTCCTGAGTAATATTGAATTCTTAGAGATCTAAGCACTCTTTCAAAATTTCTTCCTTTGACAGAGCGACAGAAAATGACAGTATTAGAGGCACAGGAGGAATCTGATGAACAGTTGAATCCACCAAGGAAAAAAATTTGTTTATCTTTGTCTGGACTCTCTGAAAAACGAAATCAAGGAGGTAACAGAAAGTCTGATACCCAGCCCGTTGGGCGGGCTAATAGTGGCCAAATAACACGGCATTTTCAATCGAGTAAGTTATCTTGAGACAAATAGCTATGATTATAAGTTGTATTGATACATGTTTTTCTATTACCACAGATACAGGAGGCAAAATGTTGAATGAGTTGCATAGATTAGGTAATAACAAGAGAGATACAAATTGTGATGTTTCATCTTCTGATGGTGGATTGAAGATAGCTACCCTCTGCAACTTAGGCAACACATGCTTTCTTAATAGTGTTCTATATACATTACGATGCACCCCTTCATTTCTTCACAATCTACACCATCTAACGACAGATCTGGCTGCTGTTACTGAAAAAGAATTATCAATCAAGGTATTTGCTAAATACTGTTGTGGATAAAAAAAAATGAAACATTCTCTTCACATATTGACTTTATTTTTTTAATTCAAGGTTAAATCGTCATCATTAGGAAGAGCAAATTCATCATCTATAAGTAGCAATAGTCGTAGTTGGAGCAATAAAGATCTTCCTTCATTAGCATCTGCAAATGCAGTTTCAGAACTGAACAAGCCTAAAATACAATTGGTAACTGAAAAATTACACGAAGTTTTTTCTTCTCTAAGAGAACAAGAAGCTAGAGAAAATTATGATCCATATCAACCAGATTCATTTGTACAAGCCCTCAGAGATGTTAATACAACTTTTGAAGGTAACCAACAGCAAGATGCTCACGAATTGCTTGTTTGCGTACTTGACAACATTCGCGAAACTTTTCAATCTCTTGTTAAACAACGAGAAGCTTTAAAATGGAATGTTAAGACGAGTGCAGCTTTTGAAGCAGAAGCAGCCGCTGCTGCTGAATTAAAACGTAATGACAGTGGAAAACGTGGATCAAGAGGAAAGATTGTTGTTAAAAAAGGCAAAAAAGGTCAACAAACACGTTTATCCGCTGCACAAACGACCCTCAGTTTAAATGGAGGAAAATTTACGCTTGAAAAACAAAGTTCCGAAAATGGTGATTCGCAATTAGCAACATCACCAACAACATCGTCGCCGACAAATTTAGAGGTAGAAAACCAAAAATGTTTCATATCAGAGGACTTTGAAGGTGTCAGTCTTCTGCGAACAACTTGCCTGGAATGTGAACAGGTGACAGAAAGAAAAGAGACTTTTTGCGACATTTGTGTACCTGTTGATTGCGATCGTGGTGATAAAGGTATTTAAAAAAACGATATTAATTTAAATTCTTATTTTTAAATACAAAAATAAAAATTGTTATTTTACAGATGAGAATGGCAAACAATTAGATCCGAGTGCAATTTACAAAAGAGCAGTAGTAACTAGTGAGCTATTAGTTGACAAAAACAAATACTGGTGCTGCGAATGTTTGCGATACAATGAAGCTAGACGTGCTATACATTTTCCTACTCTACCAAGACTTTTAGTTCTTCAACTGAAAAGATTTACTTCTGTTTCTGGGTAAATTTAAGAATTTCCTTCAAAATGAGCTACTTTTAACATCATTTTTAATGTTATTGTATGCTATCAGTGCAATGGAGAAAATAAACAATCACATGCCAACGCCCCTAACACTCCAGTGCTTTTGCGAGGATTGTCTGGCAGCAGCGGATCAAGCAAAACTCGCAAATACTTCGATGACCAGCCAAATGAGCTCATCATCAGCTACATCGTCCGCTCAACAAAATGCATTACCGAAAAAGCGGCATGTTTACAATCTTTATTCTGTTATTATGCATCAAGGTGCGACGATGACAGCGGGACATTATGTTGCCTACACTCGATTACCTGGAGAATCTGCTAATACTGAGTACCTCGAGTGTGAACGCGACAATGTTCAGCGTCAGCAGACTTCGCAGGTAAATTCAATATAAACCTTTTTTTTACCTCAGATAGCAGAATATTAAACCTGATCAAATTGTAGGAAAGTCTAACTATTGGCTCACAATCGAATGGATCGCAAACACCACAACATGACACCAAAATGCCTATAACATCGCTGTTAACAACTTGCTTTGGAAACAAATCAAATCTTCATGAACCACATCTTCGAAGCAGCAAACAACAACAGCAAATGCAGCAGCAACAGCAGCAACAGTTGAAGAAAGAGGGCTGTCAAGGCAATGAGTGCTGCGGCATCAAACACATGGCGCGTCAAGAGACCGGAACTTGGCTCGAATGCGACGACGAAGCCGTTCGAGTCATATCGCTGCGGGAGTTTCAGGAAAAACTCGCGCCAACGCTACGTAATTCAGCCACGCCTTATTTACTTTTTTACGTTAAAACTGAGACTGGAACATGAGGCTAGTAAATTCACTACCAATGCATCAGACCCGATTACTTTGTAAATAATATCGACGACGATGATAAACCGAGCCATATGCTAAAAGGATAATAATTTATGGAAAAAAAGATCGGCTCAACAACTCGAAAAACACAATTTTGATGATGACTGACTATACTTTTGACGTTGGCTTTGATATGAGAAACAATTTGACTGATGCGAAATTTATTCAAAGAATTTCTCTGCTGAACACATCGCCTTAGATTCATATAAAGAATATACTTATAATCATATTCAGTAACACTTACACATCACAGGCTGATAAATGTATAGATTTAAATACGGGCTATTTAGAATAAATAGTGATTAAATAATTACAGGGCATATTCTAAAATTTCAAGAGGATAAAACAGTATATCGTATACACGCTGTTCAATGCAATGTTTCACACTTATACTCATACACATACACACATTCCATAACATCGATTCTTGTCGTCATCACAAAATACACATTATTATAAAAAATTCTAACCGTAGCATTGACATCTTGAAAGGAGGCTGTAGAAAAATATGCTTCACTGTTTCATTCGTGAAACTGGATATTTTTTTAAATCAGAGCCAATTGTTACTCAAATGTAAAATGTTGACGATTATACGAAGGTATCAATGACTGCTCGATCATAGTCTTTAAACTTAAAAAAAAAAAATCTCATGTTGGTTTCTAACAGTTAGTAAAAATGCAGTTATTGTAAAAAGATATTTTTTCGATTGGTGTAAGATTTAATCATATTGTTTTTTGGCGCGAATTCGAAGGCAATAACGTGTAAGAAGGTCTAGAATAGATATAATTTTCCTTATTTTTATAAAAAAAAATTGTGTGATAAAATATGGCGTTTTAAAGTTATTTTTATTGTCAGTTCACTTTTTATCAAAGGTAAAACGAATCTCGATTCAATACAAAACTCATTTTATCCTTTCCAATTAAAATTAAGTATCTACAGATCTATTGATAACTACTTTTTTAAAGAGTACCCGTTAATCATCTTAATAAATTAAATCGATCGACGGTGATGATACAATGTTAAAAATAATTAAATGATAACTTATAAATAATATGATTATGCATAGATATGTACCCGTGAGTGGGTATAAAACTCATACGAGATATACGGGAAAAAGACGAAAGAAAAACAACAATAATGGTGGTTATCATATGAACGACGCGAATATGCGATCTGTCACGTATAATCGATGACGCTGTAAGCGATCGAAACCCTATAATTACTTATTGTGTAAGAACAATTTTTCGGATCAAAATCCCTTCAAAGGCCTCAATGTTTCGCAAAACAAACAAACAAAAATTAGTGCTGCCTTGTGCATCTCTTCATGTAACATGTTGTCTACTTCTTTAATGTGAATAATTACAATGGTTTTGAATCGTCACCTATATTAGTTGAACAAAATATAATTTTATGCGAGTGAAAAGTGTACAGCTACGATACTGCGTTTTTTCATATAAAAAAGACTGATGTTCAGTCTGTGAATTGTAAAGCCATATTTATTATTATAAATTATTACGATTATTATACAATACAGTCTGTCAAAAAAGGGTATTACAATGACTGAGCATTTCTTTATCCACCAAAAATTCATATCGAGAAATATCAAATATGGACATCGATCGGGTACGATAGTATATGTAGGCTAGTATGCAAGTCACCGATTTCTACATCTACACATCGGGCCGATCTATATATCGAGCGAAGCACGGTATCGACATCGTCGTGTGTACGTCGCGCGTATATGCAACGCTCAATAATGGGGGTCAAATTCTATAAAAGAAGCCGCGCGTGACTGACTTATATGCTATACACCTGTAAGTGTCCGTAGGCATGGACAGGGCTGAGCGTACACCCACACTCCCTTCTAAACAACAGTTGAGTTTCGATCCTGAAACGGTTCACATGTACCCTTTTTTTTCTTATTTAGAAAATTATCAGCCACATGAAGTAAGAACTATGGATTTTATAGTTTGCCGAACATGCTAAGTTAATTGGTGAATCTTGGGAATTTTTCATTAATTCACCGAGGTGCAATTTTGGGGTAACCTATTACTATCATTCTTTTAGTTCGCTGGTTTGGTTTTCGATTTTCAAATGGTTTTCGCGTGGAATGCAAGCACGTTTGGAATTGTAAAAAAATGTAAAAGAATTTTTGGATTACGCGTGAAAATTAAATCCATTTATAATATTAAAAATTATTGACATTCGAAATGAAAAATTGTACGGAACAGAACCGAAAAAATCAATTTTACGATGCGCATTGAAAGAAAAACCGACCGTTAGTTTTTTCCACTTGAAAAGAAACGTTTTTTTTCATAAAATTAATTTATTAACAAAATTAGACTTCATTACCAAAAATTCAAATACTGTAATTCACGTGTTTGTTTTTGCATGACCGTCCATATCCGCGAGAGAGACATATCCATATATGTGTATGAAAACTCAAAATCTTCAAAAATGAATTATGGTAAGTTTTTTGAAAAAAAAATGAAATCATTTAAAATTATTTTAACATCACTATCATATGAATCTTTAATGTTATTTCTGCCTTTATTTTTTTACTTTTTTTATTACACATTCTTTTTACACGTAGACTCAGATATTGCTTTATTTACACGATCAATATAAGCACATCATGCAGTCAACAGTTGGAGAAATGACAGTATCAATAGCACAAAATATAACGCACAAACTGTAATAGCATTTCGTTTTAATTATTTTAAGCTTCGTTTAGTTTTTGCAGCCTTTGAACAATCATGCGAGGACAAGCTGCACTTTTCAATGGCCGAGTTTACACTTCATAATTATTTAAAATTAATAAATATTTCAGATCGAAAGGAAAAATTCAAAAAATTTTGCCACGCTAACAAATCACCGATTAAAGAAAAATACAGCCAGTTCGAGTTTCGGGTAAAAACCGAATTGACATAAAAAAAATGAAATACCATCAACAGGTTTCGGTGGATTTAGTGAATATGGTCTATACGGCAATCGCCTACTTAGCCGTGGCGGGTGCAGCTTGGTTATTTCTCAGGTTTGTGCAGGCCTGCTTCTGCCTACCCGGCCATCTCAGGCGCCAGAACAATGTGCAACAAATGTTGCAAGAAAAAGTAAGCCCCGGCATTAATCTTATTGTCTTATGCTTAAAATACGCGACACGTGAGCAACTGTCTCTGTTGTTCGAAATCCAGCTCGGACGTGTGGCTAATCGATGCGATTGATGTGTCCGCGAACTATAGTCTTGTCGACCTACAATATAATGCGAGCAAAAAACACAGCTAAAAAGTATCGTTCGGCCCACGGACAATTAACCGTTCACCACGTTACGCGCGTCGGTCAATTTTCATTATTATTGCCCTTGTGGCGATGGTTATTAAGTAAAAAAAAAAAAAAAAATTGTCACGCAGGTGGACAGTTACGAGCGTTACATACGCGACTGCGAGGCCAAGGAGGCAGCCGGTTTAGCGACCACCAGCAGCGGAAACAGTAACGACACCCGCAGCCTCGAGGAGCAGCAAAAGGAGCGAAAAGAGTGCCTGGACATGCTGAAACGCGAGCTCAAGCGCATACAGGAGGGTGGCGATCCCTACGACTTTGCCTATCTGCTGGACGAGGAGGAGAAACGACTGCTGGAGGACAGCGACAAGGAGGAGGACGACAATAAGAGCAACGAGAACAAGATCAAAATTGACGAGGATCAAGACCAGCCTGATGCCGACGACGATTTGGCAAAGTCCGATGACGATGAGTCCGAACCGAAGAAGGACAAGTGAACAATTATAAATCATATACAAATGCAGTTTATATATGGCATTTTCATGTACGTGTGATCGAATAACAAGTGTAAATGTATAAGTGTCTTCGTTGTAATTAGATAGCTGCAGATTTACTTTTTGATTCCTATCAATTGTGGTTCACACTTTTTCAATTTTTATCGCAAGATGGATTCACCATAAAGTGCCTTTGAAATTAGCGCTCATTTACTTAAATATATATACCTACTAAATGAATCCATACCTCATTTACGCCAGTAATTTTCAACAAACCGATGTAAATATACTGTGTTCTATCAGTGGAAACTAATGATGCATTGCAAATTTAGCTGGTAGTAAAATCGATGATTATCAATACAATAATCACTACTAATTTTCTTAAACTAATTTCACTGAAGATGTTGCCGCACGAATATTGCGATAGTAACAATGTTCAAATGGAGTATAGGTAAATACAAAACGAATCGAGCTGTATCTCTGTGAAAGCTCTTCGATTCACCCTTGTACTATAAAGCCTCTCACATGCATAAATATAAATCAATACAAGTGTGTGTAATATTTTAACTATGATGATTGTTATAATTGATTACTTTCATTTTTAATTAAAACTGTATGGTAACATGTATAATTTATTTGTAAATTGGGTTTAATTTATTTTCTTAAAATAAATAATTATTCATTAAATATTATCTTCAGTATATCCGATCAAAGTTTCTCTGAAATCATCATGCACGTTTCATGCAGAAAAAACGACTATGATTGCATGATTATTCTAACGAGTAACAGTTGAATAATGCCCTCGATAACGTCTAAGACTTTTTAATGAAAAAAAAAACATACGATAATAAGCGTTTTAGATAGTGTTTAAATACAATTTTCATTCAATTTTTGGCATCTTTGGCTACATCCACAGGAAAAATGTTATTTTGAAATTATAGTTAAAATCTCAGCTCAATCCGTTTAATATTCCCGAGAATAATTCATCTAGATAATTTGAAATATGTTGTTCCACCGTTGTTGATACCAAAAAAGAGCTTTGTACAAAGAATAATATCAATCTTTTCAAATGCCTAGAATGGCTTTACCCCTGAAAACTGCCAACAATTTTTGTCAACCTAATTTTTCAAGTTGTAATTTAGTACCCAATTATGATGATTTTATTAATTATCGTAATACCAGTTTTGAACTAATTCGTATAATTTTTCTGAAACCCAAAAATATTTCAACCCATTAATGCCGAAACAGACCTGATGTAAAAATGCTGCTCATTGTTGTTTGCTTTAAGCCACAACCCTTTCTTAGAGGTAAAATGTAGGAGTTAAATTTAGAAAAAATGTAGTAAGAAATAATTCATTTTGGGATAAACCCAATAGAAAACTATTTGCAAAATCTAGAAACTGTTGTTTCCAACTTTTTCAAGACAAAAGGAAAAAAATTTTCCACCTAAAAGTTGATTTTTTTCGAATGTACCAGTAGGCCCTGCTTCAGATACTCTAGGTTAATCAGTTAAAATAAACTCGTTTTTACTACCTCTTTATCAAAATTTAATTTTTGTTGATATAAAAAACTATGAGCAAGTTAGATCAAGTAAAATAAATTTGACGCGCTATCTCCAATGTTGGTTTGCGCTTGCGCAATCTCATAACAAACGTCAAAATTCAATCCAGCTACAAAACGGGCCTAGTGTAATTGTGTCTGTGCGTGAGACTGAACTCTGCGTGGATTGTCCTGTTACTTTTGTTGATGTTGTGATAGTGGGTGTCTGTATGACAGCATAAAAATTTCGTCTGCCTTTAACATTTTCCGAATCGAATTGTTTAATTCAATAAGTATTCAAATTTTTCATAATGGCAGAATCCGAACCTATGGAAGGTTTTATTTGTCCTATTTGCATGACCGATTTTAAAACTCCTGTACTTTTGACAAAACATTTCGAAGAGTATCACAAAGATGATCCTGAAATACTTCGCTCTCTCAAAGGTTCATATAGATTTTACTTCACAATTAACTATTAATACGTATGATTTAATTATTGGTAATTTTTTGTATTTTTTTTTTTTTTTGTACACACTTTTTTCAGATTTATTTGGAAAGGCTAAAAAGAAAATATTAAAGCAAGACGATGTAGGTGATTATCCAGATGCTATTATAATAAAAAATCATAAACATAGCCTAGAAATCGATTGGGGTCCACAAGATATTGGTAATATTTTTTGAAAATTCACAATTGGAATTGGCTTAAAATGATTTTGAATCTCAATTTTTTTTGTTTGATGCAGGTCACATTAGATCTCATACAAAATATTTTAAAGAAATTAGAAATACAAGATTGGAAAGATTTACCACTGAAAATAATAAATTACTAATAAGACTGGATAAACTTTTAAATCAATTGCCTACTGATCCTATAGAAAGAAAAGGTTTTGATACATCATTTTTAAATGCTTGATACTTGAAAGTTTTTAAAGATGTTACTATCGTTTCAGCTTATGAGCAAGCTATAGTCCCATGGATGGATGACAAAGATGCTAGATTGTGTCTTACTTGTGCAAAAAGTTTTAATTTAACTAGAAGGAAACATCATTGTAGACTTTGTGGAGTTATGATGTGTCATGGTTGCAGTTTATTTTTATCATTAGAAAAAGCTCGTATGTAAATTCATATTTCAGCCTCAGAAATTATAAGTTTTTATTAAAAATTTTCATTGCAGGTAAAATAATTAGCCCAGTATCGGTTACTCAAGATGACTCAGCTCTCTCGCCAACAACTGAAAATAAAAGTTTTACAAATCGATTTGTACGCACAGGAATAGGTCTTACTAAACTTGTGCGATCACCTTCAAGTGGTAGTCTCAACACTGTTCTCTCCATGATGAGTGATTCCAATGCAGAACAATTTTTTAGAGTTTGTCAGCACTGCATGAACTTACTTGATTCTCAAGAAAGGTTGAAAGCTAGGCACTTTGAAAAACCTATTGTCTATCAATATTATGAAAAAATGCAGTCTCAAATTAAAGATGCTAACAAATTGTTAGATACTTACAACAAAATGTGGCAGTCCCTCAATGAAGGAGAATCTACTTACAGATTGGTTGATGCACAAATGGTCAGAGGCAAAATTGCTAAAATTGGTGATAATATTGATGTCATCAGTAAAAGAATAGCAACACTTGTAACTATCAGCGATGATAGTTCGGCAATGTTGAAACAAGAGTATAGATTAAATCAAATGGTACGATCTTCAGCAATGTTGTTTTTAAAAAATAACTTATTACGAGCGCCACCAGTTCCGACAGAAGAAGAGTATGAAAAAATCAAACGAGATAGGCAAGAAAGAATAAAAGCACAAATAGCATATGAGAGACAATTAGAGCAACAGCAACTGGAAAAGCAAAGAGAAATACAAAGAGAAAGACATCAAGATCGCAGCATTATTAAAAGTCCTACAACCCCTACTAATCAGGTAAGATATTTATTTAAATTCTTCAAATAAATTATCTCAACATGCAATTTTTTTCAATTAAGATGATTCTGGATCAGTCGCAAGGCTGGGGTACTTCAAATCGGCCTACTGGAAATATGATGATTTCATCTACTTCTATAGATCCGTTCGTTGAACAAATGAGTAATTTAAAATTTTATATCAAACAAGCAAGAGAAGAATGTAAGTTTGAAGAAGTTGCTACTTTAGAAAAAAATTTGAAAGAACTCCAAAGTGCCTACTTTGCTATGCAGCAAAATGATAATAATAGTCAAGAGTAATTATTGGAACAATATATATTAGCATGACGTTCTTAGTAGAGTGTATATAATAATTATAATTTCGTTACTTTCATTCATAATTTATTTAAAATTCTCTTAATATATATTCTCTTTATAAAAATATAACTATTGACAGAAAATAAGATTAATTTGTAAAAAAAATATTACATATAGAACATGTAAAAGCATTTAAAATATAATGTGAATTTTATTTTCTTAAAATGTTCTTATTAAAATTTTGAATAATAACGGGAAGGAATTCCTCGTCAATTTCTTCTGAACTATGATTCTGATTATGAAGTATTGTCTCTGCTACTTCTTTTGAATGCTTTGAAGGCGAGTGGGTCACATCACAGCTCACAGAAGATAAAGGAAACTCACTTTCGCTAGAAGTGGGTCCTTGAATAGTTATGTTTGGAATATCGACTCTAGAGATGTCAGGGGTATCAGCTGATAAATCAGGAAGTAAATCAGGATCCGGACTCATTTTAAACCCTGATATACTTTCAACGTTTTTGGATTTTGAAGATTCTTTGAGAGATATTCCATCGATCTCGTCTATTATGTCTTTGTTGTCTTTTTTGTTTTGTGTAGCAAGATAATGGTGCGGATTAGGACTTAATGTATCTGAGAAAATTGATACTTCCTTTGCTTCATCAATAACACATAAAGGAAATTCGCCAGCATTTTTTTCTTTATAGTTCTGTCTAGGTGGCGAAGGACTTTGTGCTGAAGTAGAACTTGCATTTGAGCCATGTGAATTTAATGCCTCAGCCATTATTTGCTTTTCATGTGCCATTTTTTTTTGAAAACTTATTGATTTTGCTAGCATTTTTTCCAATATAAACATTTCATTAGGGCTATCAGTAGATGGACTTGATGAGGGACTGGTATAACCATTAGTTCTATGTGAATGGTTTTCTCTACTTCTTTTTTGTGATGGTTCTTTCATTTCTCTTTCATTATTATCTAATGTTCTTTGTTCGCCATCTAATGGAATATAACTAAATGGTGAAAAATTATTACTTTTTATACATGTGTCTTTTGATACATTAAGTGTTGGTGACTTGAAAAATTCTTGTTTTTGATTCTTTTTATCTTGTTTTATTAAATTTTTTTCATGATTTATGCTCAGTTTTTTCGTCTCATTGTCTACACTATCTAATATTTGATTTATTAGATCTGGTGAAACATAGCTAAACATAGACATTTTATTTGTTGATTTATTTGATAAAAGTGACTTGAAAAACTCTTCTCTGAGACGTCTTCCTCTTGTACGAACTTTAATGTCGCTCAACTCCTTTTCTTCTTCTTGACTGGGTGAATTATTATCTGGTTTCAATTTTTCATTCTCTTTTAATGCATTACTTTTTAATGCATTTTTTTCTGCAATTTTTCTTTTATGTTCTTTTCGAATAGAAAGCATTTCTTGTTCAGATTTAACAGCCTCTCTACAATCCTGGAGTCTTTCTATGGTTTTTTGAATTAATGATTCACTGGCAACGTTGGCACTTCGCCATCTTTCTTCTATTAGTGACAGTGGAACATCAGGATCAAATAATTCATTATATTCTTTTGCAGCATTTCTTTGTTCAGGAGTTAAAACTTGAAGCGATCCTCCTGCAACATCTTTTGGTTCTTCCTTTGCTTCTTCAAGAACAAACAATGGAATGTCCCTTGTATCCACTTCATTAAGAACTTCTTCTGGTAATTCAAGAATATCTATAATTGAGCGTATAATACTTGAGTCATCTTCAGGTGAAGACGGAGTCTGAATGTTGGTACCCGCAGTTGACATCTGTAAAAAATTATGATATTATAAAATTTTTGTCAATAACTGATGTCATATTTTTATGATTTACTTCTTTTTTGGGAGTGATTGAAGCAACAGCTGGCCGTTTTGGGAAATCATTGTTAAGATTCTGAAAAAATGTATAACGGTTAATTAAAATTGTACAGATACATTTTTGTTGTACAATAAATCAAAGATACCTGATGAATATTCATTGGTAGATTGGAAAATTTCATAAAATCATCAAGAGAAGGTATCTGAAAAATAGTTGTAATTAATAACTGTTACTATTTGTTTTAGCTTGGTACAAAATATCAAGAGGTGCGGTAGCACCTAGCCGGCAAAGTGTAAAAAAAAAATTATTATTTTTATTATTACCATTACCATGTTTCCTTGAAGATTATCAGCTTTGCCTAAATTGACGTTACTCAATTTAATAAGATCAGTGAGTATAGGTTGTTCCAATAAATATTTGATTCCTTCCACCTGAAAACAAATATAAATTTAATTGCTTTTACTCTCAAAAAGGTTTCCTTCATAAATACAAAATTTACCTCTTCATCATCTGGTTCAGGAAATACCTCATGAACTTTTGGTTTTACATTTCTAGGTTTCTTTTCTTCTGGTTTATTTTGCAGTTTGAGACCTTTCGGCTTTGGTGTTGCCTGTTGAAAATTAAATATTGATTTAACTATAGCAAGAGATTGCTCCGTTGTGATTTCATTATTATTTTTAGGTGATTTTTCTACACGTGAAGTGGGTAACTTTTGTTGATCATTTATTAGCTTCATTAACTTCAATTTCTCTTCAAACTCAGTCATATCAACAGGTGCTGCAGGTCCTGTTTCTGGCCTTGAAGGCTTATTAGCTAGAAATATTTAATTAATAAAGCTCAAAAACAATTTATGGGCATAGATATAAATTTCATCATACTAAAAATAAGCATACTTTTAAGTATGTCTGCAAGGTAATCAGCAGCTCGATAATTTTGCATTTTAATACACATGGACATTAGTTGTTGACAGGTAGGTCTCTTTTTCCCCCATGTGCCCCATTCATTCAGAAAAATCTCAGCCGCTGAAATTTGTTTTAATTTGCTTTCCTGTTCAATGCATCTGAAAAAATAAGTATATTTCTAAAATATTGCTGAAAAATAAATTCAAAATTTGAAATTAGGCTAGGTTATGTGTATTTTTTTGCCAACCTGACTTGATCCAGATTAAACAGATTTTCCTCTTCGCAAGATGAATCGAGCATAAGTCTTTTCCACGAATCGAGGGTCGTCAAGTGCCAAGCTATTTTGTTTAATTCGGAGGGTCGGAGCTTCCGAATCTCCGTGTCAGGAGTAATTTGAGCTTGTACTGGTTGCGAAGATTCATCCATATTTACAAAAAATTGTATAAAAAGCAAACTAACGAACAGCAATCACTCGGAAAAGACACTTTACGAAAATGGTATCGAGCACCTGTAGGATTGGTCGAACAATTACTTGCACATTTTTTTTGAAAGAAATGGCAAAACGAAATGAAGTCACTCAACGATCTCGCGATTCAGTCTACCTCTCGATACTTGCAAAAACACTCGTCGTCTCTTATTATGACAAGTCTGTTGTACTATACGAATTTAAAAGGCTTGCCATAAGAGTCTTTTAGTGCGTAAACAACAACATCGACCACTTCATGTTATTCACGAACGTCGAGGTAGCGAAAAATAAATATCGTGAGATCTTCCATGAAACGACTTTCGCCGCTCATTCAATTATAAACATATGGGCGCAGCAGCTAATACGAGGCGAGTGACGTCAACCGATCATTAGCCGATCTACTCGAGCGATGGCGAGCCCTTGCATGAAATGGGAACGAGGGAAAGGAAAAATGGTTGAGACGGCTACGATGCGGATCGATAAAATACTTGCTCTTTATTGAAAAAAATTGACGAATTACATATTTTCATTACGTTTAGTGAATGTGTGAATGTGTGGTGAGACATGTTCATGTGTCATCATAACAATAAATCTTACAAGATACATGCGTATATTTATAACTTAGACTATTATTTCTTTTGGATTTTTAAGCTTAAAATTAATCAATAACAGCGTAGTAGAATATTCATATAGAAATTCTCTCATACATTTATTTTGAAAATAAGACTAAGATTAGATGACAAAGGTCTCCCTCTATGTATTTTGATCGGGCGATGTATTGTATAGCTTGGCGCCGGGTTTTTCCCTGAGTCACTGCTGGACTCGAGAATCGACAAATGGGGAGAACTTTGGTACGCGATCGTTGGCACGTTATTTCGAATGTAAAAAATCACTATAAGATATGTCGAAGTTATTTATGTATTGAACGATTGGTCGAAAAATATTTATACAGCTCATTATGTAATAAATAAAATAATGTACCGGTGATGGACAATTGCGTGATAAGAAGGGGCAAAAATTACATAATGCGACGCGGTGCATTTTTATCCAGAAGTGAATAATCGACACCCTGCAATGGCGTATCTTCGCGTTGGACATTTTTTCATCGAGATGTTCGGTTTGGCCGTTAAAAAGTTACGAGCCGCTAATTTAACTCGATGGACTGTTGACGGCTTCGGTGGTCGTGCTGGTCGTATCGTTTTGCGCCGGTGGCTTCTCTTGCAGCTCCAACCAGGGCATACGTTTCTGTAGCTCCAGTCTGAAAGATCGATAACACGGATTGAGTAAATCGCGCGAACCCGATATAGCGAAAATCCAAAGCGTCGTTGTTTGCTCACCTGTATCGGGGGTGACTGATGGCGTAGACGTAGGGGTCGAGACAAGCCACGAACTTGCAGCAGCAGGCCGGTATCATGGTGACGGCCGGGGTGAGCAGAGCTTTGTTGCCGAACGCCCCGATGAGCGACATGACCCCGTAGGGGGTCCACGAGGCGACGAACAGGAAGCAGATGGTGATGGCGGCCTTGGCGATGCGCACCTCCGCCGACTCGGCCTGGGCGTTCTGATTGCTGCGCAGACTATCGACGTTCATCTTCTTGGCCTGCTCGCGCAGATTCTTCTCGTGGCTCATGACGTGGCCGACGATCTTGCTGTAGAAGAATACTATCAGGGTCATGGGCAAGCAGTAGGAGAAGGTGAAGATGGTGGCGGTGAAGTAGCGTATCTCCGGACTGTCGGTGATGTAGTCGAAGGTGCAGCTGGTGAGGAAGCCCTCGGGCACGTAGCGGCCCCAGACGCCCATCAGGGGCATCAGGGCCCACGGCAGCACGTACGTCCAGATGGCCGTCACCAGCATGATCACTTGGCCGCGGGACAGCTTTCCATCAAGCGGATGGGCTATCGTGCTGCGCGCAGAAGAATAAAATCGTTGAGATCGCTAACTCGAGCATCGTGAGTAGATCGGTATGGGGCCAGTGTTACCTGTAACGATCGTAGGCGATCGCGGCGTTGCTCATCGAGGCTCCGATACCGCTGAACGAGCCGATGGTGCCGAACACGAGGCAGCCCATGTTACCGAGAGCGAAGCCCGTGTGAAACGAGTTGTAGATGAAAATCGGCGTTTTCACCATCATGAGGAAGTCGCAAATGGCCAGGTTCACGACGAATATGTTGGACGGCGTTCGCAGTGACTTTGCCCTATATATCGCCAATTGCACAAAGTACCATCAATTGCGTCGCATCGATTATTTCAAGGCCTCGCGCGGATTACGCGCGCTTAATCTCTCACACACTGCTTCAGGCAGTGGATTATTTATTACTTACGCGCAAAAGATCCATATGACCATACCGTTGCCGAGCAGCGAGATGAAGGTGAAGAGTATGTAGAGCAGAGCGAGCAGATAGTGCAGGGCGGGATTGGGCTCGGGGAAGCCGAGCCAGTGGTCGGGTATGTGCTGCAGCTCCTCGGGTGGCACGTTCCAGCCCAGCATGCGGGGTGGTCCACCGGCGCCGATGTGGCCGCCCCCAGGCGCGTACGACATTCGCGCCTCCGCCGACGAGCTCGTCACATTCCAATCCAAGTAACCCATTGTATCCTTCTATCTATCCTCTGCTGCTGCTTGAGAATGATCCGAGCGTTACCCGACGCGTGCACTTTACACCATTTCCAATGACCGACCGAGACGTCCCGATGGAAAAGTCGGCTTTTTATAGACTCGCCGCGATCTGCCCAACCGATGTACGGATTCGAGAAAATGAGCTAAAAGGGCTTCGGATTAGACGTTTTTCGTGTATATACCGAGAGGATTATCCCTCTCTCTCGCTCGCTCGCTCGCCTCTGCGCAGCGTTGTGTGCTGATGTACCCTCGATCGGGGTATATAGATCAACGGCACAAATCCGATTCAAAGTCAAATCCATTGCCAACTGTTTCTTAATGAGTTGACTCTAGCTTTCTCCCTTTCTCTCCATGATAATTAGCAGCGATCGATTCAATGGTGTTTTCATCAATGACAAATTCCATGAATTATTTAAAAAATATATATCACTTTATTTCATAGTGTTTCGTGTGCACATTGATTTTGATAGTATAAATCGACATTGAAAATCGTTGAGTTAACAGCAACACAAGAGATTCGCAAAATACATAATTTTTTGGCTTGATAAATCTAAAATCTAGGCTGAAAATAATTGGTTGAGATTAAAAAGAAAAAAAATTCTGACGTCGTCCGTGCAGATTAAGACATTGTTTTAATGTGTATGCAGAGCAAGCGCAAACCTTCACGTAATAAATAAGCCTTACAAAACTGTCACCGCACGGCTGATTTAATAGCTCGAGTCGCGGAATTATACGAATTATACTGTGTCATTGGCTTATATACTGCAAAAAAAAGAGCAGTGTTGTCTGTACACACGTTAAGCGGATGTATATCAATTTTGTTGTTTTTTTTTTTTTGCTGCTCGTTTATTTATTTATTTTTTACATTATATACTACTGGCCAACCTTGTACTTGACTACTTCACGCTGCGAACAAAAAAATTCGTTGCTAAATGGAACTATATTTAAGATTAAGTTTTTGAGCGTTTCGCTACATAAATCACTCGCGGTCTCCTTTGCATTACAAATATGTACAATTGGTATAGCTGGCGTCGTTTATCAAAGTTTCGAGGAGACACAAAGAGACGCGCATTTGAGCTGGGGCTATCCTCTGCCTTGTCGCTCGGTGGAATCGTCGGCCAGGGTGTATGCCGGCAAATAGCAGAGCGGATTGTTGGGATGTTTGAGCAATGGGTTTTTCATGGTGGTGCTGCGACTTCCGAGGCTCGTGTAACCCTCGTCGTAGAGCGAGCAGTAAGGCACTTCGTGGTCTAGCAAAAATTTCCACACCTATGCGCGAAAAGTAAACTGTTACAAAATCAAGAAGAAAAAATGACTTGGAAATCGATGTGTAAGTCTTACTTGACTGTAGGACCACTTGAGAATGGGACAGACTCGCATCAATCGGGGCCAATCGGGATCGGTCTGGGTAAAAATGTCGAGCCTCTCGCTGCCAGGATCGCCCTTGCGAATACCCATGAGGCAAGCTTTCAATTCTGGCTTATTTAAAATGAATTCGGTCAGCACTCGGCGCATGGAGCCGCTGCGATGTACCATTTGGACACCATAATAAAAGGAAGCGTCGTCGACGAAGGTCTTGACCTCTTCGAAATCGTCGTCGGACGTAACGTAGAGGCAGATGGGCGGCGGGACTTTTCGCATCTCGACTACGATCGCGACGAGATGTAGCACAGCCGTACAGTCCTTGCCGCCATTGAAACTCAGAAATATCTGGTTCGGCTGGAATCTGACAGAAATAAATCCATCGTATCATCGCCCTATGAAATATCGTTTTCTATAAGTTTTTTTTTAAAGCTTACTGATCGTAGCAGCGATGTATCGCATCGATAGCGACATGCTCCTCAGATTGAAGAGAATCGAAATCTTTATTAGCCATATCGGAGTCGAACTTTTTCCACAAGATTTTATCCATCGGTATCAATTGTTCGATCTCCCGTTTGGCTTGTCGCATAGCTTTCCAGTCTCGCGATTCCAGCGTGATGAGCGTCCGGACCGGTGGAGGCTTCTGAGGATAACTACCTATAGCGACCTGGGGCAGCCACTTGTCGACCACACTATCGAGATTGTTGGAAATGAGATCGAACTCGTCCATGTTGATGTCGATACTGCACGAGTGTAGTTTGACACCGTAGTCCAGAAGTGCACACACGTGATCGCAGGCCTCTTGGAAATAACGAGGCGAGCCCGGCAGCACGTACACATTGCCAACTTTTATAATCGGAAACGGTGTTGAAGCTGGAGAAAAAAAATTACATTTACATGTTTACGACTTACTCATAATTACTCCGTTCGCGACGTCAGCTTTTTTCGTCGCTTCGTTCTTTCGAGTTCGCTTGCATAGGCTATTAATGAGTAAAAAGATCATTACATTTCTTTCCTTCTTCCACATTCAGACGTTTGATGCCTATGACCTCGCAAGGGGAGGGCGCCACAGCGAGTCGTTTGGCCGGAACCGAACCGGGAAAAAGACCTTCCATGTAGCTCAGCAGCTCCTTATTAATACTCGTTTCCAAACCGAACCCTTGGGCTACAGCCTCGTAAGTGATGTCGTCGTGCGTAGGTCCAACACCTCCGCACGTGAAGACGATCGAGAATGCCTGGGACGCATGGTGTACCTCTTCGGCGATTATCTCTTTCTGCGACGACAGCCCATATTTTTTAAATCGATCAAAAATGAATTATGATTATCGCGTATTCACAGTACCTCGTCGGGAACGATGAAAACCCTTTTGAGTTCCAAGCCGACTTTTCTGAGAGCCTTGGCCAGATACAGTGTATTAGCATCTTGCACGAGTCCCTTTAGTATTTCATCTCCGATCACGATTAAAGCAATCTCGGGTTCGACCGACATCTTTACTGCTCGTCTTTTCGACCACTGAGCATAGAATTATAGAAATCGATCATTGAGTATTGTTGAGGATATTGATGTGAAAACATAAATGAAAACAGTACAATTATATTCGTATAAAGTATTTACATTTTATTATTATTATTATAATTATTATTTTAATCGTTATTATTATTTGTCAGTTAACAAAATCAATCTCACAGCATGTACAAAATAACAATCAATAACATTAAATACTTATTTACTATTATTAAATAGTTTAAAGTTGCATGGAATCTAACATTTTCAAGACTTGTTCTTTAGTTCCACTATTATCATTTGTGAATTTAGACTTTGCGATGAGTGGAGTGACAGTGCCTGATTTTTTAATGTTTGTTTTTGACCTATAGACTTCTTTGCTGAGTTCCTTCAACTGCTTATTTATCATATTTGTTTTTTCGCTGTTCAATTTGCTACCTTGTCCTAAATCCAACTGTGTACATATTCATAATTAATATATTTGATTTTTAAAAATCTGCCTTTTTTTCTATATTATTTATTTAACTTACTTTTCTCTTGAGAGGATTTTTATTTTGTTTATGAGACTGAGCTTTGGCCTTTTTCGATTTCTTTCCAGTAACTTTGAATACATTCTTGTTTCCTTTGTTCTTTTTCTGGTTTCCTTTCTGTCCCTTCTTTCCCATTGTTTATTCCTAGAACATCGTGACAATCGACTGTATTAGTATTTTCAAATTTTGTTTTTTTTTTAGCTGGCTCCTCCATATTGTCAATATTTTGACCCTTTAATATCTCTTCTACTAGTAAAAATGAAACTCTCATCATTTCCTTGCATGGTGCTACATTTCTAACATGATGAATATTAATTAAGGCTTTCTTTGGAACTTCAACACCTAAATTATGCTCAATCAACTGTTTAGCCATTGCTTTAAAATCATCAGTTTTAGCTGCTTTAATAAAACAATAAACATGTACAATTGGTGGTTTTGCCTTGATTTTGTTGATTTCATCTATGCTTAACCAATTTTTAGTAAAAACGTCAAGAAATTCAACAGCTAGAGCTGGTAGATTCATTGTTATGTGTTCTTGACCCATATTAGCATCGTGTCTTTGTTTTAGTATATTTTTTTTTACATCATTCATTAAAAATTCTCTACCATCTTTGTTAAATGCTGTTAAGTTTTTAGTAACTTTATTTAATTTAGCATTATTTACAAGCCATTTGTAAGATTCAGGATTTAAATCATTAGCTAGAACACAAACTTTTTTGCGAGCAGCTGGTATTGAAAATGGACCAACTCCAGCAAACACATCATACAGTACATCACCTGCTTTAAGTAATTTTACAATTGCTTCATGCTCTGTAGCTAGTCGTGGATTCCAGTAAACTTTAGAAAAATCAAATTCAAAAGTACAATTACTTTCCTTAACCCTGACAACAGTATTAGGTTCCCCAACTAAAATTTCCATAGCAAAATATCTGTAAGTATTGTCTATCTCATTGAGTTTATTAACAACTGTTTTTGCACTTGGTATTTTATCAAGTAATACTTGACCAATAACACTTTTATAAGGTAATTGTTCATCTCGAAGATTCAAGTGAACAATGTGGCCAATAATACTATATGAAGTAGGAACTTCTATTTCCTTAGGAAGTATAGCTCGAAGAATTTCTTCTCTTGTCCAGTTTTCATATGAAAGTTCCAAATCTTTCTCACAGAATAATTCGCTCCACCTGATAGTTTCTTTAAGTGTAGGTGTTATATTTGAAATTTCCCGTGGATCTAGATGAATCACAATTTGTTGTGTTTTTTCGTCTGTTTGAACTGGTCTAAATTTTGGTAACTTTAATAAGTACTTCTTCAACTGGTTAACAATTTGATCTGTTTCTTTGCTCGGTAACATCAAGCAAGGCACTTTTTTAAGAGTTACATTGAAAGCTTCATAATCTACTTTTTTTTGACTCTGAAGAGAAGATGGAGGAACCAGCAAGGAAGCCATAGCGTATTGGCAATAATTATATGGAACTCTCAAAATGCAAGCTGCTCCAAACTGAGCTAAGTGTCTTGATCCAAGCATAAATTTTCTCAGTGATCTCTGCACCATGTATTGTACCCTTGAACAGGAGTTCAAGTTTCGACATTAAATTTATGTTAAGTTTTGGATAAAACTATTAGCACAGTTTAGGAGAGCATATCTCGCCAGCCATGAGAGTTTCATTCTGTAGTTTCATGTCAAACATTTAAAGGCAAAATAAATGAAATTTTATTTCATAAAAAAAATGACATGGTATGATGGTGCTTGAAAAATGAATGATTTATATTATATCTGATAAATACTAGTTTTGAAATAAACTTGAAACGTATCCTATTCAATAACAACGATTAATTACACGTGGTGCACGACTTTGCATTGCAAGGTCATTCCAATTTAACGTCGACAATTGAATTCTACATTCAAGATAAGTTAGCGTAGTAATATGAAACGCAAATTTTTAATTTAAAAAATAATACCAATAGAAACGTGATAGCTATAATCTCTCATAACCTGACCAAGACATATTCCGCGTAAAGCGTGTTATATTGATAAGCAAAATTTAACTTGATTAAAGTTCAAACCTTATTCATCATGCGAAAACAATTAAAAATTACCTTTTGTTACACGAGTGTTGAAAATCCGTCGATCAAATTTATCACAGTAGCAATTTTATTACTACAGAATTTGTTTTATTGGAGCAAGCACTGCGAAGCAGACATGTAATTTCACTCGAACCACGAGGAGAGGACACTCGACGGAGACAGTCAGACAAGTGCAGCCACCTCACTGCAAATTAATAAAGTAAAGTGAAGTTGTCTTTATTTTGTCTGGCGCCACCACTGCGGCGGGCTTATTTACACTGCTGCTAAATTCAGGTTTGGATATCATTGTACCAGCTGACTCATATACTTGCCAATCTCCAGGCAGACTCTCCATCTATTTTGAGCTTTTCTCTTTCTTTCTCTTTGTCACTCGGCAATCTCTTTACCGAGGCGATACTTTCATAATAGGATTATGCGAAAGCATTAGTCAATAAAATAAAGGTTTATCGATGGCGCTGAAAGTTCGACGTGTGTACGGTAAATTTACTAAATTGATCGTTGTTAAAGTTATCCCTTTGGTTTGAGGTAAAGGAATAATTTAAAGAGTAGAATAAATAGCAAACGCAAAATATGACAGCAGAAACCAATGCCGTGGGGTACGCACCCCTGCCACAGAGCTTGAGTAGTAACAGTGACAATAGTGACGACGAAGATGATGTTCATCACGAACATCGGCATCACCCGAATTTCCAAGTACATTTGGAGCGCAATGATTCTGTACTTTCAAGAGAAGATGACCAGTCGAGAATCAGCGTAAGTTGCAAGCTCATTGATTTTAATTTTTTTATCGATTTTCTCACTTCTTGTTTTGAAATCGTCAAGACTTATTGGCACTTCTGCAAGCAATAATACTCTGATCGCTTATGTTTTAAAAAGTTTTATTTTCATTTCAGGATACCACAGCAATATGCCAAAATGGAAGGTTTTATCCTTTGGATGAAACGCGAAGTAATTTAAATAGAACAAGGACCAATAGTTCATTTACTTACAGTAATGATAATGTTCCAATTATGATACTCGATAGCCAAAGTAGAAATGATTTCTGGAAAAGAAACCAAATGTCCTTACTCAGAAAGTTATCTATTCTAGCTTCAATACTATTGTGCATATTAGTAATAATAATATTTTTGTATGCCTTGCCTTGCAGTAGTACATCCTCGTGTACTCCTAAAACTTCTTCTGTAGCATGGGACAGGACTTTACAGGGCATTGGTAATTTTTCAACAGACCATTTATAACATTAATTTAAATAAAAAGTTTTGATAATTTATGATTATCTTTTCAGAAATACTTGGTAGAATATCAATTACTCCAAATAATTTGATATTTTTAGCTAAAGTCCAACAATATGGTAATACCAAAAATTCATCTATGTATATTACAAAAGGTGGAGTTTTAGCCATGCAGAGTACAACTGGTACACCAGCCTGGCAGCGTCCTTTAAAAGAATATCCAAAGGAAATAGACTGCGAGATGCATGACACAGATGGCTCAGGCCAATCTGACTGTTTAATAACAGGGGAAAATGGAATGCTTGCCTGTGTAGATCCTCTATCTGGCAAAGAGTACTGGTACTCTGAAGTACCCACATATGAGACTTTGCCGTTGCCAATGCCTGATATTGATGGAGATTGTATTCGTGATCTTATAAGCGTTGAAGAAAAAAATGATAATAGAAGTATTGTTTTTTTGTCAGGAACATCAGGAAAATTGATATATAGACTATTTGTGCCAGAGTGTCATGAAATTGAGTTACATAGTATCAGTTCAAACTTTGTACTTTCTTATACTTGTGATGATAACTCGACTGACTGTAAGTCTATCCAATTAATATAAAATCAAACTGTAAGATAATTTTAAACCAACCCTTTTTTTATATTCAGATTCTCATTTACTTCAATTGCAAGATATTGTAAAACCATGGAAACCATGCCAAATTCCATCAGAAAATTCAACTGTATCTTACACTTATCCTTCTCATAGATATGCTGATGTTTGGGATTTGACAGAACATCATCGATTGCATGTGCGAAACACAATTGTTAATGGTACTGCATGCCCTTATGCTGATACATGCAGAAGTAAAGTTCAATTAACACTCAAGTATGGTAATAAATCCCTTGATATTTGGAATCATACAGCAACAGATTCGTTCGTTTCGCAACCAGCAAGAATGAATATTACAGAAGTAGAACATACCACAGGTTTTGCTGTGAAATTTTGGAATTGGACTGCGACCGAAATAAAAAAGGTTCGTTTAAAATTTCGAGGTTTTTTAAGTACCATAAATAAACCAATAAAAACTCTTATTCTACTAATTTTTGCAGAATGAAACTTATTCAACAAAGTTACATCAACAAAAATTTAGTGAACGTGTAACTATTGTCTATGTGAATGGAACCGATGTCCACGCAATGAACGCCTCACAAATTGAAATAAATCAAATATGTAAAGGGCTCGACTGTCAGCCTAGCCTTCCGCAAGAAATATACTCAATAGCAATAGCTGATATTAACGAAGATGGTATTTTAGAACTGATTAGTTATCGTACAAGTTACAGTTCCGACAAGAACATAAATACAGCCACGTTAGCTTCCGTAATTCAAGTGATAAAACTTGATGCCGTATTTTAACTTGAAAAATGATTTAGTTACCAAATTATACCTTCCTATTGAATTTCATGAAGCTATATCTAGATCCTGAAAGTTTTATCAATAAGCGTTTTATGATTTTTACTGAACTGCCATTGATCTGTATTTTACCAAGTATTTTCATATTTATAAGTTTCATAACTTAATTTTTTGAACAGCCATTTTCATTAAAAAAATGAAAAAAATTGCATTTTCACTGTAATTGTATTGCAGTAATTTCAATTAATTTTACTATGAGAAAGTCAATTTGTACCTTTTTTTTATTAAAATCAGTCAAATGAAAAAAATTTTCCTACAAATGCAAGATTTTGAACTTGTAAATTTGTTAATTTTTTATGCATCAGTCGTGATTAATTGATAAGAAAACTTCTGATAAATTTTAGATTTCAATAGTAGACCATATGTACACAAGATTTATTGTTGTTATAAATTTAATGTATATTCATAGTGACTTCAATGAAAGTTCAATTTCTCCATTACCTGTAAATAGTCACAATAATTTAAGTTGTTTGATAGTAAATCAAATATGTGTTGTTTTGAATTGTGCATAGAATATATGGGTTGCCAAGTGATTGTGGCCATGTTATAATTTTAAAAACAAAATGTTAAATATAAAAATAAAAAATAAATACTTATAAATGAGAATTATGTAAACATTTTTATTACCAATATACATTTTTATTATAGAAATTTATATTTATATGAAATTTACAATTTAAACAAATTTTTTCATGATTGGGTTAAGGCATTTAATATACACAATAATTTGCACCTGGATCGTCAATTTTAGTCTTAATTAGCACTCAACATTCATTACAAAATGAACACATTATACAAATTATATAAATGGACAGTACAATCATTGTCTTGGGAAACTGAACAGTTAACTTTGGTAATAGCACTATATCCAAAGGCATGGCACCATTTGTTTTACATTTAACAATTATCTTAACAACATACAAATAATGAGTCTGTACAAAATTACAGGTCACAAGTGAAAGAATTTCATCTCTCACATTTATATTTACTTATTTTCTCAACTAACTGGAATCATGGTATCTCTAAACGCAAGAGCAGAGACAACTTTTTGATGTCCCTGGTATTCTCTTTTAACTTCTCCAGTAGTTAAAGACCAAAGTCTAGCAATGCTATCTGATGATGCGGTAAATAAGTATTGGGAATCTGCACTGAAAGCTAAATCCCAAACCCAACGTTTTGCTTCATGTTGAAGAACAAGAGTTTCTGAAAAGTCAGCAGTTTTCCATACTCGTGCAGTTTGATCTGCAGATGTTGTAACAAGCAATGTTGAATCAGGACTAAACTCACATTTGAGACCATATCCTTTATGAGCTTGAATTCTGTGTCTAGGATTTAGTTTTGTTTTTTCATCACCAGATCCTCCAGTCAATGCCCACACAAAGCAGTGCCCTTTGTTTGTTACAGCGGCCAAGTAGGTACCATCAGCATTAATAGATACATCTTGAATAGACGATTCTGTCTCTGGTATCAACTGTTCGTTGTGATCGGACCTCAGGTCCCACAAATGTATGACACCACTCTGGTCTCCAACTATCAATTCAGCTTGATTAGGATGCAGTGCTACGCAATTGACGGGAGCAGACACTTGAAAGATTCTCTGACATTGAAAATTACTGGATCTCAAGTCCCAAATTCTAGCAGAACAGTCTTCACCGCCCGTGTACATCCATTTACCATGCTCCTGAAAACCGAGCGTACTGACGTTCTTAGAAATGCCCTCGTAATTGATGATGGGATTGGGATTCGTCGAGTTGAGATCGTACATGCGAATGTGCTGATAACCAGCTGCGGCGACAATGTGCTTCGTCGGAGTTATGGCCAGCGCATTGACTTGCGAATCGATGTGTTGCAGGGTCCGTTGACAAATACCACTGTGAGCTTGCCATATCTTGATGGTGTGATCGTAACCACCTGTGACGAAAATCACCGGGTCGTTGGCGGGCGTAACATTGGCAGACGGAGAAGTGGCGGCTGCAGCAGCAGCAGCCGCGGCAATGTTGCTTGTCACGTTGTTTACCTCGGTGCTCATTGTTATGGTTTGTGTACTATGTACCGCACACTCCCCCTCACGCTGCCCGGTATGTGCGTTATAACCTGAAAGAAAACAAGCTCACGTCAAAGTTGGTTCACGAAAGTCCAGAGTTCATTCGTGGGTAGCAATTTAAAGTACCTTATAATTCGATCAACCGTTCAACTTGAAAAATGATTACTTTAGACTTGAAAAAACGAAGCCAAAGATGTGCTGCGACCATCTGACCAAGGCACAAGACACTTACACAGATACGCGAAACAGACTTGGAAGTTGAAACGAAAACAAAAACAACAACAACAACAGTAGCAGTAGCAGCAGCGGCGGCGGCGGCACGAAGAAACCAACAACTAGATGACCGAGACAAGTAGAGAATGTGGAGGCTCACGATACCTGCCTTATACACTAAACTAAATGTCGGCGGCGCATGGAATGTCAGGCGGTATGGCAGCTCAGCAAGCACTGTTCGTATACATAACATTTACGCACACACATAACTCGTAGCGAACATATACATAGCAGGTAGTGTGTATAGCCAAGTGTACTGGTTATACACACGCAAACATCCGAGAGAGTGCAAATCTCACTCTCTCAACTCTTTCTCTCTTTCTCTCTCCCACTCGATTGGCTAGCTTCACGTTGCGATGAAGCTCCGTTAGATGGTCAAGTACAGCAAGACTTAGTATAGTCGTGTGTAATAGCGCGAGCCGTTCGCGACGTGCGAACAACTCGCTTCTCTGCGCGGACTTGCAGTATATCAGTATCAAGCGGATCCGCTGCTGCACGCCGCAAAGTTCAGTGCGTTTAATTGAAAATTTCGCGCGTCAAGCTCGTGTCAAAATACGCGCTAGTTTCCGTTTGACCATTAATTGTATAGCAGCGAAATAAGCGCAGTGAACAATGCCAGATGTGATCGAGGAGGAGATTAGACACGTGCTCGCGGGACAGGGCTCGTCCAGGACGGCCGACCAGTTGTGCGATTACACGCTCGAGCAGCAGAATGAAGCCATCGGTAAGGAGATTTTTAAAGAGTCATTGCTCTCGAGCTCTCCACTGCACTGCAGCAGCGTAAACATAAGCTCGGGTCAGTCGTCGCGCTATGGTTCGATAAAGCGTTGCACTTTTTTTTTGCCATTTAAATGCCTCGAACGCTGCGCGCTTGTGCGGAAAAGGAGAAAATTGTTTACTCCTGAAACGTCAATTGTACGGACATTTTTATCGATCCAATATGTATAATGAATAAGTAAGTAATAATAAGTATACGTAAGACGATATGAAGTAACGTATCGCAGCTTGACGTGTCTCATATACTTAAAATATTATTTTTACCTACGTGTAATAATCTGCTCGCATACAATATTCAAGTATCCTGATACTCACAGTATAATGCTTTGCTCCTGACGTTACGCGTATTGTATATGACTTTATGGGCATATATTGTACCGTGCAATAAATTCCGCATGCATTATGCAAATGTTGTCATCGATACGGCTATTGTGTATAGCGGGGCACGAGTCGTCGCGCCGATAGTCGACGTGCCTGATCCCGCCCATGCAGGATGAATTGTTCGTCCGTTCTTCGTCGTCGTCGTTCCTAATAACACATCCGACGTCTCCGAGTCGCTTGCTCAATTCGTATAACTTTTTTTCGCTTTGTTATTATTAACAATAAGCTGCAATATATCTCGTGTCGGCATTGCATCGTAGGATGCGTTGGAAAGAAAGAAAAAACGTGACGAAATATGATGAATTACTTTGTAGGTTAATAATAATCGCTGTTATCTCTATATAAGTGCATATTGCAGTACGAAGGTGCGTGCAAAATAGCTTATTGTGCAGTGCATCCGAGCCAACCGACAGCTTCTTTCTCTCTCTTCTCCCTCTTTCTCTCTTTCACTCGATATCCGCGCGCGCGCGCCTCGCCTATGTATAGGTGTACATAGAAAGTGCGCGCGGCGAAATTTTTTTCTTTCAGCAGCCAACTTTTTCGTCGCGCTCTTCGGAGCTCGGAAGTTGGAATCGCGCAAAAGTGCAGAGCTTGGCTCGCACCGAACGAGGGTATAATATAGCTATACTAAATCTGTAGGATAAGTAATATCTGCTCTCGCGCGCGCTCTCGCAAACAGGAATATAAGTGCAGATTTTCACTCGCTTCGAGCGAGTGTGTACGATAGCGACGATGTGGGGCGTGTTTTTATTAGCTTTTATGCTGCGATTTGCGCGCACTGAAAAACGCACTAATATTCGCAGATGTGTGCGTATGCCCATGTAACACTGCGATCGACACAACTCGGCATACACACGCGTGCAAGTGCAATGACGTGCTCCTCTGCGCGCGCGAGCCAGTTAACGATCGGCCCGAGCGATGAAAGTTATTAATTTTTGTTCCGACGATTAACCGAGTCTAATACATAGCTTTTCGCAGTTTATTATTTTCCGCGGCCAATCTCTATATCTCTCTCTGCAGATGAAGTGTTTTTCGATTACTTTTCCCATTCTGTACAACGTTACATTGCGGGCGTGCGCCAGCTGTAGAGCCGGAGCAATTATTTTTTATGGAGCTTAACGCTCTGATTCGACGCGTCTGTATAGAGTAGCCGTCGAGAACCGATCGCAAAGTGCAATTTGCTCATTGCATTCATTGTTTTTTACCTTCGAAATCATCCGAAACAGTTGCTATCACACATGACGATGTATGGTTGCAGAGGCGAACGGCATCAAGCCGGCGGTGAGCTCATCCTACGTGCCGGTATGCCAAAAGACGGTGACGTACATCGTGGCGGCGGTGCTGATCAACGGCGACGACGAGGTCCTCATGATCCAGGAGGCCAAACCGTCGTGCAAGGGCAAGTGGTACCTGCCGGCGGGCCGGGTCGAACCCCACGAGAACCTCATCGACGCGACGAGGCGCGAAGTCCTTGAGGAGACGGGCCTGCTCATGGAGCCCAAGTCCCTCATCATGGTGGAGTGCGCGAGCGGCTCCTGGTTCCGATTCGTCATGACCGGCATCGTGATCGGCGGAAGCCTCAAGACGCCCGACCAGGCGAATCAGGAGTCGCTGCAGGCCGCCTGGGTGCGCGAGGTCACGAGCCTGCCGCTCAGGTCCAGCGATATTTTCACTCTCATACAGAAGGGCAGGGACTACATGAGCAAGGTCAACGGGCCCTGGCACTCGAGTGTCCTGCCCGTTGAGAAGCAGCACGACAAACTTTACCTGAGGCTCATCATATGTATTAAGAAGAAAGCAACGTAAGTCCAGCTCGACTCTCACAACGCGTTGCAATCATTCTAATTACCTCGTTTGCACTTTCACAGTAACAGACTTCACGTGTTGATGTCGGAAAAAACGACCTTACACTTACCGATTTGCGAGATCAATCCTTCGAAAAATTTGCACTCCACGCTTCACAGGTTCATGGTGGTGAGCATTTTTTTCAATATCGTAAACAATGCTAATGTTTTTTTCGTCCTTATTCTTAATTACTTCGACGCTTATCACGCAGGAAATCTTTGGAGAAGGCATCCCTCAGCACAAGCCGCACGGTCTTTTGTCGGTCGAATTCAGCGGCCAGGGCGAAGGGGACGGTGTCTGCTTGACTTTGTTGATCTCGTTCAGGCCTGCCTTAGAAGAAGTCTCGATCAGCGGAAAATACATATGGCATGAGTTACCACAATTATTAGCCGAAACTCTAGCGAATCGTTTGCCTCGAAACATGTCGGTATGTTTGAACGTTGTGCGCTGAACTTACAAATTTTTTACTTTTAATTGTTGACAAGTATAAAATAGATTATACTAATTGATATTTTACATATCTAGACAGCGTCAATTCCTAGCACTATTTTCCAATAGTCCTTCCGAGACCCCAAAACTAAATTTCTTGATCAGTTTTTGTGAAAAATATTTATCATAATGCGAATAGAATTTAATTTTTTACTGATCAAAATCATAGTCTATATTGTACATTAAAAACGTATGCAATATTATGTATTATCGCGAGATGTGCTCAAGTAATTGTTACATTCAAACATTGAAATGAATGAGTGTGCTAAACTTCCCAAATGTATGTATTATTAGCTAATAGCTCATAGACTACAATTGAAATAACAATTGTTATAACTAGAGGCTGCGATATCTTATACTCATGTTTTTATAATTTTATTTATACAGATAAAGTGGACCATTTTATTTTATATTTGTATATTGGTTTTATTTCAGTTATTTTATATTGTATTTTGTTAATAAAATATTTTCAATAAATTTTTCATATTATTTGATTTATTTTTATCAATGTCAGAAACGTTAAAAAAGTTTTTTTCTCATAGTAGATAAAGTTTTACAAACAAAACTAAATGTATTACTTATTAACACTAGAAAACTCTTCAAGAAACAATTACTCTATAACAATTTATTAGCTTGATTTCTACCTATATTGATCACAGATTTGACTTTTTAAGAATTGGATTTTAATTTAACATTAAAATCATTACTACAAAAGGCATGTTTTTGTACATACATTCAAACTTAACACTTGGCATAAGTGTACAACTAAATTTCAGAAATAAAACAAATTTATTCAAAAAAGTTATTGTTAGCTATGAATGTTATACATTGGAAAATTAAATTTCTTTCGTGCTGTATTTCACTTTGTAGCAGTCTATTTAATAACCTTAATCGACCATTGCTATATTCAGAATCATTGGCCTTATGGTTTTTAAAATTTGAATTTTTAGTTTCTTTTTTCTGATAAGACTTTTCGTTCGATTTTGGCTGTGTAACTTCCTCAGATGCATTACTATTCTTTGACGAGTTATTTTTGGTTGAAACGTTTGGAGAAGTACTGAGTTCCTCCAAGGCACTATCATCATTTTTTTGTATTACACCAATAACTTTATTTTCAGACTCAGATATGTGCGATATTTCATTTTCAATATTTAATTTTACTATAGGCACTTCTTCAGGTAATTCATCTGGAGATAGAATTTTATTTTTGAATAATTGATTTCAATATGATTATTAACTTTAATGATTAAAAAAGATTGATTGCTTACCGTCATCGGATTCAGTACCATAGTCAGCAACCAATCCGAGAGATTTTGTCACTTTAGGTTTTTCTATCACAACGTTCTCTGAAATTTTCGGGACTTCTGTAAGTTTTATTATTTTTGCGGGAACAACTTCATCATCGTCGTCAGATACACGAAATTGTTCATTTTCTAGTTGGTCTGTAACTGGAGATTCAATTTCATCAATATTTTTTTCGGTCGAGTCATGTTCATAAGTTTCTGCATCATGACTACTATCGTCCAACATATTGATTCCAGCAAATGGAAGTAAACCGCGATAACGTTCTGCTTCTATAATTTTTGGAAGTTGAAATTCATCTCTTGGTTTTCGATTTCGTTTTCTTTGTCTTTTTTGAAGGTTTGGGTTTTTATTTGGTTGTTTTTTTTCATGACTTTTTTTATGATTTGATAGTTCGATTACTTCTCCACGATTTTTCTTTTCCAATTTTTCAGCTTCTTTCTCCTGAATGTTCGACTCAGTAGGGAACTTATACCTGTTTCTAATAAATAATACAAAATTATTATTCATTCCAATGAAAATTTATATTAATTCAACCAGACAACTTACTTTTTTCTTTCGGCTATCCACTTTTCAACATCTTTGTCAACAATGATGCTCTTCATTCGTTGGTATAGGCCAGTAGCATGTTGCATACTAATATGTTTTTCAACCAGCTTCGGGTGTGCACGGAAATCACATCCATCGATTCCACAAGTCTGATGCTCGTTTAAGTGTTTCCTCATTTGTGCTGCATTATTGAAATCGCGGTCACAAACTTCACAGAATAAATTTTCTTCTCTACTTGACTGCGAAAACTTCTGTTCCGATCCTTCATCTGGCTGCATTTGAGTCTCTGTATCATCTTCTGAATCGCTAGTATCGGGCATTACTTCTGAATTGTGGGCTCCGTATTCTTCATCATTTTCGTACAGGTGTGCCTAAAAATATTCAGATAGAAACTATTCTTTTTTTAAGTATGTCGCCAAAACGACGGATATTAAAAAGGTTGAGATCAAAAGTATTATTTTTTGTTAGTTATTTAAAAATATGTTTTTAAAAGTCAAACTCTATACTTGGATAGTTAATTTGGAAGCAACATTGATAAATTGATATCCACATATTCAAGCTAAAAATTCTAAATTTGTCTCTTGATTTCCACGATTTAAATGCCAATATTTATTTGATATATAATTGTCTGTTTGCTTGGAAGCATTTTCATTAAAGAAGACAATCATTTGAATGTGTATATAAATATTTATTTTTACAGTGATATAAGGACTTGGATACAAAAAGTGTCTGAAGCAATTTTATCAAACTTATAAATTCAAATTTTATATTAGATAGAAATCTATTAAAACAATGATTAATATTGAGAATAAAAAATGTTGCTTGTAATGAAATCTAGCAAATACTGCAATATTGCTAACATACAAGTTATACACATCAATTATTAGGTGATTTTAATTTTTCAATATAATAATTAATAGCAAATTTTTGTGTATTACAAATAGATGTATCCTTAACCAGGAAATTATAAGGAAATTGGCCACAAATTTATTCAGGGCACTGCACTACTGGCCAAAGAGCAATTTCGGAGCGAATTGAAATACATTTCAAATTCATTTAACAGACCAGTTGATTTACAGGCATATAATCGATGTTTTATTCTCACGAAATGTGTGAATAAATTTTGGTTTATTTGTCTAGTAAATTTTCGTGCACAAGAAATATTTCGTTAAAATACTTTTAAAAAGTAAGAAAATTAATGAAAATTACAAATTTTTACTTGTGACTTGGTTTTAATCATTCTTTCTCAGTTTTAAATGATTATAATAATATCTAAACAAATAAACCTTTCACAGCATGCTTTATACAATAGTTCACTTTAAATTATAAACTTTGATTACGAAAATCAAAAAATGTTACAGTTCATTAACTGCTAAGTTACATTTATGTACTTATATAAAAGACGCTCGAAATTAATAGAAAATTAATAACGTGATTCAAAACGTCTTTGAATACTACATAGATAATTAGAAGCATTAAGGTGAATTTGATGTTTTATACTCTTTTTCAAAGTAATTAATGCAAAGTATTTTTGACACAAACGCAAAATTGTCAAATTTACTATGTTTTTGTTAATTAGAAAAAAGTCAAAAGAATTGAATTGTAATCAGTCCAAGGTTCCGAATGACATATTAAAAATTCGAACCAATCACTCAAAAATTACAAAGGAGTAGCCTACGAAGCTCAAGACTGTGCTTGTTCGCTGGAAGGCATGTTCTCCCCATTTAGCTCCGTTTGCTCTGTTTGCTCAGTTTGCTCAGTTGTGTTTTCGCTATTTTGAACACTTTCTTTTTCAACAGAATTCTGTTCAGGTGTTTTCGGAGAAACCTGTAATAAAATGAAATTTAAAAACCATTTGATTTTCACGAAGCTACAGAAGTATTTACTGCTAAAGGCAATAAATGAAAACTTAAGTTCTGATTGCTATAGGAATTCTCAAGGTCGCATAACTGCAGCAGCTAAACACAACAAATATCTGGCTCAATTTATGAAGTTTACCTAGTGATCAATTAATTTGATTTGTACTTTGTTCACATGGAGCAAAAGCATGCATGAGTTAGGGTTAGAAAAGTGAATATTTATAACATGAATAAGTAGCATCAATTGTCTAAAAGCTAATGTTGATAAAATTAATTGTTTGTTAATTTTTAAATTTGAATACCCATTTAATTATTTTAAAAGTAATTTAGATTAGTAATATTAGTTATCATAAACATAATTATTTTATAATTGTAAGTTATCTACCTGTTCAGGATGTTTGGAAAGATATTCATTTTTGGCATCACGAATCATTCGTGTTACTTTGTTCCTGAGATCTTTGAACTCTTCCCACTCCTTGGCATCCTTATTCTTTTTAGCTTTGGCATAGAGTTTATTTTTTTTCTGGATTTCACTACGAATTTCATCCGTCATCCAGGGTTTTTTCATTTCCAGTTCCTGTACAAGCGCAAATACAAACATAAGCAAGCCATCGAAAGCGTAATAAAAAATAACATGCTTGGTACTAATCATAAGAATGTAATGGTACTGTGTCATTGATGAGTTATAAGTCACACTACCATCACTTTAATCTGTATCGATAATTGAAATAGGCAATAAAAGCAGCTTACGAAATGTACGCACTTTTACCTCGAATTTGTGATTCTTTTTGTTGTTGTTGTTGGGTCCGTTTCCATTCTGTTTGGGTTTGCCGTTGGCGTTGTTCGGAGGGTAGCGTGGTCTCATGTGTGGTAATACGTGAGGCGGCATCATGCCCCTCGGTGGTCGCATGGGCATCGGTGCTCGCAACCCCATGGGGCCTCGCATCATCGGTGGCGGCGGTGGAATATGACCGGGCATGGGTCGACACATCGGCGGCATCTGCGGTGGTGGACCGTACATATTCGGTGGCGGCGGTCCAACCATCATGCCTGACCGTCCCGGGGGCGGCATCGGTCTTCCACGGTTAGGAACAAATCGTGGCATCGGTGGCGGTAGCATACCCGGTCTACTGTTCATACCTGGTGGAGGTGGAGGCGGCGGTGGTGCCCGACCGAAACGCGGTATCACCGGTGGCCTCATCACTTGAGGTGGCATCCTCATCGCACCGTTATTCAATGGACTCATGACGTTATACTTAAAACACTATGTTCACTCGATAATCTAGCAGTAATACTTAACAACTAAGTAATTGTACGTTGCAGGGACCACGTTGGACTTCAAGCCAGTGAAGCCAAATCGTCGTCGGAATGTAGCTTTGGTCAAAGGTTAAATGCTCGGACTGTATTGTTATCTTCTGTTTGAAGATCAGAAGGAACACTGCCAAGTGCCGACACTTGCGCGCACACTTGAGAGTTGAGCAGCTAATGTATGTCGGACTAGCGACTGGCGAGTGCTACAACTACCGTGTCCTTTCGAAGCGACGAGCTGCTCGGCTTGTATTACAATAACATACACACAAATGTATGCCCAAGTAATCTAATGCCAAGTCTAGAGCTGCGCGTAGCGCGTGTGTCTGCGACTCCTATGTGTGTGATCTTGCGTATACGTGCGCGTGAGGCTCTGCGTTGTCAGAGTCACAGTTCACAATCACCACACGGCCGTTGGGCCACTGCTGCTACTGTCTAGAGAGACGAAGGATGTCGCGCCACGGCCGGAAGTACCGAAACTTTGAACAGCAAGTTCCAGCCGCCGAGATTTTGCGCTCTTTCTCTCTTACCTATATGCTATGCGGGCCCTAATAGCAGCGCAGACAGCAGTTGCGAAAACTCGCTCCGATGCTCGAAACTCTGCTCTTCGTCTTTGGCTGTATGGAACCTCGGCCCCTCTATAATTGCTCGACGCTACCATACGCACAGCAGTCGATCGATTCAATAACAGCGCACTGTGGCGAGCGGCCGAGCCTCGGCTCGCTCGGCGGCAGCGCAGCAGCAGATGTGCTCGTGTTGCGCCAATATTTGCCCCCTCTACCCAGGCAGGTGTGCATGGAGGGACAACGATCCGAGTTTGCTCTTTCTCCACGCTCCTGTCAATAAACACCGACTCCGAGTCTCGCTTTGATATACTATTTACATGCTGTCTTGTATGAAAATTGACGAAGTCGCAACGTCGGCCTACGAATTTACTTGAACAATGATTTCGGATGGATTAGATCGGGGAGCAATGGCCTAGGGTTGTTGATCTATGCGCCAGTTTGTTTGTATTATGATCTTGTATCTGCCGACACGATTTAAACTAAGTATCAATCAAAACGTAGGCAAACGTTTACTCGAATCAACAGCGAAATGCACTCTTATGCTCGAGTCAGGCATTACAGGTGCGAAAAATCGAATAATCATCGGTGGAGGCGAATATCGATTTTACCCGCGAGCACAACCACGACGAGAAACAATCCACGCACCCACTTTCAACGGGCCAACGTCATCGTTGCGTTTCGCGCGGTGTATACGCGTGCAGACTTACTCTCGCGGGAAATCGTCACGTGTCGTTTCGCGCGCACTTCAGTTCACACCCTGCACTCTGCAGCCAGTGGACAATAGCATAACTGCAACACGACACCTTACGCCACGTGCGTTCTCGACGCCACCGAATCCCCGGATTATTTTTATAAATGATGATGATATCGGAGAAGTGCTCGTAATCGCTTGCAGTATTCGTGATGGTCTAAATGAAATGAACAACACGACTTTGGTAGTTTCATTATTTTTCGATTTTTTTTTTCACTTTTATTTCGTTATAATGCACATGTTTCGTGAAAAAATTAAATTCCGTATTACGAAATTAGCCATGTAGAGCTTTACAAAAATCTATAATATCGGGTTCACCGCGATATTATCAATTTTTTACCTCTTTTTTTTCAACACTTTAATTTTTTTCTCTTTCTCTCTCTCGCTCTCTCGCATCACACATCATCAATTTACCCTTCATCATTTCTTTCTCTCGCATTCTCGGTACAAAATTCTTCATTTATTTTTATTTTTACTTTTTTTAATAATAATATAATACGCAAAATTTTCCCAACACTCGACGTTTATATGCTCGAGCTCAGCTGAGGCTTCAAAGTAATACATGTGTGTATAAAATAAATCCATGACGATGCGTCCCCCAAAGATGGAAAGACATGCAACAATTTTCGGAAAATATAGGCTTTCTCTCGCATTGATCGGCAAAAGAAACGCCAAGAGGGGTGCAAAACATTTGTTTGAATTATACACACACATGGAACGGTTCTGAGCGGTGCACGAGCCCTGATCAACGTCGGAAAATTCAACATTTTTTTCCATCATTTTTTTCAGGTTTTTTTTTACGTTTTTTTTACATTTTATACATTTTTTATGTTATGTACTGTTTTCTTTTCTGTCGCACAAGAGATTTGGCTCATAAAAAAAATTGTTCGTATACGTATCGCCAAATATTCCGATTCAGCTCGTCTATGACAAACTTGCTCTGCCGTAAATTTGTATGTTACAAAAAAAAACAACGAAAGAACAAGCATGTGGCTGCGAGTTTCATGTTAAAAAGCTACTCGAGCTTTTCATCTTTTTCCTTTTTTACTCTTTTTTTAGTTTCATTTTATGAACTTCTTCGTCTTTTACAACTGTTTTTAAAAATTTTCAATTTTTGTTGATGCTTTTTTTGTAAGTTCTATTACAAATCATGTTCTTTTTTTAGCTTTTGTCGCTTTTCGACTAGCAAAACACCACAAGTTCTTTTGCTATTTATAAGAAACATTTTTTACTTTCTTTTTGTGTGGTACAATAAAAAATGAAAAACACTCTCAATAGTGTTTTATAGATTTTCCGCTTTTCCTTTGATTTAATGAAAACTATAAAAGGAGACAAGGCGTTTTGATCGTAGTAGTCTCCCAACGATCTTAAAACCATAGTCTCTCCCCCATTATTCTGAGCTTTAATCCCGTTGTCTTGTTCTTTATTTTATAAGCTATACCAATAATTATTTAATGCAGAAGTTTTTGTTCTCTCAAGTTTTTGTGTTTCCTTTCTCTTATTCACTTTAGTATCTAGTTATATGCTCGACTTTGAAATTTCACTTAACACATGCATCGTACGTTTTTTTTAATCATTAAATTATTATTTACGAGATTTTTTTTCACAGTCAGCCACGGACCTTTCTCTTTCTTAAAATTGTTCACGATGGATTATACACTCGGTCTCATTAACCGGCAAATAGATTATAGATGTAATCTTCGAATTGCTTTATCAAGTACAGCCTCAGCCGCATTGTTTTTATCTCTTTTTGTCATTTGATCATGCAAGTCCCCGTTCATACTTTTGATGATAGTATTTTAATGGGACCTTAAAAGCTCTTAATTAACACGGGCGCTCTAACATTTTCCAAGCGCAGTACTTTAATTGAAAATTGGTTTTTAATGCAAGATTCCAAGAACACGACCAAGTTGGATTTTTAGCGACCCTCTGCGACAAAGCAATTCCTAGATTTAACCATTTCCTTAATATTCCTCATGATTAGCATTAAGTTTTTAAATCGCTTATTTATCTTTCGACACGCAAACAAAGATATTATGCACACAAATATGAAAGAGGATAACTTTAAAGTTTTTTTTATTTTTCGTTTAGTTCAAGGACTTTTATCTCTCTTAATTCACAAAGTAATCGTACTGACGAAAAATTAACAATTCTAACTATGCTTTTACAAAACGTGAGAGGTCATCATCGCCTCGTTTGGAGAGAGATAAAAATTTCTAGAAACAATCAAAGGAAGAACGAACATATTATACTTACTCGTTGATTATAATTGTAGGGACACGAGTTATTTTTCTTATTCATGGTGTTACAATGCGGTAAACGAGATATCTTATCTTTGTTATACTTCTACATACGAGAAAAATATATTATGCTGTAGTGTGCGTGCGGTGCGTGCAATTGTTGTAGAGTCATTTTAATGTTTTAATACAATGATAGATATACTTGTTTTATGGTGTAGAAAGAAAATCATACTCTTTATTTAACTTTTTTTTATAAAAAAAGGGAAAAAGGCCATGCATAATAGTAATGTTTTGTACAAATTTTTTCTTTTTGACATGTTTATACTTTGACAATGGATATGCCAAGAATCGTATAATCAATAGAGCGTTACTTTGGAACTATTCCATTTCAGACAACCCGATCGCAATTTAAATGCGTTGAGTCTTTAACGAAACGTTATCGATACGAAAAAAATTACAATTCAGTTTCTACGCGTAAGAAACTTTTTTTTTACAATTGAAACAACCCACCAGGGGTTATGCATGAGAAATTTTTCAAATTCAAATCTTTGCTGTATTCAGCGATATCCATAATTACAAATTGTATCTTTGAATGTTATTTTTGTTATTTAGTAACGGAATAATACTCGCATGTATGTCGTGACAGTTCAGATTCACAATCGCTTAGTCACAAAAAATTAATGAACTAACGAATTAATTGTATTTTGACATAATACAAATATTACTCGACTTTTCAACACAAAATTGGTATTAACAATTTTCAAATGCAAGATTCAAAAAGTACGAGGCTAAGTAAAGTAAACGATAAAGTTTCAGTTGTTATTCGCACGTACAACTTTACAAATTTGCCGTCTTATAAAAACGCGTCGCGTTACAATAAAAAAAAAAAAAAGATGTGTAGTTCAAAGGCGACGCTGTTATTGATGTCATGTAGTTTACAAAAAAATTTCAGACTGCCCATGCATTAAACAGTCCTAAATTAATGACCTACTACAATCTCACCGCACGTGATCTCGTTATCACACCACGAAATTTTTTTTTTACAAGTATAATAAATGTAAGCTGACGTAGTAGTTTTTTTTTAGCATTAATAGCAGAAATTACAGTACTATGTTTGCTCGAATCGACAGCATTCAGATTTACAAGCTACTGTCTCGATGTATTGGTAATAATTAATTCAAAGGTGAACAATACAAAGAAACTTAAACAGTATTTTCACTCCGAAACATCGTGTTTGCTGGTAAATAATAGACAATAGACAATATTTAAAATAGAAACGGCGAACGAAAACGCAATTGTAAAAGAAGCAGGAAAATATTGGTTATCAAACGCTTCGTGAGAACGCAGTTACTCGGTGTTTTATTAATGTGTATATAAAAGTGTCTTTTTAGGACATGCTACGTTGATCTAACTTTTGCTCGTTATAACCTACCGATGTTAATCATTTTATCGCTGGATTATATCCATACGAAAAAAGGCTTTGCCTTTAATCTAAACTTTATAGCTGTTAAGGTTTTGCTGTTAAGCTGCTTAATTACGTACCGCAATTTCAGCTGGTTAATTTAAAGATTAAAATAATTTTGATTTGTTGTTTAATTTTTTATTTTCGTGGAGAGACTTTGGAGTAGTGTTTGTTGGTAAACTTTCATTAACTTTTTTTTTTGGATTTTTTAGTTTTTTTTTTTTTTTTTGCATTGTTATAAGATTTCCGCATATTTCCTCGCTGCTTATAGCAGTTATTGTGTTTCCGTCGCCTCTTACTTAATAAATAAAGGTGTTATGTAGAGAGGGATGGTGACATGATGGCGACGACTGTAGTTGGTTTAAGCAGTGCCTTCGGCGTTTGCGTTACTCTGCGCCGGCTGACTGTCCTGGAAAAATGACGTGTTTTAGCCTCCAAATGGAATTATTATATTCTTATACTAAAAACTACTTTAATAATTTAAATATTTTTAAGAAAGATTTCAATTAATTAACTATAATATATGATTTATCTATATGAGATCAAGTTCAGAGCTATAGAAAAATCTAAATTCAGTTGTACATCAGATGATTGCTGTTGATGAACAGGAATGAAAAGCAAGTGATGTAAATTACCTGGGGAGCAGGAGCTTGGGCAGGAACATTACTCTTTTCTACTGGTGCATCAGATTTTTGCTCGGACTGAAAAAGTGTATAAAAAAAATTCATGCAGCAAAAAGTGTGTTCATGCATTAAAGCTTTTTTTCTACGCGGAAATTTTGTAGGTATAAATTTAAAAAAGTGACACCAGAAAAGCATAAAAAAACCAAAGTAAAATGTAAAGAAATAAAAAAACTACGGATACAATAATGAATCTATCAAATGCCCAATGAAATATTTTTCTGATTTGAATCACGACGTACCCGACCGTCTTGGCTGCGAGGTCGGCGGTTGCCTCCACCACCACCACGTCCTCCGCGGAAGTTGCGGCGGAAGAAGCGTCTGGAGGGGCCTCCTCGACCGCGAGGATTGCCACCGCGTTGATTACCACCTTGGTCACCGTCTCCTTCACCTCCTTGGGCAGCTTCGCCACCATTTTCATTCTGTTGTTGCGACTGATTTCTACGGTTGCCTCCGCGGTAGTATCCGTCATAAGGACGACGTGGCCTGTATCGGCGCATTTGCTGCTGGCCTTGATTGTTGCCACCACCTTCTCCGCCACTCTGTTCGTCGCCGGTTTTACCGCCTTCTCCTGCTTTTTCAGTGGAAAATTTTCAAATTAGTCAAGTTCAGAGAAAAACTACATCAAAATCCACACAGACTTAGAAAATCTTCAAACCTGATTCGTAACCCTCTTGACCCTCGCGCTGTTGTCTGCGCATGGGGCGTGCACCGCCACCGCGTCTGTTGTAATATTGACGGAAGCCGCGACGTTTGTCGGCGGCGTAGGGCGAGCCCTTGACGGCTTCGCCATCGGGGCCTGTCACGTTGGCAGCTTCGTTTCCTTTTTCACCGATGACAACATCGAATTCGACGACTTCGCCGTCACCGACGCTGCGTACAGCCTTTTTGGGGTTGTTCTTGACAATAGCGGACTGATGAACGAACACATCTTCTTTGGTGTCATTTCTATAATTTGTTTAAAAAAAACGGAGCAAATTAGCAAGTAATCAAACTTGACAAGTTCTTTCATGATTTCAAGTGTACCAAAAAAATAAAACATCGTCATGTCATACACTGCAAAAATTTTTGCTCTGTTCCCAATAACCAGCAGGGATATTCATACATGCACATTACACGCGAACTCGCCTCGTGTTTTAAGCGGCTTTGCGGGCGCTTTTAAGCACGTGCACAAACATAACCTTTACGGCTTCGCAAAAATAGAGCTCGCGATGCCTCGTATACGTATTAGAAGAATATAAGAAGCGAGCGAAATACTCGGAGTGGCCGTTACTTCGGCGAATCATTCCGATATATTTTGTCTCGATTTTTTTCAGTAAAAGTGGAAAAAATCTTGTAAAAAATCCCAACGCGAAATTTAGATGCAAGCGTCATAGTTTGCTTGTCGCGTGAATTATTGGAACGCAGCGTGAACGTTCGAAAAATTATGTCAATCATGTTGGGTAAAAAAATCTAGATTTTCCGCCGCTCGAGATAATGAAATTGTCGGCGTGTTTATTTCAACGGAGACGTGTGTACACGTATATTGTATAACGCGTGGGCATTGTCGTATTGAGAACGCGTTAAATACCACACGACCTCTGCAATAAACGCTATACACATGTCGCTTAGACAAGCACGACGTCTTGGTGTACATACAACAATTTCCAAAGAATAGAGACTCGAATAAGTATTATTGACGTGCAAGTAAAGGTTCAAAGTACGTAAAACTATGCGAGTCTCGCGTGATAATACGTGCGCGTTAAGACCGATTAAAGACTCGATATTTTATTTAATGCTAGGATGGATATTTTTGATCGTAAAAAAATATAAAAATTTAGGAGAAAGAAGGGAGAAACGAGCTGACCCCAATTTTCGTGCGACTCTCGGCACAGCTCAACTTTTCGGGTGTTTCTCGCAAATACACAGTAACACGGGCGCAGACGTGTATGTGCACGGGAGCGGCGGTCTACGCTACTGGCTGCGAGCCAAATGTGCTATTGGTTGTCGCCTAGAAATAGAGATGCTTTCTCGCCTTGCGAATGTGTAGTGCGAAAGCCTGCATTGTGCGAGATTTAAAACGACGTCGCTTACGGAATGTTTTGGAGCAGAGAGAGAGAAAGAGAAAAAATGGTGGGCAGGGTGAGCTCCGTAGAAATGGATAATTATATTGCGTCAACTTTGAACGTACGGTTGATATACCCGATCCGACTATCAGTGTTGATCCTCGTTAATGTAATCGTATGAATAAGATAATACTGACCTGTTGATAAATCCATAGCCACTCTTGACATTGAACCACTTGACTGTACCAGTTACTTTAGTGGCTGTAAAATAGAAAATCAATCATCAATTATATACTTAAATGCTCATCAATAATAGATACAATTTTAATCAAGCTAATTGTGGTATATTGTATGGATTATTTCACATGTTATATTATGTGCAAGAAGAAAAGCTAGTGTACCTCAAACATTTGTAAGTTTCTAAGAATAGATAATTGGTACTCAAGATCGTAAATCAAACATTCCGAATTCCTCAACAATTACAAACAATGTGTCTATTATGAGTTCATCTTGCTCCAGCTTATTCATCAAGGATTAGCATGTTTGGATCTTCTTGAATTCAATTATGAATTTTCTCATTTGTTGTCACTAGTTGTACGCATTATCCGCGCAATAACATGGTAAGAGTGAGACAGAGGGAGAATGACTACAATGCGATTGAGCCATTGAGCGTACGCGACACGTGTGATGAAATTTGAGCCCAAAATAGAGCTATTTGAAAGCCACATTATAATTACTACTACAATACTGCTACAATAACTGGAATTTTCCAGATATAGATCCATGCAACGTACGGAAAAATTGTGATTGATTCGTGCTTTGGGCGCGTTTCGGAGTTCTTTCACCCTGAGAGCTTCGGATTGCCTGTATCTGTCCGATCGCGCGGAAAATGCAGTGCGGTTTGTGGGCACGAAAGGGGTGGTAAAAATATCCGTTACGTAATTCATTATTGTAGAACAATTCGGTAATAGCAATAAGCGCTTCATCATATCCGAGAAAAGTCAGAGAAAGCGAAAAAAAGGCAGCAGCACTGAGCCACTAGGGCAGACACGTATTCAAATTTCATCAATACGTATAAAACGAGCCGGCGGTAAAAATTTAATAGCGTACGATGCAGCGCAAAAAGTGCACGGCAACGGCGAATAAAATCCGCATTATAACATGCACGCGGTTCAGAGGAAAACGTAGAGGGGGCAAGAGTAGCAGCAGCAGCAGCAGCAGCAAAGCTGCGCGGTTTCCTGCAATGTTGGCGCGTGCAAAGAAATGGAGGTTCTATAGACTCGCGTAAATATTACACGAAAGCCGTCGGCAAAACAACATTGCCATGTGCCACGCGGACTCCGAATCGTTGATGAGCAGCCAACGATGTAGCGTGCCCGGGTTTCGCTTGGACCGGTGTATTCGCGTCGCATTTCCAGAACTTTCGAGATAAGACGCCGCCGAGAGAGTCGCAGAAGCGTTTCATAAGAAAGCGACCACGCGATGTAACAAGCACGCGGCATGGCGCGTCCCTCGGCGTTCAGCGCCATTACGGTGGATCCGCGCAAGGAAGACGACTCCGATTTCGGCGAGTTCGGGTCGTGGCACGGCGATTCGGAATTTTCGAAAGCGGCGACGTGGGTCACGGGGGCCAGGCAACGAAAAGGCGACAAACAAATGAGATGATAATAAAACATGAGCCGCTAACGGGGATAGAAAACACACGCATCGTGCACCCAGCAAACTCACCGATAACAGTTTTTGCTTGTTGCTGTTGTTGAGCAGCAGCGGCAGCGGCGGCGGCGGCCTGCTTGTTAGCGCCACCAGCTTGCTGCTGTTGAGCCGACGATTGTGCCTGTCCAGCCTGGGCTTGTTGTTGCTGTTGAGGCTGGGACTGAGCCTGTGCGCCTCCCTGCTGCTGATCACCCTGTTTGCTCTCCGAATCGGCCATGGTATATTTTTTTTTTGGATAGTACGACGTTAATTACGATCGGAGATCTTCTGCAGAAAAAGACAATGCGGTTGTTGACTCGGAGTTGACAATGCACAAGCGTGACTTTTTCGAGTGTTTTTAGTTTTTTTTCTTTAGTCGATAGAATAACGCTTCTTCAGCTCCTTTGGACCTGGATGTTCTCCCTTCTCACTCGCACACTCTTCTCTCTCACACACTAACGCTGTTCTTAATGCGCCTCGCACTGTTGTTGGTTCCCTTCTGGCGAGCGGGCGAGACGAGTCGCGAGAGTCTAGCGGCCGGACAGAGCAACCCAGAAAGCTGCGCGCGCAATCCGGCCGCTATTTTTTCTCTCTCTCTCTCGCTCTCGACTCACGATTCCTCGATTCTCGTTCGCGATTCGATGCACTTCTTGTTGGTGAAAATCCAAAACTGCCAACTTTAACTCGACTTCTTGCATTCGTTCGCATAAGGTTGGTAAGCAACAGTAAGAAATAAAGTTGACGCTCGTTTTCGTTATATTTGTATTTTTAATTTTTAATGCAAAAAATATGACCACATATTTCTCCATATTTACAAAAGTTTTTCGTCTTAGCTTCAGAGCTAGCAAGTTTACAACGATAAAAGAGGACAACATAATGTTCATTGCATACCGTGCAATCCATTTCACGCATTTAAATAAATGCTTAACGTGTCAATTTTTTATATGAACGAAGTTTATTTTTTTTTTCAAATGCCTCGTTATCACGCAATTATTTATGCTATCTTACATCAATGTAGTATAAAAAATAATGTATAATATTCAATTTGATTGTAAAGTACATTTTTAAGAAATGAACGAAAAAACCTGCTTTTGTTTCAACAATCGGTGAATACATTTTTATTTCTATGATATTCGATAGTGTTAGCTTAAAGGCAATATTTAAACAATACTACCATAACATTTTTTAATATTCATTCAAAAATTTAAAAACTGACAGAGTCACACGCGCATAAATCACTCAGTCCTATACCATTTTCACTATAACACTTTGCATTCATGTCATGTGTTTATAACTTTTTAATCAACGAAAATGTAACAGAACATCCAATTTTTTTTAGATGTTTGTAATGGTAAAGAGTTTAAAATTTGGCATGTTAAGATAAGTTAATATAATAAATGTATACAGTTGCAATTGATTAATCTATGCTTAAGATATACCATTTTTCATAACATTATTATACATAATAATTACATCCCAACCAGCGAATCATTCCTCCTTATTTATTTAAACAATTTACAGGTAAATAAATTACAATAAACAATTATCTAGTCATAAGACAAATTTCATTTCACTTGAAAATCATCTAAGATTATATTCAACAAGTAAGTGAATATCAAAGCTTCAAATTCGACGTAACGATACAAAGTTAAAATTACTGCTTATGTCATTTTTTTGCAGTATATTCATGTAGGAGGAATCATTCATTTAGTTGATATTTACTTATGAGTTGTACAAATTCTTTTTATAAACTTCCTCTAGTTTTTTCTATTTTATTTACATAGGCGAGGCTCAATCATATCGATGGGCACTCTAAGAGACTAGTATTTTTAAATTCTTCAAGTATAGTATTCAAAAAATATTTATCACGCGATTAAAAAATGTGAAATTTTTTCCTGCAACACACCTATATGTTGAGCCTTGGAAATTGTGATAATATTAGAAAAACAAACTTACAAAAGAACGTAAGCATTTGAATAAAATAATCCTAAGAGTTAGTCGATGCATTTCAAACCACAGAGAACGACTTGCATCATATCAATGCAAATTTCTTACAAAGGAAGATTTTTTACATTCTCCATCATCTTTGTCGCCTTGTTGGGCGAGCAGAACGCGAACGAGGTGTAGAGCTACCTCCTGAGCCTATACTAAACATATTTCCCGCGGGTGCAGGTGCATTAAATGCTGGTGGTTGTTGAGTAGAGCCACTAAAATTAATAGTTGGTCCTCCAGTTGGAGCAGAGAAATTGAATCCACTTGAAGCTAAAATTGAAAATAATTCCGTTAGATTTTATGCAATTCGCCTAGGATATTAAAAGTCACAACTTGCCTGGTTTAGCTGCATTGGAAGCTCCACCAAATTGGAATACATTACTTCCACTGTTTCCAGTGGAGCCACCAAATGAAAAGGACGAAGTTGGTTGTTGTTGTTGTTGCGATGCTTGATTACCACTGAACGAAAATGAAGAACTAGTGGAATTACTAGCAGCGTTTCCAAACAAAGAGCTAGCTGATGAGGCTGCGGTTGTTGCTGGAACAGAAAAAGGTGAAGTTGTCTGCTGTGTTGTTGATGCAGCCCCGAAACTGGTTCCAGTTGACGCACCATATGCTGGTGGTGCCGCTGTCGTTGAACCAAAGCCAGTATTGCTACCAAAAATTGATGGTGTAGTTGACTGATTACTGGTATGTGCTCCAAAAGCGGGAGAATTTCCTGATTTTATAATATCAAACGTTGGAAGTTTACTAGTACTTGTACCGCCCACTGAGAAAGCATTAGAGGTCGGTGCGGAGAACGCAGACGATCCAGGCGCTGAGCCGAAAGTTGGTGCGGGAGATCCAAATCCAGAATTAGTTAGAGGTTTACTTTGTCCGAAAATACTCGAATTGTTAGTAGCACTCGGAATGGTCGAAGATGAAGATGTACCTCCGAATATAGGACTTGCAGTAGAAGCATTAGTACTGTTACTTCCAGAAAAAATACTAGAAGATGCAGTACTACCAAATGCTGGTGGTGCAGTGGTAGTAGGAGTGGCTTGAGAGTTCGTTTTACCGAACATACTCGTAATGGTAGGTTGCTTTGATGAACTCGAACCTCCAGGAGCCGAAAACATACTTGTAATAGTAGGTTGTTTGGATGTAGATGTTGTTGGAGCATTGAATAAGCTCGGAGTTGACGAGGCAATGTTGGGTTTTGAAGCGACACTGCCGAAGCCAGTGGTTTCTTGTTTATTTTGTGATCCAAATATTGAAGCCGTGGTATTAGTAGTTGGAGCATTGAACATTGAACTACTTGCAGTTGTCGTTGTTGAGTTTGAGAATAGGCTAGGTGCAGTAGTTGCAGAATTCCCAAATAACGAAGATTTTGTTACAGAACCAAATGTCGATGGATTAGCTGGAGACGAAATTCCAAATGCCGGGGTGGTCGTAGTAGATGGATTCCCGAATGACATTGCTGATGTCGTTGTTGATGTACCATATGCCGGAGGAGCAGTTGTATTGGCGTTTCCAAATGATACGGTATTTTGCGTAGTCGAACTGCCAAATCCAGATGCAGTAGATCCAAAAGTTGATGAAGTTGTTGTAACTGAACTACCAAATCCAACCGAAGAAGATGGAGTGCCAAATGCTGATGGCGCTGTCTTGGTAGTTAGAGCACCAAATCCAGTCGTATTTCCTGTGGTACCAAACGATGGTGGATTCGATACTTGTGTATTGTTTGGCGCAGCAAATGCTTCTGAAGCTGGTTTGGTTGGTGCGCTAAAAGCACTCGTTGTAGTACCAGTTCCTCCAAAGGAAAATCCCGAATTAGAAGCAGTAGTGGCTGCAGGTGTACTGGCACCAAATGAAAATGAAATCGCTGGTTTTTGGGTCTCTGATGACGCAGTTGTTACAGTAACTCGTGAAGTCGTGGCTGGTGTCACGGAACTACCTGCGGAAAACATGAGCGTCGAATTTGATGAACCAAAAGCTGGTGGTGCGGTTGTTGAAGTGGGTGCTGCTGTACTAGCTGAGGCTCCAAATGAAAATCCACTTTCTTTTTTTTCATTAGAAATTTTTCCTAAATTACTGCTAGGAGGTTCTATTATAAAAACAGAAACATTTTAAAAATCTTAAAGAAATATTTTTAATTAGTTATCGAAAAAATCTTACGCTCAATTGAAGTTTTTGTAGAACTGTTAACATTAGCATTTCCAAAACTAAGTACTGCACTCGTATTCGCCATGTTTGAAACGGGCGATGATGCGCTTGAAGAAACAGGCGATGTAGCTGTTGTAGTAGCAGTGGTAGTAGTACCACGGAAAGATACTGTAAAACCAGTTGTTGTTGAAGGTTTGGTTGTAGCTGAAGTTGTGCTAGCTGCGGTGTTATTTGAAGAGAAATTAAAGCCTGTAGAGGCACTAGTGGTTGGAGCATTAAAACTAAACGTAGGTGTTGGTTTTGAATCTGTATTTGTATTTGTTGTTGTTGTGCTACTTGTTTGTGAATCACTTGTGGCACTTGAAGTTGGTAAGTTGAACGTTACGGTTTTTCTGATAGGTGATTTTACTTCCACATCACTTTTTAAAATAGGAACAATATTAGTCGTTATTGGCGATGTGTTAACAGTCGTAGTTGATGTTGTAGAAGTTAAACTTGTGAAAGCAGATGTTTCAGAAGGCGTATTGAGTTCATCAGCTTGAATAACAAGATCCGGATCGATTTTGCTAGTTGCTAAAAAAAAATGAAAAATTATTAATATAATAAATAGTACTGTAAAATTATAATTTTAAGCAATTATTATTACTTTTCCCAGAAATAGCATCAAACATGCTTTGTAGCCTTTGCCTCATACTATTTGTCCTCATATTGACTATATCTTCTTTTCTTATTTCATCTTTGTCATTAGTTTTGAATTTTGATTCCACACTATCAGACTGTAAGCTTTTAATTTTGTCAACATTTTGAGGTTCTGGTTTCATGAACAATTTATCTGTTAATTTTTCAGCTTTTTTTATTACAGGGCTAACTGGTTTTGATTCAAGTTTCTTTGGTGAATCTATTGACTTTTTAAATTGGGATTTATTGTTCTTTGGACTCTCCGTACTGATCAATTCCAAATTTGTAGATTTCTGTTTTAACTTAGTTGATTCAGTTGAAATGTTATTCGTGGTTGGTACTTGAACATTCAACTGACGTTTAGACTTGGGTGATTCTTCTATAGAAGCAGATGTAGTCAAAGAAAAACTTGTGCTTGGTGATTGACTGGCTAATTTGAAATGCTTTTCTGTATTGCACTGCGATAGATCTGCTGCAATAAAATAAAATAAAAATAAAAACTAATTTATTTTACAAAAAAGAAAGTAAACTCATCATTATACTTACTTGCTTTCCTTTTCACCCCAGAAAGTATGCTAGCACTTGAACTAAGTGAGTTCAAGATGTCATGGCAAGAGGAAGCTTTTTGTCTTTTTAATGGTCTTTGCATTTTAGATTGAGAGGGCAAATCGTCCTCATCAGAAGCTAATGATGAATCTTCCCTGGCTCGCTTTTGCATCATTTCTTCAAGACTCTCTAATTGACCTTCTGAAATTCTTTCGGTTCTCTGCTTTTTCACTAAATCTAACATTATATCTTCTCTTGAAGCATGGCGCTTAAGAGAGATTTCTTTGAGAACTTGTGATACACTGGTTGAAGGTTTAGGGTCATTTAATTCCAAGGATGAACCTGAGTATAATTTGAGCCTTTCTTGCTGATTTTGTGTTTCTACAGAAGGATAATTTGATTCAGGTGGAGCTACTCTCACAGTGACAGGTAAAATTGATCTTGACACTTTAGGACTCAACACTGGCATAGGAGTTGCATTGAGATTTACTCTGGGAAATTGGCCAGTTCCATATTGAGGTTGATGTGTCAATTTATTACCGGCTTCTGTAGCGTATTTGCTCAACCTACTTGTAATACCAGGAGAATTGATGTCTATATAAACCCTGAAATTATAATTCTGTATAGAAAAAACAAAATTCTCTTGTAAAAAACTTCTGAAGGACAAAATGTAACTTACTTGGGATCAACGTTGTACCTAGTTGATGCTAAAAGTGGTCCGGCAACAGTTTGAACTGTTTTAACTCCATGCCCTTTTTCTCTGATTTTAGGACTGCTGGTTGAACCCCATGATGGCATTTGAGAGTACTTTGCAGTGTCTCCTCTACTCGTAACATTAGAATATCTATTCTCATTAGCTAGAGATGAAGGTTTTTTAGGCATTGGGGAGTCCACAAAAATGCCAATAGATCCATTGGGTTTAAGATCTTTTCTCCAATGTGGACCAACTCCTTTAGCAATTGGAGTAGAAGTCCTGGCAGCGTCACAAGATCCATTCAAAGCAAATGATTGATATGATCCTGTATTAATTGGACTAGCTTTGTTGGTAAATTCTGTACCCTATAGAGAAAAGTTTACCAAGTTAAGATAAGTACAGCAGATCGTAAAAAAAAAAGAAAATCACAATTGCAACTTACTGAAGTACTAAGTCTGTAGGAACTGCGTCTCCCGTTCATCTCTATAGTATCCTCGTCCTCTCTATTGGCTAATTTCCAGGTTTCGTTTCTTTGCTCTAACCACCTTTTGACAAGCTGATTCGTATGTTTGATGGTGGACCAGCCGGTAATTGTCAGCAGCTTCAAAATGACAATCAACTCTAGTATCAGCTCTCCAACGTACTTGATGAGCAACAAACTGCGAGGATCGAAGAGACAGTCTTTATAAAGTAGCGAGTAGCACGTGTGCGAAACGAGCACTAGGGCGCAGGTAACTAGCAGTACGACGCCCCAAGCTTTGTAAAGCAACAGGCAAATCAACAACGCACTGGGCACAAGGACGTAGGCGCGTTTTGATTTAGCTGCGGCAGCCGCTGCCAATTGCTGCTGGTACTGCTGGCGACTAATGCTCATCTTCGACGTTGCGGAGCTAACCTCGAAGCGCGCCTTTTTCGCCGCATACGAGATGGCTTATACGGGGGATGGATAATTTATCGACACTTTAGCACAGAATCGCTTTCGCACTCTTGTATGTGTACGCGCAATCGTGTGTCGCCTTAATAGCCGTCGCGGTCCTTTCTTAAAGTCGTTGTGTTGATGCGCGTGTGTAGGTACTCGACTCATGCACGCGAGTACAAATTCTCTGAAATAAGTACAGGTATGTGTGTGCGTGCGCGCGGCGCGATATAGCCCTCCTAATGATGAGCATTAAGCTGCCGGTGTGATCGGAGCGCACTGTATCACGAACGACTAACTTTCATATTAGGATATTAGGGCTTTGAGTCTGGCGACGGCCGAGGACGCGGAAACTTTTCAAAAATTTTCGCGACAAACCGCCGAGCGCTACTGTGTAATGTGCCGCTGCTGCGCTTGAGAACGCCACACGGCCACACAGACTGGTTTGCCTCGTCTCGCGCGTTTCTTACGTGACCATGCTCCGAACTCGCGCTAACGTATTCCTATCTCACATTTTACTCTCTCTCTCTCTCTTTCTCTATCTTTCTCTCACTCGTTTGTACGTACGCAGATCGCCCGTATCAATGAACACTAGATGATATATGTATACCTTTCGTGCGAATGAAATTGACAATTCGTTCAATCATTTATTGTTTAACTAATAAACAAATTAGCCGTGCGAGGCTTTAATCACCTGGCGATTTTTACATAAATAATCATGATTTTTTCAAAAAAAGTGTCAGCTCAGAGAGATCACGATTGTAAATAAGAGGGGGGGATAGCCTCGCCAATGAGAGCCGCATATAGACGAGCGGATGACTCCGATGTATAGGACTTGCTACATCATCCTTATCTTCGGATAAGATGACTCATGTCTAACGAGTAACGATCTACCGCCACATCACAGTAACGAACAAATCCAGATAATGTTCGGAGTCGGAGTTTACTCTTACATTTGACTACTGTTGTGAACATACGAGCCATAATGGATGTTACAAAGATGAGCCTCAAGCTTCAGATGAAAATGCAAACTGAGCATAACAGTACTCTTTAAAGCCCGTCCAATAGTGAATCGAAGAATAGAATGTTTCCATACTTTTGCTAAAAATTATTCTCTGGTAATGCTTCTGTGACTTTATACTTGTTTAGTCAACTTCGAACGCTAATGCACGATTTTAAATTTACCGCGTGTTAACGCTCACGTCGATCGTGAGATTCGCGAGGTTCTGCTATCATTGCAGAAATTGCTATCTCGATTCTCGCACGAACTTTGATATAGGCAGCTGTGTTTGTATAACAGGTGTATTAGTGTGTGTGTAGTATAGAGACTATAGAGTAGAGGCTGATCGCTGTCGTGGGCTGCTACTGGCGCAGTCACCGCTACACTGGGCAGGCGATACACATATAGTCACACGCTGCTTTACGTGTTTTACAGACGGGTACAGTGCAGTCAGCAGTGCAGCACTACGACGTCTGAACAGCAAACACTCATACGGGTACACAATCCGCCTCTCAAGTTTTGCAGCCATCCTGCCTTCGTAAATAAGAACGACGGGCCCCGTATGGTGCATATACATTGAACGTGCTCGACGAGGTACTGCGTGTTATTGTTCATGGGCATGAAAATAGCAAGTACACTCTGATTGCGATTCCGAGACGGCGGGATACAGCGATTTTCGTGTAATACCGCGTATTTTTGGCGATGAAAATGACGCAATTATTGCCTTACCTTGACGATAATAATACCCTACCTGCACTGCTTGTGCGGCATTGTTGCTTATGCTGCTATTGTTGTTCGTGCATTATGAGTATAAACAATCAATGATGGAAAATAATGCCTTTGGACGACAGAAAAAAGACTGTTGACAGTGATTGAGTGCTCCGATTATGATTAAAATTTTTAGTTTTAAGTGACGTTTGACTTTTCGTGCAAACTAACTTCGACGATTTTTTAAATTATGTATCGTGCAAGAACAAGAAAAATGAATAAACTCTTCTACCAGACGTTGCTCTCGTTCGTCTGTTGTGCCTTGGGCCAGCAAACAACACAGGTGGGTGGATTTTCGATAGTCTGCTGTTTATCAATTTGTTGAGATTTAGCTGTTTTGATGACACTGTACGATGTGTGATTACAGAATTCGAGTCCTACTGGGCTAATGCCAGATCAAGATGATGCATTGTTGATGTTCTCAACCCTTGATGGATCACTTATCGCTATTGAACAAAAAACTGGAGATATTAGATGGCAACAATATCATGGTATAGAGTATTCGAAATTTTATCGTCGCGTTAACGTGTGCTTTTTAATCACGATTTTTTTTACTCGAATTTTCTAGAACCAGCAGTCAAAGTCCCGACTGACAGCTTACATGAAACTATGTAAGTTGTATAATACCTCATGAATTTTTTACCAAATTAATTCACCAACTTTTTGCTTTAGGCCTTACTTTTTACCTGACCCTAAAGATGGATCTCTTTATTTATACGGACCTGAAACAGAAGTACTGAAAAAATTACCTTTTACCATACCACAGCTGGTAGCTAGCAGTCCATGCCGTAGCAGTGATGGTATTTTATATACAGGACGTAAAATTGATACTTGGTTCAGCGTTGATTCACAAACGGGAGAGAGGGAGCAGCTTCTTGGATTTTCTAAAGCAACAAATACTTGTCCTGTTGATACCAAAAATGCTATATTTGTTGGCCGTACAGAGTACAATATAATGATGATTGACAGCAAGCATAAAGATAGAAAATGGAATGTAACATTTTATGATTACTCAGCTGGTAAAATGGACCCAAAGCTAGTTGAAAATTATGATTTTGCTCATTTTACGTCAAGTTCAATGGGACAAGTTATTACTCTTGATAGATTCGGCAATATTTTATGGAATATTGATTTGGGAAGCCCAGTAATTGCTGCTTACACTATTAGCAAAGATGGTTTAATAACTATTCCTTTCTCCAGTGTATCCGATAATACTTTAAATTTATTGATGAAAAAAATATCAGTAAATCCAAAAGACTTTGAACTTTAGTAAGTATTTCTTTTACAATATAACCATATAACTTACTTATAACTTAACTTATTTATTTCTAGTCCAACACTTTACATTGGTGAGCACAGACATGGTTTATATGCATTGCCATCATTATCTGACACATCTACACCTACAATAAGTAGTAAGTCAGGTCAGCTGTTATTAGAAGGCCCACTATCTTCACATTTTCAGAAAAATGACTCTGAAAATAAAGAGAAAAATAGTAATGAAGAATCAGCAGGTTCAAATGTTCTAATAGACATAATTCCTATAGGTAAAGTCAAACTTTTTTCACAAACCAATTTGTTTCAAAGAGTCAAAAATGACAAATTCTTTTAAAGGTCATTATGAAGTTCCTCCGGAATATCAGCCACATAATCAGCCTTTACAAATAACTGGTCGCTCTGATCCAATAATCTACAACAATAACAACAATATCATTAATGCATCAAAAATAGATGATTTGTCAAGCGATGATGACAAAAGATTGAATGAAACATTACAAAGTAAAGAATGGCTAAAAGCCTTTTCAGTATCCTATGCAGGAGCCAAGAAATGGCTTAATCAACAAGAAAATAAGGGCTTTAAAATTACTTTTATTATCTTGTTTGGATGTGTTTTCATGATGTTTTGGTATATGAATGCTCAGTTCAGGGAAATACAACATTTATCACAAGTAAGCGATTTAGTACTTTTCTTAATATCTATTTTATAAATAATATTAAAAAGTATGATTTCTAAAACGAAGTATTTATTTGTACAGAATTCGCGTGAAAATAGTCGCACTGATAGTAATAGTAATAACGGCTCTTTCTATGCACCGGAGGAAATCGGCGAAGGTCTAGTCCGCGTAGGTAAAATTACAATCAATGCATCTGGATTACTTGGAAAAGGTTGTGATGGTACATTTGTGTACAAGTGAGTAGTTTATTACATTTTTCTTCTGAAAATAGACTTTCAAAAATTTTTGATTTTAAACTTTATCACAGGGGTGAATTCGACGGTCGGCCAGTAGCAGTGAAACGACTACTACCCGAATGTTTTACATTCGCTGATAGAGAAGTTGCCCTTTTGCGTGAATCCGATGCACATGCTAACGTTGTTCGTTACTTTTGCACAGAGCAAGATAAATTATTTAGATATATTGCTCTAGAATTGGCGGAGGCCACTCTTCAAGATTATGTTCTTGGCACTTATGACCGCAGCAAAATCTCGGCAAAAGACATTCTCAAGCAGGCTACCAAGGGTCTGGCTCATTTGCATTCTTTGGACATCGTTCATCGTGATATTAAACCCCACAACGTACTACTATCTATGCCCGGTCCTCGTGGAGATGTACGGGCAATGATATCAGACTTTGGACTCTGCAAGAAACTCCAAACTGGTAGAGTGTCATTTTCAAGAAGATCGGGAGTTACTGGTACCGAAGGTTGGATAGCACCGGAAATGCTTAATGGAGCGCGTACGACAACTGCCGTCGACGTTTTTTCGCTCGGATGCGTATTTTACTTCGTATTGTCAGAAGGAAAACATCCATTTGGCGATTCTGTAAGGAGACAGGCAAATATTTTAGGTACGTTTGTGATACGTTTTTTTCCATTGTTTGCGCCGTCATGCGTCACAAATTTTATTTTCCTCGATTTAATTTCAAATAGTTACAACATTGACACGATTTAAAAAGAACAATTAAATGTTTTTATTTCCCGACGCAAAGAGAAATCACGTCAATACATTAACTCATGAATATCCACTGAACCTGCACATCAATGTATAAGTAATAAGCTCGAGTAAAAATGTTTGGTCACACGAAACTAATAAAATATGAATATAAGCGTTATATTGTAAACTATCTTTATCAATGTCGGTGTAATCTATGTAGAACGCACTTTTTGTCACGACAGGTGTCTATGTATTTACAATTCGCAAAAATGATCAAAACAAATATGTTTTTCAAATGAAATAAGCTCACCATAATACATTTTTTAGGTCATGAAATGGACTTGTCGGAATTGAAAAACATACCAGAGTATGACAAAAATATGGGTTTGCTATTGATCAAAGCCATGATAGATGATGATCCGGTTGATAGGCCACCAGCTCGAGCTATAGAAGATCATCCCATTTTTTGGGATGCAGCTCAAATTCTTACATTCTTTCAGGTATAAAAAAAATTCTGCCCTTGAAAAAACGAATATCTCGAGATTGATATGTGAGATGTGCATAATTTTTTTTTTTTCGATTTTTCAGGATGTAAGTGATCGAGTTGAAAAAGATGTCTCAGAAAGTCCGGCACTGCAAGCACTGGAACGAGGTTATCGTCGAGTTGTCCAAGGGGACTGGAGGGTACACATTGACCCGGAAGTAGCCTCTGATTTACGTAAATATCGCAGTTATCAAGGAGAAAGTGTACGAGATTTGCTTCGAGCTCTTCGGAATAAGGTAAACAGCGTTTTAATTATTGCCTTCTAATTCTCATAAACTTCTTCATTATGTTAACTTATTTGCAAATAAATTGTTGACTTACATTCACTTTGCAGAAACATCATTACCGTGAATTGACAGAAGAAGCACAGCAGAGTCTTGGCGAGATTCCTACAAAATTTACCGATTATTGGCTTAGTCGCTTCCCACATCTACTGACTCATACCTGGTGTGCGATGCAACCATTCCGTCGTGAACCTATGTTCCGAAATTATTATCATGAGCTCTATGCATTTAGAACTGATGATCAGTATGAAGAAGATCCTGCAGAAACCGAAAGATTGGCTTTGGTACTCAAACTTAATGAAGAAAGGATTAATACTGCGAATGCTGTGAATTCAAGAACAGTTCACAAAGATGAAAATGGCAAAATCGATTGGAGCCCCAGTAGAGTAAGAAATAGAAATAGAAAGAAGAAAGAGGAGCATAGAAAAAAATGGTTTGATAAAATCGAAGCGAAAAAATTGGAGAAAGAAAGATTAAGAACATTGAAAAAATTAGAAGGTGCAAATTCAGATTTGGTGGAAATGGATACTGAAAATTCGGAGGCAGTGGAAGTGAAGGCCGAAAATTCGGAGGTAGTGGAAGTGAAGGCCGAAAATTCGGAGGTAGTGGAAGTGAAAGCCGAAAATTCAGAGACTAGTAATGGAGTTACAGAACACCCCGATTGTGACTTAATTCCTGAAAATAGTTAGTAAGTATTTTGTGACTTTTGAAAAGTGTTCTTTATTACTTTTCCGAATGTGTGTCGAAAATATTAACAGTGATTGCATGTATATAAGACTTTGTATGTAAGCGCGCCAAATTTTATAAAATGTAAATTTATTGATTTACTAGTTATCTAAAATGATACATTGACTGAGTTTTAATCACCAATGGTTTTTTTCGCCAATTATGTTTAAAGTTGGGACCATTTTGTCATTTCGGATGCACCATTTTAATGTATTTACTATTGATAGACTTAAAAATTGCAGACTGTTGCATTATGTGTAGATAACTTATTTTTACTTTTTACGTTTGAAATAAGTATTTATTACTTTTTTTATATTAAGAAAAAATGTTCTTAAACTATCATCAAGTTTGATCATTGCTACCTAAGGGTTTAATATTTGATTATTGCAAGAATTATCAAGTTTTTCGCTGATGTATAGATTTATATATGACGGTAGAAATATTACCGTAAATCGAATATATAAATTAACCGTTCAAAATTGTTTTTGCAGAGTGATAATTATATGCTATAATTTACGTGGAAAATCCAGTTAAGAGTTTCTATAATCTCTATTTTCACTGAAATTTGAATGTGGTGCTGAATCAATTGTTTTAAAAAATAACCACTTTTGGTTATATAAATAAATATATAAATAAGTAATTATAATTGTGATACTTACGTGTAAGTTTGTACTAGCAACATTTATAATTATTACATCACATCTAAAAAATTTTTTAAATATTATTATGCAGTACAGAATATTTTAATGATTTACGTTTCCGTTTTTCATGTCATTACTAGACACAACATCAAAAATATTAATATTTTGTGCATAGGAATGTTGTAAATATACTGTGTAAGAAGAATTGCACAAATTCTTTAAATACATAAAGCCTAAAAGATAGAATGCACTATTGTAAATAGAAAACACGAAGATATATATATTATTTATATTTTTATTTAAAATGATAATAAATCATACATTAGTAATGATGTATATTAATTAAAAAAAATATTGCACTAATGAGAAAATTCCAAATAAAATTATGAAAAGTTTGAAATTTTGAGTCTAATTTTGAATTGCAAATGAAAGAAATTCCATTATCCCAGATCCACATCAATTTATCACATTTTTCAGTTACATATTCACATATTTATGAAAGAAGATAGAACATGAATCAAATTTTACACCAAGTTAAATGTGTAAGAAATTATTTACATAATTTTTCTTCAAAGTATTCAGATCATTTTATCAGATATTTTATATTTCTCTATTTTGATTTGTATTGCTTATTTGAGTCTATAATATTATCTTGACTATTTTCTTGGCATCTTGTAAAAAAATATCTATAAACTTTAAATTTGACGTTGGTTTTTTTTTCAACATTTATTAATTACTACTCAGTGGAAAGAGTTAAAATGATTAAACTTTATAAGTGCTTATACTTTCAAAGTTCATCACTTAAACTTTACAGAACCGGTTTTTACTTTATGTTTGTTGTTTGATGAGTTGAAATGATTTTACAATTAAATTCTCTCACGCATCAACATTTACATCATTAAACTTTTCAAGTAGACGCGAACGGTTTTTTTTTATATGTCACTATAGAAATGAAGTTCTTTTATACATACACTTGAGTATTGGCATAGTTTTTTAGGTAACTGTAAAGCTAAAAGAATTAAACTTTAATTTTAACAATATACAACTAAATTACATGTAAATGAGTAGGCTAATGGAAATTCGTTGGAAAAGAGAGTTAAATTTACTTAATTTACATCTAAATTGAGATGACTGATGATACATATGATTTAGTTTCTAAAATTCTAAAAAAATGTTTATTGCACTATGTTTTACATGTAATATTTATCTCTAAATCGTTGACAATTTAATATTTCGTTCTATAAACTACGATAAATTTTTTGAGCACAATAAAGTGGACTTGGCTTTTATTTTTTTATGTCTGCTTGTATTTCTTTTAATTATTATTATTATTATTACTAATTCAACCAACAATTAAAAATTAACTACAAATAATGGAAGGCTTACATTGCTTCTTACTAAGATTTGTGAGTCGATTTGTATTAATTATTTGAATCTCGTAAAATTTTTCTTCAAACATTTAATATAGACATAACTTTTTTTATATGCGGAACAAGAATTCCCTTAATTGTATATTATCAACTTTTTTAATGTGTGATTGCCATGGGTTCATGTTCATGTGCTCGACTAGAGCCATTTTTTCGTTAAGCTTTCAGTAGAATTAAGTAAAGCCTTTTAAGTACTCGGTTTTTTGAACATCACTTTCCTTCAATTGTACGTGCAATATTGTTTATATTCTCATATATATGTATATTTATATAAAATTTTTTTCTTTAATCTTTCATAGTCACATATAATATATTTTAAAAAAACAGTCATTTCAAATAGATTATTAAGTTAATACATAATCTCTGGGAATCGGTCGGAATCTCACTGGCAGATTCTTATTGCTGCGAAAGACATTTTTCGTAGAAAATTTTTTTTCATACTGTAAAAGTTTCGGTTTTTTTAATTAGGCGTCATTTTATCTATAAATTTGTTTTCGGTATAGCAAATAGACTTTCATTGCTTTTCAGCATTATGCGTTTAAACAATATCGATTGTAATAATAATACTAATAATATTGTCAATAACAGGCGTTAATCTGTGAAATTCTGTACATATGTATAAATATCGTTAAGAAAGATTGTCCTCATTAACTCTATTCATTGCTAAAAATCATGACTCGAGAAAAGGAGTAAAATCAAAACGATATAGTAAAATTTGTCAACATTGTTACGATGGAAAAATGTCCATTTTGGCTGCTGTATGCAGAAAAACATTCGATAACACATATGTATAGTTCAGAAATGCGTTGGTGTGAACATGAGTTATTTCGCACTTACTAGACCATTTTAATTGGTACAATTTATTATGTTCCTAAAAGAATGCCTCGGAAAGATCGAGTTTTGCTCATCGCTTATAAAAAAAATTGACGATCGCGTAGCATCGAAATTGAATTCGAATTTTTTTCTCACTACTAACGAGCATCAATTTCACCTTTGAGCGTGAGAATGTGGGCGTTTGGTGCTAGGGAAAACTAACATACGAGTACATAATCTAATAATTTCCATATCACTGAACGTTGCGTACCGCGCGGAAACTGCCAATTCAACGTCGATTCATAAGCTCAAATTTCGCGAAATAAGTACAACTGCGTATTCACAGATATCTATACAAGGTACATTTATATAAACATTTGTATAAATCACAACATGACTGACAATAGCTAAATATAATCAAGCGCTACGATAACATACACAAAAATTAACAAATCGATCGCACGCGTCGCGCAACAGCGTAATATGCGCATACGCGACTGCGTGCATTTATACAATATAATAATCGTCGCAGGCCTTGGGCGTTCACATTGGAACAGAAAGCGAAAAATCCCATAGGATAAAACAACGAAAGCGCGTAGGATCGTTCGGTATACGCGGGGGCGTATACGTATAAAAATGTGTGTCGATAATCGCCGGTGGGATCGGGGTGTCGTCTCTCGTTCAGTTGCCCTCGACCTCGTGTATGACGTCGAGGCCGAAGAACCTCACGGCCTTCTTAACGGCCAGTTTCACACCAACGCGTCTCTTGCCTCAGCGGCTCGCCTCGCCGGTGCTGCTGTTGCCCGCGACGTTGCGCAGTATCTTGCCGATGTTGGTGAGCGCCAGCGAGAAGAATATGTCGTCGGAGTGCATGCGGTCGACCTCGTCGAGGGCCGTCATGCCGTTGATGTTGCGCAGCTTGAAGTTGGCCCCGTGGCGCACGAGCATCTCGACGATCCTCACGCTGCCGGAGCGGGCCGCGAGGTGAAGCGGCGTGTCGCGCGAGTGGTCCTTGGCGTCGGGATTGCAGTTGGCGCTGGCCAGGAGGAGCTTCACCGCCGACGGGTGCTCGTTCTGGCAGGCCAAGTGCAGGGGCGTGCGGCCCTCCGAGCGCGTCGGCAAGTTCACGTGGGCGCCGGCGTCGAGCAGTAGCTGTCAACGAGAGCGCATTTAATTACTTTTCCGCCTCCTCCTCTTTTCTTTCTATTTATGACGTGTGAAAAATTGACCCATTTAGCTGCAGCAGACGCGCGATTCTCCATACGTGTTTACGCGTAACTAATAACGTCGCCTCTCGAGTCTAAAGTAGCTTTGCTCGCGCACTGCAAACTGCAAAGGCACTTCATTTAGCGCCGGTGCGCGTGTACAAAGGTGCCTGGTCGCGACCACTTTTGTAGTTAATAAGGCTGGAAAATATGCCCGGCAGACGCGCGCGCGCCGGCAACGTGTATGCATATTACGCGCTGCGACTGCATATGTGCGTACAAAGGGGTTGTACGCCGCCGCCGCCTCTACGTGGTGTGCGCGTATGTGTGCAGTGTGTAGCTACGCGAGCGTAATTGTTACCGCTGCACGCGCGTGCATATGTATAATGTATGTGCATGCGCAACTGCATGACCGCAGTAAGCGACGGAAAAAAAAGACGAAGAAAAAAACGGAAAAGAAACATTGCGGCGCGCATTACATGTGTCGCATAATGTGGAATTATGTCGCCGCGTATCCGGACGGCGGCGAGCGAGCGTGACGCGCGGCTTTTGTGCGAGATTTCTTTTCTAAGGCAGCGATCGTTACGACTAATTTACGGGCATTGCAAAAAAATCTGGCTACGTTCCCTTCTCGAGACGCTCACCTGTATGATCTCGATGCAGCCAACGCCGGCCGCTATGTGAAGCGCCGTCTCGCCCCGGCTGTTGATGGCGTTGATGGCGACCGGAGGCTTGTTCTCGCGCTCGTAGGCCAGCTCCTCGATGCTCACGCACTTGTCGCAGTTGCAGAGCGGATGGCAGAACTTGGGCGAGTCGTGCTCCGTCACGAAGGTCTTGCTGAGGGGGCCCTCGAGGCCCAGGTAATACGAGGCCAGCCTAATGTCGCCCTCGGCCACGGCGGCGAACAGCCGGTCGATTTTGTGCATGCCCTCGGTCAGGCCACCGCCTCGGTAGCTATATTTGAAACTTAAGAGAGAGAGGCAATACGACCGAGTTAAGCTTCTGTCTCTTTGGGGGGGTAAAGCAGTACTTATCTTTGTAGAAAAAAAAAGATGAATAAGCATGCGTTGACAAGCATTATTTATAGTGCCCATTCTCACCTGTTGGATCATCGCTCGATTACCACCAGCAGTTTACATAAACCATCACCCAAAGTAAGCCCCTATAATAACTACCGAAACCAAGAGCCATCTAAACGAGCTTAAACGAGCTTTTTTAACAGACGAGAAAATTAAAATAATCGCATGGTACTATAATGCATAACAAATGAATAATCCAAATCTAGAAATAATAAGCACAGCTATCATGTGAATGTAATTATAAATATATGTATTGATGCGCATAATAAATCTAACAATATCTTCTTTTTAAAGACTAATAAATCTATTGAATCAAGGCTATACGAGGATATGCAGCTACTGACGAAAGAGCCTGTTGAGCCAGACTAACCCGTGTTTCTTGGTCGTCGAAGCGCCCGGCTTCATGGTGTTGTTGGCCTGGGTCGTGCGCTTCTTCGTGCCCGTCTCCTTGTGTATCGTCCCATTGCAGCCGAGCGTGCTGCACTTTTTCATGCTGGGCTGGGCCTCGAGCAGCTTGGCCACGAGATTGCTGTGGGCCAGCGTCATCGGCGTCTGGCCGCGACGGTTACGCGCCTGCACGTCGGCCCCGTGCTCCATCAGCAGCTCGACGATGCCGCTGTAGCCCCATTTCGAGGCAAAGTGCAGCGCCGTGTCGCCCTGAACGTTCGTGGCACTGAGCAGAGCGAAAGAACGAAAAAACAAAAAAAATTAGTTTACGCGCCCTCGTTACGACGAATAAAGAGAAGAAGCGCGGCGAGGAAATTTTGCTCTTTTTTTGAGCGCGGGAGAGGAGAGCGAGACCGATACTCGAGCATCGACGCGCTGTACGACTGTATAATTGGGATGCGCGTGCATATATAATGGAGACGAGTGCCACTCGAAATATGCATTGTACTAGAAACAGAGCACCCGACTCTCTTTCTTTGGGGCGCACGCCGAGCCCGGAGAAGGAGAGACGGAAAAGGCACTTCAAGATGCGCCATATATATGCAGTGCGTTTTGATAAGCGCGCACAATGCGACTAATTAACGAGTCGGCGGCTTAAATTAAAAAAAATAATAATGATAAGCAAGAGCTTTCGTCTGGATGAATATATCTAGAGACGCACCTGACGGAAATGGGCATCCTCGAGTGCTCGCCGAAGAACAGGAGCGTCTTGACGCAGGCGTCGTGGCCGTGGTCGGCGGCCAGATGCAGCGGCGTGTTGCCCCGGCTGTCTTGGGCGTTGGGATCGGCGCCGGCGTGCAGCAGCATCAGCAGCGTGTTCTGATGGCCCCGCGCCGCGGCGCAGTGCAGCGCGGTGGCGCCGTCGGCGTCGGCCAGACTGGTCTTGGCCCCCCGGTTCAGCAGGTAGTCGACCACGGCGACCTGACCGTGGAGCGCCGCCACGTGCAGACAGGTGCGGCCGCGCTCGTCCCGCGCCGTGATGCTGGGCGTGCCGTCGAGGCCGAATCGCTTGTTGCTCGACATCTTGCGCTGGCAGCGCTCGCACAGGCACAGGGGATGGCAGAGCTTCGATTCCTTGTCGTTGTTCCCGCTGCTGCTCTTCTCGGTCATGATGCGCTGGACCTCGACGACGTTGCCCTTGCGCGCGTGCTCGAACAGCTCGCTCGTCTGCTTGTCGAGGCCGTTGCAGTCGCCGTAGCCGTTGCCGAACAAGTTGTGATCCTCGTCGCCGTTGATGTTCTCGTAGATGGGTATCGACGACTGGCCGTTGAGCTTGGGCCCGTGCTCGGTCAGGTCTTCCTCGTTGCCGTTGCCCAGCCTCAGCGAGCCCGACTTGACGTGCTCGACGGCCGCCTCGAGCGACGTGACGAGGAATCCGGCCTCGTCGGACTCGTGGCCGGCGCTGGCCGAGTATCGAAAGTTTTTCATGAAGGCGAGCTGCGCGCACCAGCTCGCCAGGCCCGATTTCACCACGAGAAAGATGAGCACGGGCAGCAGGTCGTCGGACGACACCGAGCTCTCGCCTTGGGACACCAAACGAACGGCTCGCTTCAGGCAGCCCAACTTGCCGAGCACCGTGAAGTGGCCCTCGAGTCGGGACAGTTCTGCAATTACACCGCATTTAATTTCATCGATCATTTCGTGTGAATGAGAAGAAAAAATAAGCCGAGTCATGGAACTCGAGTACCTTGCTTTCCCCTGTTGACTCCGTCGTAGAGATCGGGCCTGACGCTCAAGTCCTTGAGCTGTAAATCGTAGAGATTTTTAATGAGCTTGTTGAGAGTGGCGTCCTCGTGGGCGGTGCTGAGGGCAACGGCCTGGGGCAGCAGCTTCCTCAAGCCGTGCAGCACGAAGCTCTCGATGGCGATCTTGATCGTCTGGAGAAAGTAGCGGCTCTCGATGGTGCGCTCGCGCAGCCTCGAGTCCTTCATGAGGATGCGCAGACTCTTGGCGTAGAGCATGCTGACGAGGTCGCGCTGCATCTGCAGGCACTCCTTGTCGAGGCTCTTGTGTCCCTTCTCGAAGTCCTCGATGGCCAGCTCCATCTCCTTCAATACGCTCTTGTCGTGCACCTCGGACCAGAGCAGGTCTATGCAGTCCTTGAGCGAGTTCACCACAGGCACCTCGTTGCTGCAGAAGCCGCTGTCTTGCTCCAATAGGCCCTCTATGCACCTGTGCGCGCCAAAAGCTCGGCGTTATTACGTGCTCGAAAAAAGCTCGGCGGCTGAATTTTTCATGCGAGCGACACTTACCATACTGTGTACTTGTTGATGTCTTCGGTGTAAAAAGTCTCTTCAAAAAGCAATTTCAAAGTGACAGGCTTGGCGGTTTCGTATTCGAGAACGAGCGCCCTGTTGCACAGTCTTACTTCTCGATCAGTCAAGGTATGAAAATGCGTGGCTGAAAGAAAAAAAGAAACACGATGTCGGTGGTCAAGAGAAAGATCATCGATGCATCGCTCGGAAATCGAGTCTCACCGGGTAATTCGTCATCGGGTACGAGGATGTGTCCCAGAAAGTCCTCCTCGGTCAACGCATCCTTGGTGAACGTGCCGGAGCGAGGCACGCAAATGGTCCAGCCTTCGCGGATGGCCCTGTCGAAGATCGGCTGATACTCCTGCTGCAGTGTCCGGTAGAAGGCATTTTCCGACAGATCCTCGTCGTAGTTTGAATCCATGATGCCGTCGAGCCATGTATCTCGGTCTAATAACGCCTCGCGACGTCCGCTTCTGCTTCCAAACACACCACACGAACAACGCCATGTGTATATAGATTAAAATATATTTGAAAAAATTTTGCGATTTTTCCACTTTAAATTATGCGATAATTCGGGCATTCGAGTACACAACTCATACTTGCGCGCGCGTGCGATTTATTTATAGGCATATACACGAAGAGAGAGAGAATTTCTCGAACGCGCATTCCACGCGCGATAAGATTTTTCTTCGCGTTCTCGCTCGCCTGCTCGCTCGAGCGGGCGCGCGCGCGAGCTTCGCGATAAAAACTTGAATTCGAGAGAAAGAAAAGAAGAAGCGAACAAAAAAAAAGAGAAAAAAAAAGAATACGAGGAAAACAACGCACATTCGTAAGAGAAGGTGATTAATGCAGCTCAGCCTGGCATCGTCGGCTGCAGCAACGTGCCGGCCGAATTGGTCGAGCTCATTGTCGTGGTCGGTGTCGTCGCGCAATTGTTGCTCCCGAAACAAGCTCCAGTGATATTTTCGTCGGCACTGGTAACAGCGATGTCGGTCATGCCTTGCTCGTCGTCTACGCAGTCCGCGTCTGTAGCGCAAGAACGAGTGGTACAGGCTCGTCGTCGGCGCGAACAAACACCCGAGCGAAGATTCGACGGCGTCGCGACACATAGTATAGGTATGCGAATAATGTGTGTACTGTTCTATATAACAAATGTCAACAATCCGAATCGGAGCGCGCAGTGTGCAACACGTTATAATACGTACGACGCGTTTTGTGTTACATACGTATGTAGAGCGGCGGCGGCGACGACGACGACCAAGACAACTGTCTCTCGTCAAGTACATATCAGTATACGAGTAATAGAAGAAGACGAAGAAGAAGAAGAAAGGCCTGAATTTACACTCGATCGCGCGCTTAAACGATAAAGTCAACAAGTCGTTGTTTTTTCTCCTCTCCGCTTATAGCTGCGAGGCGCGCGATAAACGATAAAAGAGACACGACGAGCTGTAGCGGTAGCGACAACAACTCCGGCGATCGAACGAAATTATCAATCGCTCCACGCGTGGAATAGGAGCTTCGCTCGTGTATACGTCGTGTGCTACAGTTAATGAAAACTGTAAAAACTGCACTGCAGGCGTAGGAGCGAGCGATTAAACATAACCTCCGGCTGCTAGTCGTCGGGGTCGCGAGCTCGTATAAAATCTATCTACCCTGTTGAGAGGTGGGTACGTACTCGATAAGTAACAAGTCCAAGTGCAGCAGGCAAAAGGTAACATGTAGTGTGCGTGCGTGCGTGCGTGCTGTGCTGTGTGCACTCGGCAGCTTCGGCTTGCGGTTGACACACACGGAGCAGCAGTGACGTACGGCCACGAACTTTGCTCTGCTACTGCTGCTACTGCTGCTGCTGTTGGCGTGCAGATGCAGAGGTGACTGCTCGCTCGAGACGAGCAAGCGTGGCTGCTACACCACTGGCTGGCACATAGCAACTGTTCTTCCTGCTCCGTACGCAGCTTCGGCTTTGGGCCTCCGAATAACTGCGCCAACTATATAGGTATACGAAAAGGTCGAACTTGTATCGCTGCACTACTCTCTCTCTCTCTCTCTTTCTCTCTCACTATAAACTGCTCTCCGCTGGGCTATATGGTTGCTGCTGCGTGCTTACTATATAGGTATGTATATGAACGGCGCGCGTCCTTTCTATTGCCTGCTCTCGATCGTCTGACAGCTAAGCGCGACTCTATTCTCTCTCGTTCCTTGCCTCTGTCTCTTTCGCTCTCTCTCGTTTGGCCGTGTGCGCCTACCGCTGCACAGGTAGTAGGCAGGTAGGTATACGCATCGTCGCGACGTCTTCTATTATTTCACTCTATATATATGCCTGAGCTGTATTATATATAGGTGAGCTACGCGCAGGAGATTGGATGTCCTCGTGGGAACATGTAGGCTGGCCAGTGGCTGCTGCTGCTGCTGCTGCTGCGCTGCAACGTGCACACACACTGTATACAACGTTGGCCCGCGTACTGCGCTCAGCTATGAGTAGTCTGTACACACATTATATAGAGACGGTGCAAAGCAGTAACAGCAGCAGCAGCAGCAGCCTCGCATGCAGTGGCAGTGGCAGTGGCAGGGCGGCCTGAGTGAAAGGATGTAAAAGGAAGTGTGCGTCGAGAGGCATTTACTTTTTTATAATACATCGGCGGCCTGCAGTGGCAGAGCGGCGCAGGCGGCGGTGGCGGCGGCGGCAGGTGGGGTAATATTGGTCGCTGCACCGAGAGCACATGCACCACTTTACGAGCGCCGAGGCCGTACGTGCGTACACAGCCCAGCTGTACCCAGCATATATAGGCTCTCTTTAATCGAAGGAAGCTAGTAGTAGTCGCCTTGCTTCGTTGTCGTCATTGCAGCAGCTTGCGATTCTCTAGTGCAGCTCGATGAATTTATTAGTGGGGCTGCTACGTATACTATAAGCTATTGCTTGTACTCTCTCGTGTTTATACAGGGAGGCTGCTGTTGGTGGAGGACCGAAAGCGAGAGCCAGCAGTGCTCCAGGCCGGAGTCTGCACGAGTAGGAGGAGGAGGAGGGAGAGGAGAACCCGACGAGGCCTAGACTTGAAAGACTATAATGCCGAGAGCCGATTTCTATTATATAGCCGAGGTATTATGTGGACGTGCTTAGCTGCGTACACCTATATATGTACGCGCAGCTACTAAGGCGCGAGGATAAGTATATAGCCGCTGGATGAATGGAAAGGTGCCTCTCTCTCTCTCTCTCTCTCTCTCCTACAAGAGAGTGCTCATAATAATGCACGTAGCAGCTTTGACGAGCCGTACTCTGTGTTTTTTCCTCTCTTCTTTTTGCCTGCATACATATTATAAGCCTTGGCCGGTCATATGTGTGCATATATAATGGAGCGCCGCTTGCGTAAGCTAATACCTCGCGCGTATAGCTGCACCGGCGAAATTTTTTTTTGCAGCTCCTTTTCGGCCGAGACGAGTCGATTGTTTAGGCGAGCTTTCTTCCGCTTCGGATTTCCTTACCGATATAGCTTCGTACAGGCGGCTAGGGACTCTTGTCCAATCTCCGCGCGCGGGTCGCGTCGTCGACGACGAGCTCTGGCTATACGAGCCCCGTAGGGCAAGGAATGCACGTATATCGATCGGCATAATTGACGCAGAGATTGCGCCTAGTTAATTATTTTTCTTTCGCTCGAGATCGGGCGCGTTTCGTGCCTATACGTACCGAGCGGCGCAAGATTTAATCGAATTTCGCGACTGACAGCGGCGCGTCGCGCGCAGATAAGTAAGAAGCTACGCGCGTGTTTCGGAGTCGGCTTGAAAGCTTCGCCTCGGCCCGATAATGTAATAAATGTATACATTACTGCCTATATACGCCGCGCTCGAGCTGTGGCTTTTGGCATACGCTGCCTATATGTATACGAGCGTCGCGGAGACGGCCCATAGCTCAGACGACGAGCTCTCGAGCTATATACCACATCGCGAGATTTATAACGATAATGCGCGACGCTGTTATACGTACATATTGGCATGGCTACGCGCCCAAAATGTTGCCTCGCTGCGCTCGCAGCTCTCGAGCCGAGCCAGCCAGCCAAAGAGAGAGAGAGAGAAGCTCGCGCGCCAAGCAGATACCTCGATATAATATCGAAATTATAATGATAAAATACAGCCTTCGGGCATTATTTTACCGGTTCTCCGGCGAGCTTCGGCCGTATATACGCGCCTGCAATGCCGAGCTGTGTATGTATATAATACGTACCTATACGTATGCACGGAGGATACATAACTTTAGGCCTTATGTACGAGCGTGAAATAGGCTTCGGCAGCTTTTTCTCAAAAATCGACTTTTCATCGCTCTCCAGCGCGTATATAATGTACTATTTATACACGATTATGGCATGACTCGAGTGACAAGCGGACAACAGCGCGCGACAGCTCGAGAAACGGACTGACACATATTACCGTGTAACTCGCCATAATTCTAATACTTTATTATCTCTTTATACTCCTTGGCTACATAATGGAATTCACTTGAATTATTATCATCTCGTTTACCGAGCGCTCGCATATGAGCGCGCCTCTTTCGGTATTTATGGTAATGAACCGATCAAATGTGCGCTTTTTTTTCTTTTACACGCTTTATTTACTGGCGCACGTGTGTGCGTGCACGCCTGTGTGTGTATTGCGAAATAACTAAGACGCCGAGTACACGCGAAAAATGTAATGGCCAATTTTTTTTCGGTTTTTGTTTTTTGCTTCTCCTCGTTGTTGTATTACAGCTGCGCGGCGTATTCGAGACAGGCGGACTAAACTTACGTAAACTAATACCGAGCTGCACATATTATACACACACGCGCGCGTGGATCGACGCATGGCGAAACTTGGGATCCAAGCGCAAGTATAATATTAAGTATGTGCGCGTGGTTGACGAGGTTGCATTTTAATCTCGACTTAATTTTTAACAAAAAAAAAGATTGAATGAGAAACTGAAAGATTTTCGGTTGTCGTAGGCGCACGATAATTTATCGTTTATCTGTTCTCGAGAAAAGCAAAAAAAAAGAAAGAAAAAATTCCTCCTCGATGACACTACAGGTAGATGACAAGCAGCAGCACACGATGTGTGCAAACGCAAAGCTCGCACGCGCGCGTAATCTTTTGTACTTTGCTCGGAAGCAATTTTACGCCTGGCTCGCTTTCTCGCTCGCTGCTGGCTGTGTGGGATATATCATAATATACTCATGCAGCTGCGCGCGACGCCGTGGCGAACGTAAATCGCGCGGCGAGTTATATCGTCGCGTCCCGCGATTCATCTTGAAAAAATTTGCGCTCGCGATGTGTATAGCTGGCTATAAGGAGCTGCTGCCGTGTGCGCACCACATAAGAGAGGAGCTAACTGCACGCGCGTACGACGGCACTTATACTTGCTATATGTACACGAGTGGCGCACGCGTGTATTTAACGCCCTATAGCAATATACCTTGCGTATATCAATTTCCGAGATCGATCGCTCTTGAACACGTCTATGCTCTCTCCCTCGATTGCAAAAATGTATATCCTCTTGCGGTAGTTTGCTATATAATAACGGGCGCAAGCCGGTACCTACATGCCCTGGGCTCATATAGTATAGGGCCGGTGTGTCTAGGGTCGCACTCTTGGCTCGACGTGCTATGTGTGGCACTCAACACGCGCCTCGCCAGCACCTCGACTCGAGCTCACTCCTGTTTCTTCTTAGCTTCTTCTTCGTTTTTTCTCCTCTTTTTTTTAATTGTCTTTTGTTTGTCGCGTAGGTGTGGATGGAAGCTCGCGCGCACGACTCCGCACAGCACAGACAGTGCAGAGACAATTATTGTATACACGTACGAGCGGCTCAGAATGTTTGTATATAGCACGCGATGACGATGCATTTCCATATTTCTATACGTATATAACGTCGCATATTATAGGCGCGTATAATTCACATACGAATATATTATACACATACGAATGCATGTGCACGTGTGCGTGCGGTCGGTCGCTGTCTCGAGCTCTCGCAGCATTGCACACACACACAATATATATACAGAGAGATACGAGCGTAAGGTTTCAGTATGGAGATTTTGCCATTGGGTTTGGGAATTCGATACGGCACACAGACACTCGCTCGCACGGACACGCACACTTTTGCACACACACGGAGCTGCAGACGCGCATCCACTCACACCTGCACACCCATGATGCGGACGAACTTGGTGCGCGGCCACCGTACGTTCACCTCTCCGGCTTGACAGGCAAAAATCCGCACGCGCCCGTGAACGAGAGAAAAACGCATTTCGTACATCGCTAGCGGGGCTCTCTGGCTACGCGCTCGCTATAATCTAGATTGCTCGTGTACGCCTCTTGCGGATTCTAATATTGATTCCGTACATTATACGCGACACACTCGCAACGAGACCAGAACCCGAATATATATACCTTTTTCCGCGTATACATGCCGTTACGTATACCGCGCGCATATTGCCGATCCCGACCTTTTCAATTGACGTTTACAGGGCAGATGTCGAGGGGACGAGAAACCCCCAAATCTCAATCTACGAAAGCTTTATCGAATGGTTTTTGCGGCGAATGAAAAAAAAAATAAAAAGAAGCGTATCGATGCCTCTCGAGAGATATATAGAATTCGCGAGGGGTGCGCAGAGCTGTCTGGTGCAGTATCCAAAATTCATCAAACGATTTTCGATCACTGCACTGCAGCCGAGACACGGACCACTCGATCGAGCGGCTATCAATATCGGATGATATCTGTCGGGGGGTTCGAGCGAAAAAGAAAAAAGAGAAATTGAGCGAGATGCACTTACCGGTAAATGTATAATTTACTGCAGCGGTTCGATCATCGTGTGGGTCTCTGTCGTGGGTGCCTCGGTGCCTCGGTATCGAGATCCGCAGTCGAGAGAGGGTTGATTCGTCGCAGCGTCGAATCGTCTCCGGCGCCAAAGCAGCAGAAAGATCTAGGCACGTATCTAACTCGGCTGCACGACTCTCTCTGCACACCGTCGAAAAGCGAGAGAAAAGAAGCGGCGGTAGGCAGCAGCAGCAGCAGTAGGCCGGCTTCCCTTTTTATTCATCAAAATTTCACCAGTCGCAGTCTAGCCTCGTTTCTCGTTTCTTTTTCTCTCGTCGTCGTCGTCGTCGTTGCGTGCACTACATCAAACGGCGCGAGTTGCACACAGATTCACAGTAGCAGCAGTAAGGTACGGGTGCGCGCACAAAGAGAAAAGGCGCGGGCTAGAAGAGCGCGAAAGTTGCCGAAAAAAATCTCTCTATCTCTCTGTTCGCGTAGGCCCTTGACTGTATAGACACTGGAGAGAAAAGTCGTTGTCATCCTTAAGGCGACTCTTTCGAGCAGGCAGGTGACTCCTCGTAGTCAAATATACGAATGTTATACGGTCGAACAGGAGTTGGGTCCGGTGGATTCGCGCGCTCACTTCGAAAAAGTCGGCCGTAGCAGCCCGGCGTGTGTCGTCGCACGCGCTCAGCCCGCAAGCCCGTAGTCGAGTGCGAGTGTACGCGAGTCTCGCAATAACTTGCGTCGCTCGCGCTCTCTCGGCGCTTATGCGCCGCTCCGTGTTATACTTATACTCCTTTTTTTTCGTCGTCGTTCGTCGTCGTCGTCGTCGTCGTCGTCGTAGTAGTCGTAGTCGGCGGCGTCGGCCCCCCCTGAGAAGGGGGGTTGCGCTCGTGCGCGCCGAGACTCAAAAGACTGCACAGCAGCAGCGGCACTACGAAGATGGAGAGAAAAAGAGAGTGGGTGAGAGAGAAAGAGAGACAGACAGCGGCAGAGCCGACGACGGACCTCTCGAGGCGAGACGGGATTATCGACGAGGTAGTGTAGGCACCGGTGCCGCTAGTAGCAGCCAACATTTCATTGTACAGCCAGTGAAAAAGTCTATATGTATATACAACAAGTTATATACATATAGAGGGTTGCCTGACTCTGGCTGCACAGCTGCCTCTGTGCCACCCTCACACTCTTTCTCTCTCCCTCTCTCTCTCTGTTTCTCACTTTTTTACACCGGGTAAAACGAGCGAGCGAGGAAAACGCACGTTTCGCAATGTCGCTTTCCGTCTAAGCTCTTTCATGTAACGTACAGCCAGCTGCATTCTCTGCTCGGCTCTGCTCAGCTCCGCTATGCTCTCTCGCTCTCTCTGACATCTATGCTAATGAGTCTCGGATGTATTGCTCGCTCTAGATCTAAAGGTGTCGAGAGGCGCGCAGCACGGGGTACTTCTCCTCGGCTCCTATTCGTCGCACACACGTCGTCTTGTACTTTTTTTTTTATTTTTTTGGTAGTTTTTTTCGTCGGCAGAGCCGCGCTCAGCTCTTTTTTCCTACCCCTCCCACCCCTCCGCCTCCTCCTTTATTTTTGGATTACAAGGTGTGAGACTCTTTTTTTTTACACCAACTCGAGAGCTTTAATTCGATCCCTCGCGGCTTATTAATTATTGATTACCCGGGTATGAGCTCGGGCCTCGCGCGTGCGAGCTGCATTTATAATCTCTCTCTCGCAGTGACTTTAGCGTTAATTAGTGCTAGAGAGAGGGAGACGAGTTGGCGAAAAAGTTCTTCTTTCTTTTTTTCGGCGCTCGAGTGCAAAGATCGTCTGGCTCGGATTATTATAATAAGTCTTTGACGCGTGCTACAGCGCCAGCTATATAATAATTTATGTATATATATTTGCCAGCTAGTACGACTCGCCCTCTTTTCCCGGCCGCGGCCGTAAAAGCTTTTTTCCCCATATACGATGTTATCATATACGCATATTCACCTCTGCTCTGCTCCATATACGCGCCGGCGACGATTCGCTTAATTAATTTCATCCAAGCCTCCATATGTGCAGGCGCGAGCTCCGGATTTTTTCCCTGTTGACTTTGTTCCTCATTCCGTCGTATACACTATAACACGCGTGTATGCGTGCACTCGCACACGTTATATATTCTTTCGACATGGACATGCATTTCCGCATAGAGACAAATTCTTTTTTTCTCTCTCTGCACTTTTTCAGTATATGTATAGTCTCGAGGCTCGCACAGCATGTACGTAGCAGCTCTCGAGAGCATCGCTCCCTAAAAACGATTTAAACAAAAGCTTCACTGCCAGCGAGTGAGAGAGAGAGAGAGAAAGCGCGAAAAAAGAAGAAAATTTTCACTCTCGAGACGCGTTTAGCGAATGTCCCGACGCATATACATATCATATACGCCTCTATATATGGCGAGACAAAGATCAAAAGCATACAGACACTCGCGCCTCGGCTCTTTCTCTCTTTCTCTCTGATTTACCTTAAAAGAATGGATTTTTTTAAAAGCGGAACGCATTATAATATTCACGCTCGACCTACTCATTGCCGAGCTCATCGTCATCTGCCGTTGCCGCTACTGATACTGCAGCTGCCGCTGCTACTCGTCGCTATAGTTTTTTATTCTCACTTCCGAAAAAAAAGGAGCCAAGTAAAAAAATTTTTTATCTCCACGAGTACATTTTAAGTACCTTTATTATGAGCGACCGAAAGAGTCGAGATAACGATAAAGTCAAGCTCGTTGCATCAGAGAAATGGCGATTTCGTGTGTGTGTGAGCGCGTATATTTCGCCTCGAAAAAAAACTCCGCAGATCCTTATCCGTCCATTTAGGTACACCAAAAGCGAGCTTTCATCCCCTTTGTATATGTGTTTTTCCATGTACGTGTGTTCGGGTGTGTGCGAGTGTGTTGGGGAGCTTTTTTAATATTACAGCACGGCCGAGAAAAAATCGCTTATTTCCGGTTTGCGCCTTGTGTAAAAAGAAAACTCGAGGCCATATACCGTTTACCTTTGACGCTGCTGGTGGCGAGAGCATGGCGCAATGCGCGCGATGATGATGCATACCTTTTGTGACACACTTAATCGTGCCGCGCACACAAACAGTATAAGGGAGATTATCTGCAAATGCCACTGCACAGTTATATATCTGCGATAAAACAAAGAAATGGTAATGCGCTTCATTTAAATTTTACTCTGTAAATTCATTTTTATTCACACATTCTTTTACATATAAATTTGTATATAAATATAACATCACAAAAAAAGCTAAGGCTACTAAACAAGGAAATAAATTGTTCAACTTTAACATCACATTAAATTGACTGAATTTATAAATACTTTCGTGTTTCTTCTCGATATACAGTGATGATTACATAGGAATTACTGATATTATATTAGTATTATAATAAAATTAAGATTATATGGACTATTCTAGCAATTACGAAATGGCTAAAATACTCGCATAATTATAAACCTATATCAGTTCTACGCACGTGAGCATTTATAATGGCTCCTTAAAAACGTGATTTTTTGTGGGCGTGTACACGTTTTGTGTGTACAGTACAAATAAACGTAATATTTGATGTTCAACTATTAAAAAAAAAACAAAAAAAAAACAAAAAAAACACATACACACATGCGTACAGATCAAACATACAAATGAAAAGAAAAAGTGAACTCCGATCTTTTTTCAAAACGACCTTAGTAGTCCTTTTTCCATCTCATAACACATAATAAGTAAAGTATTCCTTCAATGGAAGTTATACTTGGATATAATACAAAAGTACGCGTGCCACCTGCATTGCACAGATATACACAAACTTAATTACGATATAATATACGTCGATATTGATTATTACTTTACGATTACAATGATAAAAGAACAACGAGTGCACAATTGAGCATATACATCATTAGCTATCGATAAAAAACTGACAACATACATTGTCACGAACGAAGAATTTACCTTTTATCGCAGAGGCTAAACATGCGACCTCGGCGATTCGATTAATGAAGAAAAAGAAAATGAAGTAATCCTTGATTATAAAAAACTCAAGAACAATCATTTTTTTCTTCTCTCGCTGTTTTCGCGCTTCTGTCTAATTTTATCGCTAATTTTGGTCAATTTAAAGATTATAAAGTTTTGATCATGGTTTCTTGGAAAGAAGTAAAAAAGATAAAACTGTCAATGGCTTCTCGAAGTTTTTGGACTCGAAAATTCGGTACACGACGCTATTCTTATCGACTCACTTGAAAAAAAAAAAAAATATTGCTAACGACTAAAAAATCACTTTTATAGATCCTACAACGTACGTACAACGTACTACTACATGCGCACAAGTTCTAACCGGTGGTTTATCAAATATCTTAAAAGTGATCAAAATGTTTTTTACTTTAATATGATAATCTATTGCTGTTTAACGTACTTTGGCACATGACTTTTCTTTTCTCTCGATATGCGTACGAGGAGCAAACAAAGTTTCGTACAGCGTATACAACAACATCAAAATAGAAAGAACAAAAAAGAGAAAAAAAAACTACTTATCAAAAATCGATGCATCTATTCCGAGGCAGTGTCTCTTTTAGGTACTAACACGCCTCGAAAAGTCCCGGATAATTCGTTGAACCTATCTCGAACGAGCGAGTGAGCGCGAGAAAACGTCGAACGTCTCGCTACAAAAGTACAAAAGTTCTTTTGATTTTTTTTTTTTTTTTATAATAATTATCGATTGGTTTTCATGCATTCTCCCTTCGAACTGGATCTTGGTAGTTTATTTTTATGGTGAATTTCCATTCCCAGGCGGCGAGTGTTTTCTCACTTTGCGATTTCGCAGCTATGTTTGCGCTTGTATTTTTCGCGAACAAAAAAGCGGCGAAAAACGAGGCGAGCCGATAAACGACGCGCGCGCGCGCGAGAGCAGCACGCGTAAAAAACGGCACACAGCTTGCCACGCACGTATGCAGGAGAAAAATCCTCTTACGCTAACACGTCGAATATAAAAAGCTCGAGCTCATGGTCGAGGTAAATCCGATATACGTGTGTAGCGCTCGCACTGGGAGGTCTATGGCAGCCAGCCATAGCGTTCACGTCGCGTTCTTCAACTGTTCGGCCTTCTTCTTCTCCTCCTCCTCCTTCTTCTGGCTCTCCACGTTGTTGCGGTAGTCGGGGTTGTTCCAGGGCTGAATCTCGCCACTGGCGAATAGCACGAAGACGAGATTGGTCACGAGGAAAACGATGAAGACGATCCAGAAGACCATGCGCCACTCGGCCACGGTAGAGTTGGGGGTCATGACGCCTACGATGTAGGGCGTGACCATGCCGGTGATGGATGCGACTCCATTGACGATCGCCATGAGGGTGCCCGAAAAGTTGGGACTCAGATCCAGAGCGTTGACTTTCATGCCTATTTAGAGGAAACGAAAAAAACAGGTTTGAATCGGATCGATGGCGTGAATCGGTCGAGCTGTCGAAGGTAGAAGGTACTTACCCGGGTAGAAGGTGCCCATGAGGGTCATGCCGATGGTGAAGAGCACGACGACGGACATCTGATCGCAGCCGGCGTAGGAAGCGCCGATGATGAAGATACCCGGGCCGATGCTGGCGATGGTGGTGCCGAGCTTGCGCACGTTGGTCGTGCTCATGTACTTGTTGACGATGGCCCAGTCGGCCAGCCACGAAGTGACGCACGAGCAGATCCACATGCAGAGGTAGGGCAGCGAGGACCACCAGCCGTTCTCCTCGATGCGGAAGCGCATGACGCTGTGCATGTACTTGGGCAGGTCGGTGACCATCGTGTAGAAGCCCCAGTCGTGGCCGATCTGGGCGACGAGCAGGGCCCAGAGCGGCGCCGAGGTGAGGATGGCGCGCCACGGCACCGGGCCCGGGGCTCGCTGGCTCGTGTGCTCGTTCATGCGGTCGTGCAGGAACTTGGCCTCCTTCTCCGAGATGTAGGGGTGCTCGCGCGGGTTGTTGTAGCAGAGCAGTTGGAAGAAGATGAACCAGACGACGCCGAAGCCGCCGAACACGTAGAAGACCAGGGGCCAGCCGATCTCCGAGCTCTTCAGTATCTCGCCGGAGAGGAGGGTCGACACGACCGTACCTGTGGGCATCGACAAAATTCCAAGCTATAGACTCGAGTGCGCCTCAAGAGCATTCGCGCGAAGCTGGCTAATTTTTTTCCTCGCTCGTGACTCGAGACCGTGTAAGTACTCGGAAATTACCGACTTGGCGTTTACGAGCGCGCCTCGAGTGCCTCGTGTAATCGCATCGAGTCCTAAATCTCGATGATCCGCGCCCGCATGCATGATTCTTACATTATTACACGTGAATTATCGCTTGCCACGGAAAAAAACGCCCGAGCGCCGACAGCGTGTTCGTTGCTCGCGTCATTATTACCGGCGTGCGTTTAAAAACAAATAAAACAAATAACAATGATCGAGCGCAAAAGCGTCGCTCTGCCTATAACCGATGACTATTAGAGTACATCGTGTGCGCCGTGCGTGCATACTTGGTTGCGCAAGACGAGGAAAAAAAACGAAAGCGGTATTATACATGTCGCGTGAACTCACCGAGTTGTGCACCGGCAAAGACGAGCGAGCCGATTTTCGATCTCTCCTGCGGCGGCGTCCACTGGGCCAGCATGACATTCACGGCCGGGAAGGTGGTGCCCTCGCCCAATCCCATGAGGATCCGGAGGACCACCAAAGCTTTCATGCCGCCCCACTCGGTGGCCAGGGGTGTGAGCAGAGTGAAGACGGCCGTGGACAGGATGCCCAGGCCGAGGCAGTACTTGCCGCCGAAGCGCTCGGCCAGCATGCCGCCCGGCAGATGGGTCACGATGTAGCCCCAGTAGAACGACGACAAGATTATACCCTGAAAACCAATCGTCGTTGCATTTCTTTTTCTTTCTTTTTTTTTTTTTACTTTGGAATTTCGAATGGATGTCTACTCTCGCGATTGCTTCGAGTACAAGATAGATGAAGCGATAAACCCGCGATATGTGTATAAATCAAACGTACTCTAATTGACCGATCTTGATTAAATAATTAACATTTGCGTAGCGGCTACCGGGAATTTTATAATACAAACTCATTTATATCGTTAAAATTGAGTCATAAAGGTAATTGACAAAATTAATGGACAAAAATAATCAAAGTTTTACGAAACTATTGCTCGTTTACAACTTTATCGTAAAGGCAAAGATACGCGAGCCACGAGAATCTGTGAATAATCCAGATTAGATTTACAATTACAAACAGAGATATTTACATTTTTACACCTAGAATATTGCCCGAGCGTCGATCGTGTGGGTGTGTGCGTGTGTTGTAACGCCACAATCTATGATAGTGAGCAAAACTGCCGACTAATTATACGTATCACGCGCGCTCGTATAATTGTATCGTTTAGTTTTAAAAGTAAAAAATGATTTGTTTACCTGCGACGTTTCATCCCAGTCGTACAGCGGCCCTGTGGGCGCGCTCACTGTGATATTCTTAGCTTGGCTGAGATCGGGACACCTGTCGAGGCTCGAATCATTGCTCGTCGTGTTCGAGTGGTGTTCGATGGTCATCTGAGTGATGGCGATCGACAGACAGACCCTCATGGCGTAGGCGTTGAGCAGGGCCAAAAAGCCCATGATGGCAAAGACCCATCGCTGCGGTACGTAGCTGCCTGCAAGGAAAAAGCAAAAGTCCGGATTGGTGAAAGCTCGCCTGACTCATCGTCGTTCGTTACTACTGCACCCGGTATACGAGCGATATGTATGTATCTATGTCCGTGTTGCAGTGACGGACACGACGACGCGCGCAAGTACTCGCGTTTACGATCGAGAAATGAAAATTCCTCGTTGTTTTCGACGTACTTGTATCGGAGGGAAATAAAGTTGAATTCGTGACGTATCTCGTCTCGACGAGTCGCCAATGAGTGAAAAAACAAACGATGCTCGATATTCTTTGTTGTCTTCGGCGAGGAAAACTCGCAATTTATTTATCCGTTTCAAGAGAATGACTTTGGCAATAAAAATTGTTATTAATCCTTAGACTAAGACACACGGCGTTGCGAGCGTCGAGTAAATAGTTGACTTTGAAAAAAACAACACGCGCAAAAGGAGTCAGACCACGTGCCTTTATCTAAAGCAAAACAATCGAATTGCGAATATTTCGGCAACTAGTGCGAGCGAAAAAGATTTTTGAATCGATTTTATTATTATTAGTATTTTTTCTTTTTTTAAAGTTAGATTAATCGTCACCGAATTTTATCGCGTTCCTTGACTTTTTTTGTCTGCTTGATAAGATTACAAGCCCGAATATATTGTTGATAATCGAAAACCTTGTAATAAAGTGTACATCGGCAGCGGCTTCTGTGCATGCGCACGCGTGGGTGATACACTTTTATACATGTACCATTCGTAGTTAAACATTATCGATGATCGGCGGCTAACGAAGATTTTTTACTTTGCGCTTGCGACACCGCGAGTGCATTCCTCGGGGCTTTATACATTTATTAATGTGCACGTCGGCCGGAGAAGATATTTTTCGAATCGTTCGCACAGTTCCGCGTACTCGCGACGCGACAACGGCATATTTTCCAATTAGTATCAGGTGCAAGACGTCTGCAATATCAGCGGACGCGAGAGCGAGATACAAGTTGAAATCGGCTGAAAAGCGTCGTAGTGTTCCAAATCAATTAGTAATAGGTGTTCGGCGGAATTTTACCGAATAGGCCGAGAGATAAAGCTAGGTGTAGGATGGAGCACGCGGCGAGACTAATTGACGCGAATCTCGGAAATTCGTCAGTTAATGAATTAAAAAAGTAATGATGATTTTGTTACAACATTACCCGGACAGACAACACTCGGTGTTGGCTTCTCGGATCATCGTTATATTCCGCTGACTCGTGTTAGCTCCCACTATACCTTAAATTAGTAAAAAAACATTGATGAAACGGCTGGGCAGCCATTCAAACGTAACGGTACGATCTAATTTTTTACGTCCATACGGTTACATTTGAATCGCTGCGTTAAAAAAAAAAGAATAGAGCAAAGTGCATATGATTGGATGTCCGGTCGATTTTCCAAGTATCGGCTTGGAACGATCGACGGCCAATGAGAATGGATGCATAAAATCGGCCACGTGACTGGAATGCGCTTAGAGAGACCACGTGCCTTAACTATACGTGCATCCGAATCGAAGGATACGGACGCGATTTCCAATTCGGCTGCTCGGCGGACCTTGACTCGCGTGCGCGCCCGACAAACGTGTATAAACTTTTGCAGTAGCTGCAGGACAAACAATCGGCATTTTTTTGGCCTGCTCACGATGAATCACACGTACATACACATGCGAGAGAGATCATTACGTGCACGAGTCCGTCTGTGTGTATTGTTGTGCGTGTCTCTGCGCTGCAGCTGTGTCATAATAAAGCACGCGAAAAGTTGTAATTTTCTTTTGCATCATCTTTACCTCGAAGTGTGCGACACATTTTTGCGCTTGTAAAAAAATCTCTCGCACGTATAGATTTGATTAAGTCGTGCTCGAGCGCCTTTGCCGTGCCGATATAATTATGTTTCTTTTCGTATGTACACTCGCAGACTCGTTAAATTGTTAAACACACAGTCACGCACTCTCGCACACACAGCCCATACATACACAGTTGTTAATTGTAGAATTTAATAATATCATTGTTTCAACTCACAGCACTTCTTCCAAAAGGTAAAAAAAGTCATGATTTCAGCCTCCCCCTCTTGCTCGTTTCGTTTACACAAAAATGGCAAATTCACTCAAAAAAGTCTCTGTCAGATGGGGAAAAATCACACGGAAGATCGAAAATCGCTCTCCGCGCACACGCAGTGTTATGGATCGAAACGCTCACTAATTTAATAAACAGAAGCGAAAGTTGAGCCCGAGTCGACTGAACGCGCTGCTGGCATCAACTGACCAAGCCTCAACGTCAAAATCCCTCTTTTATATATTATGCCCGATCGCCGCGTGCCTGCGCGCGTAAGCCACTGATCGACTCGTTTGCGAGACTACATCGTATAGCACCGAGAGAGGAGAGAGAGAGAAAGAGAGACGCGACGACCAATTGTCAATGAAGTAGATAACGTGCAGAGCATTTGTAGGCCACCCCCTTTTTCTGATAATAAGGTAAAATTACTTCGTGTCTATGCCAATACGTACGTGTGTACCGTCTATGTGAGCAGGTGTTTCGATAATTGACGATTAATAGATCTGTCGTTAATGACACGACTCGTCAATGCCTACGACTCCCCGATTTTTCCAGTTGCGACGCGTCTTTTTTATTGCGCCTCGATCGGCGAAGCGCAGCGAGTTTCGCCGAGGGAGGAGAATCCCAAGTGCATATAAAAGTCGTGAGCGCCAAACAGATTAACAGATTTCGCCGTCAGGAATGTTGAAAATTTTTTATCGATACTTTGTATCGGTCTCAGAAAAATAATATCTTGATGAGGTGATTGAACGCGTGTTTCTGGCGCGCGCCATCGCCTGCATTTGTATGTATACATGTAAATATACATGTTGTATTGATTTTAAGCGCATAATATAATTATTGTAGCGCGCGTGGCCTATACCTATGCCGGAACTCGAGCATTACCTTTTTTTTTCTATTTGTCATGTAACCAACGAACCGATTTCTTTGGCTCAATTTCCGCGGAGCTTGTTTTGTGTCATCTCGTTGCAGTTGCATAAGGTTTTTAAGGCCAATTTATGAACGATTTTTCATCGCCAACTCAAAATGAACAATATTTTTTCGACAAAAAGGCACTCGAAAATAAAATTAGTCTCATTTTTTTCTTTCTTAAAAAACGATAAATTCTCTTGAACTACTCATCACAAACGAGCAGATAAGGTGAGAATTGAGAATTCAACAAAGATCGTTATCAAAGTCTCTTCGAGAATCCCAAAATCGATTATTATAAACGAGAAATTTTGTTATAGGATCACGTGAACGCTGCTCGTGCGACACGATACCGATAAGTCCGCTATAATGCGGAAAAGCTTCGGAGGTGTGCGAGATATATATTATTGGCGGGGCAATTAGTTATGCCTCCGATTGTGTCAACAAAATCGACTAAATCGAGGAAATTTACTACCCAAGCGAGTAAAAATATTTTTTCCCGCTCGTAAATGTTTGCAATTTTATAATCTTAATATACACTTTTATTGTTTTATTACGATGCTTGGAAACGGCGGCGGAGGAGAAGGAGGTTTGGCGTCGCGTGTGCGCGATCAAATTTCAAGAAAAGCGACATAAAATTATCGATTTTCGCGACTGTATAGGCAATTTTTTTATGAGACTCGATGGTCAGGCCTCTGCGAGGAAAAAATAGATTATCGTGAGAAAAACACAAAATCGGATAGCACATGAGATGCATAAAATATACTTAAAAAGTCATTAATAATCATTTTGTATAATTACTCCGTATTCAAGTGCGAGTATGATTTTTGATAAGGAGAAAGAATTCTTCTTACTGATTGTTAACCAAGATAGTCATCGTATGTAAAAAAATCTTTATCGACAACATGCACAAATCTGATCAACATTGAGATATTTTTCAATTATTAATGCAATTTTCCGCAAGTGCCTAAATATGATGTTTTCGATTGAAACGGAAAGAAAAGGGAAAAATTAACTCTGTGCGCACTATTAGCCTAATACAATCACTTTTCTCCGCTATCTGTCAAAGAAAACCTTGAATTAAGTAAATGCTAACTACGCAGATAATAACAGATGGAAATGCGATATGCTTATTCAATTTTACTGAACTCCAGCATCATAATATTATTAGGTGCTTAACGGAATAAAACACACTTGTGGCGTGCAATGTTAGGATAAACTTTGATTACTTTGTTTTCTAATTCAGCTCTTGTTATTGTGGCACGCGCGCATTTTTTTTTTTTTTTTTTAATGGGACTACATTTATCGAAATTTTTTTGTAAAAATAATGAAATATTGACGTCCGCAAATGAATGAAATTCGATCATAATCTCGCCAACACTTGAGACTGAAAAACGATTGACATGTGTATCAATGAATGTGTGCGTCTAAGTCGTTTCTCTGTCTTTCTCTCTCATTCTCTTGTCGAGCGTTACACGTTAATCACAGTCCCAGATAAGACAAATCACACGAGCATCATTCATTATATTTATACACTTACGTTGCTCGGGCTCGAAATTGTCAGATATCAAAATATTTTGATTATTACCCAATATTTCCTTTCACGCAGTCTTTTTATTACAACTTTATGAGTTGGCATAATTTAATTAATAGAAGGATCGAAATCTTATTGATAAAGTATAATAAGCGTTGGTTATATCTATCATCAAGCTCAACTATAGCCAGATAAAATCTCGATATGTTTGGGTTTTGTATTATTTGTTTGTTTATTCCATTCGTGAAAAATAATAAATAAAATGCAAGCATATGTATACACGAAGTTAAATAATTATCGAGATAGTCCGTGACATTCTAAAACGTTATAAGCGATTAGAAAAAAATTTGTAATTCGCGTAGCGGAAATTTACCAAGCTTGTATTCACAAATAAATGCAAGAACTTGTAATGGCTTATCTCTATCTTCGATATGTTAACAATTATATCTGTGCAATTTTTAAAACGCGAATACATGCAAAAAGTACCTCGTTGTCTGCTACGGTACCAACGAAAATTCGTTGTTGACCTCCAGCTGCACGTCAGTAAGGGTGTTCTTTCGCTTTTATACTGCGTCATTGTCAAGAGAACTCTCTCTAATTATCACTTTTACATAAGTTAAAAAATCTGTGAAACAAATATATTTTTTATTAATAAAAAAACGTTTTTACGTTTTGTTCAAAGAATCATGCGAACTGAGCAATTATTTGAACTGTTGAATAGAAGTGAGCAAACTTCATCACAATGTGTCAGACAACCGACCGGGTAAACGTGCAGCAAATGTGTGATAGGGACATCCGCGATATAAGTATGGACAATTTAATTCTCGACTGTTATCACTCGGAGCCAGACGTTATAATTTTTATTTGTTTTTAGAGAGAGAAAAAGTTTTGACCCAAGTGCAGCTGCAGACAGTAGTTTAAAGACTGTAATACTCGTAGTAAAAGCTGAGCTTATATAATTAATCAATTAAACTTTTCCAATGTACTTCAGTAGGTGATAGTAACAAGTAAATATTTTACTTTGCAAGTATTAATCCAATATATTTACACACAAAGTGGAAATTGGCGATAAAAAATCATTCTATAAACCTTTATCAGTATAAAATAATAACATACAAAATACTATATGCTTAAAATCACTATCTAAAATTATATGTATATGTTACGTAAATACATCTTGAATATAGGAGTACAACTTATGATCTAATGGTTTGATAGTTTTTCGAATATGTCTGGAATCTCCTTTGATGCATCTTGCCAAACTTTTCTCATACTTTCTGCAGCTTTGTCAAATTCAAGCAACTGCAAAAAGTTTACATAAAATGATTAAGTTCTTTGCATTCTTAGTATTACCTATTTACAAAAAACCTTCTTACCAATCTACCACTATGATATTCTTGCATTAGCTGAAACAATTCTTTCACTGTCAACAGCCCTTCATCTTTTTTGTTCATTTGCACAAATGAGCAGTTTGACTGATGCTTCTGGTGTTCTTGCCTGAAAAATTGTAACCAACTTCAATTTCCATCTCATTTATATCAACTCGAACAAAAATGAAATTTTAATAAAAATGCATATCATCAAAATGTTATGAATTACGTAATTAACTTACCAAGGATCATCCTCAGCCTCCCAGCCATCAAGCTGCTTTCTGCACATGAAGCACTCTGCTAGATCTGGTTCATCTTCACCGCCAACGGCGAAGAAGCCAGCCGCAGCCATACTATCAGGATTGCACTGATGCTCATTGCCAAAAGGCCAGTGTTTGAAGGTTTCTAATCGAGCCTTCTTCCAAAATAGAGGATTTAAAGTTCTGAAGAAGAAAAAATCAAAATAAAAACAAAGTTGAGGTTAGAAACGAACCACTGGCGCGAACGATCCTTTGATGAAATAAAGAAAGCAAATCTCATTCATCGGAGCAATAACTCACTTGAAAATAGCAGCCAGATCCAATTCTTCGGTCATTGTGACGACGAACGGGACGAGTCAAGATAAAAAATGTAATAAATAAATAGAAAAAGTGCTGTAAGCAGGAGGCTCGTTTGTAAGCGTTTTCGCGCGACCCTGCACAAGTCGTATTTTTGAACGAGAGCAACAACTTGCAACTGTCACATGCCGCTGCCGCCAAAACTGCTCTAGTCAGTCGACGTCACGCAGCTGCAACGACTTTTTCGATGAAATTTCAACATCATGCGTCTGAGACGTTTCACGGTTGCATTGCGTATTGGATAAAATCATTTTTTTTCGAGTAAATAATGTTTCCGGTTAATCAGATATGAAAATATTGAAAATTTGTCGGAAACTGCCGGACTCCGAAGTGCGATGGCTCTGGTGATCAGTCTCGTGCGTCGTCATAGCAACGCAACGACACGTGATGACGCCGTTTCAAACAAGGACGCGCTACTTCACCGAGCGCACAGTGATGCAAGTCGATTATAAAAAAGCCAATATTTATATTCACTTTTGAAAAGACATCAACAACAACAGCAACAACAACAACAGTAGCCGCAACCATGTCGATTCAAGACCTTGAATTGAGTGGCATAATAGCCTTCGACGGGTTGACGAAAAATGGCTTGAAGCTGCACCCCGACCAAAGGCACTTGGTCTACCCGATGGGCAACAAAGTGAGCGTGAAAAACATCAGCAGCGGCCAGCAGACGTTCCTCTCGGGCCACACGAACCTCATCTCGGCCATGTGCATCTCTCCGTGCGGGCGTTACATCGCCTCGGGCCAGATCAATCACTCGGGCTTCAAGGCCATGGTCATCCTGTGGGACTACGAGGCGAAGAAGCTCAGGAGCAGCTACGAGATCCACAAGGTCCGGGTGGAGGACCTGTGCTTCTCCGCCCAGAGCAACTATCTGATGAGCCTCGGGGGCCGCGACGACGGCAACGTCATCATCTACGACGTGGCGAGGAGTCAGCCGCTGTGCGGCACGTTCGCCAGCACGGAGATCGCCGGCAACGCGTACACGATCACGCGGGCGAATCTGCGCGACCGGTGCTTCGTCACCGGGGGCGACGGCACCCTCAAGGTCTGGCGCATCGATCCGGAGGCGCGCAAGGTCCTCTGCACGGACGTGAAGATGGGCAAGCTGCGGCGCTGCATCAACTGCCTGGCCATAGACCAGCGCGACGAGGAGGTCTACTGCGGCACGACGTCGGGCGACGTGATCCGAGCCAAGCTCAACTTCCATCACAACGTCGAGCACGCGGAGCCGGTCCAGCCGCCGGTCATGATTGGCTGCTACTCGAAGCTGTCCAAGTGCGCGAAGAATCGCAAGAACGGCCTCGGCGACCTGTACGCGGGCGGCGTGAGCAATCTGCTGCTGCGCAACGACGGCCGGCTGATCGTGGGCTCGGGCAACGGCGCGGTCGAGCTCGTCGAGGTGCTGCCGGAGCCGGGCAAGATCAACAAGAAGCTCAAGTCGCCGAGCACGCCGCAGCTCAGGACGATCCTCGCGGAGAACGTGCGCAGCGGGGTCACGTCGCTGCTGCTCGTCAAGGAGACCGACATCATCGTTGGCACGCAGCTCAGCGAGATCTATCAGATCAAGCTCAAGGATTTCGACATGCGGCTGCTCGTCACCTGTCACACGGCAACCATCTACGACGTCGTCTTTCCGCAGTTAGTACATCGATCAGAACTCACGATAACTTTCGCGTAACGATCATAGTCCAGCTCTCGAGCGTCCGCTTATGTTTGCCGCAGCAACTACTCCGAGATATTCGCTACGGGCAGTAAGAACGACATCAGACTCTGGAGATTGGACACTCGCAGGGAGTTGCTGAGAATCAGCGTGCCCAATTTCGTTTGCACGAGTATTTTCTTTTCTTACGACGGTCGAATGCTGATATCGGGTGAGCAAATTCACTTCATATCCACTATTCCTCTTTCCAAACTCAATTAGATTTTGCGCACGACGTAACGATTCGATGATCGATACCGTAGCCTGGAACGACGGCATCATCCGAGCTTTCACACCTCAGAGCGGTCGGCTGATTTTTGCCATTCTCAATGCTCATTTTAAAGCCGTATCTGCCATCACCTTGTCCCGGGACAACAAGAGGATAATAAGCGGTGGCTGCGACGGCCAGGTAATCAGACAGCTACATCTTTCATTGCAGTAGCTCAACTTCATTGATTATTTAATCGACAATTTGCATATTTATTTTCTGTAAAATAGGTGCGTATTTGGGAAATACTTCCGGAGAAACAGCGGCTCGTTTGCGTCCTCAAAGAGCACAGAGGATCCGTCACCAGCCTACGCATCAATCAGGAGGGTAATCAAGTCATCAGCTCGAGTACGGACGGCACATGCATTGTCTGGGATATCAAGTGGGTCGGCTGCGATCACCGATCCGCTGCGAATCAACTATTGACTAATTTTTTCCCAATTACAGTCGCTGCGTTCGTAAGCAGGTGCTCATAGGCAACACCATGTACATGGCTGCATGCTTCAGCCCCAACGGTGTGCAGATCCTCACTTGCGGCACCGATCGCAAAATCACCTACTGGGAAACCCTCGATGGCTCGATGATCCGCGAGTTGGAGGGTTCGGGTTCCGCCGCTCTGAACACCATCGACGTCAGTCCGGACGGCGAATATTTCGTCACTGGTGGGAACGATAGTGTGGTTAAGCTCTGGCACTATCACAACGGCGAGATCACCCACATCGGCATGGGACACGCGGCCATCGTCACGGCGGCCAGATTCAGTCCCGACGGTAGGCACATAATCACCGTCAGCGGCGATGGGGCCATCATGATCTGGAAATGCCCGTTCCCGATGAAGAAGCCACCCGAGCCATCGTCCGCGCGCAGCCTTGCCTCCAGCAGATCCACGTGTAGTTTGAGAGAGAACATGATCAAGAGTAGTTTAAATTTGGATCTTGGCAATGAAAATGTAGCGGAATTGACACCTCGATCGGAAGTGGCCGAGAGCGTTAAGGCTGTTTACGAAGGTAGAGTCAACAATTAAGGTGAATTTTTGCAGATACAAATGCGAAAGATGATTTTCTTTCAGGTAACAAAGAATCGGCGCTGTGTGGATGTGATTTAACGAAACCACTTCCTGATTGTTGTGGTTGTAATGGTAACGATGCCAAATCACCTGTTATTGAAACAACGAGATCGCACAAGTCCAGCGCATCATCGGGGAAAGGTGATTCCGTTCGGGGCGAAAACAAACATTGCGATTTAGAAAGAAAGTCATTGGTTTGAAAGTTACATACAGTCATACCATAGCAAAATATAATTATCTAGTCACAAGCAATAAATGGTATAGAACATTTTTTATATCAACATGTATTCTATTTTAATCATATTTTTTTCAAAGTATAAAAACATTTTATTCGCAATCAATTGTTAGTAATCATTTCATTATAAATCATAATACAAGGATGAAATAATTACTTCATTATTTCCTTTGGAGACTGCTTCATTAAAAATAAAATAAAAATAAATAAATCTTCTGCATAAAATTCATACTTTTATGTACAACATAAATAAAGTATCACAAACATAATTCTTGTCTCATTTGGAAAAATCATAACTTTTTCAAACAATATTTGGCATTTTTATCCCCATGCTTGACTTTTACAGTAATGAATGATCAATTTGCCATCTGTGCCATAACAGTCATATATATTTTTTACTGTTTGATCAGGAGCTGGAGCAAATGTTTGATTTATGTACAAAAACTGAAAAAAATCAAAATTTTCATTGCTTATTTGGTCAAGTTTAAGACAAAAGCTAATGTTTGAAGATTTACCAATCGCTCCTCAGGTCCCATTTTGATAAATTTCTTAATAAATTCTGAGATCCAGCCAAGAGTTTTATCCGGAGGGACAGTCCACTTTTTCTTTGTCATTATAGGGGCATCGCCTGTTGCTTTGAGTAGTACTTCAACTATTGAAGAAATAATCAAGTGAACAAAATTTATTTAACTTGAAACAGTAAATTACTAACAGTAAAACTTACTTTTCTTTTCTTTGTCAGATGCAACAGGTGTTTCATTGTTAGCTGAACTAGGTTCAGTAGTTGGAGGATCTGGATTTGGATTTGTCTCTTCGGCAGCTACATCAGGAGTTTTTGGTTCACTAGCCTCACCTGTTTGAGGTTCTTCTTCTTTTTCCGACATTTTATTTACAGATCTACTTTTATGTATGATAAAAGATTTATCATAAGAATAAAAAGAACTATGGTATCATAGTTTTAGTTACACTATTATAAATAAATCCACGATAAAAAAATTCAAATGGAATATTGATACTAAGAGAGATGACTACAAAATAACAACTGGGTTATGTTGACATATTCATGGAGTCGGTTCGTGCGCAATTTAAATGCCCAACGCGTTATTGCGAATTCCTAAATTTAACCACTTGGCAATTTTAGTAAATATAATGCCTGATGGTGGCAAAAAGCAGTGAAATTAAAACTAGAGAACAATTTTTGCCAACAATTGTGTTTTATTGACTGAAATTGTCGGTGTAAAGCAAGGAAATCTCTGCTGACCTGCGTCGTCAGTGTCACTCCCTTCTTCTTTCGGAGCAAAATATACGTGTGTGCGTGTGTGTGCAAACAGAGCGTAAGCCTCAGCCGCCGCGTCTTATACTACGATTATATATATTTTTTTTGATCGGTGCAGGACTCGATCAAGTCCTCAAACTAAAACTACATCGTTTTGGACACCTTCAATCTCCTAAACATATACTTTTGCAGTGAAAATCAGTGAAAAATAGTAATTGTATATTTTACTTTTGTTATACTCAAATAAGCAATGCATTTAGCGAAGCAAACTTGTAAAGAGATAACCTCAAACAATTTGCAGATGTGCAAATTAAATTTTTTACATAAATTGAGAAATTATAATTAATCAAACGTGTCAAAATATTATTGTTGATCCGTTTGATATTTTCTGTCACTCCAACACGTTTTTAATGAGATTTTTCTTGACTTGTAAAACATCAAAAAGTGCAGTGTAATGTTATTACCAAAAATAGACACCAAGCTTGCTGTGCAAAATATTATGCACCATTTATATATGAAGCTAAATATTTTTTGGTTATTCATAATTTTCTAACATTATTAATCAATTTTATTTGTTCCAGTCAATATGGTTGACACATCAGTAATAGAGGGTGGCAGGATTGTGAAGATGGAGGTGGATTACAGCAGTAATTGTGACATAAAAATTCCAGAATGCAGAAAGTTAGCCGAAGAAGGAAAACTTCATGATGCTCTAGATCAACTTTTAGTCTTAGAAAAATTGACCCGTACTGTAAGTAGTATTATTATCCAAGAAATTCCATTGTTTACATGATACTAATTTAGTTTTTTTAAATATCAGGCTTCAGATATGGTTTCAACATCTAGAGTTCTCGTAGCAATCGTGAAGTTATGCTTTGAAGCTAAGAACTGGGTTGCTCTTAATGAGCATATTGTTCTTTTGTCAAAAAGAAGATCTCAGTTGAAACAATCTGTTACAACAATGGTGCAAGAATGTTGTACATACATTGATCAAACTCCAGACAAAGAAACTATGATAAAACTCATAGAAACCCTACGTTCTGTAACAGAGGGAAAGGTATGAATTATTTTTCTTTGTTTTTTGAATATTTTTTTATTTTTAAATGTTCTAATTGTAACTGGAATAATTCTGCAGATATATGTTGAAGTTGAGAGGGCACGACTGACTCATAAATTAGCTAAACTCAAAGAAGAAGATGGAGATGCTTTGGGTGCATGTCAGGTGATGTTGGAACTTCAGGTTGAAACCTATGGTAGCATGACCAAAAAAGAAAAAGCTTCTCTCATTTTGGAACAAATGCGCCTATGCCTTATCAAACAAGACTTCATTCGCACTCAAATCATAGCCAAAAAAATAAATATTAAATTTTTTGAAGACGAGAGTGATGAAGAAACTCAAGCTTTGAAATTGAAATATTACGAGTATGTTTTTAATGAATTTTTACAAAATGTTCAATTATTAGGAGTGAAAAAATTAACTGAAAATTGTTTTGTGCCTCTTATAGACTAATGATGGAATTGGCACGTCATGAAGGCTGGTATTTAGAATTGTGTCGCCATAATCGTGCTATTTTGGAAACTCCTAGTATAAAAGCTGATGCTGAAAAACGTTCTGTAGCTCTATCCAGAGCTGTTTTGTATCTCATTCTTGCTCGACATGAACCTGAACAAGCAGATCTCACTCACAGATTATTGGCTGATAAACTGCTTGAGGGTTTGCCTATATTCAAGTAAGTAATTAATGCATGAAATTAATACTTGTGAATGTATTAATTGAATTTTTTATTTTTTAAATTTTACAGAGAAATTTTGCGACTTTTCGTCAATCCAGAATTAATCAAGTGGTCTGGATTGTGTGAGATTTACGAAAGTCATCTTCGTGCTACCGAAGTATTCTCACTCGCTACCGAGGAAGGTCGTAAACGTTGGGATGAACTCCGAAATAGAGTAGTTGAGCACGTAAGTTGAACTTTAGTTAAAAACATGCAAATTGAAAAAAATTTGAAGGAAATTAATAAAAATCAATGTGTATTCATTTCAGAACATTCGAATAATGGCTAAATACTACACACGAATTACATTGACACGTATGGCCGAACTTCTTGATCTTCCTGTGGAAGAAACAGAGCAATGCTTGTGTAAACTCGTTGAAACTGGCGTTATAAACGCCCGTACTGATCGACCCGCTGGCATGGTACGTTTCACGAAAACTCAAGAACCTGCGGCTCTGCTCGATGAATGGTCCAGTTCTCTTTCCGAACTCATGAGCCTCGTCAACAATACCACCCACTTGATACATCAAGAGGAGATGCTCGCTAGCGCTAAGGCGTAGATACAGAGTGACTGTTTGTGTTCGTTTGTACTACTACATTGCTAACTGTATGGTTTTTCACTGAGATTCGCCTTTGTGGTATGATCCTCTTAGTAAAATGCCAAGAGAAAAGTCAATTCGCTAAGATTTTTCAGTATTTATAATAAATGATTTTTACTTAAATTGTAAGAAATCTCTTGAAACTTTGTCAAAGGATTTATTAGAATTAATACTATTAAAAATTAATATCGACTAGTTTGAATTATCCCGACGTACTATATCCTAAAAGACTTTTATGTTCAAACCATACAATTAGTAATAAACATGCAGCTATTTTTCATACTAATTCTGCTATCGAAACACTTGCTCTTTTCTTGAATTACTCGTGCGCAATGATTCTGTTTCATTTTCTTTATTATCAAACAGAATGAAAAATCTATCACTATTACATGTTATTTAATAATAAAAATTTTGAAAATCCAATTATTTTCTTTTATTATTAATTTCCGTTAAATAAGTGGAGAGATGAAAAAATTAATGATGATATTAAATCGAGAATAAAATAGGCAGAGCTGCTATCATCGTTGATCTTTTTATTAATATATATTTATACAAAACATCACAATGGGCAATAAAAATTAAGATTTATAATCAATAACAGATATTGAAAATATGAGTCTTACAAAATACACGACTAACTTAATTAACTTGACGCGATTAAGAATATTCTAATTTCTGCAATGTAATCATATACATTGTATAAGATTCGATGCCATCGCATTTATTACAATGCAGGAAGAAAAACATTATAGTTAAAACTATTGTCTGTTTAAATCGCGGATACGAAAATCCTTACATAAGTTAATGACCAATAATTATGATAATGTTACGTAGTCCAAAATAACAATATGTTATTTTCGTCAGGTTTTTCCGAGTTTTTTTTTTAATTTTACCAACTGTTATTTTTTCCAAATTTTTTCTCGTTTAAACGAATGCTACATTGCGCTACTCTGAGAAAAATAACTGTTCGTAAACTTTTTTTCTTTACACAAGGCATCAGCAGTCTTAATAAGTATGTCATATAATACAAAAATACGCTCTATTCGCATTGGCGGCGGTCAAGAACAATTCTCGAGCGCACTTGAAAAACTGTATTATGTACAATGACGATTGTTTAATTTTTTTTTTCAATTCAATAAAACAACCTAGATTTTATCATGGAAAAAAATGTTACTCTAATCACGAAAAAGCATCGTATTAACGATCGATCGATGATAAAAAAATCGCTTCGCTTCGATCGCCAATGCAACCATAAGCATACATATATAAATTTATATATATACGTAAACACATCTCTCGTTGACTATCGACTACGTGTGTAAGAGACTTAACGATAAATTACAATTGAATTTATCGCACGAGCGTGTAATATACATTTACTGCTGGTATGAAAGATTCAGCGCTATTTTCGTGCGCGAGTGAGCGCATCGATTTGTTTTTTGCTAATGATTAAATTAAACTTTGTTCGCATGCACCGCGGCTAATTTCACGCGCGGTGCAGAGATTGAGCTCTCGTTAAATTTGCGCGTCAAACAATAAATCACAGTTTGAAAGTTTTAACTTGAACCGGCCATTGCGTAACGGCACAAAAAGCCAAGACTTTCATTGAATAAATCATTTTTGATCGTCGTTCTGCACACGAGAGTGAGAAAGAGAGAGAGAGAGAGAGAAAGAGCATCAACACACAAGGGGAGCACAGGAAAATTTTATCATCGTTCAATAGTCTAATCGTATTGTTTTTTTCCCTTCCCGGCTCGTTTACCGACGCGCATCTCCTCTCCGTTTGCCATTTTCTAAGTTTTTTTTTCCTCGTACGAATTCACGCATTCTAATACGATCGCGTGCAAAGAGGAAAATTGTACGTCTTTATTTTTGTATCGTCTAATAGTATAGTATAAAAAACATTTGGCATTTAAAATATGTACTAAATTATTATCTTTCACGGGTTCGAGTAATTGTATTTACCCACCTAAGTATTAATTGCTGTGTAAAAAAAACTTGTATAAAAATACACACTAGTTCTATTATACAAAGTTTAGGCACATGTAGAAAATAAAGAACGCCGGACTCTGTCATTCGTCCATTCGAAGTATTGACCACCGTACACGTCGAGTACAGAGACTACATAGAAAAATGCTCGGAGTTGTCGGATCGCAGCCGATTCTTATACGATATATGCAGCCAAACGAACGACATCGGAGTCGAGTGTTTACGATGCAAGTATATCACAGGATATCCATCGTCCATTAGGGCTTGCCGGCCTGTATCAGAGCATCTGGTCGGAGATCGGCAGTGGTGCACGGCTTGGCATCTGTGAAAATCAAAGCACACACGTATCGGCATTATAATAAGGCCAACAGGTCAGTCGGTGCACAAGCGAGTTACGGCGCGTGCAGCAGAGCGCAGGTGAAAGTCCGGCAAAGAAAGAGAGAGTTGCGGCCGCGCGATGATGTGCATGAGCAACGAGCGCGACGACTAACGACGTTCTAAGCGAAATCGCGAGTGCCACGTTAAAGTCGTTTTTTTTTCTCAGCATTTTCTGCTTTTCCTTTTTTGCTCTTACCGTGTATGCCGGCCTGCTGCAGAAGAGCAACAGCCTCGGCGTAAGTCGGCGGTGGGATCTCGCCGGCCTGTCCCACCTGCTGCGCTTGTGCTATCACCTCGTAAGGCGGAGGTCCGGGTGTGCCCGTGCCCGAGCTCGTCAAGCCATCGTGAGGAGCTCGATAATTATTGAAGTCGTGTATGTGCTGCAACAAAAAGACCAAGTATTTCATCTACTGTATAAAACTAGCTGGACAAAAAAATGACATTCGAAATCAAAAATCGTAATATCGAGAAGAATAAAAGAGTTGATGATCAGCATCATCAGATCAGGAGGTTGCGCAAAACTATCCAACCTCATGTATTCATCCGTGGTCACGACCTTATTTAAATTAAAAATGTCCTCGAAAGTCCATGAACCCATATGGATCATCGAATCGATCGTAAAGCAATCTTGAGCATATTGACTGTTCAGGAAGAATTATACATGGCAAACAATAGAGTCGTTTTTCACGACGAGGTAAGCCGCAAAAAAAAAATAATGATAAAAAAATTGAACGACTATACGACGAATAATTGATGGGTTTTGGATGAATCATCGCGTACACTCGTACGCACGCGGTCGGCATATTTACAAAGAGGTATACGCAAGGCGTGCAACAATGTCGTCCACGTACATAAGCAAAGGAAAATAGGAGCGCATCGTTAATGACTACGTGCCGCGTGCTCGGGCTCGGGCCGTAGCCGATATTACGATTTCATTACTTATTAACACCTGTGCCGCGACGGCGAGATCGGCATAATCACAAATGATAATTATTGTTCGCGCGTCGCAATACGTACACGTTATATTAATCGGATTGATTTTTCGAGGCTCGCCATGGAAGAAAAAAAACTCGTTTGACTGATACGCTGGTTTCGTCAAAGTTGTCGATTGTAAAATTGCTTCGTCCAGTTGTGAATATTAAATTCGTGTGAAAATATTCAAGTGCCAATAGTTTTGCATGAGAGTTTGTTATCTATGTTTTAAATGAGTACACGAAGTCTTGACGCATGTAAGTTTATATCCTTTCGGACTCGAGAGACGGGTGTAACCCGATTTACGGTAATGCAATACAACCATATTAGTATAATTTTTCAGACCGATTCGATTACTTTATTAACGTAAATTTATATGTTTGAAATTTTGACGTACTTGTAATGTCTGGTTATCGAGTAAGATAAAAAATATTGAGATCAAAAAATAAGACATTATAATGCGAATGAAATAAATTTTGATTCAACTTACCCTGAAGAGTTGACGCTGATGAAAGATCATTTGGATGACTGATTTTCTTCTGAGGTAGAGCATGCATTTTACTGCTACCATAAGACCAGAACATATAAAAATTGGACCAACTAACCACATATGTCCAAGGTGAGAAAAAACATGTCCATCTACTACATCACCTAAGGCAAGTATAGTGATCGTTGTACCAATAGTAAAGAGGACCATGCTAACTGCAAAATAGCTATAGCTTGTGCAGTCACATCTTCCAAATGCTGTTCGTTCTTCATAGTGTTCTTCGATTTGGCGTAATCTGTGTGATAGATACGGAGCATCAAACAAGGTTGCCATCTTACTCTCTGGTTTGACAGATAACTAGTACATGTCAAATTGAATATCTAAAATTATCATCTAAATATTTCTGTCACTTTATTGTCTGCATGTGTTTTCTGAAAATTCAAAAAATTCATTAATAACAGTAAAGCTATAAATTAACATAATTTAAAGCATGTTCTATTTCTTGTAGTCTTTAAAACAAAGTTTTTGTAATATTTATTAGCATAAAAGTAGAGATAAAAAATTCAGATCAACACAGTATTAAACTACTTTAACTGCAAATTGCTGATAAAAAATTGATTTAAATCAAGTTTGCATAATGCCTACAGCTATTAAAGAAGATATGGCACAAATGATAATCGACAAGAATAACGTGTAATTCGGGTTGAAAATGGAAGAATTGTAAATTGTCACTTATTTGACTAGGAGCTGACTACGTCATCAGTATGTAATATATCGATTTAAAATTTCCGACGATTCTTTGTAACAAAAGCCTTGAAATGCATTTCTTTCAACGGCAAGGGCACAGTTGATTCAGTAGACACACACGATAAAAAGGCCGAGAAATAACAAAAATTCACTGACCCTCAACAATTAGCAGGAGCTGCGTCGGGAGGATCTTGGCGAAGAGAAGACGGGCAGCATGGCATTCACGTAAAAAATAAAAAACCAATGGCACATTCGAGGATTAAAATTGCACTTGTTGAGTATAATAAAAAAATAACAAACGGCTAAAACCAAAACTTGTGCGACGTTCGATTGTTGTGACACATTCGAGAATCGATAGATATGCAGCAGAGCACTGCAGGCGCAGACCGCCGCCGGCACTCACAGGCACACACAAGCTGCTGCTGCTGCTGCTGCTGCTGCTGCTGCACAAAAGAAAGAGAAACGACCGTCGTTGCCGTCGCCTTATACATCAAGTGAGCCGCGCGCACTGCTGCAGCCAGCCGCAAGAGCAACGATCATCAACAACACAGCACGCTCTCGTGTACACGCGAGCACCAATACACACGCACGACCCGCTCGCGTATCGTCGCACGACGAATAGCAAATTTTTCGTTAAAGTATGAAATTAATTTTTTTTCTTCTTTATTCTTCTCGTCTCCTTCGCGTTTGTTGTTCTCCCTTCGCCAGAGTGTCGTCGAGTTGTATGTACGACGATAAACGAGCGGCTGGTAGGCGCGGGTGCTCCCTCGGCACTGGCGAGTTGCTGCGCCGCGCGGCCTATTATGCCAGCAGCCTGTGTACGCACGGTATTAAGGCACATACGAGCGAGCGCGCATGGAGGCAGCGGACAACGCGTTACACACACACGCAGACATTGCAGACGCACACAATGCTAGAAATGCTGGCGACCGCACGACGACTCGGCGGCCAATCTCCATTTCGTGCGAGACGCACCGCTGCGCGTGATGTGTGCTGCTGCAGCAACGAGACGACGGAAAGCCGCGGCAAAAACATACGTGTACGCGTGCGAGTCAAGAGGGGAGACCAGAGCGAGAAAGATAGACAGAAACAGGACGAGCGAGAGAGAGAGAAGATCACGAGAAGAAGAGCTTTTTGCGCGAAAAAGTGCTCGCGCGACTTATATCGACACGAGTGAAATATAGATTCTTTGCTACGATATAATAAACGCGTGTAGCGCGGGCCGATGCCAAAACGAATAAATTTCGGTGAGCTGATGAATATTGATAGATTTACATCGGAAACAAATGACGAATGTTAATCGTGTCTTCGCCAACAAGAGCTTGCGATTTCCTCAGTCTCGTAAGTCACGTTGTTTCTTGATTGTTTGCGTTACGTCGATTTTTTATAACATAAAAGAATTTTATTTTATGGTAGTGATATTTTTTTGTAATAAAGTTCCGCAAAATACAATAGAACGAACAACACGATGGTTTTACTTTTTTTAAACGTGATTCTTTGAAGCAAAACCGTTTCAACTAATGCGTTCATAATATACTTGTTCATAGGGGGCGCTATTCCATTGATTCAGCCGAAGGTAATTTCAATGGATTCAACAGATGATAAACGGAGCAGTATGACGCCGGTCGATACGGTAGCTGCAAGTAAGTAAATGTTAAATTAAATAACGTTTCATTGATACATAATAATAAACTCGTAATATGCGCACTAAAGTATTTTATTATTACTATTTACAAAAAGTTGGGATCAGAATTACGTCCCTTATGATAAACATAAGATTAATCACGGTTACTATTCCAAGCAAGTTATCTTCATGTCCCAAAACATTTCGTTTGTCACGTGACTCAGCTCTGAACGACTATATATAGCAACGGGAATTTTATTTCGTCGCTTGCGGGTAGCGGAAAATAGTGCATCGAAGCCATCTAACGAGCGCATGAAAAAGTATCCAATATCCAAATTGACCACTCGAGCACTCGAGTCGAGTATTCATGCGGTTATTGACTCTTGCTGGCGTAAGCTCGAAAATTTGAAATGTCCATCTTGCGAGGAGTAAAATTCGTACATATGTAGCGCGGTAGATGGAATTGGCCCTCTCTCGAGTGCTCGTAATACACGTGTTTATGTAGGAACGGGAGAATATAGAGGCAATTTCTCGTATATACTCGTGCGCGCGCTGCAGAGTATCAGGGGTAGAAAAGCTAAATTAGAGTCGAGACTCGTCGAGAACGATTGCGGCCGAAGTTGGGCAAATGAAAAAAAGTTTGCTCGAGCTTATGCGTGTGTACGCGGGATGAGTACGCTGCTGTATAGTCTCGCGGCTCAGTCTGCGAAACACAAGCCTCCGCGCCGTTATTGCGAAACAACCGGAGTAATACTAAAAACAATACAAGTTTTCAAAAGCAATACAGCGTCCGCAGTTGTCGCGTATTGCGGAGGGTAGTGGAGTAGCGGCATAGGCCTCGGACGTCGAAGCAAGATGCCTCCATATTCGATTTTTGTTATTTTTTTTGTTATTTTTCGACTCGTGCCGTCGCAACAGCTCCAACGGTTAAAAGCGAGTCATTGTTGTCTACGTATAGGCGCGCGGGAGGCAGCGAGCGAGTGAGCGACAATCGCGATAATGCACCCTCTCGAAATGGCTATATAGCCATTGAAAAATACTCGCGCGTCGATGCGTGCGTGCGGCTGCTGCTGCGTCGCGATTTTCGACGTGTTTTGTGCCATTGCTGCAGTGCAATCGACGCACACGCGGTGCAGCGCAGGGCTTTTAGCCAGCTCTCTCTCTCCCTCGCACGCATAAAACACATAGACTGCCGACGTATATAGGTGGTGGTGATGGTGGCTTCGGCATCCCGTGTGTCACACGGAGTCAGCGAGAGGAGGACTGCGCGACTAAATGAGATCAAATATTCGCTGCAGAGAGCGAGAGGGAGAGCTGTGCTTTTGCTGCTTTGGCTCCCTTTTATGGGCTCGCACACGCAGTACTCTCGAGTCTCTCTCGCACATAATGAATTGCCTACATTAGTCTGAAATGCGCGCCGCGAGCTCCAAGCGCCAGAAGCCTCGAGCAGAGGAGCATGACTGGCAAACCGCGACGTATAGTCGTACGTACACCCCCCGGAGCCGACGGCACAAGCCAACAGATTAGCTGGCCCGTCTAAGTGTGCTCCGCTCTGTGTTTGTGCTCGGAGTCGCAGATCAAGATGCTGTTTTACGAGTCTCGAGTATAAGCCAGCGATATCCTACATGTATATTCGAGCCTTGTCGATGCCAAGCTAGACGCTTTCATCTTTCCGAGCCCCCGCCAAAATCAGCGTCCCGGGGGATGCGTGTCAGGCATTTACGTTCCATTGGACCGCGCGACGCACAACTACTACGACCTACGAGAGAGGATCGAGACAATCCTCGGCTTGGCCCGCCGACATATACCTACGTGGCTGCGTCCTTTTCTGGATACATATCTGGCGTGACACGCGTTGAAGGTATATGTGCTCGGGCTTACGCCCCCCGGAGGATTAAGCCCGAGCTCGTCGCGATCGTCGCGACGATTTTGCGCGTCGATTCATCGGCTTATTAATTGCGGCCGTGTGTGTACGATCGTCGTTTGTATCCCCCTGCACGTATTATAATACGTAGTATAGCCGTTGCTGATAAGAGAGACTCGAGCCGAGAGAGTCTCTGGCGCAGCATCGCTTATAACCGACTGATAACGTATATATCGCATAGTCTCGGATTCCGAGATGCGAGCCGCGTATCTTGCCTCTTGTTTATCGTGCAAAATTTAACTCCATTGGGTCACGGCTATCTCTAGCAGCTTATCGCGTGTTAAAAACTCTATATTTTCATGAAAACTAGATCGAACGTTAGAATCGAGTATGGGCAAATTTCTCAGGCTTATGCAACTTGTTCGAAAACTTCATAATTACAGCTCTTGATCTGTCAAAGTATCTCAGGCTAAAAATAAAACTATTTAAAAACACTTTCTTAAATTTAGAAAACGTCATAACTTTGTTTTTTCCTCGCTTGAAGCAAATATTCCATTGATATCTTTGCTAACTCTCTTTTTTATTTTTCCTGTGTTTTGATATGACCTTCAAAAATAATTTGATGCCTGTTACACTGACCTATTGATTAATTTCAAACTTTCACTTGGAGCATTTTGGAAGGTTAGTGAACTTTATTAGATATAAGAAAACGTTCATATCTTTAGGTTTTCATTACTGATAATAATAGTTTTTGTTACTAAAACAAGAAATATTAACCGAGATTTTAAAAAAAGCTTAAAACCCTAGGAAAAAATTTAAAGGAAAAGCTTTAAATTAGGAAAAAACATGCGTTGTGTAGTTCGTAAATAAACAGGACTTTAATTTGCATCTACGCGCGTGATCGGGCCACGCGACTGGGCGGAGTCAATTAGAGTTAGTGATTTGAAAAGCGAAAGTTGGAAACTAGTTAATGGATCGTGTCTCGGCGTGTTTCGGGTGATTCTTAGAATCGATACTTACATCTTATGAATATTTCATGGATATTTTATTATGTATTATCGAGGAGCGCGTTTGCGCACGTTCTGGCTTATTATAAATACATTAGGATGAAATCGGCGATGACTGGCAAAAATCTATCGAGGGTCAATTTTTTTTGCGTAACGACTAAGACAATAAATGATGAATTGCGTTGACGCAAGTCGATCGAAAGATCCTAAGTAATTTAGTAAATACGGTATGTTTAAATTTGACGCAAGCCAGATGTAAGCTCGTCCTAATGCAGCCCTTGATAAATCGCCGGCTTTTTTTATTCCGCAGCGAGTCCCCGGGTCACATTCTGATTCAAGTCAGGATCCGTGGGCTGCGGTGGGCGCGCTAGACGACCTGACGTAAATGTACCTGCTGCTGCTGCACGGGAGAGGATCTCACGAGGTACATTTATCGCGTGGCAAAGGAACGAAAGAAAGTTTGGCCGAAAGTTTAGGAAATCAGAGCCGTGTATAGAGGCTGGCTGAGCGCAGCTCGAGCGAGAGGAGTGTGTAAGGAGCGTAAGTGCGTGTCGCCGCACGTGTTGCGGCTGCCGGGCTATATGCCGCACGCATACGAGTACGTACACGGCTTCGATCCTCTAATGCGCACTGTCGTCGGCTATTTGTCCTTTCGTTCATTTCGCTTCTCGGCAAAAGCTTACACTTACACTTGCGGAGCTACCCCTGGCTGTGCGTGGCACCACCGCATACAGCACAGCAGCAGCACAGCAGCGCATAGTACACAGTACGCGAGCGAGCTAGGGATAAATTTATGAGTCGAGCGTGCGTCGACGGCAGAAAAACAGCAAGGCCTGCGGTATACGTCGCTCATAACTTTTATTTTTCCTTCTCTCGCTGCTTAGGTAGTGGTACTGTGCGCGTATGTGTTTGCGCTCCCCAGGGAGGCGCCATGCAGTAGCT